TGTAAATATTTGCCTGGGAAGTGTTGATGAAAGGACTAATCAATAGCATCCTCTCTCTCTCTCTCTTTGTGTCAATTGGGGATTTGGTGGTGAAATATAGTAGTCTTTGTGATCTGAAATTAGTTACAATTATTAAGCTGAGGAAATCTAGAGTGAAATCAAAATCTGTAGACTTTGAGTATTTTGCTACGTAATAAATATATATTTTGGACGGGAGGAACTCTAGTATTTTAGTTCAACTCTGAATATTCATCCCATTTTGTTTGAACTCTGTGCGACGTATTTTTCAATAAATCCTCTCCCATGCAAATCCGTAGCTATCTAAGTAAGTAAGTAAATGCATTTAATTAGGGAGCGAGATCCCCTGAAAGGTTGTTGGAAAGGAGCTTTTATCACAAAACTACTCTCCTCTGTAAAACACGATTCCATTGTAAAAGATCTGACGCTGCTTAAATTGACAACTCCAATTAAGTGATCGGCTCAAAATTCCTAAACAAGTCTTGTTTCGAGTAGATTCAATTAAAGGCCACTCGTTCATCCCGTTTTGCATCTCGTCGTGCAAGTGGATCGCGTATTATGTTTCTAAACATACGAACGTGCATTGCATTGGATGGAGTAAATAGGTTTCTCTAGTATAACTTATACGGAGCCACCGCTCGGATTGGGAATTAGCAAGCTGCCGTTGATGATGAAACGACTTTAATTAGTTGGAAATTGAGGATAGAATGACGGTCGTTTGTTCGTCGTCCGAACATGAATAACATGATCCAGTCGTGTTTCGACCTCTTTCTCTTTCTGCCGTATTTCGTGAATTTAATGACATTGGAGAAGAGTAAAAACGGAGAAAGTAACCACCAACCAACCAAACCGAGTGATGATTGTAAGTACCTGGTGCATTCGTGGGAACTGTAGTAGAGCACTAATGCTGATGATAATGACAGACATCCGTTTACCTTATCAGGCAAATGAAGGGATCAATATTACATATATGAAGTAATGGTTTACTTTCTTATTAAGTGGTAAAAGCCACTTTTTGTGATCGTTTTGTCCGTCCACCTGTCCGTCCGTCCGTGGGCAGGGTATATCTAGAACGCCTCAACATAATCAAATGCTACTTTTGCCATTGTGCTTCTAAGTTTTATTTCTCAGGTGAATTCGATAATGGGTTGAATGTGATCACCCCCCAGCGTCAGGGGGTGTGGTCCAAAATTAAATTTAACTTAATTTTCATATGGGGGTCGTTTTAAAGGAAATTTCACCACAAAATCAACCCAGTCAATACTTTTGACCTTAGATCAACTCATAACAATGAGGGCGAGGTCAAAGGTCATAAATCGCATAATTTTCATGTGGTATCCTGTTACATTTTACTGTCTGACGCCACTTTTTCATGTTCGTTTGACACGGTTTATTATTAGTTGTTTATTCGAGTGGAAAGCAGGTTGCATTAGTTCCAGCAATAAACGCGGTTGTTCATAAGTATCGAGGTCATTCATGCATACTTGAGAGAAGGGGATGACAAAATACTTATTGCGAATTTCAATAAGTCTGTGCTTCTGCAACATAAAGTTTTTAATGGTGATGAAGATGTAACAAAGCGTGTACAAGCTTAAAAGTTCAAGGGCACATGTGGTGTTGCTCATTGATTTTTAAGAAGGCTTAAATTTGCCAAGGGCTTACATTTTTCTGATAAGTACGTCGTCTTATTTTTAAACCTGAGGTCCGGATGTCTGAAATAAGATGATTATTTTGTTGGTCTAAAAAGTAAAAGGTAAAAAATAGCACGTCAATATCGTAGTAGGGAGATGGACAAAGTATAAATAATCATGCATGTGTGTACATACATACTTCCTACATATTGGATTCAAGTTCGGTCGGACTAAACTGGTTATTCACTCCATGTCCGATCTGCTCTAAGAAAATATTTTAAGTACAAACGTAAATATTTGCGAAGCATTTAGAAACTCAAAACTTCAAAGTAAACAAATTCCAGTCGGGAATTTAGAAACTTTGTAATGTTAAAATTTCTCCGTTTTAATATTTATAATGTTTCCCTCTTTCTCGGTTTGGCTAAGATAAAAGGAATGGACTTTGAAATTATTGAAAGGAAAATTTATAATTATACTTTATAAACTAAATAATATTCCTATGTACGCTGCTCGTACGCAGTTTTGGCTGGAAAAATATACTTCTGTAACTTCAGGAAGGGGAAGATGTTTTGAGTCTGAGTATTATTGAGGGAAGACTAAGAATGGAGGTCTCCCAGCGTATGCTGTCCGATTGTGAAGACAGGATCTCCAAATAGTCACGTTTGGCAGAGATATTTGCATCTGAAGAAGAGAAAACGGGCTCTAAAATTGACAAATTTTACACTTTCCGAATTTACGGGGCGTTTTCTCCTCTTCGGATGCAAATATCTCTGCAAAACGTGATCATTTGGAGATCTTTGACTCTTTATGACAAATTTCATATTAATTGATCGATTGACACTAGTTTCGTCAAAATCTGAGAGCATACTCTAGGAGACCTCCATTGTAAGCCTCGTTAAACTAACCAGTAACTTGTGGCTAACGTATGTAAATTAAAAGTGAGGCCGCATGCTCATTTCCTTATCCGACAAATTTTGTCAACTTGTCGCCTCTAGGTTTGCAATTGGCTGAGGTGAGATGCAAGGTACACACAGTGACAGTCCACAACTAACCTGATTAGCCTTATTAAGTACGCTGAGCTAAACTAATTTTCATAAGATTTTACATGCTTAAATATACATCTAGAGAAATACTTCCTACTCGACGAAGATTTACTCCCACTGTGACAAACCGTAGTAAGTTAATTATCCCGAATTCAAACACTATCCGCCGCCGAGTGGTAGACATGTCGTTCGTTATTCCACTCCTTACTTTCTCCAGACTTTAACCTCACCTTGATTCACTTTGGTACACTGCAAACGATGATGAAGCCGTAAACTTGGAGTGTGCAGAGAAGTATTTCTCTCACTTGACCACAAAACCACAATCTAACCGAATCCCTTCCTGCTTCATTCCTTACTTTTGCTTACTTGTCGTCAACGAGCCGAGTATGCAACCACAACATATTAAATTTCACTTCTTTCGTCATTTGCAGCGTAGCAATGCTAGGAGCTCGTGGTTAGGTGGTCGTGGTGGCGACTTGGCGAGGCTCGTCGTCATCGTAGATACGTAGTGAAAGGTGGAAGGGAAAGTTCATTCAGCAATAATGTTACGTATGCACGTGCTAACTTATGGACAGAATATGTACAGTTACCTTTTACATAAATACATACGTAAAACTGCTCATTCTTAATATGCACATCTCACGAGGAAGGAAGGAACTTGAGTGTGTGAGTCAGGTCCGAAAGTAAATAGAATTACCTCCTCGAGGAACTTGGCGAGAGAGAGGCGACGGTGAGTGCAGTCAGCGTCAAGACCTCATTTGCAGTCAGGGAATGAACAGTTTTAGGTTGTGAAAGTCACCATCAATCCTTATTGAAGGCGTCTCATAAAATGGGGCAAGGTCAAGCTGGCTGTGAACCCGTCGAAGGAATCGTGTCCAAGTCGCTCTGATTTCTCCACCTATTTTACAGTGTGATCGCGACATATCTGTACACCACCCAAGTCACCCACCCACCCACTCACTCACTAATGTGACATACCTTTTTGACAAGGAAAGCCTTCTGTCACCAGTAGGAATATTTACTGCCACGACGACCATGTCCTAATTTGTCCCGGTGTGTGTTGTGCCGATTCCAACGTGTCACACAGTCGTCAACCAACCTGTGTAATTAATTCTTCTCCCCTTGTATCAATAAAACAAAAACTTTCTCTCCCCACCTGTCATCACGTTGTCGCCGTGATGCTTATCATCATCTTTTCTCCCCTTTATTCGAATGTCGCTTCTGTGCGAAGAATGAAGTCAAGTGGTTGGAGAAAGCAAAGTGGGAACGTGTCAGGTTAGAGTCATCCTCCTAAATAATAAATGATGAGTTTCGCAATGCAGTGCAAATGGGTCTTTTTTGTTATGCAGAGCACGCCTCGGCGGGCGAGCCAGCGAGTGAAGAAGAAACCCAGAAAGATTTGCTAACATGTTGGAAAGTTAAATCTTTCCGTATGTCGGTTTATTTATTATTACTTTTCAGCGTGACTGTGTAGTAGTCGTGGTGGTGGTGATTGTTGGTGTTATGGGACGATCGAGTCAAGCTCAACTACGGGCAGTAGTAGTGGTGACTTATTTGCATGGGTGGAGAAAATTACGGTAGAATTTGTAGGTTTATGTGTGTATGCGTCGAGAAGGAGAGCAATAAAATGTGGTGGATAGATATGGCTTTCTGAATTGGGGACACCCACAGCAAAATTAAATATGAGGCCCGATCCATCATGAATGAGTTTGAGATGAGTGAATGAAGCTCTAATATGAATGAGATTGTCGCCTGCCTGCCTTCTCCTGAAACGGCTGCGCTTTAATTTCAAGGCTAACAGACGTCTCCAGCGGACCAAGTATTTCACTCAAGCCAGAGATTTTAGCCAGAGTGTGAATGAAGAAATGAATGTTTGCGGGTGGTGAAACGAGGCGAGACTTTTGCATAAATAAAACTTTTTTAGTGGAGGGGAAAAAGCCATATCTCTTTCCACATTTCTGCCAGTGGACCCAACCATCAAACGTGTGGAGAAAGCAATTTTGTCGTTGGTGTGCGGAGAAAGTCAAGGTTTTTTGTTCCACTTGTTGATTTAGTGTGATTTTATTTCGGATCCATCAAATTGTGACGATTTATTACGTATGCCGACAATTAATTCTTGCCGAATATGAATTTTACTACGTGTCTGTGTACATAGTAATGGATATGAAATGAGTAATACATAATAAGGCGAAAATGCGACGCAGAAAAGGAGGTTAATAATGAGTGCTTTATGAGACGTGCATAATTGATGATAAGGCAATAAAGTGTTATCATCTGAATCTGTATGATAATTTATCCCATTTTCCAGGTGGCGGACGGAGACGAGATTTGATTGTTGATCAGACACGAGTGAAAGGTGGTGTCCATCAGCGTTCATTCATACCGTCGGACAAAGAAGAAGAAGAAGACAGCCATCACTGCTGCTTTACTTTTACCAGATGCCAGTTGTTAAGTAGCCCTTGTCTCGTTGAGGAGAGAAAACTAAGCAACAACTCACCAGCGTCATCACCTCATAATCACTTCAACATCCAGCCATTCGTCCTCCTCATCCTGAGAAAGGAGTAGTGGAAAGGTATGTACGTAATGCAATACCACCGTGCTCCTCGTTCCAATGGTGGCAGCAATGCTTCCAATATTTAGAGAAATTGCTGTCCTCTGGGAAAACATGGATCTTTTAACCTTGAGAGAAACATCCATTTGCTAGCAGTGCAGATAGTCGTCGTCGTCGTCGTAGAAGTGCTTTGCTTGCTGCTGGTCGTACATTACTATTGTTGCTTTCTTCTTCTCGCTGAGGATGAGATTACTCGCTCAAATCAAAACTAGACAAATTCCCTGTTGAAATATAAATATATCGTTTCATGTTTCCCTCATTTCTCAGACCGTGCTATTCGTACTGCTAACAAGAGTAGATATTGCTATGCTATATTTTATACAAATTCCGCATTAATACAACGTGTCCATATTTTGTTAGGGGATTATTAACTCAAAGAAGGGGCCAATAAGGTTAAAGAAGGAGAGAATCAACGACAGTGTGGTGACAAGAAGCAGCAGTTTGACATTCAGCAACACCTACAGAATCCATCCGTTGGTTGGTTGAATAGGAGAAGAAGAACTACTTAGAAAATCAACTTCTCAACTCTGTCAGCTTCACCGTCTATTCATCCAGCAAGTGGGAAAAAGAGAAGAAATCGAGTAAACAGCGAGGATCGCATCATTTGTCAACATTTCTCCACTTTCACCATCCATCCCAAATATTCAGCAATAAGCTGCTCAAGGTGGTGAAGCCAGGCTCTCATCCTCAATCTCAATTTCATTCCATATCCCATCCCATCCCCCTCGCCGTTTTCTCCCCACGAGAGAGCTGAGGGTCTTAACGGAGGAGGAACTTTCACTCGTTGGCTTTGTCCTCGCTTCTCCAAGTGGTGGTGAAATAGTGTGCGGTTGTCGGTACGTTTTAACCAGCAACACAGATTCCATTCCATCCTTCTCAAGTGATTCTACATTATCCTCCATCCTCACCTTATTTCATTCATATTTTACCCAATGAAAGCCTGCAGCCTGCTAAAAGAAAGCTTCTTCTCCACTTTTCTCCTCTCTGGCTGGTGGCGAACGTGTACGTAGGCCGATTCAAGTTCAGGGGCAGCAGATTCTTCTTGGCGCTACGCAACGAAAGAAATAGAGATCGATAATTTCCATCTCTTATCGCGCCATCACCATCATTGACATCTTATCATCACTCAACGCACCATTTCTGTAAATCCTTTGAAGTGGAATTACATTCAGGGAGGGGAGAGAGAGGTGTTGTTGTAACATTTTGTAAAGTAATGATTGGATAACACAGCGTGATCTAACTTACCAACACAACCACCACGTGGAAACATGACCATCAAATAGATATTAAAGACGTATATGAACGCTGTAGTAAAAAAGTGACAAATATAGCAGTGTCGATCTCTGACCTATAGTTACATACACGAGCAAAGTAGTGAAAAGTGGGACAGTGAGAATTGTGTGGCGAGATGAGGTGACATGTTGAGCCAACAAAATCAAAGTATGACCAAGACGAACGGTCCGCTATCTCCTGTTATTATTCCTCTAATTCCTTCTACGATGGAAAATGCCAACAATATTGGTGTTCCTGCTCCTGGAAGTAGTTCGACCACGCCGTCTCCGCCGAATCCAGCAGAGATGAAAATAATGGGAGCCTCTGTCTCGACTACAAACAATAGCTCAAATTCTAGTGGTTGTGGCGGCGGTGGTGGGGGGATGATAACCACGACCGTGGGGGGAAACACTTTGGCCGGAGGAAGAAGTGAGCCCGGAAGTGGAAATGCGGAACATTTGCCCAAGCTATTGAATATTTTGCCTGCCGTGACGGCCTGCACTTATACTCCTTGTTATTGGTAAGTCTGTATGCGATATATACATATTGAGTATAGGGGGAAAAAGTCAACAAGTTTTCCCCCTTATACTTATCCACCAACTACTAACAAACAATCCCGAGCAGCATAATATTTAGAAGGCATGAAATAAACGATGAAGTGATTTATTATGTTGGACTGAATCAATGTGGAGGAAAAGTAGGGATTTGCTGTAGTTGAAGGTTGATTCGAGTTGCTGGAGCTATTTTCTCAACCTTTCCGGTGCATTTATGTCGACGAGGAGAGAGGAATAAAGTAAATGCTCGCACTCACTCCCAGACAAAAATAGGTTTCCTTCAACTCCACTTTGCACTTTGTTCCGTGTAGGAGGAGGAGGAGGAGGGTGCGTTGAATTGCATTCCGGATTGTTTTGGTCAGTCCTTTCTTGACCAACTTTTTCTAAATACTTGCAATACTCTTTGGTGAAATAAGATTGCTCACTTACTCGCCTTCGGGTATTATGTGCATAAGTATGCATCGTGTTAGGTTAGGTTCGTGACATGAAGTAACTAGAAAGAAAAAGTGTGCTAATTTCAGGGTTGGACAGGGACCCCGTTAATTTTGGAATTTCTCCCATTTTATTCTCGAGAATAAAGGGCAGAATAAATAAAAGTCCGGATCAGGAAGTAAATGGAAAATTATATACTTTATTTTAAGAGAATGCCGTAAAAATTGGACTACTGCCCCGCACACTGCTCAACTTCTTGAGGGCTGCTAAATAATTCATATTTCTGCAATATATCATTCACGGACACACGCTATACAACAAAGTCACGCATACTTATATGCAGTTGAGCCTTTTTAGACAAAATCTCCACCATTTCCTGTGGCATAAAGATAATCATAAGCTAAAAGATTAACCCCCTATAATTTGCAATTGCCTTGTTCTTTGTTCCCTGACTGCACTTTTCTCGGGGATTCCGTCAGTCAACTTCTTTTTTTCAACTATGTGTGTGACAAGCGGATATGCAAAAATTTCCGCAAAAACTTCAGTACATGTACATACTTTGGTACACCGTGTCCACGTCCATTCAGCTATTTTTACCCGTTTGTATTTTCAACGAAAAGTCTTGTCATTTCGTCTCGCTCTTCCCAACAAGAAGTTGTTTTGGCTTCGTCTCTTTTTTCTCCATTGCCTTTGTGAACTGCAAAGTTGTTAGTCAGTCAAAACGAGAGAGGAGAGGACAAAATGAGACGAAGATAATAAAACAAGTCTTCAACTTATTTAGGTGCACGTCTCCCCGTGAAATTGAGCATTTTACGAGTTGAATGAACAAACAACATCTTGTTGACACTCCGCCTATTTATTTTAAAGTGGAATTGGCATGAAAAGTTTTTGCTAAGAGAAGAAAGTTGTAAAATGAGAGGGGCCAAAAAAGTTTTCATAACGATGTATAAACTTTTGCTAAATTAATTTCACTACGGTTTTTTAAATGGGATGAATTGATATTCAAAAGTACCTATATAGTTTTTATTTAGTTATTATCATGTGCTATAGTGTGATTTTATCCACAGTTGTTCTAAAATAAAGCTATTTATAATCTAGTTATTTTTACTCCTTGTTACAGTGAAGAGAACGTGTGGAAATTGTGTGATAAAGTGCGGACGGACTTTGCGAATGAGTTGGAGGTGAGTGAGATTTATTTTGATGAACTAAACCCACGTGTAACGCATAACTTGAACCGTTTTTGAATTGAGGTTTCAATTGAATTAAAATTTTCGTCAAATAGAAATATGAATTAAGCAATATTTTTTTGAAAATTAAAGTGAATTAAATACTGAAATATATGTAGCCATCTATTTAACAAAATCAAACATTTGTTGAGTAACAGTAGAATTAACTTTTGAATTTCTACCTAAACTTTTCACCAATTTTCTTTGAGCAAAACCTAACCTTTCGACAGGAAATGCGTAATACTGTATATTTTGATCCGATTGTATAGTTCGATAATGTAATGTAATGACACATATTTAACATTTCAGTACTGCCACGTTGCTTTCATATCTAATAAGAAACGTATGGTTCCGATGTGGAGGCAAAAGGCTGGGAAGAATGAGGAGAAATTGGCCCTTTGGGTAAGTCAGCAGCCACTCTTTCTTCCTCCCTGCTTTCACTATCATAAAATCATTCAATTTCATGGTGTCGACTCACCCACCCACATTCTCCAGAATCATTTCATTTCATGTTGCTCATGTAAACCTAATTTCATAGCATTCTTTTAAGTAATCAGAATAACTTTAGGAGAATAAAGAGGAAAATAAATATCGGCGTTTAAACTGTCTCGCACTATTTACATCAAGATGAAAGCAGATACACATTAAATCGAAAAATTGATTGACTTTTATTTTATTCGATGGAGTCGTGATATACGTAATTTCCTGCACTTTTGTTAAGTATAACCTGAGTGGAGGGAGAGATGGATAACTCGTCGAGGAAAGGATCTCTCAACTCGTGGCGCGGTGTTATGCCATGTAGTCGTTTGGCTGGTTGTGGTTGTCTTGTCATGTTCACTTATCTTGTTCTGATCTTCCAATTCATTCAGTTCCGAGTGCCATCCGCCTACAAACCGCAATCCAATATACTTTACCCTCCAAGTCCCGTATTTTCCTGGTTTAGAACCCTCCCATCATAGTTTCCTCGTTATTCTCATAATTTAACCCTGACTCAGTAGTAAATACATAAGTGTGCTAGCTAACAATCTCGCTCTGCATACATTATGCGTACATGTCAATAAATGGGCAATAATTTTGCCCTCCAAATTGCCCAGCTTCACTTCTCCTGCCTCCTGCCTTTGAGTGAGATGGCGATAAGATAGAAGCGTCAGGTGTAATTAGTGTCTGGCTTTTTTCTTTACTTTACTCACGCCTCCGTGGATGAAGGCAGAGATAGTTAGTAGTCAGCCGTGTAGTAACTTCGTAAAAGTGCGGATGGGTGGATTGGTTGGTGAGAGGGAAAGGAAGGGAAGAAAGACACAGGTTCTGCAAATTGCTCGGAGAAAGGAGGAGGAGGTCTAGTAGAATCCGCTACTTGCTTGTGCGGAAGACAGCAGTTATCAGCTCGCTCATCTCTCTCCGGATTTATGTAGCACGGGAGAGAAAGGAGTCGAGTTTGGCCAAGTTTTCTGTATTAACGAGTAGAGAAGTGAAAGTAAGGATTGGACGACGAGTCCATGAAATGAAATGCATCTCACTTCGCCTCATTGAACTAATCTCATCCATCCTTTCTTCTCCGCCTGGTTTATTGTCGCCTTCTTCCTCAGACTTGGTTGGTGGGTGGGACGGTGAAGTGGAAGAAAGTCAGTTGTTCGACTGTCTTTGAGGGTATGAAGTAGTTCAAATTACTGTAATTAAGTACAAGGAGTAAGTAGTGGGATAAAGTTGGAGAAAGTAATTGTGATCCAGGGTCATTTCATTAAAGGAGCAATGGAAATTTGAAGATTTGATCAATTCATTCTCATTCTACGATTGGGTGGCTAATGGGTTTTATTGGTATCGCTTTTACTTAAACTTCGAGGCTTTTGGAGTTCATTAAAACGCCTTCAGAAATAAATATGACACGTATGCATGCATACTTATTTCCCTTGTGTTTTTTTCTAGGATTACCACGTGATCTTCTTTTACAACCCGGACGAGAGATGTTTAGTCTTCGACATGGACTCTGACCTTCCCTTCCCCACCCATTTCCATCGCTATGTCTCGGAGACGTTTCGCACAGAAAATATCCTGCAACCAGAGTACCACAGATTTTTCCGGATCATTCCTGCTTCCAGGTGAGTTGGTTTGAATGAACTTTTTTTTTCAAACCTGACATGTTACATATCTTACAGATTCCTCTCATTATTCTCATCCGACCGGAGTCACATGTTGAGACCGGACGATAGATCTTGGATCAAACCCCCTCCTAATTATCCACCCATCTGTGCAAGTGGAGGTAAGTATTTGGATCACAATGTTCATATGAAGCATGTTAGTTTTTTTATCAATCTCCCATCTCTCTCTCCTGCGCTTTTTCTAGTAAAACATAGCCTGAGAGACTGATCCGGATCTTTTGCTATCCAGAACAGAACTTGGCTCCTCTGCCTCTGCACAATTTTATTTTATCTGTGCTCTCTTCTCCTTATCTTATTAAAAATTTAATCCTCTCCGCATCCCATCAAAAGTCTGTAACGCAGCAGGCCGTAGTCTGGCTGAGCCATAGTGCATCCACTCCTGCAACGTGTGTAGTTTCCACATATATGAGTCGTAATTTCGCAATGTTGAATGTAGTACATGGAAGCCGATTGCGAACACGGAAAATAAAACAAGGAGGATGGATGGATGTTGCGATATTTTAGATGTGGCTTTATTTCCTTGTTACGTATGTATGTACATAGCTCCTCCACGTGTGTATTGTGCAGTGGGGAAAGTCGGTTTATCTAAGAAATGAATAGGCATTTCAGACCAGGTCTTTCAGGACGTTTGTCAAACACCATGTGCTCATCATGTCGGTGGAGAAAAGGGAGTAAAATGAGGTTATAAATAATATAGTTAGCAGCAGTCATAACTTGACTCGAGCAGGTAAAAATTTAGAAACATGGGATGTTTTCGTAGGGAAAAGGGTGAAATAACTTTGTGGAATTTGAAAGGAAAAACATTGCTCTCTCTCTCAGGGTGGATACGCAGTAGTTTCTGTCGGCTGGAAAAATGCAGCCGGTCTGATTGAGTTAGTTATAGTTGGCCTTGCAGCATTAGGCAGGGAAACCTGCTGTCATGAAATGAAGGAAAGAAGAGGAGAAGAAAAAGAATTAGCTTTAAATTAGATTTGAACATTATCATTACTTACTTTCTCTTGCTCAACCTGCTTCTCCTTGACTGGCTGACATGCCAAAGAATCTTCTCCTCCGAGTTGAGTACATAAGTAATTTAAAGGAAAAGTAAGTACTATTACTGCTTGTTATTTGCTTCATGTCAAGTTAGCTTTGCTTTTTCTCCGTCTTGGTGAAAGTGGGGGGAAAGGAGATAGCTAATAGTTCTTGAATGGGGAGATGTTAAGGTAGTCGGTAGGCATGAGGTGAGGTAGGACTTGGAATTTGGAGTGCAAAAAGTATGTGGGAGAGGTTTGATTATAGGTTTCTTAGCATGCTTATGGGCTATTCACCTATTTATTGACGTCTAATAAATAATCAAAAATAATTTGGGTTACACGGAAATATTAGTGGAAAACGAAGAAACTATTTATTATGTCAATATTTCGAATGATATCTGTCGTTCGTTATCAAAACTAAAAATTATTAATTAAAATTGCTAATTAAAAATTGGCAGCTAATAAAGTTTGTTTTTCAATTTCTTGGTCTGATAGATATTTAAGGTTGAAGTTTTCGCAACTATTTTTTAACATAACTGTCAATAATTGAATAGCTAAATTTTAATGTGATGAAAAATAATCTTATGTACTTAAAATTTCAGAAATTTTGTAACAAAAACACATCATTTTGACCTTACATCATTTGAGGTTAAAATTTTTTTATAAACAAATTTCTATTGAACAAAGAGTCATACAAACTGTGTATCAGATAATTTCTGTGTACATAAATATGTACGCCTTGCCCAGGCTGTAGAAAAGTTGGAGGTTATCTTATTTATCTTATTTATTTGAAGACGCTTGTCTGCTCAAGAGATTTCCATAAATCCAATATGTAGTAAAATTTACACAAGTCTAGATCCTTTTCAGCGACATTGCATTTATTTGCATTAAGTCGATTCATAAAGTTGCGCAACCTTATTGGATTTGGATTGTAAGCAAGTGTGTATCCAGTAGTAAACAAGTAAACGTTATCTGAACGAATATTTCAAAAGTCATGCCCAACTCGAAAAGTTAATACGAACAAAGTATTTGTAAAGAAGATTCAAATAATCGAATCAAAAGTGGTGTGTGTATTCATTTTCGAGTAGTGAATATTATTATGTATCCACCCGACCAGACCACCAGCATAATCTACTTGTATTACCAACCACAACAAGTCGAATAGTCGAGTTATCTCCAGTTGCAAACTAAACTGTTTGCCATATTTACTTTACTTTCTCCTCGTGGTTAGGTTAACAACGGTGCAGGCAAAATATGAGACCGAATTGATTTATCCGTTCCTTGTTGGTAATGAGTATTCCATGAAAACAAATTGTCCAACATGGTCTGCTAGCTGCTGCTGGTGGTGGTTTTTGGTTGGATTAGTATTATATTGCAATGTGTGTGGAAATCGATCAGTTCCATATCCATGATTATGTATGTCCCATGTGCATATGTACATGGTCGTAGGTGGGGAGAAAGTAAATACGAAAGTAAATATGTGGACAATGTACTTATTAATATTATTGTTTGCTGCTATATACCAACCAAAATAAGGAGACCTGGTCATGTTCATTTGTTTTGTTTTTTACCAACGTGAGCGAACTGGTTTACCTATCCGATACTTTCTTTATAACTCTAAATCTTCAACTCCTTTATGCTTTGAGCTGCCAGAAACAGAGTTGAGAAACGATGTTTACTTTGAATTTCTCAATTTGATGTTAAGTACCCTGTTGAACATCCATCAGAGATAAGAATAAGAATGTGTGTGGGTTTGTGAGTTGGTGGGTTCGAAGGTAGAAAAAGTATAGTTAAATAAGCTAGTAGAATAGTACAACACTTTACTTCTCGTCCAAGCGTTCATTGTTGATACTGCTTGGTTCGTTCGTATTCATGGATAAATGCGTGCAATAAATTTTTCCAGACACGTAAATTCGTACAGAAAGAAGAATGTGAATGACAGGTTGGATATTGGTTGATACATATTTTGTTATTACAAGTTTGCATTTAAGATGTTTTGAAAGAAAATTGCTCAATATTATATTATTAGATTAGTATCGTTCCTTCCCTCGTTCCTTCGTTCGTTGGTGGATGAATGTATTATTTATGTAGATATTCGATTCGAAAGAAGGGGCGTTTTTAAAGCGAATTCGTTCCAGTGAGATTGCTCAGTCGAAGGGTTTCTAAATAATTTAAGACATTTGCAAAAATTATTGCTAATGCCTTTTCCTGAGTGCTCACTTTTGTCTCTTGATGTTCACCCAATAACGGTAATATTAATGGTGAAATGCTTATGGGTTTCGTCATTTATGCGCGGACATGGATCTGTCCAATTTTCATGTATCTATCCATCCATCTTGTGTACATACATGTAACACTTGGAAGACGAACTTTTTGCCCTCTCGACATAGTTGCACATACTTGACCGAGCACTATTTGAACAAAAAATCAAATATGTTCCACCTATCAGTCTGTATGTACTACGGAGTAGAATGTGTGCTTGTATATCTCTCAAATTTTGTTGCATTGTTGGGCTTTATCCTTGCTGACGAGATCTTTCTCTTTTTTCTGCTTCCTTTCTTTTCCTGACTGCCTGTCTGGCTGGCATGTACTGTGTAATACCTCCAAATGTTTACCTTCACCTCGAACTGAATCAACAGTTGAGTTGACCATCGGTTCGTTATCTGCGGGGTATCCATTCCCCTCTTGATGTTGAGATTTGATTTTGATTTTGACTCCTGATTCCTTTTATTTCTCTTTATTTCTCTTTTTCTCTCTGTGATTTTGATGCTGACTGAAATTCACTCTTGTCTATTTTTTCAGTGAATAACCTGGAGCAGTTTATAGACATGACAGACCAGAAAAATGAATTCGGAGAGGTATTTACCCTTATGGAACTAGTCCGGAAGTTCTACAAACCTCGGCAACTGTCATGATAGGATCCAACGCCAGAGCAGAAAGAGTAGAAAAAAACCTCGCACTCATTCTTGACAGAATTTTCCATCAAAACTAGATAACGCCAAAAGAAAATCATGGAAAGAAAGAAGGAAAGAATAATTCGATACGGCGGCGGAGAAAGGAGAAACAAGAACCTGCATACTCGTCATATGAAATATGTACATGTACCACAATATTATTACTATTACGACAATGTAGATGTGTAAGTATGTAGTAGATAGTTTGATATTATTGAGATTCTGAATTTAAATTTTGTAAGGAGAAAACGCAGTGCAAGGAAGCGTTACTTTTTCTTCTACGCTACGTTACTATTGCACTTTTTGTTATGATTCTCACGTTCACTTATTTTGTTTCTGCTTTCACTCCGACAGATACAGTGGAGGAATTCAAAATCATTTTGAAATCAAATCCGAACCAAAATTCAGATTTTTCAGCCAAATCAAACTGACATGAGGAAAATGAAATTTTTCTTATTCTAAGTACATACTTTCACTCACTGCCTATTTTTATCAAGATTGTATATGTAATTTGAATGGATTGATGGAATTACTAAAAAATATAGTAAGGTTTATAAAGCGACGTAGGATATAAAAAAAGAGAAAGTTCTTCGTGTCCCAAATCTGAACTTTCTAAATATTGAAGAATTATTGTGTTATGTGATGATAAACTGTTGAGCAGAATGGATTTAGAATAATTATACCATAGAAAAACTTCTCGGTAGCTTGACACATTTCTAAAGTCAGGATTTGTTCATAAAAATATTTCAAAAAGCCAAATTCTCACCGTTTACTGAAACAATAACAACTTGTATAACAATAACGATTCATTCATGATTATACTCTATCTCTCACTCGTATTGCTGTTATTATTATTATTATTACGCATATTATGTATGTACAACAACAAATTACATGTAACTCTAAGACTTTTTAAGTGACTTGAACTCTGAAACAATTCGAACTTGGGATTATAACAAATAAGAAAATGAAACAAAAATACTTTGTTAACAAATGTCATGAAATATTATTGTCGTAATCTTCACTAGTTTTACATACATAAAGTTTGTTACAGTCCGAATTCGTAACATGCAGTCAGTCATTGTTTAATTTATTTTGTGATTTTATATGTATTTGATATATTTTTTGCTCAGTTGGTTTGGTACAAGACATTTGTGTGTTGAGATTCATAATTTTGTTGAGGTTATGATTTTCTGTTTGGTGAATATTAAGTGCGTACTATATTTTCTATCTAACTCGTGCACGTTTTCGAACTTACTTCATAACTGCTGTGCCATGGGGCTGTTGTAAGTATCCAGTGAATGGGAACTGTTATTTGTCAAAATTCATTCATGTGCTTTTAAAAATGTCCTCATATTAAAAATCGGATCAAATTAGATTAGCTACTTTTACAACAATTAATTGGTATAATGTACTTGCAACGTTTCTTACTCTCTCATGCTTGCTACTGTATAATCTTAAAAAAACTGAATGTGTTTTGTTACTCAATTAATGTTGTCGGCCTCTCGTCCTCTTTGCCTACTAAATCGTGTAATTTTCCTCTTACTACAATCTGAAAATGTACTTGAAACCTAAGCTACAAAAGTTTCTATTGCTTTCTTGCTGTCTTGTCTCGATCGTGCGTATCTAACAATAATTTTGTAGTTAATTATTAACACTTGTGGTATTTAAGACTAATTAAATAAGTAATATTACAAACTATTTGATAAACATTTAACATTTACATACATATTCTAGATTAAAAAGTGAGCAAGAGTTCGATCGGCCTCTCTTACTTTACATCAAACACGATGATGAATTCATTAACTAAAATTGAATGAAAAGTGTTTGTCCGTAAGAAAAGGTGTAGAACGATGTGAGAATGTGTAACCGTTGTCTGTCGTAAGCAAAAAAAAATACATAAAATATCTAGCAAAAATTTATAACAATACGATCTAGATTCGTAATTATCTATGAGATTTGTGCGATGTAATCATGATGGTGCTGTTAACCAATTTTTTCACTTGTTTACAATTAGTTTTGTGATAGTCGTAAAATATCGTGTGTACTTATCTGATAAGAATCAAGGAGTGGATCATTCTAGAAAAAGTGCAGATATTCAAGAAATCAACGAATGCATTAAAAAAAGGTAACCACGCCGTAAGAGCTACACTTGTACTTGCCTTTATTTTCGAAATATTTTCTCGATATTTGTCCCATAATTATTAACAAACAATTTACAAAAAATATCTCCTCATCACATAAAAAATATGTAAATCTCAGCGCTCCACCAAGTGGCTCAATTATGTATTGTGGATGAACAAACAAAGAAGATCGCAACGTGCATTTTGCCTTTTTCTTACAATATGAACTTAATGATTAATAATCGTAATATTTAGTCAGCGATGGTTTCAGATTGATGGCGTGATGATGAATATCGAGAGATAAGTTTCGAATTATGTGTAGAGAAGAAGAGATTTAAATATTTTGTACTGTCAAAATAAGTAATTATTACATTTACATACATCAATCAGCGCTATTTTCATCTGAAAATGGAAAAGACATGAAAAATTTTATATTGCAATCTCATCATCATAATTTAAGTTGTTTCATTTTTATTTCTATTGGACCAATAATTTATTAATCTTGAAAACAAATCCAAGTATTTTGGTATGTTACTCTTGGTGTGAGTATGTGTTTTATGCCAATTTATAACTTAAAAAATATGTCTGTAACTGTAAGAATTTTAGGTTACAACGTCATTGTGATTTAAATTATTTACTTGTCATTATTACAATTACATAACTTTATCATGATACCATTTACATATAGTTTACTGAAATGATATAAAATATCTACTTGGTTTTATTACACAAACAAACAGATTTGCATAATAAATGTATAAAACTTTAGACTAAACGTTACCACGTTGTTAATTAATATAAAACATAAAGTAATGTTTCACCGTTAAATATAAGGAAGAAATGGTCGATGTTGAACATTGTCGGATGTTAATGTGTATGTGGTCGTTCGTGATCGTATATTATACTTTCTGTAGAAGGATGAAAATGGTGAATGCATAATAAAAAGGATACTAATGAGAGTATTGATAATGTCAATCGGGGTTATCTTCTGCTCCACCATGGAAACATTTATTCGGACTGGCTGCATTTAAAACGTGATTTCATAATTTCACGGACATTTCTGAACCCGTCCAAAATTTTGAAATGAAAGCTCACACAATTGGGAAGTTCGGCAACTGCACAAGCTCTTTTCAATGAGTAGAACTGCAGAAGTGTTGAAACCGCATATCTAAATCTGCTGACAGGATAAAGGATGTCCGACCAGGATGAGCAGAACAAGAAACCGACTAAAGATGAGAAGGATGACACCTGTCAACCGCAAAAACAAGGTCATGAAAATGATGAAATTCCAGGTTCGAGTTCCGCTCAATCCACAACTTCCGCGTTTGAAAGCGTGTCACAAATGAAGCCACAACAGGGTCAGATAGCACAGGGCCAAAATTTGTAAGTTCATGACTAACATTGGATGAGTGGGTATTGGTGAAATCATATTCATTTAAATGTAAAGACCCCCACGGAAGTTTGCACCCTTAATTCATCACCGATGTCCAATTCGAGCTTATCATTCCGCCGAAGAAACTATGATTCAGCCAGAAATGCAAAATAATAATAATAATCTCCAGCAACAACAAACACATCAAGAATCTGAGGTTGGGGGTAAAAACCTTCCAAGACAAAAGTCATTCTCGACAGATGCAATTCGCCCAGAATCCTCCCCAACGGAGTCGACCAACAGTAGCAACTTGAAAAACTACATCTTTCAGGGTAGGCTTTTTAGAAAGATTAAAGTGACTCCGAGCAACACGAGCACTTGCGACGCGACAAAAACAGTCGTCGTCCAGGACGTTCTTCTTACCCAGTCTCCCGCACTGTGTGCGTCAGGACAAGGCAATATCCTCATGGGACGAAGGCTCTGCTCGACTGGGGGGTGCAAAATGGGAGAGACTTGCATCAACGTGATCAATGTCAGTGGAAGTACAGACTCGTTGGAAAATATTTGCAGAAGTGGGTTTGTTATTTCAATATTGTGCTGACAGGCAGTGGCCGCGGAAGCAATTTTATATAACATTTTTAAGCGTGGGGACAGAGGGACAATGTCCCCACGTTTTTCGATGTCCCCATCATCCGCCCATGTTATATAAACCCCTCCCTTCCCTATCCTAAAATGTGAATGTCCCCAGATGTCCCCACAGCTTCCGCGGCCACTGCTGACAATAAGAAGACCGTAATCTTTCAAACAGGATTTATTATTACTCTTTGCAGTTTGCCATGATTCTCCCAGCTCGGAAAAGTTGATAAAGCCGTGTCTCTGTAAAGGTGATGATTACAATTTCTTATTCAAAGTTAAAATCCACAAAGAAAATTAAAAGTTTCAACTTTCTCAGGATCAATGGGTAATGTCCATCGAACTTGTTTGGAAAGATGGTTGGGTGAGTCGGGGAAAGGTTCGTGTGAAATTTGTGGTCAGGAATTTAACACTGTTCGGGTTCCAAAAGTAAGTGCATAAAGGAATATTAAATACTATCATGAACAGTAATCTGACATTATTTTTCATTATGAACAGTACAGAGGACTTCGAAGTTTTATTGCTTGGGTTCGACATCCCATGAATCCGACTGACAGCCGGTATGTCAACATTTATGTTGTGACCATTAATAAATCCTACTTTGGTCGATAACGCCCATTTTCCAATTTTATAGCAATTTCTTTTTTGACTTGGCTTGCTTCTTTATTTTGACACCCCTCGCCCTGCTTTCCGGTTGGCTTTGTATCGTTGGTGCAGAAACTTATGCAAATGATCAGCAACGTGTATGCTTCCAAATTACTGCTTAGATCTTTTTACACGTTATTCCATGAGATTAAATTGCTTAGAAACTTCACGAAAGTCATCTGCAAGGGCATGAGACGCTGTCCATGCGGGGAAGAAGGGACGTGTCCAACTCAACGTGGACTTCGATCGGCTTGCTTTCCCTGACCGGAACTTTAGTCGCGGCCTATATGGTACATAATTTTCACATCTTACCAACTTATCTTTTATGTTAACAGATAAATGCACACCACAGATTTGGATTTTCGTCGCATTTCGCTACCACATCCAAGTATGGCGTGAATGGCAGCAGAGGAACTACATCGTGACCATTGTACCCTTGGCCAACGGAGAGTTCTGCTTTCCCCCAGCTCCCCCAGAGGAACGCGTGAGCAGAAGTCGAACCCAACATCCTGACGGCGAAAGACACCCCAGACAAAATCGAGATTCGAATGAAAACCTGAACGAAGACGATGCTTCTCCGACGACCAGATTCATTCAGCAACTGTTCATCCCCTCCCTGGCAAATTGGGAAGCTGCCAACAATGTAAATTCACCAGATAATAGCAACGCCCGAGACAATAATAAAAACAGTACCCATGCCACGGGAGAAGCTTTACATAATGAGAACGGAGCCACTAATTGTTCTCGGAAAGAATCAGATAACCAAATATTACACGATTTTGACGACCAAGAGCCAACTTCTGTGCAAGTTGTGCCCTCAAAAAATGAATCTGGGATGTGTTAAGGCGGGTCATTATTAACTAGAATCAAAATTTGGAACGTAAATAATTATTATAAAAGTTTTCCACACTTTGTACAACATTCGAAACATTTTTTAGCATTGAATTAAAGCCATAAATTGCAATTATCATTAGTATTTACAAACTATGAATAAAGCCTTGGTTTTCCAATTCGGTTATATAACTCGATCCATCTGTCAATTGACTCTGTAAATCCGTGAACACAGTTCCGCTAATGGATCAAAATAAAATCAAAGCATTTAACACAAGGAAACCGTTGCCTTTCAAACGTCGTGGTGCATCAGACAAGGAAATTATTTGACAAAGAGCTGTTCCATTTTATTAGCCGGAATTATATTTCGCCTACGGGTAGACAATCAAGAAAATAGAAACAAGTCATAAGAAAGACTTACATAAGCTTCATCATCCCGAAGACTTATGTATAATGCCATGTGTGTAGGTATGTATTGCGCTACAGCTATGTTTTTCATTTACATGATACACGACCAGATTCGGGGAATAGGACTGAATAGGAAGTGAACGAATACAAGAAATAGAGTGGGAAGAATAGCCACCAAAGCAAATACTTATGCAAGTATCCAACCTGCCACAAAATTCCAACTCCCCATATTTCGTATTTCTATGCAGTTGTAACATCATTCCATTTTATATCAGTTTCAAAAAAAAGATTAATAAAGTATAGTTAAAGTGTTAAATTAAAGTAAATATTTTGCTGTGATATTTAGCTTTTGGATTTAAAGTTGGGTGAAATATTTGATATTTCTCTTAAAGGAGATTTTGTAAAAGGTCAATACTATTTGTGCTACTGCCAACGTGGAATTATTCAGTTTGTTAAGGAAATAGTGAATAGGGTGAGTTTGACGCCGATTTTGACTTATTTAGAAGCTCGAGTTCTTGTTAACAAGTTTTTTAAGTTATTTAACATTTTTTTTTAAGATTCGTTAAGTACGAGATTAAGATTAGATTGTAGTTTAAATTACGAGATTTTTTTTAGAAATGCGATTTATATATTTGTTAAACATTGGTTGTTTGTTATAATTAAGATGTGTGTACGCATTTCTAACTTGATTAAAACATTGACTAAATAGTATGCTTTCTGATCTAACAGTACTTATATTTTAGAGCAGCCTAACAAATTTCGTCCTCTCATATCATCATATCATCGGAGCCAAGACTTATCCAAAAAATGGTCGACTTATCAGGAAATTCTGCCGGTGGGCCCATCGAGCATGGATTTAGCAATTATGTGTTCATCGTATCCGGTATACTGGTGGTCACAGTTGTAGGTTAGTTAAAAAATCGTATTAATTCAATTAATTCATTGACAATGAATGTGCATGCTTTGTGCTACTTAAGTTATAAAATGAGGTTTAAAAATCGTATTAAGCTGTAAAAATTAAAATACACCAATCCAGTCACACTGATAAATTACTGGGTCGCTCGCTCGGATTGACAAATGTGAAAGCTTATCAATTTATTTTTTCTCACTTATCTGGTTGTGTCAACTTTAGTCTCATGCATTCATATACTTTTGCTGTTTTAAGCGCAACTTATCACGGGGAAGTTTCCATTCTATAGTAATGCATGCATGTGTAAGTCAGTAAATTAACGAGTTAAATGTACAAATTGAGTGATGTGATGAGTCCACATTGCTGAATTTTGTACGGGGATTGATGAGAAGCTGATAGTAATTAGTTAACGGTGGTTACATGCTGATCCTGCATTTATTTATTTATTTGTGTATTATGTGTGTATGTGTACATACACACATGATACGATATAGCCAAAAAGCTCCAACGTGGACCAACCACTTGATGACTTTATTGCCGGCAATGCAATGTAATGCAATGCGGTATTAACAGCATTAGCAGAAAAAGCTGTTCAGACGGGTTTCATCTCTCTAAAAAGCCAATATTATTATTGTGAAACCCATACTTTTGTCAGAAACATCAGATATTTCAAAAATATAGAAAGCTAGTAAATATCTACGCCATGGAAGATATTGACATTGAGGAATTGGCCAAGATGGCAAAAGAAACGGGAGGCGACTCTGCAGAAGAGTTGAGCCCGGAACAATTAGCGGCTGCTCAGGAGAAAATGAGGCTGTTGATGAACAATTATAGAAATGCACAGCAAGGAATTTCCATTCATTTTTCGGTCTATTTGGTGGCATTCGTTGTTATTTTTGGAACTGTTGGTAATATTTGCTAATCCAGTCGTATTTACCTTTCACCTTTTGCAGATTTTTTTGTTGATTTGACGGAAATTGATTTTGGGACAAATATAAACTAACCCGGATTTTTTTTGTCTATTTCAGGATTCTTTGCATACAAGTTGGTCCAAAGCTTGAAGAATAAGGAGAGGAAACGTGAAGAAAAACGGAAATTGAAAGAGCTCAAGAAAAAGAAGTGAATAATGTGACATTCATCAATTCCACTACCTGATCATCAAAATGCTTCCTCCTCCCACACGAAGAAAACATCACGATAAATTCAATTATATACATACAAATTTGGCCGTTGCAAATAGTAGGTTATTTATTTTTATTTTTGATTGATTTAAGAGAAAAGTTATGTACATACCAAAAAAAACAAACATACCAAAAATGAAATTATTATATTCCAAAAATAACATTATATTTAGGTATGTGTGAAATTGAAAGCCAAAAATTATTATGTAAAAGTGAAAGTATCTTTCATACAAATGTTGTCGTGAGGGAATGTAAAGTGAAAGTTCAAGTTTTTGAATTTCTGTAATAAAACTTATAAAACTCGAGACAGAATTTTAAAATATGTGTATCTATTTATTATTGTTAGTTTATTGTCAGAATAATTTAGTAATTAGGTACGATTGTATTTGTGTAATTAGAAGGAGCATCCCATATTCGAGATTTCTTCGTCTTCTTTGTAGCAGGGCAATGATGTTATTTGTTCTTCATGAACCTCGATAGGATTTAAAGAAACGTCGGAAACGTCTTGTCTCCCGTACTCATCCACGCAAAACCACATGGACCCAATATGCTGGAGAGTTCGAAAATTTCCATTTTTGCAACATTGTGGTTTTCCCGTAGCACTTTCACGCAAAAGGTGCCTTGCCCTGGCACAATCTGTAGGGAAATAAGTTAGAATAAGTAAATTATGGAGGACAATGGAGGACAGATTTTGACCAACTAGTGTCAATCAGTCACAAATTTAATTTATACAAAATTTGCAGAAAGCACGATCTCCCATTGCTCAAGTTTGGCAGAGATATTTGCATCCAAAGAGTAGAAAGAAAACGCTCAGTAAAGTTGACAAAACGTACACTTTCCAAATTTATTGTGCGTTTTCTTCTCTTCGGATGCAAATATCGTCGGCAAACCTGAACATTGACAGATCGTGTCTTTTGCAAATTTCATGTTAATTAAATTTGCTAATGATTGACACTAACTTGCTCAAAATCGGAGAGCATACGCTGGGAGACCCCCATCGTAAGTATAATTTAAGAAAGTTAATTAGGATTTAAATTAATTTAAGATCTCCTTCTTACGACAATTCATAGCATCGGCTGCACCAGAAATTTTTTCAACTATGAAATCTTCGAGAACATCTCCAGTCTGCGAATCAGCACAAAACTGCTTGTCCCAATCGGTTTGAATGGGGGCATAATTTCCGTCCGGGTCACAGTTGGGCATGTCGCTGATAATCATGACAGTGTTGTTAATTGCGGCTTCCGCAATTTCAATTTCCGCCTCTGCCCTTGCCAGCTCGCATGGACGCATGTAATACAACGGCGTAACAGGGTCGTACACATGCAATGACGAGTTATCTTTAGCAAAAAATAGGATATTTTAGTAAAATTTTCCATGTTTTTTTTCAGTAGATAATCACAACAACTTACAACACTTTAGCCTCGTCATATTCTGAGGATGATGCGTTATGCTGGGATAACTTCTGCAGTAACAGGTCCTCACGACACACTGCAGCTCGTCATAATCTCCATTCGGCAAACAATGTGGCATCCTTCCTGAAAATCCGTAACTCTGAAGTCTCGCTACATCTCTGGCACATGCTAAATTAATTCAAAATGATAAATATTGTTGGGTAATAATATATGTAATAATTGCGCTAAATGGATTGCAAATATACCACAGTCTTGCTTCTCGTGGGGGAGAGCTTGCCCAAATATCCGTTCTCCCTCGGAATTACTGCAGTAACATCTACATTGATGAGCAAGAGAGAAATTATGGAGTTAAAAAATAGTGCAATTTTAACAATATAGAAGTTTTCGATATTTTTGCAATTATCTCATTACAGTGATCCAGGAATGCATTGGACTGGAGCGTATTTTCCCCCAGCGTCACATTCCGGTAGAAACTGGACCATTCCAAGAGTCCCAGCTTTATCCGCGTCCATGTACTGTTTACGTTTCGTCATACAAAAGTCGGGGTCCACGGTTGGCTTATCTCTTGGACCTACGGTGACTGAGAAGGCGAGAAAGCAGGAAATGTTTAATAGTTAATCTTTAACAAAAATGAAAGTTTATATTGAAAAATGTCTGATAGGATTCGTACTCAGTTGGCAGGTCGCAGGGTCCTCCGGCTTCGCAGCTTCTTCACATGTCAAGTAAGGACCACACATCTCAATCGGTTTCTGCTGACTGTTTAGCGAACAGGTATCATTTTCTTTCAAATAATCAAAGCAGTAGTCGCAACAATTGCAGATTGAAGGGTCTAGAAATGTTCTGAATCCGGTGGTGTTGCAAGTTCTCTTTTCGGGACAGGGTCTCGCTCTTAATTCTTCTTCGCAAATTGCATCCGAACAGTAAAACAGACCTGTCGTGTCTTGGGAGGTGGTAAACGGTGTGGAGAAAGTTAGGAGGACGAGGGAAATGGAGAAAATTGTGTAGGACACGAAAATTATTGAGATTACGGAAGACAAAATAATTTTCGATTTTCCACCCATTCTGAAGATTCTTATTTGTGTTTTGAATTCTAGAAAAACGATTGTGCGCACTTTGTTTGTAGTGAAATTGATTATTAATTAATTGGCAATGACGCGGTTCTCCTATAGTGAGCCACACATCATAATCACATAAATGTTGCATGACATCAGAGCTTATAAGCTTATCTGGAATCGATAAGATATCGATATTCGGAATGGAATGAAGGATTTGCGCAAATTGGGGTTTGAACCTGAGGCTAATAAGTAAGTGTGCTACCGCTACGCTGTCAGGCTAAAATTTTAAATGAAATATTAGCACGATAGGAGATAATGCGAAATGTGAATCAGAACAATAAAGGGGTTCTTTGCAATTATTTGTGCATATTTATGTGCAAAGTTAGAAAGCAAGTAAATTCAGTGCATTACTGTGCAGGGTTTGTTAAGATGTCAATGGGTATGTTATTTATTGCGAAGATCGTATCAATAACCTGATCCCGATCATTAATTGTCTGCGAAGGTCAACAATGCAAACATAGAGTGAGTGTCAATGGAAAAATACTCCTGCTCGTTATGAGCAAGTTGGTTTATGTTAATTCGAAATAATAATAACGACTTTTACAGTGTTGCAGTGGATGCGTCATGCATGTTCATAAAAAAGTATTTCTATAAAGTAGGATAACTTATGATTATTAAATATTTGGAGTGTTATGAGATTATAATTTTTATTCCTCTGGAGTCCAATCTTTCCCATCCTCCCCTGGAAATCCATCGTTTCCAGGAAATCCTATAATGAAAATTATATAATCTAATATTTGTCATCTTTTACAATATTTATGAGACAATAAACTGCAATACCTGACAATCCGGCAGATCCTTGCTCACCAGCATCACCTAAAATTCAGAATAAGTATTCTCACTTTGCTTGTTTATTTTGCATGTAAATTATTTGTGTACCACATTCTCCGTTTAAACCAGCGTCCCCACTTGGTCCAATTGCACCATCGGCACCTATTTACCAAAATTACATGACATAATCATATTACGAATCCAGGTAATTTTAAGAAACCTACAATGCAACTTTGCAAAGTCCTTGGGAGGTCTATTTTCGGTAATGTTTATAAACAATAAGTAGAAACAAATATAAAAATATTTCATGCCCTACTTTCATCCATGTTGAATAATACCCGTGTTATTAATATGTACAAAACCTCAACTCGGTGGAATAAATACGTAAGTTTAGAGACAGACCGACAGACACGTACATAAGCCCTGATTCAGACAAGACTGCAACTGCATCAACTTCTTACCATCTCTGCCAGGAGTACCAGCTTTGCCTAATAAAAAATATATGAATTTATGTAATCAAATCAATAAGCTCATAACATAAAATATTCAGTTAAGTATTAACCAGGGAATCCTACAAGGCCAGGTAATCCCGCAAGACCTTTGACTCCACGCTTTCCCTTTTTACCACGTGGGCCTAAAAAGTAAAATATTTAGCTCCATAATTAAAAAGCTCTACATACTTTAATACACACACCTGGAGGACATATCGATATTGATGAAGGGCTAAACATAAGCCTGAAACACTCATCTGGAAATTCTCGCAAGAAAACTTTCCGTTCCTCCAATGTTCCTGAAGCATTTTTGTACGTGGCTGTTCCCAGAGTCAACGTTTGAAGCTCTTTATAGCCACCAATATCTTGAATGAAGAGGGATTTAACCTTCTTGCTTGAAGAAGAGGGGTCCAAATCACCTCTGCAACCGATTCGGATATCTTCCGGTGTTTTCTTTACGTATTCAAAGTTGGCTAAATAGAGTCAAAATGTACAATGAAATGAAGACTTGATAACTATGTAAATATGGAAGAGACAAATTATTTACTGAGCATTACAAATTGTAAGGTCAGCTTCGTTCAGACTTTTAAGAAGTGGATTATCCAAAATTCCTAGCGTTGCACAGCTCACGACAAAATTATGATTAAAATTTAAAAGAATTAGAAAAGTGAAAGTACTAAAAAATATTAGTTGTCCAAATTTCGGAAAAATCATGACGAAATTATTAAAAGTTATAAATATATTACTGCATCGCCACTGAACTTGAAAGGTATAAAGGGTAATGCATAATAATAATAAGGGTGCATATTTAAGTAACTGTATAACAGGCAAGGGACTCCAAGTCCCGTTAGTACCTTACTTGACGGAATTTCTACTCTAGTCACGACGGCATCCATCCGCCCATCCATACATAACACACATCGTTAAAACACTTACCCTGTACCCTTTTAAATACATGTGTTACATGCGAATGTCGTCATCATTATCAATGCCAATAATAACACTGCAGCAGTTTTCGAGGGCAACGGACCTGCATGCATGCTGGAAAAAGGCCAAAATCAACGGTGGAATTCAATTTCATCACGTCATATCAAGGAGGAAGAAAGAGAGGAATTTAGTGGTTTTAGGGAAGAAGATCGGGAACAAGACATCGGAATTCGGTTGTGTAATAAGAGGAATGATCATGCAATATCCTTCCTGCAAGCCAACTTCCTCCACTTCTTCCATTCCCAGTGCTCTTTCCGGTCCATTACCTCTTATTATACTTTTTCAATGCGGTTCTTCCCTATGGTCTACAAATCCAATCTGCTCTGACTTTTCGTAAATAATATGTACCCCATTCCTCGTCTGCTACCTTTTTTCTGCACACAATATGAAACAACCCGTGATGTGGAGTACAAATACGTATGCATGCATGATCATCAAATTGTGCAAGACTTGAGTATTATCGATTACGAAAAGTGCATTCATGGTGAAAGTAGGGAGCGCTTTGCAATTTTCTGCAACATGGACATTAAACGAAGGTTGGAGTGAGAGAGAGATAAACTGTGCAGTTTTTTGCAAGCTAATAATCGTCTCCTCCTCACCACGCTAATAGTTTGCGTACCGCAAGTACAGATACTCCTCAATGCCAAACCGTCCTGTGCAAGGTTACTTATTACTCTGATCTGATGGATACATGCAAAAACTGAGAAGCTGTACGTACATATTAGCACGTTGTTGGTGGCCAAGAAGTGTCGATGACTTTCATCCCACGTTGACATTTCCTCCCCGACGACGACGAGAAGGAACGAACGATGATGCACAAAGACGATAATAATGCTTGTATGATGTCCAAATCCAAATTATGACTTTATACACTTGGATCATCAGAGTGCTTTAGTGTGTTCGTTTTATATTCATATTGTGCAAGAAGCCGGGGTCTAGAAAAATGTACTCGTTTTGTTACTTGCTGATGCATACATATTTCTGCTGCCAAACCGATTTTTATTATTGTCTTCTCCTCGTCGTCCATTGTCCTAATTGAAACTTCGTGTACGGCTAATAACGAGCGTGCATGAGTAATAATATCGAGCAGGACGGTTAACATAGGAAGAAGAAAAAGGAGCTTGACAAGAAACAAAACCTTAACCCTAGCCAATAAAGTTATTAAAGACCGAGGTTGCTGCATTCTGCATTGCATTACGTCATACCACGTGTGTGTCTATATGACACTGACACCATAAAACGAGACGGTGAAGTTGGTTCGGTTTTTGTTGGCGTCGTTTCTTCTTCCCAGCTCATCTCACTCATTTTGGTTATGATGGTGGTGTAGGGGATGCAATAAAATCATTTTCTTTATGCTATGTGCAATATGCTAAAATCCTAGCAAACGGTAAGTAAGAGAGAAATGAAACACCTTGAGCAAATGTTGGCTGGTTGGTGGTGGTGCAAGAGATTTGAATTGGATAATATAAGTTCACTGGCAGTTACATATGAAGATATTTGTGCAATGTGTACTTGCACATATTTTAAACAGCCAGCAAGAAATACCACACCGAATAATAAATGCGAATATGAAATGAAGCCGTAGTACTGGCACCACCACGGAACGTTAAAACTTATTCAAAGTAGCAAAATTGCCAATACATAACTGCACCCGTGGAACAACAACACCTTTTTGAGAGAGAGATGAAATGGGTCGAAAACATATTTGTTCATGAAAAATTATACCTTGGGAATATGTAAATTACGTATATATAAGATTTCCCCAATATGTAAATGGGCATCACCGTTTTTTTTATCGAATCAACATGTCGTGTCCATCAAAAAGAGAGAGATCAAAACAAAATAATGTGGACAATTATCGTTACACAATGCATAATTTGCGGATGATCTCGCAGATGTTTGCCAGACAGGGTTCAGACATTTGGGATCAGATCAAGTTTACGTAGAGGTCTAGAGGTTGGGGTTCACCTTTCACTGACTGAGCTGTGTAGCTCCTGTTGCGAATGTGCATACAAATGAGATGTGATTGAGAAAATGAAAGATGGTGGAGACGCAGCAGAATTGATCATTACAGTTTCTTTGCTTAACTAACTCCTCCAGGTGTAAGAAAAAACATAATGGCGAAAGAAGATCTACCTGTAAAATTCTTGTATGCAAGTGATCAGCCAAAAGTCGTGGAAAATAAGAATGCGAGACTCGATTTATATTTTTTTCTACTTTGAGGATAACAATGATTATTGGATTTTAAACAACTTTTATTATTGCACGAAATAGGAGAAAGAAGTCCCATTACAGAAAGTCAATTTAGAGCCCCGTCAAAATAAGTCATAAAAGTTTTGGGAAACTTGTGAAATGAGACGACAACGAATTTGAGCCTGCCTGCATGCTTTTGCAATAATGAGTTTCTGTCTACTTGTATGTACGCCCATTCAATTCCGAGTTTGAATCTTGCACTGTCAATTGTCAAGACATGGCTGGAAATCTAATTTCAAATTATTTTTGCAATCTGCAAATTATCTTTAAATTAATATTATTTGGATGACTACGTGCAAGCAGGTTGATTGGACCTGCATGCTGTTAAGTTGAAGAATATATGCATAATAATTTGCATAGCCTATACCTGCAACAGTAAGTAACGGAAAGGAGTAAAATATGCTATGTATATAAGTCTGCTAATAAAATTACTTGCCCGTCTGCATCTGACAGTTTCTTCTCCTAATATCCAATCCAAAGAGAAGGGTTACTTCTTCAGGATAAGTGGAAAAAATGAGGAATTAATTACAGTTTGTGTTTCACTTTCTGTTCCAAAAGTGAGATTTTTTCTCAACATAATTGCTTTAAAAACCATTAATTTATTGCTTAAAACATGAATTCTGGATTGGAATCTTCACCCTGGGCACGTTATGCACTTGTATTGTTATTATTATTATCATTAGTATTACCGGTTCCAATTTTTATTAGTACGCTGTAATACGATACCATGAAACATCAATCATTAAGTTGACTACGTCCCACGAAAAATAATTTGAGGTGGGTCCTCCACAAGTTTTAATGAGACTTTTGGACCAAGAAGAAGAAAGACCTCACTTGAGGCAAGTGGTGCATAATGAAAGAAAGAAAAGCTGAGCTGACTGGATATTAAATATTTAAATATGAAATGAAATATTATGCAACCTTTTCAATTCCATTTTGACGTGTATTCATTCACGACATTTTAAATAATTATAATTAACAGAAACAAATAAAAATGGGCGAGATAAATGACCTCCTCTTACATAAATTGAATGCAGTAGATTTGTAGCAATATTTCATAATTTCATGTCCACTTCAAATCTGGTAATAATGGGAGTAGTAGTTTCACTTGAATGGACTTGCTTCAAAAAATCTGTAACCTTACTTTTCTTGTTCTTTTCAAGTGCAATAATTTGAAACCTCAAAACCATTTTTGCACAAAGTGATAATTATAATGTGTACACAAGCATGTATGAATCCAGTTTTTTTGCAACATTGCGAATATTACCCTACTACTACTGTTGTATGCTACCAGATTTGTTGGCGAAAAGGGGCGTAAAACGTGTACTAGATGGCGTCACGGGGGACAGTTTGTCTGAATGATCAACTTCTTTATATAACTCTGATTCTACTTTTTAGCAAACCCTCATCTCTCGAACTGACTTTCTAGTTCTTGGTGATGCTGCTGTTGTGCGAACAGTGGTGGTGGTGTGGGTCTTACTTTACTTGGTGCAAAAAATAATAAATTGGGAATTGATAGTAAAACCAAGCTTTGTTTTATGCACACCAGCATCAGACTCAAGAAGATTCCCTTTCAAGGATTTAACTTTTGCTCCTCTCTGATGATACTGTAGTCTTGTTGTTCCTTTCTCCTGCTGCTGTTGAAAATTGCAAGAGTAAGTTCAACGCCAATTTGCAAATTGTACTTTGTCAAGGTTGTATTTCGATTTGGTTGTTTGTAAAAGTAAAATAAACTGGGTGAATTGAAACACAAAGGGTAGATTTTTTTTAGAAAGTGTGGGAAGGGTTGCATTTCTTGGTGGAAGTTTAAATTTGTAAATAAATATTTTTTCTTTTTTGCTTTCCATGAATTAAAAGTTGACAAAATTATTTGTTTGTTGCAGATTCGGTGGAAAGAAAGACAGTCTTCGCGACTTCGTGACCTTTTCTTCGTCTTGAGAGTTCCGCAGTTTTTGTTTTTGTTGTGTCTGGGATAAATTAATTTGCAACTGAAAATCGTCAATATCATGACACCCAGCAGAAAAATGACCTCGTCGAAGAAGAATTCTCCGACTTCTCGTGATCCTTGACATTGAGACTTGGTTTCTGGTCTGGTTGGTGGCCAGACCATCTGCCTTTCTTTGTTCCCGAGTGAAAATCTCTGAAGCAGCTGTCTGATCGAAGACTGTACAGATTTAAATGTTGTTTTAATTGTGGAGTTTTTAAAAACCACCGACTTGAATTTTAATTAATAATAATAATCAGTTAACATCGATTCAATTCCGTTCAACGTCCGTGGATTTGTTCACGACTAATTAATACATAATATCGAGACTGAACTGATTTTATGTTTTGGTGACAAAGAGAGTATAGTAATTTTAATTGAAGAATGACGTCAATCCTCCCATTCAATCATTCACCAGGTATGAGTTTTATTTTTATTCTTGAATTTTGTTAAATTGTATGGGGATTGAAATTTATTGTATATACAGTTGTGAAACGCCTACTGGGATGGAAGAAGGGAGAAGGGGAGGAGAAATGGAGTGAAAAAGCGGTCAAAAGTCTGGTCAAAAAACTGAAAAAGTCTGGAGGGTTGGAAGAATTGGAGAAAGCTATCAGCACCCAAAGTCCTGGGACGAAATGTATCACGATTGCAAGGTCAGTGAGCATTTTAAATTATTTTATTCAGCATTTTCATACCTATTGGTAAGTGAATCACATATTTAGAGCTGTTTACAAGTTAGCGAAATAATAATGAGATCATCAAAGAAAGCGTTATTATTATTACAATGTCTTTCTTCTGTTGCTCAGCTATGTAGAAGGGTTATCTCAAAAAAATACGTCTTCAGTTAGTCAACAACGCGCAACGGTGACCCAACCATATCATGTACTATGCATTAAGCACCCACCCATTACTCTGCTATTACTATAATTATTTTTCATTAGCGTGTCAGTAATTATTAAATAAGACGATTAAGATTAACTGCATTTATAGCTTAACCGGGAGTGATGCTATCAGCACTACTATATATAATATTACACACACACACACATACTACTGTTAGTACTTTGTTAACCATAACCATCACTTATTCACCACCATAACTATAACATGATGACTTGTTGTTTAGTGTCAAAGTCACATCATCTCCGATCCAACCGAGCTTTTACATGCAAGTAATGGGACTGGGAGCAGGTTGATAAATGCCAGAGACATGGAATCATGTATCATTTCATGATATACAAATTCTCATCCCACGAACATGAAATGAATTCGGCATTAATATGAGAACGAGATTATTTTAGTCCCAAGCATTTCCAAAAGCCTATAATCGTCTCATTTTAGGAGATCCCCTAATTTGACGAGATTTTTTAAAGAAACTAATAAGGCAAAGTTATAGAGTTATTCTTTATTGTAAAGTTTTAAACTACGGCTGCTGCTAAAAGATGGCTTATTAGCCAATTTATATAGTTATGAATGTTACTGTTCATCTCATCCAGCCGCCGGAGAGTAACTAGCAACTAAGTTAACAATTAACGGGTCGTTCAACCTTACAAGTTGCGTCACGTAATAAACGCAACTATAAAGTGTAAGTAAAGTGTTGATTAAATTTGGAGTGGTGTATGCATTGCATGGCTGGAGGATGATCTACACAGTTACACACAGAGAATTAGGCAGCAATGCACGTGCTTTGAGCTAAAAAATGAACAATTATGGATTTTATTGCGAAACTGAAAAGCATACGAAACTTTAATGGTACTGGTCACTCGTCTTGTTTAAAGATATAATTCGCAATTTTATATTTTCTCCTGGCTGGAGTTATTATGGGCGTTCATATTTTGTTTTTCGTGGAGGCTAACCTTTTCCAACATTGAACAAGTAAACGGAATAAATGATGCATAATGTTTTTACATTTTTTCCAATTATGGTGAACATGACCTGACGAGCGAACTGGCAGAGTTAATTTGATTTGGTTTCAAATTTTAAAGGGTAAAGATAAATTAAACGGTTATGATTTTGTTTTCTTCTAACTCCAAGTAAATAATCGATTTCGAGCCCCTCCTCCTCTCCCCTCCCAACGACGATCTGATAACAAAACTGACCCAGGGAATGTAAAATGAATATAATGCGCATTTTAAAATCGAGGCTAAAAATGATGTCGAGTTGCTATTCGCATTGGCATTTAGGTTAAAGGGGTTGAAAAGGAAAATGAAATATGAGACTGTTGTGTTTGGAAATTTTAGTATGTTGAAATTCGAAACCCGGATTTTGTGCGTTGTTTGTACTACCTAAAACCAAGTTATCCAATAACTTGGTTTGGTTCTGTTCTTGCGATATGGAATGTTTTATTGTTTGTTGCAATTTTTATATTTTTGCATCATTCATACTTCATACATACACACCAGACTTATTAATTTATTCAATGACTCGAAAGAAAATAAAGTTCATTTAAAAATAATTTTCCATACAATTGCTCTAATGTCAAAGGTAAAAACTTTCGGGTACGAATCTAAAAGTGTGAGAAAATGTGCAAATGTATGGAGTCGTCCTTGTCGAGCTTTAATAACATCCCTTTTTCTTAGTGAGGCAAATACCTAATAACGAAAAAAATTTACTAAGTATGCATTTACCCCATCCAAAAAAAGTGAAATAATTCTATTTCTCGACCATTTCTGAACCGATTTCGGTGAAAATTGGGGCCAGATCATTGTTACGGAATTTAGAAACGATGTGCAAGTCGACTTAGCGAATTTTTGATTTTTACCCGAGTTATGCCCCAAAATGTGCAAAAATTTTCACTCGTAGGCACGTTTCTATCCATTATTCCATTTTGGAACATCACACAATCCTAAGCAATTGCAAAAAGGTTACATCAACTCGTTCTGAACATTTTAAGACCAAGTTGACCGAAATCGGTTAAAAAATGAGGACGATATTCAATTTTGAAAACTAAAAATCTATTCAAATTATTCTGATGTAAATGTAATGGCGGTGGTGTAGTGCAATAATGTCGTTGACAACCAATTACAAGTTTTAAATAAACAAGGTCCCAAAAAATGGAAAATCTTAGTGAGGCAGTGCAATCACAACCAAAAATTAGATTGCAGAATTTTTGCATCACCGCTCTATTTTTGCTGGAATTTTCTTTGCATCCGCATGAATTCTTAAATGTTAATTTGAGAATTCAGGGCATTTTCATAATACACATGACGTACATAGACATATTTAGTGGACGAGAAGTGTGCTAAATTAACTGAGATCAAATATAATGGATTAACAATTTTGACCTACAAAATTGCAAATCTATTATTTCATATATTTGTATATTCTGTATTTCTAAAATCACCTTTGAGGGGGCCAAGTATTCTAATCGTAAGTGATTAATGCTTCCAGTGTAAAATGGTACCGAGAGCGGTGATGCAAAAATTCTCCAATCTAATTTTAGTTGTGATTGCACTGCCTCACTAAGATTTCCCATTTTTTGGGACCTTGTTTATAAAAAATGCAATCCAAAACGACACTCATCAGCTTTCCCCGTTGCGTTTCTTGAACAGTGCCAACTCCTCCAGGAAAGACAGAGACAAAGTCATAAACTGTCTGTTGAAAAATAAAATTGCTATTAAATGAAATGAAGTGGAAGTTATGATTATGCCATGTTTTTTTTTCCTTTTCTTTGCTATACACATGTCCATCTACATAGACTCTCCGGATAAACAATTCCTTCTAAACTACTAGTGTACGAACGACGACTACCACTTAAGTTTCTCATTCATTCATGACTTTGTCAATATTTTATGAGTTGGAGTCAGTCACACAGGGTTTTTTGCCAGTGGGAAAAGTTCAAGCTTGTGTACTTGCCATAGTAAAAGGTCTACATCACATGCATTTGTCCTTGACGAAGATATGTATGAGTAGTAGCATTCAATATTTAAAAACAGGATATTATGTTGGAATGTGCAGCATTATTTAAAGTGAGGAGCATGAGATTATATTTAAATTCTACATTGGGAGGGATATTATTTGGTGCAGTTTTTGAGGTTAAATTTCATTTCATTTGCATATTGCTTCCTCCTCGGGCAAGATTTTATGTCTTTTTGTGTTACTGTCCTGTTGTGTTCTTCTCGTCTCGCACTCATACATTACGTACCACTTTATAATAACTCTTGGCTTGTTTTAAGTAGTTTTGTCAGTTTCATGGCAAGTTTGTGAGGGTGGTGTTGTGTTTGTTGGTAAAAGCACGTTTTAACAGGCCAGCTGGTCTCATTCTGCGTAGAAGAAGAATTAAAAAGTTGCACTTAAACTTGATGAATTCATTAAAAGAACAATCACAACGTTGAACTGAAATGAGGAGGTGAAGTTGGTGGCTGTGTATCATATCATTTCAGCTCGTTTACTTATACATACATATGTACCACCTGGGAGTGAGAGGAGCAAGGTAGACGAGGTGGCGTCAAAATAGTTTGCGAATTACTTTGTATTTTCCTTGTTTTTGCTACTCAGCTTCCTGTCTTATCATTAAACTGCGCGGTTGGCTACTTCTGATTTCAAACCCTTATTACGTACTCGGGTCGAGATGGAAAGAAAGATGGCATAATAATAATAAGCTGTGCGAATTTCTTAATTATTTATGTAAGACAGACAACAACATAATTAGCAACTTCTGTGGTACTTGTTATTGACAAGGTAGGGATATTATACGTACATATAATCATTCACAAAATATAGGAGGAATGAATGATATTTTATTTGAAAATATTTTGCAAATCATACCAGAACAAACAGTGATTGCAATTTACGAGGAGTCTGGTCTGGCTTATGAAACTTATGGAAATTGCAAATTACGAGCTAGCAAGTTGGTTCATTATTTATTTATTAACTAGTTGTGTAAATGTCCAGCAGTTTAAAGCATATTTCTAATAATCGTATCTTTCCATTGTACAGCAACTTTGAGTTACACTAACAAAGTTTAGAAATTGAAATTAGATGTCTAAAAACTTGTACAATGATGCAAAAGTTCCTGTTCTTGAAAGTCTCAAAATTTTGCACAGATGTTTCACAATATTGCAAAATCTGAGCGGAGATGATGACGAGACTTGTTTAATTCAATTAAATTCTTGAAAACTTTGCTTACATGTATAAATTTTAATTCGATTAATATTCCAAATGTCAAAAAGCAGTGCTAATTCTCGCCAGTCATACATAAAGCGAAATAAATTGCAAATAAAAATACCTTTCTCAAAGTTTTCATTTTTATATGCAAAAAGTAGCTGTCTAAAAGGTTGTGAGAATCAAAGTTCTGCTTATTAGTTATTACACTAAAATTAATTTTGTCTGGTGCACGAGATGGCGGAGAAAGTACTTTGTAATCAAACGGAATATAAAACAGTATGGATTTGTCAAGTTCTTGAGTGATGTTTTGACATTTGATACTCACCGCTTGTACCTATAATTACATATTTATTTATGTATCACGAGACGACAAACTCAACCTTGTTTTGCATTTTTGGAAGCAAAGGAATAGAGACATCATTATTAGTTCATTGGTTTCCAAACCACATATGTAACCAGCATTCCGACGTTCATTTAATTATGACCCAAGTCGTCCACTGGTGTGTGCGAAATTGATTGACAGCGGGCCAATTACGGTCATCTGACGATGAATAATGGAGCATTGTTATTGTGGCTTGGACACTCGGGCGATGACAATGATCCAATATGCATGATGGCATGTGCGTATGTACACAACTTTGTTGGTATTTATAACAATAACCCCGTGTGTACTTGTATGTCGACAACTAGACCATAGTTAAGGAGTAGTTTATACAAATTTAATTTACGGCGTAGTCTCAACAGGTAATACTACCGAAAATGGCGGTGGATATACGCCCATAAAACTGTTATTATAAAACAAACCATTAAACTTTCTCCAATCAAAATTGTTGTTATTCTCAGTCGTCAATTCGTCATATTGAGAATATAGATATGTAGTTACGTAATGGAGAAAGCTGGATATTATGTATCTACAAACCTGAGTTTATAGGCGTACTTTCTCTGTAAGCAAGTCAAATTGACGTAATGGGTATCAGTCACCAGTGAGGAGTAAGTAAAGTAAAGTTGCAGAATTTGATCAATATGTGCCATTCCTTATTCCTATTTTCTATACACTCTTCCTTTCCCCATCCATCCGGAGGAGCGAGAAAGAGAGAGAGCAATGCGTCAGCAATGTCAGCACCAATTGTGTTACGTGGATGGATGGGGAAAGGTTGTTGTTCAGAAAATCCAGTAGAATTTAAACCTTTCATGGATTTAAAGTTATTGCTGCGGAGGTGGATGGGTTGCGAAAAGCCGAGAGTAAAGGTTTGAATGATCAAATAACAAACTATGTCAACCATCCAGTCAACTTCACCTCGTATCATGCAAATAAATGTCCACGCGTCATATTTTGTTTTATGTACATGACTTGTTGATCTGTCATTGTGTTGTTTGAAGGAAGGACCAAGAATTTGATATGATGATGGCATGTTGCTGCCGCGGTGTTTGTGAACTGTTGAGAGTTAGTCTGATATGTGAGGTTACTGGACTTTTGGATGTTTTAGCTTATCGTCTCGCGCATTTTATTCAGTTGGATGGATGGAATGGAGGAGAGACAAACTTGATGAACAACTCTTACAGCTATGTACATATGCATGCACTTACTTGTGTATTATTGCACACCTGCCCACATACAGTTTTGCACAGAAGAGATAATAACTGCACTTTGGTGGGCTAATCCTGTTGGCTGCATGTCGAAGGACATGAATTAATGTCAGTTAGGATTTTCGTCTGATGGGGAAAGAGCAGACAGAGAGATGATAATTTCCGAAAGCCTCCTGTTTTAGAAATAAAATCTGAAAATGACAAGACCGATCGAAACACACACTCATTTCATAATGCTTAATAATAAAGCTGGTTTTATGCATTACACGTACATACATACTTGGTTCACTTTGTTGTGTGCATTCCATTCGTGTGGTTATTCGAAGGTATGTGCTTTCTCTTCTGGTTGGGGATTAATCTCCCCAGGCAGCCGAGACCTTCCGCAGCAGTAGCTACGCAAACTAATCGAAACGCTTGTTGGTAGAAGGACATGAGCGGATGAAATGAAATTCAAGGCCGGTTTGCTTACATATACCGTCTGCAAAGTAAAATTGAATTGAGATGTGATTTTTTTGTGTGATGTGGGATTAAATTTTATTCCCAACACTGCCTCGCTCGCTGGACTGGACATGGCAGATGTTGGATCTCGAGCTTATGGCAGCGTATGTATTGCTCGCAATCTCGATGATGATGATTGTTCTGTTACATACGATTCAGTTTTCACTTTGAAAGTGGAGCAGCAAGAGAGTCGAAGCTGGTTGGGTTTCCTTCCATCATAAATCCGATCAATCTTAGATATGTATCAGATTCGACAATTTCTTGGAATAAAATAACAAACAGTATTGACAGGGGATGAAAACATGAAGAATTACGTCTGTAAAATGTTCAATCACGAGGAGATTAAGCGAATAAAAAAAAGTTTGGACAAATGATGTTGTTGCCAAAGTATGTCTATAGAATTTTATGTAGGTAGTTATCCAATAGTCCGCAAATTGTAAGGTTATGTATGTACGTTCTAATACATAATTCGAATGATTTTGCTAGGAAAACATGCCAATTTGAGTCAGTCAATATTACATGAACAAGTCTCGTTATTTTCTTACTTTGAAGTAGACTCGAATGATTCTCATTATAACTTTATGGAAGAAAGTTGATACGTACATACAATTAGAGTTATACATAGATGAAGATGATACTGATCCTTTTATTCTGCTGATTGATAAGGATTCCTTTTACTTATTTGCTTTCTTTGGGGAAATACAAATTAGTAATCTCACTGAAGCTCAATTGAATAATGTGCTCCGCTTGGAAATCTTAAGTTGGACTCGTTTTCACTTCTTCAGGTCCATATTTCGTTTCATAGATTGGCATAATAGTCATCATCATGCATAATCATGATCATGTCATGATTCCCATCGTTGTCAACTGTCATCTCGGCGTCTCTTTGATTTATTTCCCAATTCGTACCTTATTATTAGGATGATGATCAAAGGAATGTAATTAGGAAGCAACTAAATTGTCTCCACTCTCTACGCCCACTTCCAATTTATAATTATGTCTACATGTCTATTATGTATTTACATGAGTACATATTCACTCCTCCAGTTGACGGGACAATTTTGTTTGAAAAGGAGACCAGTTCAAGTATGCAAAGTAAAGCACGAAACCTCCTCCTCCTCGTAAGTAAGTAAGTGACGGAGTGAGTGAGTAAATGGGATCGATCTGTTGATCGTAAATAAGAAGCGAAAACAACATCCTCCGCTCTTTTCTTCCTTCCTTCTTCTCCACATTATGCATATGTCTGGATTTGTTGGGTGGTTTGTTGGTGTGGCTGTATCGGAGAGATGTGGAAACACAACTTGACATGTCACGACGGGAATTGTTGGAGTGTGTGAAACTAACGGCGTCCAAAACCCTACTCGTTCATTTAAAAGGAATGAGAAAAAGTTGAGATGAAAGATTAAAGTGAAAGCGTCCTCAGTCTCGAGGACGCTGTGAATTTAGTACTTTAAAGCACAACTTGGAATACGAAATGTATTAAAAATCTCATACACACACATGCATGTCTAAAAAACATGTTGTGTAATCCTTTACATATTTCTACTCATGATGGTTCCGGTTTTTGTCGCTGTCTCGCAAAATATGGTCAGCAATTCCACAACCCGCTCTCTCTCTCTTATTAGTTGTGTATATTTCCTTCTTCTTCAATCTGCTACTTGCCGCATCTTCAGCAAAATATCTTCTTGATAAAATGGAAGAAAATGTAAAAAAAATGTCCCATCGCCATCAGTTTGTTGTTTTCTTGGTAGTCTGGCGCATGAAGGGATTGCGTTACCTCTTGTTACAACACCAGTGAGTATTACGATTCATTTCAATGCTAGTTTATTTCTCAGAAGAAGAAGAAGAAGAAGAGTTTTTATGCTCTAACTCCTTGGTTTGTTTGTCTAAAAATAACAAAAGCAAGAGAATGATTATGAGTTGAATGTAACAAAAAAAGTTGGTTCGTTTCATGCTATTTATGAGAATCCTATAGAGTCTGCAGTGCGAATTTAAGTACTGTATTGGGTGAATTTGGGTGTACTCCTCTCTGTTTTGCCTTGTTTTATCAAAACACTAAACAAACGAAGAGGAGGTTCTATATGCTTTGAAATGGATCGACGGTTCCTAGATTTTAGACGGTTTCTGTAACGCCTATGGATGGAGGCGCTAAAAATACTTGGTTTTCATATTTAGAAAATAATTGGCGTTTATTGAAAGGTGAAGGAGAAGCCTTCCACATGAGCGGTTAGTTGACGACGTATGTCTCGTTTTCTCTCTGACGAATACGAGTTAATTTCGTCAATTGATTAAAAAATCAATTTAAACGTGTGATTTTCGCGAACATTAAAGGCTGACTTGCTACCCAAATGATGCTATCTGTGTATGCAGAGGAGAAATTGAGACATGATGCAGACGGTAATAATGCTTTCCCCTCAAAAAGATATACGTGCACACGTATTGGGCATGGAAAACGGAGTCTGCAGTTTTGTATTTGGACGCGATTTACAAAGCTGTAAATCAGCGCTTAATGACTATTCGTTACTGTATTTGGCAGAAATATGGAGGCTGCGAAAAAAATAGATGAGAAAGCAGAGGAGAACTCTCGTAATAATACGACTCATTCCATCAGCGTGGTACTTACATTTTGCAAATATGCATGTATAAATATGCAAGTTTAGCGATACGGTTCATTGGCTGCTCATAAAATAAGCAGATCTTGCTGAAGTGTATAATATACATGAGTACACGTCGTTTCCATCATCTTGGAGAAAGTTGGTTAAACAATTGGTTGAGTTGAAGTTTGACGCTGTGGAAATTTATGTGGTGGTAAAGAATCATCAGTGTCAATCAGCAGCAAACTTGAGAGTGGACCATTGTTTTATTTTGATTGACAAAGTTTTGATCTCCTCAAAGCAGCAGCAGCCGTGCTCATCCACTTATTCTCAGTTGGTTAGTTAGTGATGTATGCACTAGTACCTTCCGGTGAAAGCAGACACACGTTCTTATTCTTGAGTTGAATGTAATCACTTGTTATGTTTTCCTCTTTAATTTTCTAAGGATTTGGAGGACAACCTTTAACCTTTGGATATGAATGTCTCTCCAACCTTGAGACGACGAGAAACCAATTAGATGTAATTTCTTTGGATGTCCTTCGCCAACGTTATACTTACTTTTGTTTGCTCGGAACCTTTCTCAATAACCTTCCTCATAAAAATAAATTATTAAGGGGAATTAGTTGGGGAACAACATAGCATAAAATATAAAACTATTGCCAAATCGGATATATTTTCTCATAGATATATGCATAGACCGGTCAAAGGAGGTGATGCAAACTAGTTTTAGTAAAAGTTTGGTCCTGCTAGTGCTGGATGCCAATTAAAAGTTTGATTTGATTTTGATTGCTCATTTTTTCTGTAATTTTTTTCCCTTACAGATCTCTCGACGGTCGACTTCAAGTGTCACATCGAAAAGGCCTCCCACACGTAGTAAACAACTTTTAAAATTTACTGTCTAATGATTGATCAAAAAAAAATGATAACTTCAAGAAATATTCTGTCATTTCTTCCTCTTCACCGGTGAGTTGGTGGCGTTTGAGAGGGGAACACGGTTCGCATTCCTCTTTTCAGAATTTGCACGCAGCAACAAAGCTCGTTCTCGTTTCATCGCCACCAACTAATTATTCAAATTCATTACAGTACAACGAATACAATACAAATTACTAATTTTAGAGTTGAAAAGAAGGATAGTTGACTTACCATTTGTTTTGTCTCATTGTGAGCTTTTTTCTCATCCTCCAACTGAGACCGCAATTTGTTCTTCTCCTTCATGTCATCCTCCTTCTCTTTGAGCAACTTTTCTTCACGAAGCGAGGCCTGATGCAGGTCTTCCTCCAAGTTGCAAATTTTGGAAGTCCCTTCTTCAATCTTTGCCCTGAGAATCGGGTCGCCCAGTGGTCGATCGCCTTCTTCTACTTCGTCTATAAAGACTAGTTCACGGTCCCCAACAACCAACGAGTTCTTCAACTTTTCCACTGCTTCGATGATGATGACGAGTTGATCTTCTTCAAAATACGTGAGAGCTTCTGGGGGCATCAACGTGTCCACGCACACTTTTTGAAGAATGTTGCGAACTAACCACTTCCCGTTCGAACTGGACAAAGTTCCTTGAAAAGGGTGGATGGGGACGACTCTTGTTTCTTCACAAATAACCTCAAATCCTTCTGGGAGGAGGACCCTCGACGAGCAAGCCTTCTTCAGCATGGTGGTGTTGTTACGCCCGGCACTCTTCATGTCAGCCTTGTTTTTCTGGGCGGCAAGAACCCCGTTTCCATAAGTAGTTTTACTTACACTCAGACCGATCGTGTTGTCCTTCATCCAAACTTTGAGTATTAAATTGTGTAAACCGCCATTACTCTCTGCAAACACCAATAAAAACGAGTTAAATATATATGGAAAATATAAATATATGTTAAATATATATTTTACAAAGTTTGTGTACCATAATGATCTTCAGGTTGAAATGCTCTCGGAACAATTTTGCAACCATCACCGTCTGCGTAAACGTGTGTGGGAATGGCGACATGTCCTCTCCTTGTATGATTTTGCACCGACAGCTGATTACTCGCCACGAATCTGCAAGTTCTGCACGTCGCCACCAAGTCACCACCAGTAGTCTGTATTTCGAAATTTTCGTACGAGTTTTTCGGCCTAATCGTTGTTTCTACATAACACAAAAATATAGATAACGATTATTGTAGTAATTTATAAATTAGAAACATATTAGCTAATCATTACTTTCAATCAGGCTGGATCCGGAATGTTTTAGCCTCATGTGCTGAAGGACATTAGAATTTCTAAAGTTATTGAAAGAATGGTTATGTTAATCAAACAGTCAATAATACGAAATTACATGAATAATGAGAGACAAACCTTTTAAACTTTACCCCACAAACTACACACGCAAACTTTCTCTCATCGGAGTGGGTCAACTGATGACTTTTCAGATTACACTCTGTGACAAAGGTTTTCCTGCATTTGTCACAAACGAATTCTTTCTTATTCAAGTGTCTTTTTCGATGAATTTCAAGTGCATATGGCGACACAAAACGTTCGTCGCACATGTCGCACTCGTACTTATTTTTTATTTTGGCCACTTCGAAAGCTTCAGCTCCTTTCACTCTTTTTCGCAGCTTGTTGAAAATGGGTGCCATGTCCAACTTTTAAGTATTACTAATTGTACTAATTTATTCACGTTCAGAGTGGTAGTAGAATTAATTCACAGCGGAGGTAGTGAGTGAGTGTGTGAGATCAATGATCAGTGAGCTCCAAAGCCTACAAACGAGCATCTCATATCATGGGGCACAATAGCGACGACTGAGAGCCGCCATACTTCCAACTTTCCCACACGGACCGTTGTCAGCTAACAAGTTATATTAATAATTTAATAATTTGCAGATTTACTGTCGGCTCTGGCGGTGGCCAGGTATTCACATTTGACTTTGTTAATATCTTTTTTATCATATCAAAATATTTGCATAGTATGAAAAATAAAATAAGCAATAATTATAATGTAATAATCCTTTGCAGATTTGCAATCTCATCACGAATTGAAATCGATTGAGACGTGTGTCTACGGTCAGTATTTTTATTATCTTACAGTTTAATTTGTGGAGCATTAAAATTAATAATTAATTAAATGCTTAGCTTTCCATGCGAAATTGGAGGACGTGTGTATCAATCCATACCATTACCAGAAAGTGGAGAACCCAGTCCTTCCCCCCATCATGGTCCCTAGAGGATCAGGTTCTCTGGGATCAGGACTGAGCACGTCATCCACCACTCTAACCAGCATCGGGTCCATCAGCAGTGTATCTGTAAGTAATCCTCCTTGATCCATTTTCCTTTGTTGGTGATGAGCTAGTATAGATTCAGTCGATTGGGGGTATCATGAGTAAACAAAGTAAAGAAATCCTTGAATCAACGTGATCTCACTCTGCCCACGTGGACAAGGTTGTTCCATATGCATTAGGCACTTATCGACCATGAAATCCTGATAATTTTGTTTGCAATACGTGCATGTGCATTCTCATTCTCGCGATGGATGGATGGACAGGACTTGTCAAACTGTGTGTATTTATAAACGTGTACATTTACCGTTTGTACAACACTTAACCTTTAAAATATATGTAGTAACAGGTGTATGTAGCTGTTTTTGTTTAAAAATGCAAGCCATTAGAAAATCTGCTGGTGACTGAAAGCCCCCATTTGTTTTTTGAATCTTCCCCTACAGCCACTAACGACGACGACAACGACTAACGCTAACTCAACCTCCTCCTCCAATTCCAACAACATAATTTCCTCCAATTCAAACCTCATATTTATAGCGAATGCAAACTCCTCCTCCAGCAGTTCATCAACTTGTGCTACTAAAACTTCAACCAACTCGAACTCAACCCCAGCAGCAACAATATCATCATCATCGACGACGACGACGACGACACCATCACCGACTACCCCGACGACAACGACGGTAAATGCTAATATTCGAACTGCTACGAATGCCAATTTGATGATGATGGCGATGACGAATAAAAACTGTCCGCTTAATGTCGAGCTGCTACCTGAGCCTGCGGACGAGTCTTCTTCTTCTCTTGTGCTTTCTCTTTCCTCTCTCTCCAATAACTCTCATTCTGACTTTCACCCTGACACTGTGACTACCAACAACTACTGCACTAGTACTTCCACTACCACTTCTGCTACTAACTTGGGCACTATTTACTCTTTCTCCACTTCTACGACTACTACTGATAATAACCCCACTTTCTCTTCTTCCACCTCTACAACTGCTGCGACTTTCGGTCTCGATAAATTACAACCTTTCCTTCTTTCTGCTCTGGGAAATCGGAACCATCAGGAAGAACCTCTCCCTGAAATACTGGACAATAGCAATATTATTAGTGGCCAGCAGCACCCCCCTCGTAGCAGATTCATAATTATAAAGAATATAGTGAATTTTGAGAGTAATACCCCCGAGGGCCAGAAGAGGTGTCGGTACTTGGCACCTGTTGAGTTGCTAGGAGTAGATCAGAACCGAAATCAATCTGTGCTTGTTGTTGAACCGCGTATTGTTCCTCCTCCACAGCAGAATGGCCAGAGCCAAATTGTCGGTGGTGGGAGTGGAGGAGCTCTGATAAATATCTCAAACAACAGTCCTATCCTCTCAATCAATAATAATAATCACCTCCACCGAAGTCCCAGCAGTGCGAGTGCTGCCTCAAGTCCCGCATCCATCTCCTCGGTAGCTTCCCCCACAAATATTACGTCAAATGGTCACGCGAACGGTATCGTGGAAGAGTTTCCGTCTCTGGAAGAACTTGGGAACACAATCACGGACAATTCGAGCTTCCCTACCAATTTTGACTTGAATGGGTTTCCTCCTGTAAGTAAATTGTTGATCTAAATAATGCGTAATAAGTTGATCGATGACATAATTTCAAAACCCTTATTTTCTCCGTCATCAGGTCACTGAAACGCCACCGCCTGGATACTCATCAGGTAAATCTCAAAATTTCATTACAATCTGAAACATTTAACGGCTATACACAAATTATGTAATGCGTTATTTCTTGTGCATAATGCCTCATGTGCTGACCGATGCGTTTTTCTATTACTTTCAGCAATGTCAGAAGAAGGGGACACTCAGGATCAAGGAGATTTGATGGGTATTTTTCTTATTTAGTTGACTTTTATAAATATATACATAATTTTAAGTTTTATGATGCAAGAAAGAGCTTTTTGTCGTTTATTTTTGGAGTTTTAAGTTCGTTGTAAAATTGTGGTGAGGAAAACCTCAATATTTTCGTAGAATGAATAGGAAACAAAATCATAGTATTCAGAACTAATCTAAATACAAACATATACGTTTCGTTTGTTTCTTGTACATATAACACGTTATGTTAATTGTTATTGGGTGCCAGACAAACCCTACATTCATACGTTCTACCAACTCTTTACTAATGAGTACTTAATTATTGCCCAACAGGACTATCGCGATTCACTCCAAGCCCTTCAATGGATGCCCAACCAGGTACGGCTTAAATTATGCATATCATTATACTCATACGTACTAGCGGGGTTTAAATGAAGATCAAGTAAAATAATTTTGTATTTCTATGTTTTTTTGATTACTAGTGATGTATTGCGAACCTGCATGTAAGTAAAAGATTAATTAGCTCTTTGTTCCTTTGTGTGCTTTCTCTTTAATCCAAAACGAGAAAGAAACTACTTAACAATATATATATTTCAGTTTGGTGCTCTATCTGCTATTACGAACTAGGTAAGCACTTTGAGTGAACTCAGTAAAAACAATATATATACAAGGGTTATGGTTTAAATTAATAATTACATTAAATTTGTGCCATTAGGAACAAGAGTTGGCGAAACTTTTCATGCGTCCCAGCCATCAATCGTAGTTGATGGATTTACTGGTAAGATTTTTGTGAAGTATTTATATATAAACTTATAATATGACTCAGGACTCCTCAATGTGGAGTCAGATTTCCATGCAGAACTTTCTCCAAATTCAATCTCAATACTTTTGAGCAACACCCACCACATCAAAATGTCACGTCCGAGGGACTCGAATTGACTTGACTTGATTTTCGTTTTGATTTGGACTGAAATTGGCCGTGAAATAACATAAATGTTTAGTAGTATGCTTTTCCTTTTTTTGCGGGGAGTGGCAGACTAAAAGATTTTACGATAATTTTATGGCGGCCATTGTAGTGCCATGTTTTTCTCTTAGTTTGATGTGGTTGTACTACAAATGTGGGATAAAAACTGGAGTAGGAATGAATAGTTATATGACATTGCATTTAATATTTACTGCTTTTATGTTGCTCCTATTTTAGATCCCAGCAACTCGGAGAGGTTCTGTTTGGGTCTGCTCTCCAATGTAAACCGGAACGTTGTTGTTGAGCAAACTCGGAGGCACATTGGGAAGGGAGTGAGACTTTACTACATTGGAGGAGAAGTCTTTGCAGAATGTTTAAGTGATTCTGCCATTTTCGTGCAATCTCCCAACTGCAACCAGCGATACGGATGGCATCCTGCTACCGTATGCAAAATTCCCCCTGGTACTTGCTAAAACAAACGTCAAAACGAAACACGCCACTCATTACTGGAGTAGTGTGGATAATGCGGAGTTGTTTATATAATGTGACTTTTGTTCTTTTCATTATAGGATGTAATTTGAAGATTTTTAACAATCAAGAATTTGCTGCCCTTTTATCCCAATCGGTATCTCAGGGATTTGAAGCTGTGTTTCAGCTCACGAGGATGTGTACCATTAGAATGTCATTTGTAAAGGGTTGGGGTGCAGAATATAGGTAACAGCAAGAAACTACTTCATCTTAAATTCATGTGTGGCACCTGCAAATGACACTCGTTGTAATGGATATTTGATTTTGTAGGCGACAAACTGTGACGTCAACCCCTTGTTGGATTGAACTTCATTTGAATGGACCACTGCAATGGTTGGATCGAGTCTTGACTCAGATGGGATCACCCCGACTCCCTTGCAGCAGCATGTCATAAGAAGCAGTAGTAAAAGGTCCCTTTCCCACGTAAACCAAATTCTTGACTTTTCTCGGTTACAATCTCTACGTCTTCACTCACCATCGTCATCGTTATACCAAAATGGGACATACAACTTGCAAGAATTATATGAATCAAACAATTATTTATCCAACTTGACACAAACTAAAACCTCAGTTCTACAAATGTGTACAAAGCCACATGGATGACAAAAAAACCAAACTAACTGAAATTGTTGAAAAAGTACAGTGAAAGGCAAAATCATCACAACGTACCAAAATTAACTCAGTGCGCATTGCGTCAACATAAATTAGTACTAATTATATTATGATAAACATCCCAGTGTTTTAAAAAAGGCTTTAGTTTTAACGTTGACAAATATTTAAGTATTTTAACCAGTCTCTGAGAATCATTATTATGAACACATTTCTCTTTCAAAGTATTCTGATTGGCATCACTTTTAAATGAGCATGTACTTTTGTCCATGAGTTCTGCTTAAAACTTATCGATAGAAAGAGATGATTTTTAGCCATTTGTAAATTGGGCAGTTCTTGAGTAATTTATGTACAATGGTGTTTCACCATTTGTCTCATCAGTCTCTGTTCTCTATTTTATAAGTTGTACAATTATTATGTCAAGTTCATATGAAACTAATTAGAGGAGTGCACATAAAATTAATGTTGTTAAATATTTTGAAACTCTGCTAGTTTTTGGAATTACCATTGTTTTGTGTCGAGTACATAAGCACACTTTGTAAGAACGAATCGTTTGAGCCAAACTATATATTACTACCACAGTTACTAAATGGATTGAATCCCTGCATCACACATACTCGTTAATTATATTGTTTGACAGAAGAAGAGGAAAGAAAATAGGAACAAGAAATGAAAGAAGAAAGTCATGATGATATACTTTAAATTAAGTTACTCATATTAATTGTTATACGGAATATTATTAAGATATATTGAGCATTGAGTGGGTTACATAGTCGTGTCCTCCTAACGTTGTGATTGGTATCGTAGAATTACAACAATCATTTATAGTCCCTATAGAATTTTCACATGGATGCAAAAATTCTCTTGACGTGTTGATCGCATGTTGTGCCATGCAGTTTGGAATAGTTTGGATGGTTGGAGGGGAGACTTATTTCAGACTATAGCGGAATGAATATTATGGGAACGGAAAAGAAATAAGGCGATTAACGAAGTCATTGTAAATAGAAAAATTATCAAAAATCGTGTTTTGATATCTTGATTAATTTGCTCCAACTTTTCATCCATAGATTTCATTTACTCCAGCTGCCAATTTTGTTAATCATTCACTATACAATATATATATTACTATTATAATGATACTTTTTTTCTAACAGCTATTATTGTACATATTACGCAGGTTTCTATATAATTGAGTAATGAATTCTACTATTTAATGGTATGTAATTATATACAAGATGGAACGCCGTTGTTTTTAAATCCTGCTCGTTCATATCTAGAAGTCAGTTTATTGCTTTGTTACTGTAATTTTAGACTCTTATTTCAAAACATGTAAGTACATGTAGTTGTTGATAATCTTTTGTGTAACAGAAATTAACTGATGTTGTAAGACTTCTAGTATCTACCATGTACCTGTCGCCTATGATGAAACTTCACTACTGAGGAGAAAGAGAGAAAGCGTTGAGGTAATATTATTTAAGGGATGCATCATTGTCGCTAATTATAAACTAGTTACAAGAAACAAGTGAACTGCAACCGAGAGAGTGAGTGATTTGAATATAATCCACAGCTTTAATTCTTGATACAAAGAAATGTAAAACCTGTAGTAGTCGCCCATGTAGCGTAGACATTTAGATATAAATGTAAATCAACTCCTACTGAAAGAGAGACAAAGGAATGAAAGTTGTCTGAAACTATTACCTGCACTCTACCAACCTGATCTATTATTCTGAGCGGTGTGTATGTAATAAGAAGCATCCTACATAGTTTGAAAGTAAGGAAGCATTATCTTGCTAATAATTCTAAATCTAATTACAGTATTTAAAGATTAGTAAGTTCCACACATCACAATATACTAATTACGATTGCAATTGGATTGATATAAGGCGTTTAAGAAAGCAGTTAGCTAAACTAAAAAAATTGCATCTTTATTATGGAATATTTTGAGACTGTCACTCAAATAGTTACACCACACTCGATTTTGTTGATACATACTTTTGAATCAAGAAGAAGAAAAGATATAAAATTTAGCGTAGCCAAAAATTAGCAGTTTAATTTGTCTAACAAAACAGCACACACCTAAATATTTATTTCTCCAAAGCCTTGACGTTATTAGAATCACCTGCTTTCTCCTTAGGTTTCTCACGTCCTTTGTTGCACATTTACTTACACTTTACAAATTAATACCGAGCAACATTACGATTACAGAAGCAACGGAGTTCAAATAATCAAGTACAGTAAATTGAATTTTAATTAAAAAAGTATAAAAATAGTGCAAAAAGCTGCTGCATCAAATTATTAAACATTTCTAGTTTACAGTTGCATCAACATGTTTAGTGTGTGGCTAAAATATTGGTATTCAACACTTTTCAATTATTAAACAATATTTTTAGAGAAGATACAAAAAGATGAATTGGTAGCGAGTATTATACAGGATTTGAACAAATCCAACAATTATTTAATGTCTATTGCAAAGTAAAAAAAACTAAAACAGTGTAATCAATTCACTACCAACAAAATTAAAAAGTACATTTGAATCAGTCTTTTAAAACAGAAACAATATAATTAAATATGTATGTTGGCGTGACTGACACGTATGGTTAAATTAATACATAAAAACGAAAATTTCAATTTTTCACAGCTTTAGATGTTACATAAGAACCTGCCAAAAGAAAGTTGTACTTCACTTGTTTCGCTACATTTAAACGAAAATGCTAAAAGGATGGAAAATGTTTATGAGAGTTACATACATATATCGAGAGTTTGAGAGTATAAAAAATCGAGAGAATGCTATTTACTACTATTTACCTACATATATGAATGATGTTATAACTTGTTAACTTTAAGTTACTGGATTTTTTCAAGTTTTATTAAATTAACCTGCAAAGAAAATGAGTGGTTGGTGAAATGAGTAGTGTTCTTCTTACGATAGAGATAGTGTTTTACGTAGTATATTACAAGCAACCAATAATTTGTGGTGAAAGTAGTCTCGGGTTAACTTTGTTATTATTATCCAGTAAAAAGTTGTACATCATATTTTGTTGTTATATATTATATTATACAATTAATTAAGTAGGAGTAAAAGGTAGATTAAATTTAGTTTTTTCTCCTCCATTTGTTTTCTAGTTGCACATAGTTTTTTTTTTCTAGGACAAAGTGTAATATCATCATCACCACTCATCAGCTAAGCTATTAATAATTTACTGTGTAGTGCATTTAAAAATGCATTGTAAATATTATATCCAGGAAGTGCAAAAAAAATGAAAAAAAGCTGTTGTAAAAGTAATTGACTAAAGATTGAATAAAGTTATCATTGCCAAGAAATAGATACATAATGGCTGTGTGTGTCATGCATGATTATTTATAAGCTATGCAGGATGAATTGAAGTGAAATAAGTGACAATGATGCGATGCGAGGTAAGGATATTTTATAAAAAAGGCTGAAACTCATCACTTTTTATTCGTATCGTCTTTTCTCTCATTATAATTATGATACAATTATCGGTTATTACGTACTTAATAAACTACTACGGTGCACTATGTATACAGTCAGTAAAACTTACTGGACTCTCATAATAATTATTACATATTATACCAGATAGGAAGGTACATGCTACTAGTGCCACATTTTGTTTTTTATTCGTCGTAAGCAACAATTAATGCACTCGTCTTGCTCAGAAAACAAAGTACTTGCAGTCTTATCATTTCCTTTGACTAATGGCTCTAGAAATCCTCCATATATTTTTATTAATACTAAACAAAGACAAGTTTGAAGGATTGTGACCCATTTGTTTCTGACAAAATTGAAGGTATTGGCTTGTCAGTTGGATAGGCTGAGCTTGACATTTTGCATGGTTTGGAAGTATTAATGTTAGAAATATTGACATGCATGGTTGATGGCTGCCCTTACTTGGATTCAATAATTAGCATTGTACTATTTTTCACTACTCTTCATCATTCAACTGTTTCAAAAAATATACATGTAGTCAGTCACACATTTCCAGAGGAAAGTAGTAGCATCATCAATCAAGTAGTCAATATTTGCAAACATTTTGCAAATTGTTGCCTGCGGTCAAATAAACTTAACTAAAAAAATGGGTGGAAGTGGAACACATGAAAATTTAAGCTGACATGTTTATAATTTTCTTTGCCACAATAATTTGTAGTGTTGGCTGTTATATTAATTGTAACATTTCGCTAAATAAAAGTCACATAGAATCTTCTCCTCACATAATTCATTTTCAATTTGATTGTTATCCCCATCATTGTCTTCTGTCCGTTCCGTAGGCTAATTTATGAGCTCGTTTTACATGTTGACGAAGTTGACGTGTATTATTCAATCTTGTGGGTGTTTCGGTAATACGACATTTGTGTTAGTCCCATCGTGCTCATACCGATTCCAAAACAAGCAAAGATCGTAGCCGTTGTGAAGGCAAATTTTTCGCTCAGCTTTTGAGACCTGACGCCACTCTAAAGTGTATGAAAAAATAATATTTCATTAACTGAAATTACTAAATGATAACTACTAAAAATTATTGGAAGGGTTACTTACAGGTACTGCGGTGAATCCCACGCGTACAGGGCCGTTGAGAAAGCGAACCAGAAGCATACTCTTTTTTTCTTGTTTTCAAAGTCAAAACACTCCACACGTCCACAGACTGTAAGAAAACGGGAGAATTTTATAAGTTGAGAATTTAGGATGTATATAACTAAACGAAGCAGCTAACATTAATTGCCTCCACCATAAACTGGACTTAAATATTAATTTGTGGTTCGTGCTGACCCTTTTATAAAAAAAATACAGTCACAATTTTTGGATGGCTTTGTGCAGCATTATTTACTATTTGTCATCTCGTCTTAAATCAATGAGCACTGAGAGAAATTTTCCACAACAATAACTCAAAGTCAAAATAAATCTAATTACTCAGAACCTCCACAAATACAAGCACGATATGAGTTTATCACATCAGAACCTCAAATCACTAGACACGGAGATAATTGACCCGCAATGTTATCAATTTACCGTCAAATTTGAGGAAAATTTCAAAATTTTAATGTATTAATCGCTTTATTTTGTATGTATGTAAAAGGATTTGACAAATTCAATTACATTTTTTAGAGCATATTAATCGCTAGTCTCATGCTCCAATGGCTAAGCCTTTATGTATGCGTGGAGTTATGGAAAAGTGTGAACCACAGTCAATATTTGGTTTATCGCAAGCAATGCATGCATACACATCTTATCACAAGACTACAGTGTCGGACAGATGTCTACGTCCACATCAATCGCGTCAATTTCATTTTCAAATTGTCACTGAACTACTGAACCAATTTTCATCATTGATATATCAAATTCTCACAAATTTAACGTAATTTCATAAAACATATGAGTTATTTCTGAAAATTCTGGGAAAACTGAGAATCATAGTGCAGAGCGAGAGAGGATGAAATTTGAGCGGACAAAAGTCTACGTCCACTTCACTTTAATTGTCAACAACAAAAATCTCTCCAATTTATAAAATCAGGTAACTTAATAAATCTATCAATAACATATGCCGCATTAATTTTTAAATAATTTTCTTCCAGAAATATATGATGGCGTCGACACGCAAGGAAATTCCTATCGCTATTCGAGATCTTGTCATTCAGGACTGGAAGGGTGGACAAAAAGGGGGCTGTCGCAGAGACAAATATGGACCAAGTATAAATTAGCAAGGACAACCATCCAGACAATCATTAAGAACTTTAAAGCTAATGGTTCAGTCCAAAACAAGGTCAGAAGTGGTCGAAAACCCATTTTGGCTCACCGAGAAGTACGCCACGTGCTCAACAAAGTCAACGTTACACCCTCACTTAGTGCTCCAAAGCTATCTACTGAGATCAAGGAGATGTTCGACAAACAAGTTAGTCCTAGGACCATCCAAAGAACACTGAACAAGGGAAATTTGAAATCCCACAGAGCAGTCCGGAAGCCTCTTATTGTACCGAGGAATGCAACCAAACGAGTGAAGTTTGCCAGAGACCACATTTCCAAGCCACAAACATTCTGGGACATATTTTATGGACTGACGAGTCAAAGTTCAATGTCTGTGGGTCAGATGGGCGTCGTAGAGTGTGGAGGTATCCAAAAGAAGCTTTGAATCCAAAAAATCTCAACCCCACAGTTAAGCACGGCGGCGGGTCGGTAATGGTGTGGGGATGCATGGCTTCAAGTGGGGCAGGAAAAATGGAATTTGTTGACGGAATTATGGACCAATACAGGTACCAGGGAATACTTGACCGTAATATCCAGGAATCTGTTCGAAAACTTGGACTTGGACGACGATTTGTCTTCCAACAAGACAACGATCCGAAACACTCTGCCACGTACACCATGGAATACTTCAAGAAAAAAAATTTCGAAGCTAGAATGGCCTTCCCAATCTCCAGACTTGAATCCCATTGAGCATCTGTGGGACCACATTGAAAGAGAAATAAGAAAACAATCTTTTTCAGGAATTCCGGGCCTTAAATCCAGAATTCGTGAAGTTTGGGAAACCATTTCTGAAGATGTGACCAAGAATTTGGTAAACTCTATGACTCGACGCCTTGAAGCCGTCCTTAAAGCGAACGGAGGCCCAACCAAATATTAAAAATTAATTGTTATAACATTCCTTATAAATTACAGTTTTTTTTGTATGTTTTCTCTTACTGGACGTTGACTTTTGTCTATCCAATTGTTTTCATTTTGAATTAAAATACATCTCTGGCCTAAAATAAATTTTTTAGCGGAAAACTAATAATGTGCTATGAAATTACGTTAAATTTGTGAGAATTTGATATATCAATGATGAAAATTGGTTCAGTAGTTCAGTGACAATTTGAAAATGAAATTGACGCGACTATGTGGACGTAGACATCTGTCCGACACTGTAATTGCATACCTATTGAGTGAGTTTATTTTAACTTTAACTTTGGGAGAGATGAGACCACGTTTGCTCTATTTAATACAAACTGTGTAACTTAACAAGCCAAATACATAAGCGACAATGTGGCGCCTCACTTTCATGCCAATATCAACATAATAGCCGAGCACCCGGTGTGAAGGAATGAAGAAAGATATTTGCAAAATTTACGTCTCTGGCAAAGTGCGAATTTTGGCAATTATCAAAAGGGCATAGTCTAACGCAAGATGATCTAACCAATTCATGCATACATCGCATTTTTCTTTGGAAGGATTAACCTGGAATATCGAGCGACATTAAATTTACTTAATATTGTCAGACTTTAATTAATTCTTCTTTAATTAATTAATTTAATTTGCAGTTCGGAAGTGGAAATAATACACAATTTTCGGCATTTGAAATATAATAGTTCAATAGAAATATTACTACTTTCCTGTAAATTTTGCTTTCTCCAATGTTTTACCCAATGGACATTTTGGAGCACAACGTAAAACGTAATGTGCTATGTTTGTGATTAAACTGCGAATTTGGCACCGAAAACTAAAACTAATCTAATTTAATGCAAGGAAAAGTTTAATCTTCTGATTGCAATAATCATCCTACACATTTACATGCATTTCCATTTTGTTTTAAATACAGTATTCATTTATTTTCTTGGCAATCTAACAGAACCCGTACATCTTGGAAAAAGTGGGTCGGTCGATGTCATACAAACAAAGTTTTCCACATAGTTTTCGTAGTATTAGTAGTATTAATTCGTAGTGTTTTCCACATAGTATTCGTGCATAGTTTAGAGAAATTGTGCTTATCCAATTATGTTGGAACTTGGTATGTCATGACCAAAGGTAACCTCACCTTTACCTTCCTATTTACAACCTCCAAGAAGGTAGTCACGTACCATTTATGTCGCCGGGTTATTTTTATTTTTAGAAAAATGCAGAGGTTGGCTCGGGCAGGGACGAAAACATACGCCATAATAAAATAAAAAATACATATATATTACAAAATACATTCTAAAATGCAATGCATTTGCCGTTTGTTTAACAAAAATAGAAATACTTACTATTTTACAGACATATTAGACGCCAGTTTGGCATCTGATTCGTCATATTCTTCTACTTAATAGTCCATTTTACCCTAATACTGATATGTAAAGGTGAAGGTTACTATAAATGTTTGATAATTTGCACCAGCTACAAATTACTTTTTATGAGCGCGTCGATTTCTTACTAAATAAATATATTAAGTAAATCAATTAAATGTCTCAGCCAATTTAATGACAACCCCATTTATTTCATGTGCACACAATTTCCTCAAAACTACCAATTACATAATGACTAAATGATAATGCAGGGCAATTTATGTGGGAAACTTGATTGAAACCTTCGCCTTTACATTAAACAAATCAAGTTTAATATGAACAAAAGTTGCAAATTAAAATACCTATGTATCCTTCACCGAGCAGAATGTATAGATAAATGCATTTCACGCAGTTTGCAAATTGCAGGAAAATTGAGTAATAAATGGAAAATTATGTTGCGTGCGTTCCAAACATGAACTCTTAGTTAGTAAAAGTGGTTCAATATCATTGTGCGAATAAATTGACGCAGTTTGCAAGCTAGTTCAGTCCAAAGTGCAAAATAGTGAGCGTAGACGTGGAGTTCAAATCACAAGAACAAATACAGCATCCCAGTTTTTTGCACCATGTCTGGCTTTAATACCTGCCTTGCTATTAAATGGCAATTTATTTTGCATTATCAGACAATCTAAGTAAGCAACCTGGCGAGCACCGACCGCCTCTAACCCACTGTTATTATATTATCATGATTATTAGTGGAATGCACGAATCAAGGCCGACAGAACTGCAACGAATTATCATAAATAATGATGCTGGACTTAATTTTCCAAATTCAAAGAATTACTATTTAAACCTGAACTAATCCTAAGCATTACACAAGTATTAGTAAATTGCAATAAGCAATGCAGTTCAAAGATTTATGATTGAACTTTGATGAGAACTCCCTAAATCAACGCCGTAAATCCAAAACAAGCTTTTATGCAGGTTTTCCCTACAACTTATCAATACCTACTGGAAAATGGATTATGCAATGTTGAATGTTGATAAATTGATAACTAACTACCCAAGTTAAGATTTTCCCACCAAGTAGTAAATAATTTAATTAATAAACTAACACAAATTCCTTCCAAACAAAACTCACCTTTAGCAAGAGATTCCAATCACAACTTGTTCAAAACATTCACCACCAAAGTAAAATTGAAATTTTCCCAAATTTTGAAGTTATTTAGCCAATTGTTCGGAGAAAGAATTTGCCGAATTCTCCGGAACCTCTCACTAAAGCGAAACCACTCCTGCTTGTGCAATGCAGAGAAAGACCTTCATTCATTCTTCTTCCTCTATTTTATTTTCGTGTGGTGGTGATCACAAGGTTTTTCATGCCGTGAACTATTTGGCAAGGTGGCACTGCTGTTGATCAAAGTTCTTTTCTTACAATTCTCCATGAAAATGCTGCATGATTCCTTCATTTCGCAAAATTAATTCCCAACTTTCACTTGCTTTCACCTTTACGAACTTTATTTAATTAACAATAAAACCTAATACAATTTAACAAGTAGGATTTATAACGCGGTAACTGTAACGGTAGTGCTCGCATCATTTGTATCATTTGGCTCTGACATGGTTTTGGTATCAATGTCTCTGTTTATTATAGGGCTGGTTGGGAGGTTGGAATATTTCTTAAAAATCTGGACAATTTTTGGATACACGAGTAAATGCACATCCCTCCCGAGGATAAAGTCGCAGTGGGAAAACTTGGGGTAGGAGATAACTGTGTGAGAGATGAGGTTAGGAAGCTCCGCAGATATTCGCAGGACGCCCTAGAATTAATTACAAAATTGAAAAATTAAATAATTTCATAATTAATTTTGAATCGTTTTTGAGCTTATCTAACCTTGGCAGGGATGAGACAGTCGTGGTCCGCCGTGAAAGTGGCGACTGGCACGGTCACTTTCCCCAAATCGTATTTGGGGGGTTTCGGTGTTCCGTGCCTCTTCAAGTTTCCCGCCCGGCCGTAGTCAAACATCTGGAACTTTTTCGAACTAAACATTTGGGCGACATGGACCGCATATTTTATCGAAGTTGGGGCTGGCATGTGTTCAGCGAGGCGATTGTACATCTCCTAAGAAAGAAGTGGGGATAATGAATTTTGGAAAAAGAACTTGAATAATATAGATAAGCTTACCCGATCAGTCCTACACCCCGCCCCGATAGAACCACCCATTCGCCCCAGTAATTTCATCCAACTGCCTGCCAAACTTTCCCTGTTGATTTTGGTAAACGATGGGATGACCATGTTCACTATGTCATTCACGGATTTTGTCCCAATCGGACGTCGATAGACGAATTTGGACCGCTGTATAATATGATCATAAGTTAGAGATAGATAATATTGATTTGATTATTATCGTTTCATAGTTCTGGAATTAGGTATTCTCCAAAATATTACCGCACGTGCAACTAATGGCACTCCGAATTTGACCGTGGATGTTTTAAAGTCATGACCGTACACTCCGGGAGCCATCGCCGCCACGGCGCGGACCTTTTTGTGATATTCTGGTCTCAAACATAGCGTTGATAGTATCATGGCACCTGTGAATAAATTGCAGTGTTTGTTATATGCAAAATATCAGATTAGTTTTTGCAAGCGCAAAACTTTGTTTTTTAAACCAACCTCCCATTGAGTATCCGAGAAAAAATAAATCTTTACTTCCAGTGACTTTTAGAATATAGTCGATAAGAGCTGGAATGTCATATTTGCTCATCTCGTCAAATCTACATAATTTATATAAATCAACCAATGCATACTCCACGTGATTCCAATTTGTACTCGTATTTCGTTCAAAGTTATTCAATTCGCTCACCCAAAATCCCAAAACTTTTTAGAACTCGTTTTCAAACTGGTGTGTCCTTTAGAGTGAGGCGTGCCGCGATTTGTACCCATCCAACAGTCAAATCCTTGCTTGGCCAGTATGTTTGCTATATCCAAGAATAGCGAATGGTCTAAACTTTCAAGTTTTATAATTTCATAGAATTATATGTAATTCGCTCACGAATTGCTCTGCCCTCTCGTTCAAGGAGTAGCCACTCCAATCCATCCTGGAATTAATCATTAATCCATCAATTAATTAAAATTAACTAATTACCTATTACTTAACTTACATTGAACATCCCCGGAATCATAAGGACTGGGGGCAACTTATTATTTGTCGTGGATCCATCGTCACATTTTTCTCCAGACTCGCCACCACCGCCATCGTCCCCCTTATCGAAATCTTTCAGTCGAAACAAACCTAAAATGTAGCCGTCTTCAGTCTCTACTTTATGTGTTTCGAGCCCGTTTGAAGATATCGAACTGCAAAATGAGACGGGTGGAACGTGTTTCTTATCCTTCGAACTATTTGGCACTTTATTTGACATTGTTCATTTATTATTCTTATTTTATTTAATAATTAACTAACTAATTATTTTATTATATTTTATTTTACATCGCCTCTTCCACCACTTGCTTCTTGTATGTATTTATTACGACACTTTTTAACAGCAATTAGACTTGGACTCAAAAGTCAAGTGTGCAGTGGACCAAGTAAGTCGAGGTCGACAAGGCGCATATGTAGCATTGCCAAGCAATGAACTGAAGATCACAGACTATGAAACAACGCTGCTATGAATTTCATGTATGATTATTAACTCAACCGTTTGGGAAATTTTTGCATACTTTTTACACGTTGACCACTGAACTGACTGACGTACTACGTATTAAAGAGTACCACAAGAAATCATTTATTGGTGTTGTGCGAGGTTGTTAAAACTTAATGTGAACTGAAAAACAAGCTCTCTGCTGGATTGGATTACTATACTTATTTGGCCAACCATTGTTGCCAGTATGGAATGGAATTGTATACAATTTACAGTGATAACTGGTTTGGTTTACCTGCTTGCGTCCTTCCTCTTGCAATTTTATCAAAAATCTAAGCTAGAATTTTTTTGCCATCTGCACCACGACCACGACCACCTTCAACAGGACTGGAAATGGAAAGAAGATTGCAATCACACCATTATTTGCCTACATGCGTACACGTCATGTGCATGCATCGTTATGAAAGGATGGGAATAAGTGAAGACTAGAAAACATAAAATATTTTATTCCAGATAAATATAAAGTTGAGAAATAATAAGATAATTGCAGGGAAAGATTTCTGCTCGAAGAAGTTGTTGAGCTAATGTGATTATGATTATGGCAAAGAGCAGGTAAAACGATGACAAGCTCCGTGTGAAATTTTACCATTTGCCTGATTTCATGCCTGAATAAACGGGAAACAGGAAAAAGTAAATTAAATAAAAACGCTATGATTTGATACGACTGAATTTATAAGGATAATCAGAGAACAAATTAAGTTGGAAAATACTTTGTGCAATAAATAAATATGTTTATCAGGTTCATAACAATTACTACTGAGGCTTAAACCATAATCGTTGGAGGAAGAGGTCCAATAACAGTTTTTTTTATTTTTTTTTAGAATCCACTCATAATGATAGAACTGCTCAGCTCACTATAAAAATATACATCATAATGATAAAGGTTTATAATTTCGTGGAAATATTGTTGCCAGCACTGTCTGCTAGTTTGAATTTGTCGAAAACTTGAATAACGTCTGGATACAGCAATTTATGCGCGTCCGACCCAATCATGAAATCCGTGTGGTAAAACTTTCCAACAATTTTCTTATATTTTATGACATTCTTCAACTCATTGGAGAGTCGGAGTACATCCTGAGAGACACAAACGTATGTGAGAAAATGTTTTCAATAATGTGCAAGTGAATAGTTTTACCTCATGCCCTACGAGGTAATCATGATCACTGGAGTAGAGTGCCATGGGGGCAGTAACATTTTCCAAGTTGTATCTCGGTGGGGTTGACTGACCATATTTTTTCATATTCCCATTCCTCCCATAGTCGTAAGCCTGAGCCTTTTTGTAAAATAAGCATTGCATCACTTGACACACCATTTTCATCGAACTTTGTCCAGGAAGAATTTCCACAAGTTGGGGAAGTCGTTCCTGTATATCCAGAATCGCCAATGGCGTTTAGATATTAATGACAACATTTACATACACAATTTAATGTAGTACCTTTTCTAACTGTTTCTTATAAATGATTTTCAGAATGCTCTGCGTATAAAATCGGAACAGTTTTGAGCAAATTTTATCCTTTCGAGGCATACACGGCCAATATTTTTTGACCAGTTCTACCAACGAGCTTTGGCAAACACCTCGTCTGTAGAAAAATCGACTTTTTGCCTAGAAAAATTCAATACCTGTAATATCATTCCCATTAAATGGACTAGAAACAAGCCTTCCTTTAATCTTTGGGCTTACAAAAACAGCATACAATGGAGCTGATAGCTTGGTCAAGAAAAAATTTCTACAATGCTCCCCGTAAATTGCGGGCGTCATTGCGGCGCAAGCACGAATCTTGTCGTTGTATTCTGGTCGAGATGAGAGGGTGATGATGACCGAAGTAGCGCCCAAGGAGTGTCCAACATAAAAGAGGTTCTCATGATGCGTTACTTCCAAAATGTAATCGATCATCGCGGGGACGTCGTAATAGCCAAATTCGTCCACGCTGAAGATCAGTCGTATTGCTTAATAACCCTTAAAATTTGGGGGAATCCTATAAATTAAAATTAATCTACCTAAAATCCCAGTATTTCTTTTGTTTCATGGTGTACTTGACATGGGGCTTAGCTCCCGTAAGACGAGTACCACGTAGACAGCCGATCCAGCAATCGTATCCTTGTTCATATAACATATATGCTGCACAAATTGCGCAAAAGTATTTATTTAAGCATCATCCAAGATCTGAAATTTACACTGATTGTACTTACGCAAAACTTTCTCCGGGCTGTTACACAACCACTCCGTTCCTGTCGAATTATATTTATTAGTCAATTCCAAATTACAGTTAAATTGGTGTATTTTAATTTGAAATACCAGCACACATCATCCCATGCACCAATAACACGGGAGGGCGATCACTTGTTTTTAATTCGGAAACTTCATCCTCGTTATTTTCTCCGGAAGTGGAGATGGGTGGATTGATATTAAGTCTGTATAAGGTCAAAATGTACCCGTCTTCCGTTTCGGGATAATGAGGTTCCAATGGATAATCCGAAATTGTCAACATTTTGATTTTACTGTGCAAAAGTACTAGATTTTAATGCATGGAATAAATAAGAATGAACGTCTGATTAGTAACCTTCATACCAGTCGAGATGCAAAGGTGCCATGTGATTATGCGATGGATAAATAAAAATGCGATTGCCCAATATAAAAGTTGTTGCAATCAGGATTCATTTCGCCCTGAAAAAAAACTAGACTAGCCAAAGCAAAATCGACTCACGAAAGACTAAGGAAATTCCAGTAAATGCAATCATGGGAAATATTTCTAACCATAATTGGGCCAAAACCTGTGAAATAATTCGCAAATAATAAAAGGTAATGACGATTTACTAGTATCTTTGACTTGCATCGGCGAAATCTGCGAATTATGCACATTGCATGGTTAAAGTACTGGCGTTATGCATACAACTCAGGATTAACATAATCTCTCACAGTTTATCTCATCTTTAAGCAAATATATTTTTTCTAGTACAATTTTGTGGCTATCTGCCAACATTACAAAAATTGGTTCATGTACAGGAAGAGGAAGACAGCCCATCATGGCTGATTTTGATCAAGATAACATCAGGTCAATCAAAAGACTATCAGTGCGAGTGACGAAATTAGACTGTAAACCTCCAACTTAAATATAATAATAACTAGATTTGTGCAATTAGCAAGTCGTAAAATTGGATAAATTTTGAGTACACATGTTAAGATTTTTGTATTATATTTGAAGGTTTATAATACCATCGTAAGACATATGTATACATGTCGATACATTAATAAAGGTAATTTACATATTAAAACTGCTACTTCTTTCTATTATCTTAATTCGCATATTCTTCCCACTCTTATGACAAGTACTTTAAAATTTTGTCAATATAACACCAAACTCTCATAAAACCGAGATACAAAAAGGTAGCAATAAAAAAAACTTCGGATTAGATTACCGGCTTGCGCATTACTTATTAAATTATGATAAGTACGACACACATTTGTGATAATTACAGATTGTCTCTTAATTATCAAACTTAAGAAAATGATAATCAACCAATGTTAATTATTACGAGTAAAATTTCACCTCGTAAAAAAACTTGAATCCATCTTCTTATTAATAATGCAAACTGAAACAATGGTTTTGTCAGGAAAGCTGAATTTTATTAAATTGACTCTTTTGTGAGACTCACGTTTGCAAAAAATTTGGACGAAATTGTGCAATAACGAGTGATTTATTACGATGTGATTTAGATGAGAAGATGACGCGTTTGTTCGGCTAACTAAGCATTAGCCAAAAAATGCCACAAGATTTTTTTAGCGATACACTGATGGAGTCAGATGACAGGATTATGTACAGATGTAAATTAGTTGGACATGATTCTAATTCTTCCTTCCTCGGAAATCCTTACAAGTTTTTTGAAAGTAACGATAATAAAACGACAAGTCGAGAGTTTCCGGAGCATCGAAATTTATGAGTATGATGAAGTAGCCTTGCTTTTTGTATACTTTGGTGAAAATCTTGGTTTAATGAATTGGTTTGCGTTTTGCTTGATTACACGTGTCAAATTTGTTTTTTATTGTTATTTTCCAAAATTTAATTTCCACGAGGTAACAGTCCCTGTGAAATTGTATAATTTACTACTTGAGACCTGTGTATGTAAATGTGCCTGTAGGTAAATTCTAGTAACAGTAAGGAACAAAAAGAAAGAGTTATAAGAAAATGAATTTCATGAAAACTTAATCAAGCTAATAACAGTCGTCTTACGGTCGTTGGAGTTAAATGGGTTGCTGAATTGAAATTGGTTCTGTTGGGCCAGCAATTTTTCCCAAAATGTATTCACCACTTCGATTGACCAGGAGGAGAAAATGACATCCATGACATCATATAACATCGAAACATGGTTTCCATTAATCAGATTGGTCAGCACGTAGAGGAAATTGAACGCAAGTATGATGACGGCCGAAATCATCCAATGGCAACATTTCTCAGGGTCGTTCTAGAAATTATGTACGTGTATTAAAAACCGATGGACAGATAAGCCTATTGGATAATATGACTTTTGGAATTTTTATAGCTTATCTCACCTCAGCAGCAGCTTGCCACAAAATGATGGAGAAGTAGAGACCCAACAGGGCGAAAAGAAGCAGGATTATGCCCCAAACTAGTAAAGACTCTCCTACATATGAAAATAAAACGTTTTTCTTAATGAGTATTATAAATATTTATATGTGCAATTACTTAATTATCTTATATTAAAGAAATGACAAAAATTGTCTCCTAAATAATTACGTACCCTCTTCTCTTATGGTGTCCGATTCAAGACTAGGACATTCGGATTTACCAATGGTCATGGCTCCAGCGATGACAAGGAAGACGGATTGTGTCAAGTTCCACATGTAAGACAGCTACATAATCAAAATAATAACTTTATTCCTTCCGAAATGTCACTTTAAGAACTTAATTATTTATTTCACTTACAAAGAGAAAGGCAGCCACGAAGGTGACACATTTCTTTACAGGGAAGCCGAAAAAAGGGTCCATAATTCATTAAGTTTTGAATTTATTTTTAAATTTCAAAGTCCGACTTTTGAGACCAGACTTCTTGATACAGTACAAAGAGGTGAGCAAGAAAGAAATGACATGAAATCAGAAAGAAGAGGGGAAAATGTCCATACATTATAACCTCCGGTTGATAAGAGGGAGGAAGTCATGATTTTGAATTGAGTTGATATCTGGAATGTGCGATACACCTGAATGAATGACAGAAATTCAAATGATATGAAATTACTGGATACAAAATGTTATCATCTTACTTTGCGTTTCAATGAATCACATTTCAATCATGATTAAGAATTAGCATCGCCAGATCTCGCATTCTTCAGCGTCAATGATTGTTTTTGTACATATGATAAATATATTTATAAATACATTTTAGGTTTGAAGTTGGCAAATAGGACAACCAAGAGGGTATATTTCATTCATGATATGAGAGATTGAGCTGGTGATTTCAGTCAAATAAAATCAATTCAAATGAATTCTCGCGTTGAGATTATAAATAAAATCCTGTCACAAAATTTTATGAGTTTTATAGCAAACTTTTTATATTGTCTTGCGAAATATATACACATCGGTATGTATGTATATATGCACGTAGAATCATTGAATGACCACTTTTTTACAAAGTAATAAATACTTAATCATAGTGTGAGCATTATTATTGCCAATTAGATTATTATTTTTTGCATTAGAATTGCATCTAGTCCAACAAAGTGCTGCATTTTCAAAGTATCTTCCTTCCGTTTCATCCACGCTTCTTGACACGCTATTACCTTCTCACTTGCACATTTTACTTTCTACTTCTCATCATGCACTTTACAAATTTAGGTAAATTCGAATGTAAATGTACTCTATATTATTCAGATTATTGCGCTCGATGCAGTGTCCAAATCGAATTAAAATGCAATCTACATTTTCTGCTCATATATGTATCTTCATCAACCGCTTAATTGGATCGGGTTGAATTTGAGAGCCTTATCATCTTGATGGGACACTATAGCAGTTGGGGGACAGTTATATTATATTACTCCTTTTTTGTAGTGACAAATGAGCATCCTACGAAATCTGGATCTTACTCGTGGCACTCATAAATTCAAGAATTAAAAGGCATGCATATATACACGCGGAAGGAAGTGAGACGGATCTACATATGTACCCACATTGTTATGCAATGGAATAATAATGCATGTAAAATGCAAATCATCTAAAAACTAGTGACTGAATAACTCTTTATGCAGTGTGGTCCATTTTTTGCCCCACTACTTTCCTTCATAACCTTAGATAACATTTCGAATTAGAATGCATGGCATCTCGCTCATACGAGCATAAAATCCAATTCTACCAAGAAAACTTGACAGTCAAGTACAAATTGTAACAAAAAGTAAATGTCAAATGCTCCTTTGTCGTTTTTCTAATGGGTGTTTTTATAATTGCATGGTACGCGAGGGTAATGAACGCCAAGTTGATATACGCATTGTTACCACGATATGATCGATATTAAGGGCGGTGGTCATCCTTCCGGTAAAAAATAATCAGTGGACAAGAAATAAATGAATTACAGATATTTTATTTACTTCGATTTCTTGACACGATCAAAACAACAACAATGTTTTTGAAGGATATAAAAATTCGAGATTTCACAAAGATTTAATTGAAAAGTATTAATTTTATTCTTCATTTTTTGTGCAACACCCGGAAAGCCATCAAATTTTTAGTATTTTATTTTACACGTGGCATTGCAAAATAAGGAGTAATTTGCATAGCCGATAACTGCAATAAAATAAATATACTTAATTAGAAATGTGGAGGTGGAGAAGAGAGATAAATGGTGACCTATACCATAATAATATTGCAAATGTAGGTATGTACGTACATATGAGCATCTCTTCCTCGTGTCTTGTTGATCATGGCGTTAAGATGCTCATCTTCATCTCGCTTTTAGACTACTAGATACACAACTTTGTTGTATTTCGCTATAAAGTGCGGCACAAGTCGTGGCTGGTAGGATTACACAAGATAATAGTTGATTTATTTCAGGAATAAGAGACAGGCATTTGTGCAGCGGCCCCATCGTCACGAGACCAATTGACCTTAAATAATCATTAAATCCACCAAATTGATTGAACCAAGTGACCCTCTTTCTTGTAAATAAGTATAAAACATAGTTCCCGTATTACGACATGAAAAAATGCACAAATCGATGCACCACACGCGCATTGGTCATTGACTGTCCCGTCAGTTTGACCAGTTACATAATTTGCTGATTTTTTGTCATAATTTAACAAAAGTGAAATGTAATCTTGCTCATTAGTAAATTAAACTCAGTATTGTTTGTTTAAAAATTGTTCTTAATTTACAGTGTGCGTGTAGTGTGGTTAAATAAATGATGAACAATTAACAAAAATATTACAGGAGAGCGAAACCCTTCCCATTATTCATTTGTAAATATGCTCATAATTCTTGCGTGTACGAGCAAAATATGTGCGTGTCGTCAATTTTATTTCGACACCTGAAATCACACATAATAAAATAAAATATACACAAATGTTGCATATGTATAATTGAAAATATGATAAAATTTGGCAGAAAATATTTATTTGCAAGAATTTTTAACTAATATTTAAACTAATTCAGTTAAATTCAATGCATTCATCATCACCGAGTTACATACTTGCATTTACACATGCAGGCAAAAACTATATAATAGGATGATGCAGAATCCGGTTATAGGTTGCACTTTGTATCCTTAATTTTCATCACACACAAGTAAATAATCGTTACTAAAATCATGATCGAATTGGGTAGAGTAGGGTTTGACTCCAATAAAGTTGAGTGAAAGTGGACAACTTTTGTACATACGTGCATAATCTGGTACGACGACAACAACTGCTGAAAATTAATGCAAATCCTAATCTGAACTATGAAAAAAGTGCATTTTGTATCCCTATTACTTGTAAAAGTCAATGACAAAAAAGTTTAAAATGTTTATCAAATATTGAGCGTCTCCCATACCGTTTTTTGTAGTCAATTATAAAATATTGCAAAATGTCGTTCACAAAAAACTGTATAGCGTTATTAAAATTGTTGTTTTGCATACAACGTTGGCTTCTAGTGCGAGGAGTTAATTAGTACGGATTTGCGTACAATGAGATTTTAATTCAATTTTAATAGCTCACTAATAACTTTGAGATTACGTGGGAGTAGTTTGAGGATGATTTGGGAAATGGAGATGTGACATGTGACCCATATAATAATTTTTATGCACTTTTTGCATTAAGCGAACATGAGATGCGTTTTGACAGGCTGTTAAAATTTACTTGATTAATAGAGATTTAAAATGCTACCAAAATACATACACGTTATGCATACTTCAACAATTAGTAAAGCTAATTGTGCGCACAATCTGTTGTATACATTATTGGATTTCAATTAATTTTAATTGCGGCTAATATTGCTAAAGCCAATTTCATTGAGAAACTATTTCTTAAAATGTGAACAAATTTGCAAACAGTTGAATTCTGCATATTTGTAATCGATCTTCCAAACAATGCCTACATACGATATGATCAGAACGATATGATGATGACACTGTCGAAATAAATTGCTGTCTTCTTCTCCCAACAACGTCTTCACTTCATTTATGAATATTCTTACGTAATCCTCGACCCAGTCAGTTTGCAGCCTGAAAGAAATGAATAACTCCACCCACCCCCACATGCATAAAATAATTCAACTTATGCACAACACAACCGGCTTGCCTGTCGTGGTAAGAAGTTTAAATTTGACAATGAGACAAACGTTGTTATTATAAATGACGATAGACCGTGGGGACTTTGTGTCAGTCGTTCTCAAGATATTGGCCCAACGGTTGATGTTGCCTTTGCGCACATTGTTCTAGTGCGTCGTTGGTGTCAAGCTTTTGAAGTTGTTGAACTACTACGAGTTGATTTGCGGTGGTTGGGTGATTTACTCGTTGAAGGCTACAAAAGTTGGATCAAGATTCATATTGTTAGTTGGGAAACTGTGTTAATAAGTTTTTAAATGAGACTAAATAGTTTTCGTTCCGAACATTTTTATTGAGAAAGTTCTGCACGATTACATTTCTTTTGCTGGATAGTTATCAAATTAACCATGAGGATTTCACTGGTAAGTGAAAATCATACGTAGGACGCTCTGCAAAGTGTCTATAATGCATGTAAAAATCTCCGTAATATGAAATGTGTACTGTTTATTTTGACCAATTAGGTACTGTTGCTCCTCGTCGTGGTGGGAGTAGCATTAGCTGCGGAAAGTGGGGGAGGCTGGGGGCGGAAGAAGGGCGGAGGACTTTCCCTCAAGAAAATCATTCGTCAAAAACTTGCTGCCATTAAAGGAATTTTCAGTGGATTGAAGAAAGGCAGAGGAGGCGGTGGCGGTGGGTGGGGTGGTGGATCCAGTAGCAAAGGAAAGGGGTGGGGTGGAGGGTCTTCTTCGTCCGGGAAGGGTGGCTGGAAACCTTCAAAGGGCAAAGGGGGTGGAGGTGGTTGGGGGCAACAAGAGTCGTCTGAAGAACAAGGTGGTTGGGGCTCCTCGAAGGGTTCTTCTGGTGGTGGGTGGGGCTCTTCCAAGGGATCGTCCAGTGGTGGGTGGGGCTCCTCGAAAGGATCGTCTGGTGGGGGATGGGGGTCCTCAAAGGGATCGTCTGGCGGTGGTAGCGGTGGATGGGGTCAAACTCAGTCCAAGGGTTGGAGTCAGCAATCCTCAAAGGGCAAGGGGTCCAGCGGATGGGGACAAGATGACGGATGGAAGGAGGGAAATGGTGGTTATTCTAGCGGAGGTTGGGGACAAAGTGGCGGATCTGGAGCAGGAGGGTACTCCTCTGGAGAAAGTGGTGGCTGGGGGAAAGCAGGAGGAAGTGGGGCAGGCTGGGGTCAGCAAAGCGGTGGTGGCGGTGGTGGTGGAAGCGGTGGAAATCAGGGCGGTTGGGGTCAAAACAATGATGGAGGATCGTCATCAGGAGGTTATTCTTCAGGCGGAAATCAGGGCGGATGGGGTCAACAAAGCGGTGGTAGTGGTGGAAATCAAGGTGGTTGGGGTCAAAATAACAATGGAGGATCGTCAGGAGGCTATTCGGGGGGAAATCAGGGCGGTTGGGGTCAAAATAATAATGGCGGCTCATCATCCGGCGGGAATCAGGGTGGTTGGGGTCAGAACAATAATGGCGGATCTTCATCAGGGGGTTATTCTTCTGGCGGAAACCAGGGCGGATGGGGTCAAAACAATAATGGGGGATCGTCAGGAGGCTATTCGGGCGGAAACCAGGGCGGAAATCAGGGCGGTTGGAGTCAGAACAACAATGGCGGCTCCTCATCAGGAGGCTATTCTTCAGGTGGAAATCAAGGCGGCTGGGGTCAAAATAATAATGGCGGCTCATCATCAGGATCGTACGGCGGAAACCAGGGGGGTTGGGGTCAAGATGGCGGACAATCTGGAGGCTACTCTTCCAGCGGAAATAATCAGGGCGGGTGGGACCAGAACAATAATCAACAATCATCTTCCGGTGGTTATTCTTCTGGCGGCGGCGGCGGCGGCGGTGGTGGTCAGCAACAAGGGTGGGGTCAATCAAATAGTAATAGCGGAAGTGGTGGAAATCAAGGCGGCTGGAACCAAGGAGGAGGAGGAGGCTCAAGTGGGGGCTATTCCTCCGGGGGAAATAATCAAGGTTGGGGCCAGCAGGGAGGGAACAGTAATAGCGGCTCTAGTAGCGGGTGGAATACTGGTAGCAGTTCAGGTTCTAGTCAAAAAGGAAGTGGGTGGGAGAGGCGACGATAAATTAATGCATTTACATAGAGCATAACAATTTTAGTCTTGCCTATCAATTTCAAATCACAGCCAAACGCCGCAAGTTACGATAAGATATTTATGTTTTTATACCGTCAAGCAAAATCCTACTCAATTTCTAATATTTTTTACAATTTGCATGCAGCGAAACGCGAAAGTATTCAAACTTCAGCCAAAAAATGAGATGATGGTTGTTGAAAAACTGTCGATTTTACAAAGTGGTCGAAAGACTTGACCTTCCTTCTCTTTAAAAAGTACCTCTGCATATGTCATACTTGTACCTAAAACTGTAAGTAATTGTACGAAAGGTGTCTGGTGTAGTGGTTATAATGACGAATGCAATCAACCACTTACTGCGTTAGGTTATTAGTTAGTGTTCCCTCCGACGCTGTGTATCAAATTATTTTTGTAAACTCTCTCATAACGCAAATGCAACAAAGAGTCACGTATATCATGTACGACGAAATGTACTACGAAATGAAAACGAAACCAATAATAAAATAAATAAAATGGTTCAAATGAAGCTAAAAAAGTGCAAGTAGAAACCAGTTTTTAGGAGAATAATTCATAAGATTCACTGGTTTGATTTGTTGTTATCATTATCTACTCATCATCCTCGATCACCCATCCTTTAGAAAGTTGTACAAAACCAGGTAGTAGTACCGGCAGCCAGCACATGTCACCCTTCTTTAATAAAACAAAGGTGTGTACGTACGTACGAACTCGTATTACAATTTGCAACCAGAGCAGTTTTTATAGATTTTTTATCTCTAAAACTCAGTTTCATTCACTAATTCTTGAACAAAACGAGTTTTATTTTTATGACACATTTTACAACTTGACATAGTTATATTAGTGCTACTGAGGAATCCGTCAACCTAGAAATGAATGCGATACGACCGATGATACTATCACGTCTCTATGCATTAAAGCCTGTCCTGTGAATGGTTTTGGATCAATTTACTCCTAAATTATGGATTGTAACTCATTCCGATTTCTGGTTAATGTAATTTGTACATATTTCATGGCATAATAAATGACCGGAATAAACGAGCTATGTAGCAGTTGTGTCTGTATCCATTTTGATGCGTGCACGCGAGGGGAAAGAAAGTGAAAAGAAAATCGATAAGTTCCACCAAAGGATACATATCATCACCATCACGAACGAAATGCATAACACAACGAGCAACGAGTCTTCTCTTCTCAAGACTTCAAAATCCAGTCACACTTTCTCTCCTCTTTCGAGTCAAACATGAATTTTGCCCTGGTTTTTGACAGATAACCAATAATTCATACGAACCTAGAATTAAAAATCCACTACATAGTTTTCACGTACGTAAAAAAAATATTTTTACCACTTTCACCACAAAATATCTGAACTTTCACGAAGAACTTGAACCACATATTCCAAATTGATCTCTACTTTTGCTTATACATCTACTTTTGCGTACATACACACAACTTTCCCCACTCTTTCTTTACCCACCTCGGAAGAATATAGATCCACCTGCCACGAACATCCTCCCCATAGAAAAGATTCCGTCTCCTCATGTAATTCTGGACCTGGAAGAAGAAAGTTGTACTACTACGTTACGGTTATTACGGTGGTGGTGGTGGTTGATCCTCGTCGTCGTCGTCGTGGTAGTCACAGGAGGAGGGAGAGACGACACTTTTTTCATCACCTGCTCACCTTGCTTACTTTTCTACACACCTCACATCCTACTTTCACCACCAACAACGTGACCACCACACAACCTCCACCTCCTCCTCGTCGTATTTATGAGAGAGGAGATTTTTTATATCAATAGTTGCACAAGATAAACATTATTGTATTCAAGAGCACAACTCTAACACTACTTTCGCACAATTACTACTATACTCTTTCACTGGCTGAGTGAGTCAACCGTATGTACAAAATTTTGATACATTTTTACCCTATCACTCTCAATCTCTTGGCCAAAAGTACGATAACAAGGGTAGGATTAACTAGAGATCAGATATACGACTTTCTAGTACCGTATTTCTATTATGAGCCAAGGGGACAAACCGTCCACCTCGGCTCAACTACAAGAACAAATATTCCCTACAACCCCGGAGAATCCTAATCTTCATAGAATTTTGGTCACAAAGTGTTCATCTTCACCGCCACGAAGTCGCAGTCAAAGTGCTGGAAGTGCTCATAAGGAAGCTCTCTTATTTTTCGAGAGACACCAACTTTTTAAAGAGGAAGAGGATAATCCTGCCCTTTCTGGAGCGTCGTCGCCCCTCGGTGGCAGCGAGACTGAGAGAAAACGTCGTCACGAAGACGAGGAGAAGCGCCTCATAAGGAAGAAAAGTCTTCGAGGTCGCAGCCAGAGTCAGCCGAGCCAGATTTTGCTGTGTACTTCAACCGGTGGGACGACAAGTATCACGACCTGCACAACTACCGGCCTGGGTTCGGGTGACATTGGATTATCCTCCAGTGAGCAGCGTCAAGAGAAAAAGTGCTCCTCGTGGCTGGAACAGATTCAATTTACTGCTCAATACCAACATTATCGGACTAATGATTACTCTTCGGTTGTGAATTCGGCTTATTCTCTGGATAAAGCGGGTCGTGGATCGGGACAGGTTAGTTGAATGCATGCAGTTCTACTACTAAAAGTAATCCATGCGTCATAATTCAGACGTACATGTAAAGGTCAATCAATTCTTGATACATTAAGAGAAGAAGAATAACATAAAACATTCCGAAATCCTATCACAATGAATGAAGCACTTAATGACTTGATATTTATGTAGATATACCAATTTCCTACCGAGTGATGTCGATGTCATGTTATGCTTGCAATGTGTATCTCTGCATAGACGAAAGTTTTGCCAATTTTGACTAAATTACGACCTCTCCTGATGAAATTTCTGGCCTTGACATTATCTTAATGTTTTCCGAGAAATGTGAAACGTAGTAGAATTTACTTACTTTCTTACTTTCACCAATCAAAGAAGAGGAGAAAGTCAGCTTTGCGTACACTAAATACATATCGTCGTGACATTTTGCGAGATTCTCTCCCGAGTAATATTATACATAGTTTAAATACCAAAACCTACTTTTTCGACATTATTACTGGAGATTTTTTTACTGTGAGTGAGCATATTAAGCGGAGCACTGGTATTTAAAGGCAGAGCTGAGATGAACCAGTTCCACAGTTTACCTCAGGTAATCCAATATCATCGCCAGATTCCATTTCCACGAGTATTCATAAATAAGCACAATAATGCTTTTATCACGTATTTATTGCAATGCATGTTTTTCCGTGATTATCGTAAATCAATCCGTTCTCTGCATGTGGCATGAGTTAAATTTGAGTTATTGTATTGCATGTCAATGATTTTGTGTGTGTCGTAGTGCCAGTTGTGTCTTCATTCCGTACATAAAATAATTTCCGGAGAATAGTCATCATCAAGTCATTCGGTGCTGCGTGTGTTGTCATTTTCCCAAAATTTGAAGAAAGGTAATATCCAGCCCAGAGCGTAATTTTCTCCATTATTTAACGTTATGTACATCAGTAAACACATTACGTTCGTGGATGGTTACCATTTATCTGTCCTCAACGTGTAATTCGCCTTCGTAATGTGAAATTATTTACAAAAAGGTCCGATAATACGTATCTGTCAGGAATCCATTAACACACAAAATAGAATTTTATCTAGTTTTACTTAGGAGCCAGCTTTTTACCAGTCTGCACTTTTTTGCATGCTAACTATTTATTGGAAGCCATCCACTAAATAAGCAAAAGCCAGTGGACAGTCCAATAATAATAAGTGTTGGGCTTGTTACGATAATGTATAAAATTATAAGTGAATAGTACATATTGCATTCAAAAGTAGGCTTTTTGTATTGTGTTTGGCTCTATGTAAAAACTGCGGACGGATTAATGGATGAGAGTTCTTTTTAGCTTTTTACTTGTTACACATTGCTCTTCTCTCTGTTCTGGTCTGGTATTAGACCAACCGAACCTAATTCAAATGCGTGGCCATTATTTTTATTACCAAGTAAAAAGTGGTTGTGAGTAAATGTAACGTTATAATTTTAACTGGGCTCTGCATTTCATCCATCGTGTACATACACCAGTTCATAGACTTACAGTTCTCATGATTCTTCGTGTGTCACTCACTGCTTAGTGGAGAACAGTAGGATAGAAAATTTGTGAAAATTCTGCAATAATTTGTTCCTTTGCATTATAATTTGCTTTAATTTAAGTGTAAGCACATCCCAAAACCTGCTCGGGAATTAATAAGTAATCGTCAAGTCTCACTGCCGGAAATTTTACACGATAGCTTCACTACACGTAATCTGCTACCTAATCTCTCACACACACACAGGTAGTCGTCACATTAGATACTCACACTTACACACCTGCGGCAAATTCACTGTGAAATTATTGTAATTATTAGATACGGAATAAGCAAAGGTCAATGCAAATTTTTGCAATTAATTTCTCTTCCATGTTTTGATACTCATGTAAAGATTTGCATTACATTTTGCAATCACGCATTTTTGACATGAGTTTTCATATCCCTGTCTTTTCTTCACAATAGATCGCTGGACTTTTAAGTGGTGCAGGTGGTGGAACTACAAGTACTACTTTGAAACCACCCATTTCTTCAACCCCACCCACTCGCCGGACAGCTCCGCCTCCCCTCTGTTTCCACTTTCCGAAAGTGAGGGTAAAACTCCCCCGAATTTTTAACGCCAAATCACTCGACGACATCCTCGGGACGAATAAATCCTCGTCTACCCGGAGTAATAATAAGTCTCAACAGCAGAAACTAGTCTCATCTACCACCTCATCATGCACGTCTCCTCATCCTCATAATTTGGAGATCGATCTCGACAGCAATAGCAGCGTGGGCATCACAACTCCCGGAATCACCAATACGACCGGAGGTACGAATGTGACAGAAGGATTTACAACGACGAGTGGCTATTTTTCCGACCTAGATCGGAGAGAAAGTTGCGATCTCTTGGTCGTAGATCAGGAAGATTTTGGAGATGAGGGAGAACGGAGAAGGAGGCATTCAAGTCTCGTTTCATATTGTGAAATCAAAGTGGGGACAAAAAGTGGTGATAATAGGGATGCTCGTGGCAGTATAATAAGTAGCACGACATTACCCCCGATACCGTTGGATAGGGTAACTTCGCCGGCGATAACTCCCAAGGGTAATGAGATCATAATTTATTATTGAATGGCGTCTGACCGCTAAAATTGTTGATTTGCAGAGGCAGGATCCACAAGAAGTAGAAAGTGGTCTGGCTCATCCCTCCAGAAAACTACATCCAACTTAACCTCCGCATTTCTCTTACGAATCCCCCCGTTTTCCTCCTCCTCAGACAATAAGTCCCCTCAGTACAGTAAACAGAAACAATCTAAATTTAATAAGAATCCGAGTAAAAGTCAGAGTTCCGGGTCTTTAAACAGAGTGTCAGTCGTATCGTGTGCCAATCCCACAAACGGTATTTCAGCACGTGCCAAAGAACCTTGTTCTGCTACGACCAGCAACCCGATTGCCAAACAGATTACCAAGTCAGATAATTATCTAAATCGCATCGTCACCTCCACTTCGGCCCGATTCTTTTCCGTCGGAGGAGGTAAATCCTCCGCAACGACGGCGGAGTGTTCAAGTACTGGTAGAAATAGTAAAGGTATTAAAACCAAGGGGAATAAAAAGGAGAACAGCAACAAGGAGAACAATAGTAGATCCAGTATTAGTGGAGCTAGTGTTACGAGCGACTTTAGCAGCACCACGTCAGATCAACCTCCTTCTACGCAGAGGAAATGGACTACTGTGAAGCACAAGTGGGATCTAAAACTCCAATTACCTCCCAATGAGATTGACTCTGATTCCACGAGTAGTCAACAACCCGAAGAATCTCAACGCTTACTTTTTATCAAGTCACAAATAGGACAATTAGTTGAAGCTCAAGCGAAACAAAGGCAAGCTTCACTGGACTATGGGGCGTCGCAATCTCCAAAAAGTGAAGTTCATGTTAGACCCCATGAGGCGGGCAGGGTCTCTTTTCGCCTAGAACCAGAAGAAATCCCGGACACTTGCATTTTAAAGGGTTCTTCGTCCTTTAACAGTACGAGCAACTCGTCCCAAATTGCGAGCCCGTCAGGAGGAGAACTTTATCGTGGCGACGATTATTCCGAAGACGGCGACGAAATGACGAAATCGCAGCAGCACCACCATTTCCACTATGCTCCTACTAAATGTCAAGGTCGCAACAGAAACGTGAACCAGCCCGTCGTCGTCGCAGACAATGCACCCAGTGGTTCTACTAAAAGTACCTCCAACAATAAATCCAAGGAGAAAGTGCACCTAGTCGTGGCGAATGTTTCCTACTTGCAGAGACCGATTTCCCCTTGTCGCCCTCCTGGTCACACGACCACGCCGACGACGCCCTCCACCGCTGCATCGTCCCCTGGAGTCTTTTCACTCCTTCCATCTGGGCCGGCCTCAAGTGGAGACTCGACAATTAAATGTACAAAGTCATCAAAATCAATTGCAACGAGGGGGAACATTAATGAAGCGAGACTAATTGGGGACAACATTAATAACGTTGGTGGCGTTGGTTGTGGGCTGTCATGTCTCAGCTACAATAGGGACGATGTCCTCTCGCCCGTTGTTAACAAGCTAAATGAGAAGGAGGATAAAAAGTGGAGTGGTGGTGAAGGTGCTAAAAAGTCTTTGTATGGGCAAGACGAGGATTATTGTGCTGGTAACAAAAAGAGTGACACATTGATATCTGCTGGCAGTGATACGAAGAGAAGATCTCTCCAAAATCAGAATCAATTTGGAGCTACGACGACGAGGAGCGATGTGGATTCTTCCGATTCTTCCGCATTAACAAGGTGAGTGATAAAGGAGATTTTTGAACGGAATGGTAGCATATCTAGTTGAGTGAGGTAGTAATGCGTTGTAAGCGATTTTCCATGTTCATGGAACTCTGGAAGTAGATAAAATTGGCAAAGTTGTTGGTGTCTCTTTCACAGTAAAAATGGATAGCATATCTCTTATATTACCATTGGTATTGGGTTAGGGTTACTCATCGTCTCATAAAGAAAAGCAGTAAATCATCTTCATTTCTTTCAAGAGCAGGAGGAAAATGAGGAGAATTTGACGTTTTAAACAGAAATTCCTAATATTTAGAGAGGAATTTTCACCACCCAGATTGAATTCCAAGAAGTCTGATTTAAAGGCAAACCATATATTTATGTATGCCAACAGTGCAAAGATAAATATGTTTTTTTTGTAGAAATTGTAAATATGTGAGGCATGCATCATGCATTTGGCCGAATAACAGTTGGCGAGAACTCTTCTTTTCTAAAACTGAAATGGCACATAAAGTTTTATTATTTCATTTCTTCTGCAAAAACCAGACCAGAACGATACAACAAAGATTTTATTTAATTAAAGTTATGACTTTATTAGATTTTACGAGAGTACATATTTAGTGTTTTGCTGGCATATGTAATTGTCTTATCGAAGAAATTGTAAAGTCTAATCTTCATTTAAAACTATGCATAGTCGCATTTTGCAAGCGTGTTTACTAAAAATTTTAGAGATCAGTAACCCTCTTTGGTCATATTTTAAAGGGCTCGGCAAATAATACAATAACCAATTTATTTTTACATGAACATTCATTTAATGGAGAAATAAACATGAGCACGCACAAATCTCACAAAGCTTATGACCCGTCATGACTTTTCAATCCATGAATTAGGATTGAGCACAGCACAGAATTTCAACTTTGCCTTTATCATCACACCAACAATGTAAATATCTCAACGAACCATAGCAAAGTACAAATTTTGTTTGGCAACATTAACATTTGACTACATATATAATTCATGTTATCCAAATTCAATTTGAGGAATGGACATGAACAGAGACGCCTTCAATGTATTGCAAAATTATGCAAAGATTGGAATTTGCAGAGTCAATAAGTGCATGCATGTAGAGAATGACTATATTTTAAAGTATTTCATTATGCCTCACAACAACGATGTATTTTGTCCGAGAATAGTGAACTTATTGACACCCAAAAGTCACGATAACCCACACCGTCTTACTATTTGCGAGGGTGTGTGGAACAACAACACACATTTTTTAAATCTTGATAAAAAAAACTGGCTTTTTCGGTGGGTGAGGAGAATGCTAATGTTTGTTCATTTGGATTTTGCCATCATATTAATTTCATGGGTTGTTTTCTTCTACGTACATGATTAACTGATTGACGTAGCCAATCTTGAATATTCTCACTGAAAAAGCCAGACGGAAGAATCAATCACAATCAAGTTAAAGTGAAACCAGTTTCCCTTTTTTAAGGAAAAAGATTCCATCCTTTCCTCCATAAATTAAGGGATTGCTGATGATAATCCAAATTCCCACCAAATAAAAATCTTTGGTTTCATTACACGAGAAAAATTTAGGAATGCCAAATTTGATTGGCATTCCAAATTTATTGGCAAAAAAAATCATTACTCATGAAATGGCACGAGATAAACGATATCCGTACGGTTGTTTTACGCTATAGTATGATTTGTATGTGACATGATAATTGCTAGAGATGAGTCGTGTCGAGGTTTTTCGAAACACGCACGACACGAACACGAAGCTCGTGTCACGTTTTGCACGAACACGAACACGGCTCTTTTAAAAAAATTCACGCACGACACGAAACACGACTTTGTCTGCCAGAAAAATGCCCAACACGCACGGAAAATTTTTTAAGACGAAAAAACACGCACGACACGCACGATGCGACAACACGCACGGCACGCACGATGCGCACGACCAAAAAATGTCGGTTTATTTTGCATTTGAGCTTTATCGTGTCGGGTATAGCAACAGAATTGTTTGACACTATCATGAATAATTGTCACTTAACCGACATTTTCAATTTCCAGAGTGTAAAAATGCAATTTTACGAAGAATTTAGCACGCTGGCACTAGTAACCAATGTCCCGCTGCACAGCGTGCGTGTAGTGCTAAAAGTACCAACACGCACGACACGAGGATACTATTGGTTTTGCACGCACGCACGCACGAAGTGTTTGAGTGAGGGCTACACGCACGGCACGACACGGCTCACGTCGACGCACGCACGACACGATGCACGATCGTGTCGTGCGTGTTCGTGTTAACACGAAAAAGTCGTGCGCACGGCTCATCTCTGATAATTGCACTGATCAGCCTCTGGCACAAATTCGAATAAGTAAGCAATATGCATACGTATTGTCTTTTTCCGTATTTATTTCTTGCACTCACTGTAAACATCATCATCAGTTTTTGTAGTAAATGAATCTGTGCAGCAGGTATGGATGATAGTCAAACCATAAATTAGTATGTCGTCGTTTCACGATTTGCGGATCAATGGCCCTCGCTCGCAAGAAGAAATCATCAAACATTGAAAATAGGCAGGTAGCAGAAGGAGATGAAGATGAGGTTTTAATAAATCTGAGACGAGGCAACAACAAAGAACAACCTACTGTTAATATTCTGCTTACCAAAGCAGCCCAGCTGACGCTACAATGGAATTCAGTCATACATATACATATGTAAAATCCAAAGGCAGTTCTCACCGCATCACAATCAGAATCAGCCTGACCGATTTTTTTCTATTTTTCCCATACACTTTTATCCAAGCCCCATGTAAAATAATGTAAATATTTTTTCAGTGGAGATATTCACTTACCAGTATGATTTAGAAAAGCAGAGAGAAGAAGTAGCAAATATGAGTATTAAAAATCCTGACGAAGATATTTTTACTTGTAATATTTCTGTAGACATACTTCTCCCTAAATGAATATCCCTAAATCCCTGCTGAAATGAAATGAAAAAAATAGATTTTACCTCAATACTTATTGCACCAGTTCATCCATCACCATCACCACTAAAACTATCATACTGCTCACTCATACATAGTCACAGACTCACCTCATCTCACCGGAAATGTGCCAACCATTAATGTGATATCAACACATCCTCCACAACAAAATCAGTGCCGCTGATTGCTCACATCAAGTAGAAATAGATACATAAACATGACGTACTATTACCACACTATGTGTTATTTGCGTATAAAGAGCTTGTGATGAAAAAACTAGGTGTGGGCTTTTACACACAATAGTTACCTTCTTCCTTAATCATGGACTTGCATCCGTCCGTCCATTCCTTGCTTATTTTCCTCGATACCTTTATCACCACATAACCGGGCACATAGACATTCATAGCTCCAAGAAATTTCATCTCTCTTCCTGCAAATTCTAATAGATCATCGTAATAATCCGGATTGCCTGTTAACCTTAAAGATTTCTGGCAAATTCTTGCCCTTCTTACTCGCATAGTAAAGTCCAAAAACCAAATACTTGTTTGCTGTTGTGTCTGTAATGCAGACGTGTCATACACATTATTCCACAGAGAATGAATAAGATTTCCTCCTTCTTGTTTTTTACTTACAATACACGGTATTCTGTATTGCATAAGAATAAGAAGAGAACTCTATCCGTTCACTTCATATACAACTCCCACATTCTCTTCTCCCTTATAAAGAGAGTATTTCAACCCCATCCAATCCAACCAACCTACTTGGTTTTTAAGCAAGTGTATGTAATAAGATGAAATTGCATTGCATTGCAGCATGGCCAAACTGGTAGAAGTAGAACCATCCCATCCCAAAATCCTCATCAGCCCGAAATGTATTGTAATGTTACGGTATCTTTTGAAGACGAAGGTTCACCAGACTACTGAATAGTAATCCCTGGTAGGGGAGAAAATTTTAGAAAAGTCAGCATCATTTTTACACTGTAAATAAGTATTTTATTCTATTTTATAAGCGAAAAACCAAACCATTTTACTCTGTGTATTGTTTGTTGGCTGGCAGTATTAACCGTATTAAGGAGCGGACTTTCTTTTATTTTATTGCCAGCATTTCGCAGTCCGGCTTCTTCAAGTATTTTTTTAAGAGGAAATGCCATATGTGCTAAAAACTAGTTGAATACGCGAGTTGAGTTGAGACGGTTAAATAAATAGGTTTTGTGTATGTAAGTTTTTTTAATAAAGCGTATATTTCGTTGGTATTAAATGTTTTGCGGTGACAGTCAGTGTGGTGGTTTTGTTGTTATTATGTATTAAAAGAGTGACATCAGTTAACATTAACATTGTTAAAATTAGTGGTGTCGTGGTCGTGGTTTGGTGTTCTAATTTATAAGAATTTTTGGCAATCGAATTTTACACTCATTACTTGGATGACAGTAATTGAAACATCTGGATTTGTGTGACATTGAATATTCAAAGCTGACAAAAAAATATAAACGGAGCTAAAGAGATTACAACTCATTATTACAAGTAAGGAATCTTGTTTCTACCCAAATTTTCTTTTCACTTATAAAGATAAGAGTGATCTTGACTGTGTAAATGCATTCAACAGCAAGATTATAAGTATATTTTAGCACAACAGTTTCTTTAGTCATATAGTGCAGATTATAATGAATGGGGGTCGACTCTTTTTTTGCGAACAGTTGACTCACTACCAATTCATATGCAACAAGCTGATCGTCGTTTCGTTACTGCAATCTGCAAATATTAGGTTGGCTTATTTGGTACGATTAATGTGACGAACTCGATGCCAATCGATATGGGATGATAATTTAGAAAGGGAAATTTAAAGGGTCATTTGTTGCGACTATAAATAAATACATAAATAACTACATGTTGAGGGACACGGTCGGTAAAAAGTGTACAAAATTCCAACATTTTTGTCAACGTTGTCTTCTTCTGGTGGGGTATTGGGTTCCTTAAATAAACTAAAGTAGTAATAGTAGTAGTAAGCAACGTGTCGTGGAATCGGACCGATCCGGGTAAATTGTGCTCGAAAGGGAAGAAAATTAAGCCTCCCTGTTGCCCGTGAAAGTAGAAGGAAGTTTGTGCTGCTATAAGTGAGCAGTGACAGATGGGAAGCACTTGAGCTTTCTGAGGATAAGGAAAAAAATCGATAAGTTTCCCCCATTCGAACCGACAAGAACATTGAAGTAGAAGCTGTTGAAGAACATTTCACGGTTTTTGTTGTGTTTTCTCCGGTTCAACAATACAACAAAAGAACAGCCCGGACAATTGCGAGGCTAAAATTATTTGATGTATTAACGAGTTTTGTCATTAGTATTGATTTATTGAAGTAAATATATGAGTCATCCAAGTACAATTTTGCGTGTCAATGTCATTAGGGTATTAAAGTTGGGAAAGGGGACACAACGCAGAGCAATCGTTAGTATTGGTTCAGTTTTATCCAGAACGTGATACGTGCATTTGGGGAACTTTACAAGGTATTGAGATTTTGAGAATGCCATTTATTTCATACAATACGTACATTTTTTGCATTTCAGTTGCATATATGATTGATAATTTTGTAACTACAAACTAGGCGAAAATTTCATCTTAATGGTCATACTACTCCTTTTTAGTCTTTTTAAGCTGATATAGCAGTAATTTTTAATCGTTAAACATTATTGTTGCCTTAAAAAATTAGATGTTACTCTAATTATTAGTACGTACCACTAAAAATTATGCATACACATGTATGTGCACATCTAACAAGACGAAAATTCATTATAAAGCTATAAAATCATGAAATGTTTCATTAATGATGAAAGTCAATGATTTGCGTGGGCTCAATTGGTGACTGGTGGGTGGGTAAAAATAGTTCAAAGTTGAGAAATCCATTAATTGTTCATTTAGTTAAGTGACAACGCTGAACCAAGTTATGTCACTTTGCCAAGATGTAGATAAGTATTTAATCAATAAAGGGATTAAAGAGAACACAATGAGAAATGTAACAATGAACATCAATTAAAGTAATTCAACATGGATTTGTCAATAATTTAACTTGTACTTGGTGGGTTTTGCATAACACAAAATATTTAGAAACTGGCTGAGTTGGAAAAGATTTCGTATACATTATTTATTCTAACCGATTAGTTAATTAGTGAATGACTTTAATGAAAGTGAATTTAATGTTTCAGATTTCACCCCGAATTTCAAGAAGAACACGACGCCGACAAAATGGGAGACCTTCAAAGTCCAACCTATGTCAAAAGGACGGCTCACATGTTCAACTCTATTTATTCTTCACAGGTAATAAACCTCCGAAAAGTTATATTTAACTATGATGTTCAAATAGAGAGATACATGCATAAGTGTGTCACTCGCTTATAAAGTCACAAACTGTCATGTCAAACACTCGTTTTTAAAAGTCAATTTCTGCCATGTTCATGCTCCTTTCACTTCATTTATTGTTAGGCCAGGATTATTCAAGTTAAACCATATACACTCTCAAAGTAACTGCAAAATATTATTGCAAATGTTTCAATAGCATTATTGAATATTTGCACATTTGCACTTTCGTTTAGAAGGCGAGATTCAAATCGCAAAGTGCATAAATAATGTATGTACAAATATGCATGCAACGGTGGTTCATAAATGTGTACTGAGAGCAAAATGGGTTTTGTATGTACGTAATTACCAATGTGTATGCTGTTTGAGTAGGACATTTCGATGCTTTTATGGATATCCAAATTATAATAAATTTGTACAATGCAATGCAATGCAAAGTGGAATTTTGATAACAGTTCAAATATCTGTTATCTAATCTTAATTTAATTTTTTTCCCAGAATGGATCACCTCCCGTTGTGGACCACAATCCATCATACCTAAACGTATCGAAGTCAGTAAGCGGCTACTCCTGTCTTTCCTACAATGGGAACAGTGTCACGAATGGGATAACTACTGTGACCAACGGAAGTTCAGCACCAAAAAATAGAATATCTAGTAACGGAGCGTCATCAACATCAGCTCCTCCCTACTCGCACAGATTTGTACAGAACGGTGCTGGAAAACCTGCAACAGCATCTTCAAATCGCTCAGAATTCAGAATCAAAGTCAATCAGAACCAAGATCAGGTCCGATCAGGATCACCCAACTCTAGAGATTTGGCACTGTCTCCGACACGAAAAGGTAGCAAGTTGTTGACCAAAGATATAGACGAGGACGTTTCCGATTCTAATTACGTCCCCTCGCACGGAAAATCCTTCATCATGCAGAGAATTGAGCGACTTTATGGTTCTGATGCACACACTGTGACTGCCTCGACGGGAATTGCGACGAGGAAAACGGTCAATCAGTCTGGAGTTGGGGGAACGGTTACCACAATCAAGTTTGAAACAGTGCATCACCATCAACCTAGTCGGGGAAAGGAGACTATAATTCCGATTCAATTGGAGAAAGAAAACAGACCGGAAGTTGATCCTTCCATAAAAACTTGTATTCAAAGCTCAATAGTTTCCAAGGATAGAGAAGAAATCAGTCAAATTTCGTCTTCTGCTGGATATGAAAGGTGCTTCAGAGGGGACGAGATTTTAATACGAGATCAAAATGACGACGACACCCATACCAATATTATTAATATTAAACAAGAAGAATCAAAAGAATCAGAATTATCATCAGAAATGAAATCAATTTTAAATCATAAGTCATTTGGAGGTCTCGGCAGTGTCACTTCCCTTGAACCATGTCCTGGAAAACATAAACTTGAAACAATCACTCTGGATGAGAAGGATAGACACTTGCTAATTTCAGGCAGTGATAGCAATTGTAGAGCAAATGGAGACCAGCCATTATTGGCTCCAGTGGAAGAAAATACCGGGAGCAGCAGTAGTAGTATCATTGCGACGGATAAACAACCTGTTCCTTTAACCAAGACAAAAGTTAGCATGGCAGATCTCAAAGATGGCAACTATTTTCTTCAAGAGATGAGAAACACTGTAACCGAGCTGCAGAGATTGTGTGACAAGGCGACCCCGGAACTCGAAACGCTCGACCAGCAGAGTGACCGGGCTGGAAATATTTTAGCTGCCGTTGGAAAGTCGAATCTGCTCATTAAGAAAAAGTTTAAGCAGTTTGAAGAACTCTGCAATGCTAATTTGGTAAGTAGTTTACTTATTGAGTTATTGATATGAATTGCAAGTTGGTTAGTTTTTAATGATTTTTGTCTAATTTATTTGCACCTTTTAGCGAGGCGTTACAAGTGACGAACCAGCAACAACAAATGACGATCTGGCCGGATTTTGGGACATGGTGATGTAAGTTATTATTTATCTATGTATAATACTTAATAGTTAATTTTGGGTCTCCTGTATTTAGTATTTTTTATTTACGTAAAATTTTTCAGGATCCAGGTTGAGCAAGTCTTTAATTTGTTTAAGGATATCGAAGAGAATAATTCCGTAAGTTATACGACACGAATTATTCACTACTTAACATTAAGAAGACACGATACTAATTATTAATTAATCAACTTTCTTAGGGTGATACTTTGGATGTGAAACCAAAGACGACCAGTTCTCCAAAGAAAACAGCTCCTAGAGCACCGTCAACAAGGCCCACAGCATCAAAGTCACAAATCAGTGCTGCTGCCAAGGCCAGGTATTCGCCCTACATTTAATAATAAAATATTTATGATAATGCTATGCTTAGTAATATGACTAATTAAAATCATGTGTGTAGGGATGAATCCCGTAGAAAAATGTTGGCCGAGAGGCGACGACAATTAAAAGAGCAAGACGAAGGGACCAAAGCTCAAGAAGATGTAGTAATATTTACTCCAGAAAACAATTAAATCTTCACACACCAGCAAAATTACAAAGTGGCCACTCCTCCTCAACTTCTTCAATTCAAACCCAATAAGCAGCAAGCAAACCATTAAAAAATATATTGACTCTTGCACAGTTTGTCGATTAATTTGTAATTTTTGTCGCTTTCCAATTTTAACTTTATATATGACTCGCTAAATTGTCCAGTGTGGAGATTTTTTTATTTTATTTTTGTACCTTTTGTCAGTTGATTTTTTTTCAACCAAAATGACCAAAGCTTTTCGCACAGCAGGTTCAAATTTTGTACTGTACTATAAAATACGCAGTGTTATTTCTAACTTATTAGATCCGATTAATTGAATTAAGGATCAAAGTACATTGTCTGAAAGAGATTATGATTCATGAGACAACAAAACAAATGATGAGATGAGAAGAATAATTATAATGACGACATACAAACCCAACCAATTAACGTTTTATGTGGTTTTATTACTAAACCTAAATTCATAAATAGATTTGACTTGCTTCTCTCTCATGTCATGAATGGTGAAAGTGTGCAGAAAATCGCGATTTTACCCATTTCTTGTTTGACCGTTTAACCTTGTGTAACCAACTAATAGTACAATTATTGAACATTGACCAGCTTTTGATGATTGAAATGAACTTGATCCATGTAGTAGAATCTCACATAAAAGTAACGCTACTTGCAGAATAATGAATGGATCGACTACTATTACATAAACTTTGTTTTTAAGAATCAAACAGAGTATGTAGTCACACTTTTAGCATTTGTACAACAAATTGTGTGTAGTTGTGGGGTAAAACCAATTAATAATAATCAATAGAAACCAATATAATTTTTGTACCGAAGAGAAAGTTAAGATGAAACATAATACTGGAGCTATGGATGGATTTTGGAGATGAAGAACAATTTCATACATTTTTCATGAAACCAAATAATTCTAGAATTACGAGTATTTATTTGAAATATTGGACTAAATTTTTGAATTATGTTTTGTAAGGGAATGAATTGTAATTAGTTAATAGTCGTGCATACCTATTATGTAATCATGTAAGATGATGATAATGATTCGTATTTGTCAGTATCGCAGTTAATAATAATAATTCCGGTGCTCACTACACTCAACCCGTTTAAATACAGTATTGTTGTAACGTTGTTATCATAATCCATTCGCTGTAGTCAATAACGAGTATCGCGAGTCAAAGGTTTACCACTATTACAAAAGTATGGAATTGATTGATAGAAACTTTGCCGTGTAATTTTGTCAAACTTTGATCTAAATTTAAATAATTACTTTTGATTGATGAAGCAATCCAGTGTTAATTTTATCAATGTGTTAATTACCTACACTCAACATTTCATATTTTCGTTACTTTTCCGACGATTTAAGGCTGATTTTTAATTTTTTTAAAGCTTGACCATTGATTACAGATAATTTGAACGAGTTGAAATCACAATAATAAAGCTTGTAAAGATATTATGATGAAATGTGCAATATTTTATTTCTTTCATATCTGATAGTATTTATCATTATAACAAAATATTTATGTTGAAATCGAAAGTCCAAATTTATTAAAACATGTATTAAAAACTATTAACTTTCCTTATCTTATTACATGTTAGTCAGAATCGTCAGAGTCGTTATCCTCCATATTATCATGTTGATGGTGATCTTCAGTAACAGTGCTACTTGCAGTACTGGCTGCAGCTTCATCACTTTTCAACTTTGCTTGCAATTTTTTTGCAGGATTAAATACTCCATGCGTTTGGGCTTTGCAGGCGAAACACCTTTGGGACTTTTTATAATGGTCTAGTGCACATTTCTCACAAAAATAGTGGTTGCATCTAAGAAAAAGTAAGAAAAACATTCGGGTTAATTTTTTTAAGCATCGACACGTATAAGAATTTTGGTAATCTTACTTGGTCACGACTGGATTTGTAAAAGAACTTCTACATAAAACACATTTAAAAGGCAAGTCTTCATCATCTGAATCGGAAATTTCATATTTTTCAGCGTTGTCGTCATCTTTCCCGTATCGTCCTTCTGCTACTTCACGTTCAATCTGCCACCCAAACTTGTAATCCGAACGGTCGTGAAGAAATTTACAACTATCTGAAATATAAGTAAAGGAGAAAGTTAGATGACACAGGATGATTACCACACGACGACAAACGAATGATTTTAATATGATGCACCCCTTATTACCTCCAAAGCCGCAGAAACCAGTCTCCTTGTAATCTTTGCAAATATCGGGTTGATAATCCCATCTAACAGTAACTCTTAAATTGTCGGGTGCTCTTATTGGCCCCTTTCGGTTACTCCCACTGGCCGCATTCCCCATGGCGGTGTCCTTCTTTTCATAAAATTGAGTATAATTGTTCATCCCACGATATATCCCGTCGTCCGCTTTCCCCTTAAGTTCCTTATTTATGTCTAAAGATCGCTGAAATACGGCTTGAGCGTCCCGATCTCTTTCCGTCTCATGTTCCACGATGGCTGTCGCACCCATGTCCGTTGGGCCGTCCCTTTCCGACGTTTTGGTGGACTCATAATGAACTCCGACACGGCTAGGGGCGGGTGCTGATTCGTCGCCTTCTTCTTCAGACGATGAAGAGTTTCCACCTTCGCCTTTTTTCATATATCTGCGTCCCCCGGTCTAAAATTTGTACAATAATTATACAACTATGAAAAATGAGAACCAAAAGAATTTTAAAATGGTGTAATATAGAGAAACTAACATTTTGAATCATAGGATTAGCTCGGCGAGCTTTCTTTTCTATCCGCACAATCTTTGTTTCTCCGTCGCTGCTTGATGATGCTAAAAAATAATAACATAACATATGTTAGTTATCTTGTAACAGTACAGTACCAATTAAAAGTTTATAATTTCTTCATTTGACTTACAGCTATCTGATTTTTTTGAGACTTCTTCCCGTTTCCTCGCATTTTGCTGTCCCCTTCTAAGAGGTTTTCGGAAACTAAAGCTGCACGAAGGACCGGTCGACGTTCCTTGTCCTTCGTCTGGGTTATCAGCCATGATTATCGTAGTATTTGCAGTAGTTATAGCGTAATAACAATTGTACTACTATTATTTAATGTTATCTGGTTTTAGCTATCTGAAATTCAAACAATTTAGATAAGTTTTATTTGGATAAATAAACGTTACAGGCACAATTTCTTAACCTGTCCAAAACTGAAGTGTTTAAAATAATTACGACAAGAGAGACAAAGGGACGAAATTTGCTTACTTTGTTGAACAATAGTAATAATATATTTATTTTTAACAAAATTTTAAACTTCCAAAGTTTATCACAATCACAACCACACGATAAATAAGAGACAGAGAGAAAGTGTGTAAACACAGAGAAAGTGTAAGCGAAGTGTAAGCGAAGTGAAAGAAATCGTTTCGCTGTGCAAAATGGTTAAACGGCGTGAACCTAATTCTATGCTCCTAGAAATCCAATGGTTTTATTATTTTTCATGTAGCATTTTGGTATTTCTGTCTGCGCAAACTATGGTTTGCATATCACATATGCATATTAATTTGTTCAATATTTTTGATCACGCTCGTCAATTAATCTGAACTATCGTGGTAAATTGAGCTTTACTTCAATCCTTTGAAAAATATATTTATTTCGATTTTACAAATAAGTATGTAATATGCAAAACTTAATTTAAGTCCTAACCCAACAGCTCAATTTAAGACTGAAGTTATGTTTAATCGCAAATATAAATATAGGGAATCCGAAACTTCTTTATTTTTGCGATAAAATAATTAAGCAGAAGTGCATCTTAATTTTGAACATGCTAATCTGTATGACTTTAAAAATGGTACAACTGTTCATTTTTATATTAATTTTCATATACGTTTTATGAGCTCTATTCTTTATATTCTATGGCTCTATGTGTGGCATTTCACATCGAAATGAAATAGATTTTATCAAAATTTGCCGTCGATACTCACAAGTCACAAAACCGAAGCCTTTGGTAACTTATGTATATTCGTCCTCTATCTTTGTACCTATCAAGCTTTCATGTATCCGTGTATTCGCATATTGGGACAATGCCAATATTGGTACGTGTAAGATTTTAAATTATCATGATTTGATTAAATTTTCTTACTCAAACTCAATCAAGGTAAGAAAGGTGAGTCTCATTCGAGTATAATTGATGGTCACGTTTTAAAAACAAGATGATCATATTTCACCAACAGGACAAATCTCATTAGCATAATGAAACATATGTACCTGTTTTATCCAGCCGAAACCCCTGCCAAGTTAATACTTACTGCCAAGGCAAGTTTAACATACATACATAAAATCAAAACTGGAAAGTGATTTTTTATCATTCATATGAATCATCATGCACCCTGCCAAACAGCGTCCAAAAACGCAGAAAATCTTGATATTTTCATGATATTTGGTACAATCATCATAATCATTTATACATATGCCACCCCTGCCCGTACCTCGTTTCATTTCAAAAGTTCCCCTGCCATGAAAAATAATATAATTGTAAAATCAACTGAATCGAATATCTGCCCCGAATCTAGCTCACGTAGAGGAGTGGGGCTTATCGCAAACGGTGCGTGGCGTGCAGGTGTCAAACTTATGTGTCCAGCCAAAGGAGGAGGGCCAATGCCAAGGGTACAAAAAATCTCCCCCATCATTTTTATTTCGCAAAAAACACTTACATAATGCACACGGAGGGACGGATATGATGATGTCATGCTTTTTATTATGCAAATATTCCATAGTTTTGGTTGGAGGGTACCAAAACCAGTCCAAAAGATATTCTTTTCTTCTGCTGCTGGTGGTTACTCGAGTTCATCAACCATTTCATTTCACGATTTTCGTAGCTACCGTTCCATACCGAGGAGCGAATTGTATAATAAAAATCCTCGGTTCACCGTCTAATAATTATGTCATTAAAAAACTTGGATATTCCATCTGCCAACTCTTCCTCCTTCCTCCTGCTGCCTCTTCACGCCACGCCACAATTTTGGCACGGTTGTGTTGTGTTGTTAACATCTTCAACTTTATGTGTTTGCTGCTTATAAACAAACTTCCTTCCTCTCTTAAAGACTACGAGGATTGTTACTTAATATTACGTCCATCCATGCATCCGCTCTGCTGCATGTGTGGAGTTAAATACCATCTCATTTTTGTTTTAGTCTCAAGTTCACAACATTTCGTATTTTAAAGCAGCAAATCCTTCCCCTTGCCCTTTTCCGATCATAACACACACGACGGCAATGCCATTCAGACGTTCTGTTAAATGGATTCATACAAATACATATATGGATTTTTGAGGGCTTACACACATACACACGACTCTTTTCCTCTCTCCTGGTTAAAGACCCGACCGACCAAACACCGAATCCATTCAAAACTCTTCACAACCAATTCTTCCAAACAAAGCAACCCTCTTACCAACTTGGTCGATCGGGATGGAAAACATACAGCAGCAGCATTACTACATATTATATTTTGTACGTATGTAAAGGTTGGTTGGTTACATGAAAGCAGAATATAATGCCATGCACCTCTCCTTCTAATACAACAACCTACCTAAAACTAAACTAAAAGCATCACCAGCAGGTTTTTAGTTGATGATGCTGGTCCAACATGATGGCAAAAGATGTGAATAAGGTTTAGTTGGTTGGTTGTTGGGTACCTTAGATGGATTGCATTTTACTCTTTAGTGTGGTTTTAAGAGGGGTAGAAAGAGTTCATGTTGGTTCGCTATTTGGCAAAATATTCAATCTTTTCGCCTTCCTTTAATAAAAGACATGTTAACTTCTTTCTGCATTCTGGTCTAAAAGTCGTGTATGTAAAAAGTTTGGCATTCCAATCTTCAGCAGAAAGGCTTGGTTATAGTCCGGGCTACAAGAATCTTCTTCACTTAAGTAAAATATCTTAAAACCGACAAAGTTTGTTTCCGTGCTTACTACACGATCAACATTCTTGTCTCGAGAGAGATGGAGATATTCATTCCATTTCATTAAAAAGTGTTCAGTTTGCATTCTGCATTCTTCCGAGGAGAACAACTAACGAGCTGCACAACAACGCTGAATTGCAGATACATAAAACGGGATTTCGCATTTTAGTGGATTATGCACCAGCTACATAGTTCGTTAATAAACGGAAGAGAAGAAAATCTATTCTGAATTTTCGCAAGATTAAGATTACTCGTGCAGTTTGCTGAGAAACTGTGTGACAGTGATTGTTTTGTTCATTGTTCTTTAAATTGTTGTTACGATTTCCACGTTTAGCAGTTGGTATATTACTTTGGAGCGTCTGCCTGCACTGCACGACGACTAAGAAAACGGGAGCATATATTTTGCAAATACTCGTCATTATCATCATCAACATCGTAAAGGGTAATTTTTGCAATTATTATTTCCAAATCGACTCTGTTTTGTGTGATATTCGTGCAAAAGATTGGGCTGGGAAAATATGTATGGGTGGGTTTTTTAGTTGTAAAATATAGCGTGTATGAATGAATGATACTTTTTCATGTCGTTATTATTTTTGCTGGTTGTGAGGAGAACCCATCACGATGGAGTCAATCTGATCCAAAGATCTGAGCCCTCACATAATAAATAACAATAATAATAAATTGGTTGAATAACAACTTTGACAAATTACATGTTAAAGGAGTCTTTTCTTTTGTGAGCAAATCTTTAAAAAAGTGAACGGGACTTTTTTATACCGAGTTGAGCCAAGTCAAATGGCATTAATAAGAGTTTGCATTTGAGAGATGGGATAGGATAGGTATGAAATGTGCTAAAATGCAATAAAATAAGAATATGTGCATAGCAAAAAATCAAATTCACATTGATAATGGATAACACAATTATTGCAAAATACTAGTTGGATGATTAATGAGTAAAATTACATGACTGCAATTACTAAGAATTTGGGATAAATCACGAGCTAAAGAGTAAGCAATAATATAATCTCACGTACTTAAAGTTGGTGCAAATCCAAAACCAATTGGTTTCTTGTTATACATAAATGTACATTACATGTACTTACATACTTCTATTCGAGATTTGCTGGCTTTTTGACTGGTACAACAAATTTATGACCTGTTGTAAAGTATTTGGTTTACTGCTATACATCTTAAATTTCTCTAGTGATGCCCAACCAAAGTCATTCCATCCATTTTAGACCTTTTCAAGGCAATCCCATTTTATTTTTATATTTTTTTACTACTACAAAAGGTTTAAGATTTTTTTTACAACAATTTTTACAATCTCCACATACACTTCTTTTCTATTATTATTTCCTATGTATGGGTCGTGCTAAGGTTGCTTTATCAGGAGGAAAATACTGCCTTAATATTTTATTTTCTAATAAAACCAACTTTGGCAAAGCAAAATATTGGATGGAGGAATGTTGTCAAGTGCATCATCATCTTTCATTCTGGTGGAGATTCAGGTTTATTGTTGCAAGTATTGTTCTCTTCTCTCCTTTTCAAAAAGAAGCAGCCAACCGATTCCTATCACACCTTTTGCCACCATTATGTTTACTGCACATTGCATAATACTCAAGCTATTAGTCATTCCCATTTTACTTCGTTTTTGTACAAGTGCATAAACATGGGTTGCTAAATGACAATAAAAAAATGGCTAAACTGCACGAGGAGGGTAGGAGGTGAGCTGGTGGTATTCTTTTCTATTGAAAAAGAGTCCTTTTCTGTTTTGCTCAGCAGATCGGTGTGCATGCAAAGTGAAAAAGAATAATAAGATTGATGATGAAAAATGCCGAGTGCATACAAAATTGTGGTTCAAGGATTTTTTACACAAATTTTTTGATCCATTGTGTACCTGCCCATCAAAGGAGAGGTGTGAAAAAAGCAGGAAAGAGTCGGCAAAACTGTGAGATACGTACGACACAAATCTTTTATTATGAAATTATTGTCACCAAATTATAAAAGTATTATTTTTTAATATCCATCAACCCCTTGAAAATGCATGATTGATTCGTATTAAATAATGAGAAACTCAATTTAGGCAAGTTTCATATGGTGAAATCATCCCTATACGAAATCCAAAACTGATTACTAGAAACTCAATATGATTAAATAAATTATATTGTGTAATGAATCCGGTCTATTTTTGGTGCGAGGCTGCTACCGTCATTATCGTATCAGCTACGATTCGATTTAACCAGCCAGCCTAATAAAATAAGTTGGGAGAGGGTGTTGCTGTTTTGTTAGTGGGATAGTAGTTTCCATTAGAAAAAGCTAACGTTGGAGTGGACAATGGGAAATAAATCAAAACTCTCATTCTCACCTCGCCTCCTTACAAATAAATCTGTACAATTTTGCAACAATAACAGGGAAGAAAATGGACTTAAGCAAGGCAAACAAAGGAAATTTTGTCCACTTGCTAATTTCTATACGACTCCTTCGCTGATTCTGCTGTTAATACAATGAAATCACCAACTATCTAAAGCAGATTACAAAATTATTGTATTGCATCTTGCTTCCGTCTCATTCATTTGGTGTGGACATGCAATTATGGTAAAAATAAGAGTGTAATTTGAGGAAATCTGTCACCTAATTCCAGAAGCTGACTTTAATAAATAATTCAGAGTATGCGTCATTCATTCATTGCAGAATTGTGTGCAGGAAATAAATGCACATCATAACAGATTTTTTTATCTATTTGGAGCGAGGTAGGATCAGGAGGACAATGAGTAAATATAGGTAGTAATAAATATTTCTTTCGTGTTATAAATTCCAATCCCACCCAGAAGAGGAGGGAGGTTACCTGAAAAGTCAGACGCGTGATCGATTTACCTCGTAAGAACTGTACTGGTAGGAATAGCCTAGTTTATCTTATCCGCAAAAACATATACGCAAAGTGATCACAGAGATCATCACAAACAAACAAAGCGAGAAGAAAATGTTAAATATATGCAAAATCGTGGTCTGCAAAACCTTGTGCATATTTACTCTTACATATATTTCGACATGACATTTTTGGCCTTATGCTTATCTCATTATAATATCGCACGAACGACGATATATGCAAGAAACTTATTGGAGCCCATATTTTTGCAACGAATATCAATTTACATACTATTTTCCTTTAGTTGGGAATAAATAGAACGATCGATTTTTGCTATGTATTTTATGTAAATTTGCTATAGATCGTTAAAATTTAACATTAATAATTTTCAAGTCTCGTTAAAATTTTCTTTGTTTAATGTTCCCAAGCTTTCTTATTATACTCAAGAAAGAAAAAAGTTCGTCTCGGGTACATACATAAAATTATCCGTGATGTGAGAAATACTTAATTGCTTTGTTGTTGTTTTAAACCTGGTTCATTATTGTAAAACATCTCCATAAATCTGCACATCATGATGTTAACAAGAGGAAGGTTGCAGTGTCATAATTAAAATTCATGGGAAGGTAATAACATAAAACCAAAGTTAAAATAAATTCTAAAACTTTTACTACTGAGCAAACTACGATTTGCAATTCTAAATTGCATTTGCAAACATATTTGCAGAAATACAGATGAGAAGAGGAGATTAGAGACTTATGCAGTTTGCTGATCTCATCTCTAAAATGTGCATAATAAATATATCCAAGTATTCAAATGTATTTCTAAATGTGTCCACTATACATTTGACCAACACATCACAAATCATTGGGATAAGACAGGCCTACTCACAGACCAAGAAACATTAGTTGGATCGCCCTTAACGAACTTGACGAGGAGGGTTTGTCCTCTTCATCTTCTTCTTTATTTAACTAATTTGATTTGATTGGCCATCAGTTAAATTGCAAAAGCCAAGAAACAAATATACCAGCCCATTAATTATGCTACATATGTACGAGTCGAGTCGTCAGGATGATATAAGTGCCACCAGTTAGTGAAAGAAAAGTGTGTGTTGTAAAATAATTAAGAGAAATGTGATGTGCAATAATAATAATAATACAATAATAATTACGGGATGTGCATTCATACGTAGTGATCACATTGGAGGTAATACAGTTAGCAAATTATAGGAGTGACGACTCTTTCTTTAAAACAAAAAAATATTCACCCAGTTCAGTATTTAACCTAAACCTTTAAAAAAAATTGCAGTTAGTTAATCAATTGATTGACATTCAGTTAGTTAGTTGTTCTTGATTGTGCAAACATTTGCATGCACACAAAAGTACAGAAAACCGCAATCCATCCATCAATCATCGAAGAACGAAATTTGAGAAAATGGATCACTCCACTAACCAACCAAACTTTTTTCAAAGTGAGACAAATGATTTTTATAGCACAAGGTAAATCAAAATACCTACTTTGAAGAAAGAATGGAAACAACGGCACGCTTTATTTAATCGTATACAGAGGATAACTTTATGGCTTGTCATGCCATCCTGTTACTTACCTGTTGGACATGAGACAACAATATGTACGAATAATGATGCTCAACTTTACAAGTTCGAGCGAATAATGTAAACCTTCTCGTATTTATTGTTGAATTTCGTTCCCTCGTACCGCATCACCGACAACGTCTTTACCTGATTTCCATTGTTGTCAGCCAGGGTTGAGCAATTTTCTTTGAAAAATTGAGACTTCTCTTGATGAGACGCAGCAACAAACCCTGTCGTATTTTGGTAGTAGGGCATCATGTAATGCATACCTGTTAGATTGCCAAAGCCTATCTTATAGGCATTGGCAGCTATAAGAGTCACTCGTTTAATTCAGATTGAAATCTTAAAAGAAGTGCAAAGTGGAATACTCCCCACGGATTGAGAGAGAGAGAGATAGATCATCGACGGAGCATTAGCATCAGCAATCCATCCATTTCAATGAAGTCAGGTTGAGTGATGTGGATGTTGGTTGTTGTCGTAATGTGGAGTGGAAAGAATTGCTTTCCATTCAAGATTTAACTATTAAGTACAACTAAACTGCTGCCAGGGATGGATGGGAAGTAGATCAAAATTAATCTCAGAAAGCCTTACCAACCACCATCTCATGCGACTTTTATAGTGTTATCATGTAGTGATATGCACATACATAGGTGTGTGCAGTAAGTAATAGCTTATGTAGCTGCATATCAGATATTTAGTTGACGACATAACTAACATATCAATCATCCACCGTGCACATACACATATCCATTTTGCAAAAAAAGTTGGCGTGCGTATTATTATATGCGAAACCAGTACTAAATAAGTCGATATCTTCTATCCATCTCTCAAGACGATTTTTCCACCACTTGAATAGTTTTAGTTTCCATTTTATTATTTCAGACAAGTTTCAATGAAGAAAGCTGCTGGCATGAAAAGTTTATGGTTTTCGTGTAATTTGTTGCCTTGTGGTGTGGTGTGGATATAATACTGATGGCGTCAACCGTGGGAAAATGTGGGGAGGACAGAACAGAGAGACGAACAACGAAAATGTATAATAACAAGGTTGCAAATTTTTTAGCGATAAGTATTATTATCATTTTCTAGTCTAAGGAAAGGACTTTTGTAGTCAGAGTCTTAAATAATAATTGGTTGGTCGTATGCATGATGAAGACACGTCTCACATGCTATTTACCTGTCAGGAAGGGGTAGCATATGGTATTTATATCTGGCGTCTGTATGTAGCGGACAGGTAACAATTTACTTGTAGGAAGAAGACGGAGCCACATTATTATGTTGAGGATTATCGAAATAAAGCAAACTGATGACGACGACGATGAAGAATTAGGTGAAGTTTTAGTTCACTTTGCAGTGCCTGAAGTTGGAGTCGTATGCATAATGCGATTCGTAATATGTACATATGCGGATTGAAGTAATCAGTTTAAAGGTATTTATTTTGCTGTTGTCTGTGTCGTCCTCCACTTGAGGCAGGTAGTGCAAATAGTGCAACTGGGAGTTCTGGCAGTGCTCATCTTCAAGAGTGACAATGATCCCGTTACTGCCAAAAAGTAAAGTTTAACGAAACTGCACATTATAAATTTAACACGCGGCTTCTGCTGCTACGACAAGTCCCATGAAACTGCAGCATTACTGCCATTATTTGCCAGTAGCATAATAATAATGATAATCCGACTGAGGATGAGTAGTGAAGATTTTCTTTACACGAGTAAATAGATAGAAATATGTATGTAATGTGTAGTTGGTAAGGTAAAGTGGAGTGAAAAAGTTGCATTATAATAATTTGTCATGCAAGTGCAAATGACTACGTGCTATCATAAAAAAATCTCAAAAAGAGCTCTTAAAACGTAAAAGTTATTCCCTAATTTATGCTGATTGCCACATTTTTACTCATAATTGCAGAAGTGAAGTTGGTGTGAAAAGCAGTTTACAGAAAGCAGAATAATGAATGATGCATCCATCCAGCAATAATAAGCAGAACTTATAAATTTTTGGTGGGACCAAGTGAGGAGATGATCGTTTAAGAAGTGAAGAAGAAGATTGAGCAATTACCACACAAACACGGTCTGAAGGAGGATACTAATTAGGAACAAAATGCGTGGGTCCCATTACCCACTAAATAATCTGCACAGCAAGTTTTACTGAGATTGTTCAAGTAAAAAATCTCTCAAAATAAATTATGGGGCTCAAGGATGCTACTAATTCTGAAGAGTGTACAAGTTCTAAGGAATCCATTACACCAGAGAAATTGAAGGATCGGCCACTCTACTTTTGGGTGAATAATTTGAGATAATTTAACATAATAATAGGCGTCATGTCGAGGAGAATTTCAAGAAATTGAAAATCTGAATTAAAAAATACTTTTGATTTTGCAGTTGAAATCATTTGCCGGACGCGAAATTGAGGATGATGCCAATGTCTCGGCGTTTGTGTCCAGCAACGCTCTAAATTACGCTTTAGAGTACATGTAAGAAAATTAACTAAATACAAGGTTCATGGTCCCTTTACAAAAAAATACAAAATTTTCAGTGGGATAACTCCAGAAAATGAACAATCTTCTCTCCACCTTTCCGCAATCTTTGATTCTGAAGACTCCCCCAAAACAAAGTACCCAAACCACTACGAGTCCGAAACCAAGAGTCGCATCCAATCCTTAAATCGAGTCTTCCTAGAACTAAAATCATTCTTTGAGGATCGCTACAGCCAACTTGTCGCCATTCGCCCACCCAACAGTGTCCACATTACGTCCTCGTGTGGGTCCTGCTCGGTCCAAGAATTTGAGAAATTGCTCTTCCTCCTCTTGGGGGCCGCAATTCAAGGAACACAAAAACAGGACACGATAAGAACAATTAAGCGCTTCCCAGCAAATATCCAAGAGTCGTTAATTGAGTGTGTGAAACTGGTAAGTGTGCATCTAAGATAATAAGCTGATTACTTATTAGTAATTACACAAAATAGCTAAATATCTGGACAATTTTTAAGATCGCAGATAATCCAGAGCTTCTAAATGTCAAGTCATGGAACGAGGTATATATTTTATCAATTCATGTATTCATTAATAACAAGAGTACGAGTTGCAAAATTTACTAAATAGTATAAACTAATAATTTTTTAATTACATAGTTGCAAACGATGGGGGCTGTTGAACAGCAAAAGATTTACGAAAGTCTGCTCGCTCTCGTGAGAAGGTTGATACTCGAGAGGAATGAGTTGACTCAGGTTTGTAACTACTAATTAATGTTCATTAAAATATATATGACAAGATTAATCATACAATTTACATACATTGCAGAACCAACTCATCCTCGACTACTTTGCTGGGTATACAAATTGTGACCAGAAGCGAGGTTTCAACGCCTTTTCGGAATGTTCAGCAGAAGATACTCGTCTCAGTTCGTCCATGCGTCACTTGAAAGAACAATTGTAAGTTTTTTTTCTCAATGCAATATAAATTAAATAAATTAAGTATAAATTATAAATTATAAATTAAATATAAAATTAAGTATAAATTAAATTAAACCCTAAATTCTTGGCATGGTTGCGTTTCCTAATTCTTCTTACCAAATGCATTCATTCTGAACAGAACTGAGAAAGCTGAACTTTTACAAGAATGCCGTGAAGAGCTGGAGAAGGCGAGAAATCGGATCCTGGATCTTGAGATTGAGGTGAATGAGATGAAGGGAAAGCATCGAGCCATGAAGAAAGCACGCGACGAACTTGACGCCCTACGAGAAGGACAAGACAAGGCTGTTCGACTCGAAGTTGAGGTATTTTTCTGCTGGGATGACAATTTAGTATTTGAAAAATGAAGCAACGCTTGACTGAATGCATACTTTTTTTGGCACAATAGCTTTCCAGGTTGAAGGCCAGGCTGGAAGAATCAGAGTTGGTTTATGAACGAGTGGAAAATTTGGAGATTGAAAACAGGTATTTAATCGATCTAAATAACTCGGACGGTCTTATGTTAAACTGTTCATGTAACAATATACCCCCATTTTTTATGTGTAGAAATTGGAAGGTGACGAATGACATGCTTCTTGACCAGATTAGTTTTCTCTCGTTTGAGAAGAGCAGCAGGGACACGAGTTATGACCATATGAATACCTACACTGGAATTCTGGACGGTCGACTAACTGAAAACCTTAAAGAAGAAGATTACAAAGATGATGGCACATTCTTCGACTCGGATGATGAGCCATCCATTAAAGAGACCAAGAAAATCCAAACGCTTAAAGAAAGTGATGTTGATCCACTAAACGAGGAAGAAGAACAACTGACGAAAGATGAACCGGATGCAGATTTAGTGGTGGAAGAAGCACAAGTAGAAGAACCAGTTTTAGCAAACACGTCATCTTCGTCCACCATCCAACCCGAGGGATCTCCAGAGAGGGAGGAGGAAGAAATTATCGAAAGGCCTAACCACCTAGAAATTTCCCAGACCGAGTCCATCGCCTCGGGAGACAGTTTGGTCACATCCACCCCAAAGACGTCCAATGTCGAATTCAAGTCACAAGAAGTACAAACACCTACACAATCTCGCGTCAAGAGGAGACGACGTTCATCCCTTCTCAATCTCAAGAGGACACGGAAAGCCATTATCATACCGATACCACAGGGACAGAAAATGCCCAATCCGGAGGATATCAACGAACTTGGGGAAGATTCTCCAGTAAAGGTGGCTATTAAAATTTTGTTTAAGCATTGGGGAACTTTCGTCGTAAAAAATATTTGTATTCTATTTTGCAGAGTAATAGCACTAGTCACACAATTCAATTCTACAAAGTTTACAGCGTCGATAGAAAGAGGGGATCGAGTCGACCGAAAAAGTTCAAGTCTCCCACAAAGTAAAAAGTTAACTTAACATTACCACACTTTTTGTCGGTATTTAAAATTATACCCAGTCGGAATCGGAATTCTAAAAATGTGTTTTATTTAATACCAGAAATAGTTCATCTACGGAGAAACAAGTCGTCCCAAACTTGGACAACGAAGGTAACGAAGCCGACGAAGAGTTAAGCATCTCTCCCACCGGGAACCCCAACATGAGTGATCTCGACTCCAACAACGACCCAGCCAATGGTACAGACAACGACTCGGAAGTCTATTTCGTCTGCAGTCCACCAAACTCGACTGGAACCAACACTCCAAAGAAAATACAGCTCAGAGGAAGTTCACATTTCGGAACAACGACGGCTTTCCCCGTTTCAAATATTGGGGGGATGAGAAGGACGACCGAATTTACATTTGATCCCCACAACCTTTCCGACATGCAGTTCAATAACAACTTGCAAAATCAGAACCACCATTCCAATCATATGACGATTTACAGTAATCGACTAACAACGAATCTAACTCCGTCGCCAACGAATAGTGGTGGTGGGGGAGGAAGTCTGAGAAATAGAACAACGACCCATGCTCACCATGTCCCTTCTTACTCTCAACACGGCGATATTCATCGGATCGGACCAAACTCATCCGACGTGGACCAAGAAGACCATGAGGACGAAGATGCCTCAAACGCATTTACATTTGGAGATTACAATATTCAACTTAATCTTAGAAACAGTATTAAGCCTTCCACTGCGCTCATTAATAAGATATCCACTCTTTCCGCTAATCTTGAACCAGACCATAATCACAATTTTAATCAGTATTCCACCATTTCAAGGGACCCGTACACTATTGAGACTTCGTCAGAAGAGGATGGTTCTATTTGGTACGAATATGGGTGCGTCTAGTATGTAGTAGAAAATACGTAGTCCAGATTCAATTGGTCATGAAATAACACAGCACAATCACAAACAAACGTTTTTTAGTCTTTTATGCACCATGAATTTTAGAATGGTACGCACGATGGCACGATCAGAAATTTTAGTCATTCACTAAAAGATAAGTAAGACCATTTTATAAGCATGTAACACATCCGTCCAATAATAATATGGCCTGATTATTGTGCTTGATCATTTTATTAAAATCAAATGAAACACAAATTTTATAACACGTTTTTTAACGAATTGCTGCGACCACTATATGATGTTGACAACTCAATATTTATATCTTATCTCAGTCAGATAGTTTTTATGAAAGATTTTTTTTCTAGATTTTACTACAAATTATATATTAATTAACTATAATTTAACTGTTTTGCCTGCGATTATTTTATTGTAAATACAATATTTTATAAAGTGAAGAAGAATAAAGTCTTTGGTAAAAATGGAATCCATAATTGAAAGTAATGACTGGTTGTCGGATTGATATGAATTTTTTAACACTTTTCAAACTCATTTAGTTTGGACAAACTTTAATTAAACTTGAACTACTCAAGTCAAACTCTTTTTGAGCGTCATTTGCTATATACCATCATCATCTTAAATGTCAACTACTTATCACATTCTTACTTGAAACTATTGTAACTTACGATTATAAACTGGAATTAATTCTGGAAGCATCGTCTGCTATAATTTTCCACTGTTGTTGTCGAATTTTTTCTATGAATTTGTGCTGCCTCTGCTCCATGGCTAAATCTGTAACTTGCAAGTCGTTTGCTTTCAAGTTTAACTGCAAAGTATATAAACATAATTAAACCATTAGACAACTAAAATGTGCTTGTGTAAACAATTGTTCAGTGAAAACCTACATGCATTAAATTTCTCTTGTCAATTTGAAATTGAAAAACCACGCTTAACAAGTGCCAATATGTGAATTCTGGCCACAAAACATTGGTGAAACACAGGACGGTTTCAGCACTTTGCCACAGTAAGAAATCAGACAATCTTTTCTCTCCTGAAGTTCGGACTAAAATATCCAAAGGTTTGGACGGAAGAATGTAAAAGGATTCTTCCAACAGCTTGCAATCTACATCATCTTCTAATATGCTACCATCGAGGAGTCCTTGATGAATTAATTTCATTCCACGAGTAATTTCATTTCTAGCTGGAAATACGTACAAGCACAATAAAAATCTGTAAGTTGTTTATCACAATTTCAAACAACTTACAAGTGTATGCAAAGGCAACGTTCAATTTTGCTCTAGTATTGTTCCTCGTCATATACATTGCTTTAGCCATGAGTATTCGTAAGTCTTCTGGGACAAGAGACCAATCTCCGACAATTTGAACACAAACGCCTTCATTCATTAAATTTTCCCTGTAAAAACAAATAATAATTACTCCGTTTGACGAATAGATTGATAAATACCCTCAGATTAATACTTACTCTTCGTCTAATAATTTTTGAAACTTTTCTTTGGCTAATTTCATCAAACCGGATACTTCCTCCTCAGATCTCTTGAAGTTTTCGATACTAAATACGAAAACCGTTACTTCTGTAATGCCAAGATCAAGGCACCAACGTAGAGTGTCCGACAGTTTTTCAAATCTAAAAAACCATAAAACCACGTCACCAAAGTTAAAGAGATTAAAATTATACAGTAAATTAATATACCCCTTCCTATGACCCTCAACCGTTTGTAGATTCTGTCCTCGAGCGTATCTTCGATTCCTGGATGATAATAAATTAAAACGTTTGAGCCATCATTTCATCATTAGTTCACAGTTACAACTTGCAGAGTCTGGTTAATCCGGGATTACGGATTGAGGATTGAGATTGGGGATTAATTAATCCTTAATCCCAATCCTCAATCCGCAAGTTTTGACTTTTAATCCCTAATCCTCAATCCCAAAAAGTTTTGAAAAAATAATTAATCCCTAATCCTAATCCCGGAGCGCATTGATTAATCTTAATCCAAGTTTGGGATTAAAATGGGATTAAATCAGCTCCACCTGCTGAAAATTCTCAGAGACTTTGCCAGTTCTCCTTTTGTTTCAATTAAAAATATGTTTCCCATAAGTTATGGGCCATAACTATCGAAATTCCATCGTTGTATTTCACAAACAAAAATTCGATATTATTAAACAAATAGTTCATGTATTTAAAAACATTTGATAAGACTTCATCTGTTAAAGTTGATTTTAGTTCACTGATGACTAAGTAAACTTATTTTATGTCACTCATCTGCAGAGATCCGTGATTAATTAATCGTGATTAACGGATTAAGGATTGGGATTAAGGATTAATAATCCTTAATGCTTAATCCCGACAAAAAATTGTATGCAATTAATCCTTAATCATTAATCCCGACGAAATATTTCCACGCCATTAATCCTTAATCCCGACAAAGCGTATCCAAATTATTAATTCTTAATCACGATTAGGATTAAGTCTCGCAAGAGAATAATCACTGAGAATGGAGTGAAGTAACACTAACATTACATATTCTCAAACATACGATATTTTTCCACTCTTTCTACTGTCCTCTCCCGAAATTAAGATGTGTTGAATTCTTTAACTTTAAATTGTTGCTTCCGTAAAAATACTGATTCAGTCGTTAATCATGGTTAACAGTGATCTGACTGAGCTGAAAAATTTGCCGTTCATCTTCACCGGCAGATTGTTTGATGTCGAACAAATTGACAAATTCAGCGGCTCTTTATAGGCCAGGCGCATAGCTTTTGCACCAATGTGTGCCATAATTGGTGTTAATATTAGGCCAACATCAAATTTTACTTCACATTTGACATTCAAAAGTCCTATACATTGTCTGTTTTGTATGTATTTGATGTTTCAATATTCCTATGTGCTACAATAAACAATTAAACTGCATTAAATGGAGTAATATAATAATAATATTAATCCTTAATCAAGAATTAATCAGGATTAATTAATCCTTAATCCTTAATCCCGAATCTCAGAGAATTTTGAATTAATCCTTAATCCTTAATCCCACCAAATTGAATTATTTAATTAATCCCGGATTAATCTAATCCCGGAATAACATTAATCCTTAATCCCAGAAAAAAATTCATTAATCACGGATCTCTGCTCATCTGTACACTTCATATTCTTGTGGCCGTATAATAGTAACCTAGAGTGGCCAGTGGTAATGCCCACTCATTCAGACTTGAATGTTAATCAAATGGAGACTGGACTTAAGTCACTTAAGCGACAACTCACACTTTAGGTCATTATTTATATGGTCATTAGGTTATTCAAATTCAATCGCACTGTTAAGACTTATGCCCTGGCTACACTACTGTCGTAATATTCTAGAGTTTACTGGTAATATGGGAAAATGCATAAGGCCAGCTACATGTGTAACTTGCAACCAGTTCAGAGTTTACTCTAGAGTTTTACTAGTAAAATTTCACTAGTAAAACTCTAGAGTTCAGAGTTTTACTACGAACTCCAGCTATACCAATGTGCTACTTCAGTGTTAAACATTGAAATTTTACGCGGGATTTCTTATTTACTGACAAGAGTCCACTTATTTTTCCAAACATTAATTCTTCGTCTTCATTTAATTTATAAGAAAATTTAAATCAATGGAGTCGCAAATAATTATCGAAGTCGTTGGTAAAAAGGCAAATCATTTTTCGCAAGAATAGAACCTCGCATTAATACGGATTTGGGGATCGCAAACTTGTATTTTAAACTAAATTATTATTTTTTAGATGGTAAATTTTTAAAAGTCCCACCTCTGAGAAATAACTCTGAGATTTGGTACCCTGAAAATTACAACGGTACAAAATGCAATGTAGCTGGAGTATTTATTTCAGCGTTAAACTCTAGAGTTAACTCTGAAAAAATTTACGACAGTAGTGTAGCCAGGGCATAAAACAATTTAATTAAGACATCAGAAACATTAACTAGATATAAATGTGATCGACGATAAACACGACTTTAATCCCATTCCGGGATTAAAATCGGACTAAATTAATCCTAATCCTTAATCCCATTGAATGACTCGAGAGATTTAATCCCGAATTAATTTTAATCCCGAGTTAATTTAATCCCTAATCTCAATCCTCAATCCCGAATTTTTTAAAATCAATCCGTAATCCTAATCATTAATCCCACTTTCGTTAATCCCAAGACTCTGGTTACAACAAATTGAACAACTTTAGTTACCCGTCCAAAATGAATCCAACATGTTGCGGAATTAGCCCTTGTTTGAGGACTGCAGTACACAGCTTTTGCACCCACGATCTGTCATCTTGATCTTTTATCCAACTCATTGTTTGTCGTTATCTCAAGAATTTACGTCCCTCCCTCGTAGAGCACATAACCATTCACTTCACTCTACAAAGTAAAGACTTAGAATGCAGACGTTGGTCCGCTCAAGCGCACACTTGATTTCTAAAGTTGAACCAGCAAGTCATTTACTACTAACCTTAGTTTTCATGATTCAATCATCCTTTAAGTTCTTACCTTATCAAAGAAGTTGCTTATCACTTATCATTCAGCCGGCTCGTGCAGTCGTGTGTGTATGTATTTTTCCACTCCTTGTGCTGTGCCTTGTTGTCTAAATCTCAATATTATTAATTTTGAACTTGGCGCTTCCACCACATCACCCGTCACCCCTCCAATTACTATGTTACGGAGAGAGCTCCTTCACACAAAATGTTCACATGAATGATGGATAATCGCTTATCTTCCGGCCTAATCTTCATACAAAGAAATCCTAGGTAAGGTAGATAAGCAACCTACACAGTAAGACCTTTGTCCGGTTAAAAGATAAGATTCCCTTCATTCCTTAGAATCCTTACTTCGTAATCAGATCGTATATTACAAACAAGCTTTCTCATGCTCAAGCTCAACCAAATTCTCTCTCATTCCGAGATGAAATTCTCTCTACTAAAAACGTAACAGATTTTCGAAAATAAAACGAAACCTTCCAAATCCAATCATCCCCAATCTTTTGAAACCCTTAAATACTCCCATTTCACAACTTTTTCCAAACTTTGATACGTTTTCCACCCCGAAAATATTGACAATTCAAGAAACCAAAATTTCATGAAATTTACTCGATATTTTGGGTACGTGAAGGAAAATGTGATCATCACATTGAATCCATTTTACTTCTATATTTTACTTATCAAATTCATACTAGCATTAAATTTCATCAATCCCATTCTTGTCAAATATATGGAAAGCATTTCATAAAAGTTTCGAAATTTTATTTCGAAATTTTGTCCGCCCATCGATTTGACGTGATTCCTGGCCGAGCTCCCACGTCGTGAGTCAGAGGAGTGAATTGTCAGTGAAGGAAAAACGACAAGCAAGCAGAGAGTTTTAGTTTCTCTCTCTCGCTCGCAGTCAGTTGAACATTGTGCTGGCAGAATGGAGCTCGAGGAAGAGAAGGCTGCTGCTGGAGCCAATGATGATACCAATGTTGACCTCAACTTCAATACGGCGACAGTGGGTCCTTTACACAAAGGTAGGTCATCATCGGGGTCAAAGTTTTGGTTGTGTTTCAAAAAAACGTTTTCTACGTTAAGTGGCCCCGTTATAATCAGCTGTGCAAGTTTCAAGAGTGAAAAAGTGCGCAGTACAAAAGTGAGTTTTTAATAAATGTGCAATTGTGATTTCAGAGTTGTACTTTTTGATTGCAAAATTCTTGGCGAGTGGACCCTGTCAAGGGGCTTCGAAGGTGAGTTTTTAAAATTTGGGGGATATTGTTTCGGATGTTTTTTTGTGGGTTAAAGTTATACTTTGGACTTTTGTATTTTAGGCACTGATTGAGGAAATAGAAAGACACGAGGTGAGAAAACTTATTTTGAAGAAATTGAGATTGGTTGTTGTCCTGTTGAAAGGCACGTGTAGACTAAAAATCAGATGGTAGTGTCGGCTCGTATTTGTACCACCGACCAAAATATGAGGTTAAAGCTGGAAATTTAGCGAGTTTTGTTGTGACGGGAAATATTTATAAAATGTGAAGCATAATTTAGGCACTAATTAACTTTTATGTTACAGATCATCCCAAAAAGTGTCAACTGGTTAGGTGACCCCATCAGACAGGACTTTAAAACTTTTGTAAGTACCCAGGGGGTGGAGATGACCTCACAAGTGGGTGGGGTCATTTTCATCGATTTTTGCAAGTTATGAAATCTAAGGGCAAAAAATGAGTGAGATGCTAAATGCAAGTTGGAAATTTTGAAATTTTCGAAATTAAAGGGTGTTTGTTCTTTGTTCGGAGGTTAAATTCAGGGACCATCTCAAAATTTGGGAAGATTTCACTCGGGGGTTGGGTGGTTGGGAGGTTGTGAAGTGTGTTCTGCTTGGCAACGGACGAACGGAACGAACGCTCTTCTTTACACAAAAGTGGTAGGGCTGCTGCTGCAGTGCATGGCACCATTATTCTGCTTTTACACTCCACATCCCTCTGAGAGGACGTTGTGGGTGGGGTCATTCAGAGACGTTTAAGGGTCATATTCTCTTTTAATGCTGTAATGAAATGCTTCAAGATTACAGCGTTTTACGAAAATGGTTCAAATGAGCACCTCTTGTCGCTTGGTCAGCTATACTTTTCACTGCAAGTTTTGATTGTGGGGGTGGTCATATTTTAAATTTCGTCAACATAGCCCCCTTATCCTTTTCCTACGAGCAGGACAGCGACTTGCAGCAGAGCATACTCTGTTCTCATGATGCATTGATGCTTCGCGTTCTCTTCTGCAGACTAGTAGTGGAATCGAGTTTGTTTTATAAGCTGGTTGTTGGGCTTGGGTTTGCGCCTTGCGGTGAGGTTGGTGAGCTCTAACTTGTCTGAACGGGGAATAGCTTCATGAAGTTGATGATGGGGAAGGAAAACTGGGAAACTTTCCTGTATGGCTTTATTTGAGACTGCTTGTTAAACTATGGGGGTTAAAGCAATGTTACATGAGTAGATATTCTCGTTTTTTGTGCTGCCTGCTCTTGCTTGTGACTTTGTTTCCAAATCCGAGTTTAGAGAGAATGGTATTTGTGAAGACTGGCCTCTCGTCGTTATCCCCTTTCTGTGAATAAGGTTCTGCTGTCTCGTGATGTTTGTTTGGAAAATCATGCATTTGTTGTGCCAGTATAATGCATGCATCTCACCATTTTCTCTTATCTATCGTTATGAATGATGTTGATATCCATATGAAAACTTATTAATATGCTGACGCTTTTTTTCTAGGGCTCAAAATTCGATCATATTGCTCCAGATCATTTACCAAAACTCCTGGATCAGTTGATAAAAACTGTCAATTCTAAGGAACAGTCCTCCTCCAGCAATGTCGCCGCATCTCGCAGTCTCCTGTCCTTCTCGACATTTTCCCTAATCAACAAAAGAGCCGATGATGGAGCCAACGTAAGTGGTAACAAAAAGGGCTCAGGGCTCTCTTGGTCAAAAAAATGTGGGTACAATGCGCTACTTCGATCTCTTGGTGGAGAGAAGAGGTCCTTGCATCCAGGTAAAAGTTTCACCTTTATTATTAAGCAAGCACTTTACTAATTGATAATCATGTTTTTAAATTTGCAGTCCATGCAATCGCAGACAGACCACTTGTGGGGACTGGAGTTGGCCATTCCATTATCCATCCAGATTTTTATAAGCGAATGAAAATCTCATGCTGCACGTTGGGTCACCTGGCTGCAGTATACTGTGTCTCGTTTGATGTCAGTGGTCGATATATTTTTACGGTATGACATATTCAATTTGAAAAATTTTACTCGAGTTCCGCAAACTCTTACTTACTAAGAAGGATTATCTGATTTATCTATTTATTTATTGCAGGGGGCGGACGACAACCTCGTCAAAATATGGAGTGCTTTAGACGGAAGACTTGTAACTACTTTGCGTGGCACTGCGGGGGAGATTGTGGATTTGACTGTAAATCAGGAAAATACAATGTTGGCCGTCGCAAGTGTGGAGAAAGTCATCAGGGTGTGGTGTCTCCAAACTGGAGCCCCTATCGCAACATTGACTGGTCAGGGTGGAAATACGACGTCCATCTTCTTTTGTCCCATGCCACGATCTCGGTCCAACGTTCGATATTTGACATCTACCTCAACAGATGGATCGTGTGCTTTTTGGGCTTATACCGACGAGCCAGGGGAACAAATCCAATTCCAGTAAGTTATATTAAAACACAAAGCATGGATAGGTGAAACTGCTTGATAATTATTAAAATGTACAAAAAAAAAACTTTCAGACAAAAACCAACCCTATACCTGGAACGCATGAGACCAGGGAATGCAAAAATGGTGTGCTCAGCATTTTCATCTGGAGGTCTATTCATGGCGGCGGGCAGTGCAGACAATCATGTTCGAGTTTATTACATGCTGGGAACAGAAGGTCCAGAAAGAATTTTGGAGGTATGTTATTTTTTTAAGTACATAAATTCTTGTTAATATTGCACATCATGAATGAATATTTTTTAGGTGGAGCATCACTCGGACAGAGTGGACAGTATCTCTTGGGCGCATGAAGGTCTTCGATTCGTTTCGGGTTCCAAGGATGGAACAGCTTTAATTTGGCGTTTTGAAAATGCATGTTGGCGATATATCAGGCTTCATTGCTCAAAAGTTCAAGGGTAAGTTGACAAAAAATATTTTATTTAATCGGGAACGGGGAGAGAAATAATAAATGAGTACTATCGAAAAAAAAAAATTGCCAACATAGACAAGCTGCCATTCTTTACGATGATCCAAAACGTCGACCTCGCGTCACGATGGTTGGATGGAACCGAGATGACTCGCTGGTTTTGACAGCCGTTTCCGATAACATGACACGAGTTTGGAACTCCAAAACCGGGGAACTTGTCCGCGTGCTGAAGGAACACTCTGCTGAAGCCTATGTCATTGAGGCGCATCCCATCCATCCGAGAATTGTCTGCACTGCTGGGCATGACGGAAAACTTATCATCTGGAATATCGGGACAACCAACAAGGGCGATCAGTATGGAAAAATTTACGAATATTATAACTCTCTAGAAGGGCAAGGCCACGGCGCCGTATTCGACTGCAAATGGTCCCCCGATGGATTTTCCGTCGTAGCCACGGATTCACATGGACATCTCATGATTTTAACTGTGGAGGCTGAACACAACGAAAAATTAAAGAAAATTCCAAGCGAGATGTTCTTCCACACCGACTACCGACCATTAGCGCGGTAATTGTTTTATTAAATTATTAACAGATTTGGATTTGGATTTTGGATTCTCTGTTTCTTGTACATCATACATAAAGAGTTAATGAGTATTTATTGAGTAAAAAACTGAGTTTAGGATGTCACTCAGACTTTTCTAAATTTATATCGTCGGTATCATGGAAATTCGTGTGTAATTTTAAGTGTCCTTTGTTCACATTATAGTGATGCGATGACGAACGAAATCCTTGATGAACAAACTCAGATTGCGCCACACCTAATGCCACCTCCATTTCTTGTTGATATGGAAGGAAATCCGTATCCTGCTCACTTGCAACGATTAGTTCCGGGAAGGGAGAACATGAAGGACGAATATCTGATTCCACACGTTGCTGTATCTGATCGAGGGTTCCAAGAAGTTATAGAAGGGCTGCCAGCCAGATCAAATATTGATGAAATGATTCAACAGTTGGCGAGAGCACAGGGTCTTGGGGGACAAGGAGAGAATGACAACAGTATGAAAATAAAAGTTTTCCATTTCCACTAGAAATTTCCTAGAATAACATAACTCGTGATTTTAATATATATTTAATATACATTTTTAAGGTGGAGAACGTCGTGGTGTTGGGCAACGAAGAAGTGGAGAAATAGAAGGTGTCAGACAATCAAGAGGAAACTGGCAGACTGATTGTTACGGGTTTTCCAAGAAGAATCACATAGTGTCACCAATGAGTAAAGCCATATTAGAACGTTGTGAAAATAAGCGTTCTGGTCTATTCGAAGCGGAAGAAACCTGGTACTTGGAACATTTAACGAAATGTCCCATCAGCGGTACAACTCTCGGCGTTCCTGCTGCAGTTGGTACTCCGGTGGAATCTCCGGAGGGCCGTTCACGCAGGATTCGTCGTATAGCTGCTGTAAGAAACTATTATAATTAGTAATATCAGTATATAGTACATTTTTCAATAGACCATAGTTTTCTTCGTTATAATTAATTGTGTGCAATTAATCATTGCTTGTTTCATAGCAAGCGGCGGAGCGTCGCCAACTTCATAATGAAGAAGAAGCTAGTTTTGCTCAAGTGGAAGGCATAGCTCGACCAAATCCTCATCCTCAGCAAGAGATTTCAGTTAGTCAAGCACGACCACGCCAACCTGCTGGTGGGAGTGCCTCTCGCCGTACGACTGGACGTAACGCCCCTCTTTTTCGTCCGATGCAAACTCCCAGAAGAGTGGGAATTGCAACTTTGAATGATGTCGCTAACCGACCAGCCAATCCTAACCCTAATCGACGAGCCAGACCCGTTCGATACGATGTGCGACGGATCTTAAATGCTCATGGAAGTGATATTGAAGTATATAAGGATTCATTAAAGCATAATTTAGTGTGAATTTGTTGATCAATTTGTTGGCTTTATTTTACTGAACATTAAAAATTACAGAATTTGGATTTGGATGATTCTTCATCAGAGGCGTCAGTTGATAGCTCTTCCGAGTCTGAGTCTTCATCCGAGTCTGATTGGGGAGGAAATCTTGGTGCATCCCAGCGGCGTCGAGAAAGGGAACAAGAAAATCGGAGACCTGCCGGTAGTGGCGAAGGGCGAGCTGTACGAACAACACGAACTCAGTCCCACTCCTCTCCAGATGAGCAGGAAGAAGAGTCAGAACCTGAGGAGAAAGAAAAGCCGACTACCAGTTCTGAGCCTCGACCTGGTATGGGAATTGATAATAATTTATTAGAGTGGTCCTTTGTCTGTTGTAAAAATGCGCGGTGGAATATATTCGTATCATTGCCTTTGTTTCATCATGATAACTCCAATTCCAGGTCCATCGTCTGAAATTACCGGAATAAAATCTGAGCCACAAAAACAAAATCGTCCTAGAAAAACGGTGAGTGAGCCATATTATTTATTACTTATTGTATTATTATTATTAATTATGTTTGCTAATCGTATCCTGTCCTGCGAATTATAATTCTAGAAAGCAAAAGTAGATTACAGCGGTGGGTTGGAAGAGGTAGCTCCAGAGTTTCGACCATCCGATTGGTTGTCAGAAGTCTTTCCACAACGAAGTCCATACTTTCCACAACTAGGCGATGATTTAGTCTACTTTAGGCAAGGTCACGAGTCTTACATCAAATATGTAGAAGAGAAAAACTTGTACCAGATTCCCAAGAAAATGAAGAAAAGTTTGCCTTATGTTGTTAAGCCTGACCTGGAGGTAAGCAGATTGTAAATATTGAAAAATGTAATCTCCGTTCACAATTCCAATTCTTGTATTTGTATGAAGCCTGAGGTATCGGTTCGGGTCGTGGCCATAAAATTTGAGCTGGAGCCTCCCCGTGTTGCAATTCTTAAACTGGCAAGGACGGACTGGACAACGGGGGAGTTGGGGAGGAATGACTACTTGTACGTCAAGTATCATGACGTGGCCACAGTTGTGGACTTTCTCATCCTTCGCCACATGTATGACAAATCAATAAGGCGTAAATGGAATGAAGGCGATAGGTAAATACTTTAATAAACTTTGGACTAGAAACATATGTATGACTGTTAATTGCTATTGCTGTTTATAGGTTCAGATGTCTAATTAGTAGAGACTGGTGGTTGGGAACAGTAATAAAAAATGAGCCACATCTTGCCGAATATCCTAACTCGAATTACCTATGCTACAAGGCAAAATGGGACAATGGTGACCCTGAAACGATGAGTCCATGGGATATGCACACAATTCCAGACGACTTTGTAATTCCAGAAGACGATAAAGATGGCATCGTCGCATCCGATGAAGACCTGCGGTTTGGACTGTATGAGCCAGTCACAACAGATTGGCCACCTCATGGACATCAAGATGCTCAGTGTCAAAAACTCTCTTCTTTATTGGAGCAAGTGATGGCATTAGCAATTTCAGAAGCGTTTCTTACCCCTGTCGACCTTAACCAGTATCCAGATTACGCATATGCTATTGAATATCCGATTGATCTATCTACAATTAAGGCAAGACTAGACAATCGGTTTTACAGAAGAATGGACGCGTTAAAGTTTGATTTCACGTACATTGCTATGAATGCTGAAAAGTACAATCAAACGGGTTCCGACATTGTGAAGCATGCAAGAGTGCTGCGAGATGTTTGCTTGGAAATTATTACGTAAGCCGCTAAACAATGGTTTATTTACTTTAATTATGACTACGGCTTATTAAATACTTCCTTTAACACTACAGGAATCCAGATATAACGTCGATAAATCCAATTTATCATAGAATCAGCAAAAACGAAGAATCGACAGAATCAAAGAAGCAAAACAACAAATCATCAAGTTCTAGCTCTAAAGGTGGCAAGTCATCATCATCACAGCCCCACTGTTCAAAGTCTTCAGGTCACAAAACCCGTCTTCGTGATCGACGTGGAGGAAACGACAGTGACCAAGATGATTCACGAGACTGGAGAGAACAATGCTTATCCCTCCTTAATGAAATATATAATAAAAAAGACGCCCTTCCCTTCCGGGAGCCTGTGGACATTATCGAGTACCCTGAGTATTACCAACAAATTGAAACACCTGTAGATTTGGGCTCCATTAGAGAAGATCTGCTAGGAGATAATTATAGCTCTGTTCAGGGTTTTCATAAGGACATGATGCACGTCTTTTCAAATTCGAAACGGTTCAACACTGAACGTTCAGCTGTGAGTACTTTCATTTTATCGTACATTCGTTCTGATATACAGATGCTACTTTTATAAAATTTATAAAGTTTATGCATAAAAGTAGGGACAACACTCGACTCTCTGAGAGCTTGTCCCTTGCATTACGACAAAGTGTGATACTCAACGATAATGTAATCTTTTACAGATTTACGCCATGACCTGTCGTCTGCAATCATTATACGAATGTCAAATAAAAGGAATTCTAAGTAAACGTCGGAATAATAAAAATGCAAAAGCAACTAGTACATCCACTCCATCCAAAGGACGAAGCCGTAACCTTCCATCCAGAGCAACCAGCAGTACTGCTTCCAGCCCTAGAAAAAATCCGAGACGATCAACTGCAACTGGGAAACATCGTTATGTCAACCATTCTGACGACGACGACAACGACTCTGATGATGACGACCATGGACATCACAATCTTAGGACACGAAACAGCAATAGCAGATCGGCCCGCAGAGCTTCCATTCCGAACGGTGATCATTCTTATACAAGTCGAAGTAGTAGTAGAATGAACGGTCATTCTACTAGCAGTCCTGCTGCAACTAGTAACACGACTCCCAGTAGCAGCAAAAATGGAACTGGCTCTTCCAGAAATTCAACGGAAAGCTCCGCTGGTAGCCGTCCACGTAGAGTTAAACGATATCGCATATCTTCCGAGGAGAGTGAACGTGCTAGTCCACATAGGGAAACAAAAATTAACAGGGTTACAACAACCACAACGACCGACTCACCGGTACGTGCGAGTCCAAGAAAGCATAAAATTCCAATTAAAGACGAACCAGAAAGTGACGAGTTTGAAGATAGCAATGATGGAGTAGACATGCCTACATTGAATAAAGTTAATGATGACGATTATTCCGCGTCTGACAATGATTCTGACGATGAAATGGAGTTAAACAATGTGAGACGCTCAACTAGGACAAAAGCCAAGCGACAACATGAAGGGTCGGATGATTTCTGTTACGGTAAGTAAAAATCTTTGCCGATTGTTATTTTAGTAAGACTACTTATATCTTGCAACTTGTTGTCTTCTACAGAGACACGGAACAAGGGAAAAGCAACAAAACGTTATACAGAAACACAGGATGATGCTAGTGAAGACGATGAAGGCAATTTTAAACGTAGACGAATCAATAGCACATCTCCCTCCAGAAGTACACGAAGCCATCCCGCATCTCAACCACCCTTACTCCATAGAACAAATATACACGATCAATCAGATGATGACGATGAAGAAGACGACGAATATTCAAATAAACCAGGCCCATCATCTCGGCTGATGCAAACGTCTCGAACAACTGCTGGCCATTCTCCACAGAAGTCTAGTAAGCTGGCTCAACATCAGGTAATTCATAACGCCCTGGATGATGACGATGATGAAGATGAAGACGAATCAGAGGAAGGAAAGGGGTCAGACGAGTCTGAAGATGAAGAAAATAGTGACGACAGTGATGATGACGATAATGAAGTAAGTAGCAGTCAAAGACGGACCGGAAGAAGGGGAGAAGTAGGAGGAAGTCAACAAAAACTACAGCGGCGTCCTCTCCGACAAAGACAAAACGTTTCAGAGGACGATAACTTTGAAGTTAGCCCAACATCCAGGAAATCAAAGGTAGGTTAAATAAGCTAATGAGAAAGAGGAACTATGAATGCAGTAAAGGATAGATTTATAGTGTTGAGTTATATTTTTTTAGTCCTCGTCATCTTCGTCACGTCGCCGACCAACTCGTGGAGCCACTGTACGTCGACCTGATTACGCAGAAGATAGTGACAGCGAACCACATATTAGTGATATTGGGGTGAGTTCAAGGGGAAGAGTTCTAAAGCGAAAAAGTTTTTCACGACATTAAATGACTGACGTTAACTTATTCTTATTTAATAATATTAATAATAATTTTATTACTAACATAAATCAGATCATAAATTCAAACCCTTGTATCTAATTCTGACGTCAAACACAAGATACTGAAATATTATTAGAGTTTAATTTTTCCCTTGTGAATGTTTTAATTAGTATGTATAAATAATATGTAGTACAGCTACGAATTCAGGTTAAGCAAACTTGAATATATTCATGAGGGTGAGAGGAATACGTGATAATTAATATAAATCGTTCCAAAACCTGAATTATGATATGATCCGTTAGTCATATTTACACGTTGCCACTATTTCTGGCACATTTACGACAAACAAACAAAAACGACAGACTTACTAGTAATAGCTAGATATGTACATACTTATTATTGTTGTATATTTCTTAAATTTTCTACCAATTGTTGTTTCCATCCTTTCTACTACATGCTAACTATTGTGTAGTAATTTATTATTGTTAGAGTCAATTTAACATCGGACTTACTCGAAAGCCGCACACTTTTCAGATTTACGATTTATTTAAATAGCTCAATGAACGACCCAGTTATTTTACATTACATTTCATTAGTACATAAAGGCATGTATTATTGACTTTGACCTGTTCTCTTTGTATATTTAATATATCAACTGTGCTGTTACACGTACGGTTTCTTTTTGTATAATTTATTATTGCATTTATTAGATAGATATCCGTTAAAGTGGGATGATAATGTGTTCTCAATTGCACACCACACACATGAGTCTGATTTTTAAGAATAAACATATTCAACATGATAAATAATATTGGTCGGATGTCCTCTAAATTCTCATCGGTATTCCATAAAATTTCTGTATAGGCATGTGTGAATTAAGCGATAAAAAGTCCACACATTTTGCCACATTTACACAGTGATACATACATCTTATTGACTTTGTGTGTGTACACCATCCATACGAAATAACTGCGTGGAAGGAACTGTCATAATGAAATGGAATGGATGTACGTATATAAATAACAAAAACTAAAGCAAACAAAGGACTCGTAGCAAATCTAATCCGTTCATTGACGCAGTTACGTATTATTTTTCATTTTACTTATTATTGTCACTCATCGCCACTATGTACTTATTCCCATTTACATGCACATCTACTAGTCATTTCATTATATTACCCTTCCGTCCTCCAACAAGTATTATAAAACTTGGTGTTTATTCTCTCTCTCTCTCGCCCAGTCTGCAGCCGTTCATTATAATATTCTGTCCGAAAATATCTCCTACCTCATCACATCACCACCAACCAACACCATCCCCGTGACGAGATGAGATGCATGAATTCCCAAATGTTCATTCGACATTCAGAGTGATTCGCTTATTTATTCTGACTGTATAAAAAATACGCCCAAAAATGGTAAAAGCAGATCCTCCACTAAAACTTTGTGCCGTGGGTTCACGGGGGATGATCATTTTGATGAGATGAGCATGGATAGTCTATTTAGGGTTCATACACCCACATCAAGTCTCAATTTAATCACACACCGTGCCGAGTCCATGAATAATTTCAATCTCAAACTTTATCCTGTCGCTTAATTTCGTCAGCAAATTGAAGAATGATTTGTAGCATAAACCACAAATTAAAAGACACGCATCACTTATTTACTTGCTCCTCCTTCTTCTACGCATCAAATTCCATGTTATTTGATCAGAACATCTATAAAGCATCATAGAACATCTATATAGAACATCATCCATAAAAATTTAATGTCATCCGACTCATCATCTTCTCAATCCATAATCCGTCCGTGAATAGCAGAGCGGAGAGAGTTTTATTTTATACAGGACGATATTGCATAATAAAAAAATCATTATAATCATCGAATGGCGTTCCTTTGCATAAATAGACCTCGAGCTGTTGAAGTCGAATAAATTCAGCGTGTTAAAAATATCAACTTCACATTTCATCATTCGCATCCATCATCTTTCTGAAATCTTATGCTATTTGCATATGCAGTATTCGACGCTCGATGATTCGACATCTCTATCTTTCTATCAAGGAGAAGAAGAAGAAGCAGTGGTTTGGTTACAAGACGACGAAGGTCTGGTGGCAAATGCTCAAAGGATGAAAATAGTTCCTTCAAGTGATTTTCGAGTGGTGAAGAGACGACGAAGAATAAGAGACCTTAAACCTATTTTTGATTTATATATGCAGGGTGGTGGGTAGTAGGAGTATAAGTACAAATATAAAGTTAGATGATGGTATTATCATACGTAAGTAACGTGGTGGTTCTCTTCTTTCTTCGTCTGCCCTGGATGGATTGGATGAGAAGAAGAGGAATCTAATAAAAAAACTATATATATCCACAGCACGTTGTTGAAGAGATGACCACTGGCTGGGAAATGCATACATCTTTCTTCGTAAGTAGATTTCATCCCAGAATAGCTAATGGTCTGCAATGCCTTCTTTCCTTATTGGATGGGATGAAAGCAAAAACATGAATATCTCTACTAAACCACCCCAAGTTGCTCAAGATCCTCTCGGTATGTATATTGTGCTAACTAGCGAAATTTCATTCATCCCATAATATTATCCGCTCTTTGCCCCGTCGAAAGATAAAAGCAATTTTCTATTTATTTATGAGAATCTATCCAATCAACTTTGAGAGAACACTTAAGCGTTATCAGATTGAAAACAGATGGAAATTAGTGCAAATAACATTCCTCCGTAATATCAAACAGAATCCAATCCAATTTAGACAACCACCCACTAAAAAATCGACTCACTAACCAGTTCCTATTAATACAATCTCGAGTTTCCACCCCGTAAAACATTCTTCTACATAGTTCTAGAAGTCTTCTTGTCATATCAGGATGAGAAATGTAGTTCCAGAACAACAACAAACAAAAAATGGTGAATATGAGACGCGATAATAAAATCTCATCTTATTCCCTACCCACTACCACCCATCTCATTTTACAGCATTACGAAGTGAGTCCTATTCTAAAGCTGGCTATATAGATTAGTCATCTTTAAAGCAATATGTGACCAGACCAATTGAATGTACTCACTCAAAGTCCCATGAATAGCACCCAAGTAGAGCGAAGTACATACTAATTCCTTCGGAGCATCAACCACTTTCTGTCGCTAAGAAGTGGTTGGTGCTAAGAAGAAGAACCGAATTTGAGACTTTTCTTTACCGAGCGAAGAGTGAGAAAACCTTTGCAAGTTTCTTGGACAAACGCTGAAACGCTCCTCACCCAGAACACATAGCTCTCTAGGAACACGTTGCTCTCGACTTTTCGTTTATTTTTAGAACAGGTTGTTATACTGCAATCTTCCATTCTCGCTAAACTACACACGCTCCGTTCGACAACGACGACGACGACGCTGCTGCTCTGCTGAATCAGAATCTGATGGTGTGGTGGTTTGGCTTCGCTTCGCTTCTCGCCCAGGCCAGCAGTGGTTCGAGGGGTCTTTAATACACAATATTATTATTACACTTGCTCTCCGTTCCTTGTAATATTCTCTCGCTGCTTACTTCCCTTTTAAAAAAACATTTTCGAAACACCAAACAACAAGCAAAGTGTGAGAGTCAGCAGAGATAGAGATGAACGTCCTTGTTCTTATGGCGCATACTTACAATAGGCTCATCTCATCTTAGAATTATTATTATTGTCCTTCTTCTCTTGCTCTGTACTTTTACTTTCCTCACAAATTTAAATACCTTAACGAACATCTTTCTAAAAAAATAAGTTGTAAAGCTCACACTTAAGTGCACCTCTCGCATCATAGCCTAATAATGTGGGTGTAGCGTACTTTTAGTTAGGGCACCTTTTTGCATTTTTAGAACCTTTACTGACTCTCGCAACTCGACACCTTTGTATAAGACTCTCCATTTCTTTCATTTCATGCATATTTACATATACACGAGAAGAGGGTTGTTTTTCCATTACAGGCATTAAAGACCTTGGCTTCCCTTCTCAATCCTCCTGATCATCACCAACAAATAACTACCTGTGTGCCCTGTCGCGTTGTATAACTGTTGCATTAAAAAAATAATAAAAAGAGCAAAAACTTTGCCTAGCTTTACACACAGACATGTAAAGCGTACTTCAACGAAGCATTCCATTCGAGAACACAATATAATATACAGCACTAAACTCGAGCTGGCGATTGGTACATAGGACACAAAAAGGACTAAAAAGCATCATAAGAGGATACAAACATAGTGGTTCTTGTTGAGTACAGCTTTTATACCCAGGACGCTATACAGTACATATACCATTTATTGGCCTATACAACAACTTGTTAGTTCATCCACCACACTTATTAGCTCATTTCCTTCAGTTTCATCAGCAGCATCAGCACCAGAGTCGTCGTCGGTCGGTGGGTCGCGGCTGGTTTATTATTATTGTAATATCGCCCAACTAAAATCTCTCTTGGTCGCAAGAGTCACAACCCCTCTCGCCACAAGGATCTCTTCTCCTCACATTTATTATATGGTGTTTTATTTCAGTCTGATTCCGATCTGATTCACTTCGATGACGAAACTAAAACCAACCACCTAATCTTCTATCCGACAACAACTTTTAAGGAGAGTGAACATTTAGGCTAAATAACAGCAAAACTATAAAATACTGCTAAGCACATCCTCTTCTTAACCTTCACCCAATCTTCCAATAATAACTCCTACATCCATAATTATTAATTAATAATAATTTAACTCCAGTTATTCAACGCCAATTGCCCTGGCCTAATTACAGTTGTGTTAATTATCACGTGTTATTATTACTGTCGTCGTCTTCTTCTAGTGGTGGTGACTCGCGAGTCTTGCCCCGTGTTTGTGAGTTATTAAACGACGACGACTCAAGTGGTAATTGCAATCAGCTACATCAGCAGCACCAACTCATTATTATTCCCCTGCAAATAATAAAAATAAGTGAGTGAACTGAACCACCGAGAGGTCTGAATCACCCATTCAGCATATTCGTCCATCCATCCATCCACCACACATATACCATTTCCCCCGATCGATTCTGGACTTTTTTGGTGACTAGAGCTTTGTCCCAGCACCAGAGGACACAGTCATTCATTACCGACCAAGCTGGAAGCAAGTGGACGACGACAATTAATATTATTATAACTTTCCAACCACCGCACACATCGCTTCGCTTGACGCCACTAAAAGCTCATTCTGATTCTGCAAGTGAATGCAGAGCAAGAGCAAGCAAAACACGGGTTTTTCGGTCGTACTGAAACCAACATACGGGGAGAAGGAGGGAGGTGATTGGTCTTAACTTGATCCTCGGTCGATATTTTTAACGTAAACGAGGAAGAACAGAACAGAGCTGGTGGTTACAACAGTTGACAACAACAAGTTCGCACAGGATGATCCGGGACTCGAAGCTCTAAGAAACTAAATCGAAACAAAAAGACATTTAAAACTAAATTCCACCCCATTCCATTAGTGCATTCGAACTGTTGAGCAATAAACAAATAGTAAAATTTTTCTACCAGTTTTGTATCCTTATTCGTATAACGATCGTCTTGAATTACAAAAACCTTGCTGGACAAAGGTTTCGTTCGATAATTTAAAAAAACAACGTTGATCCGTTGACGCTGTGTGACGCGTTCGTTCTTCTGGTGACCTTTTGTCATCTTCAAATTACACAAATCGCTGTCGTCGGTCGTTTGATTGGTGTCATCTGTCAGTCTTCATCATCAATTTATTCCCTAGCAGTTGGATCGTTCTGAAAAATTCAAATCATTATGGGGACTTGTAAAGAGGTTAGTAACATAATCATACCAAAAAAAACACTTTTATGCTTGTTGAACAAAACAGTATGAAATAAAATGAAATTGAGCGATTGTTCTCAATACCAGCGAAATGGTTTGTCATATTAACGACGAACAGTAAGTTATAATAATAATATTTCTTGGCTGCCTGATGGATGCATTCATGGACGGGCTAAAATTACAACAATAATTATATTGTTTTGACAGTAATGTGAATGACAAAGTGAGAAAGGAACGACAATTTACATGGACCGAGGCTACATACATATATGCATAGTTTCAAATATTTGCTTTGCTTCGTCAGTAGAGTTCAACTCTAATAACAACTTCTATTCTATTCTCTATTTCTATAATAAAACATTACATCACATCTCATCGCCATCATCATTCATCTGAAAACCACCACCTCCTCACGTTTGACGTTATTATTACTGCTCATCTGTCCATCCACCCATCAAACTTTGTTCGTGGGACCTGAAATCTAGAACTTTTATTTGAGAATACTGCTATATAATAAAATTATTGGTATTATTACATCGTTGGCTAAAAATTTGCATGCAATGAAACTCGATGTGTAGATCGAAGAGGAAAGGTTGACTGGCATGTGGCGTGTAGGTTGATATGCAGAATTTAAGAAGAAATAAAAAAAACGCACGCTATAGTTTCTCATATATATGTATCAGAAGAAGACAGATAATATCATGGTTATAAAGTGTTGCGTATTATTATGACAATCAAGAGCCTTCCTCTACCTATCTTGCATTGTTGTTTCATGGGGTTTGGTTTTCTGCGAGTGAGGAGTAGGCAGGCAGATAAACCAGAAAAGTGAAAGTTGTCCTAATCCAATCCAACTAGCGATGCTTGCAGCAATTCAATCCTAACCAAATATAATATTCCGAGTCCAAGTCTCACCATCAAAACGCTATATAGTCAACTTTTCAACCCACTAAAACCACCACCTGTCCAACTTGTATAATAATAAGAAGTAAAAGTATATGATAGGATACGGCTGTATGTTAACTCAGCGCATACGACTTATCTTGTCGCTGGGTTGGTTGGTTGGTTTGCTTGTTACTAACTAATAATAAGCAGCAACAACAAGACCAGAGTCAACTAATGAACCCCTATTCTTTCCTGTTTAAATAGTAATGATCTAATCCGATAGAAATAGAATGACATATTTATAACTTGGTTCGTTGTAACAGTACATAGGACACACACTAATAAGGAACGCTATCACGTAACGCATTACACGAAATCAGAATGCAACTTTACTTTTAGCCACGAGATTCTCAGCGTCAGTCATAGATGTTTATATTACGTGTCAGTCGTGCGTCGTGGTGCCGTGATGTTAATTGTGGCGCATAATGCATGCATTTACATACCTTGCAAGAAGAATAAGTAGTTGATCTGCGGCAGTTGTGCTGGCCTCAGTGCAGAAAGTATCACATCAACAATGTTGCACAGGCATCAATATTTTAGCAAAACACTAAACAATACACAACTGGTTTCATAAAATAAAACAAAGTTGCATGTCCTGTGTGCAGCAGGGGTCAGTGAGTCAGTCAGGTTAGGCCGGCGTATCTTCTTCTCTTCGTGAAGAAAAAGGGTAGATGGATGAAAGTACAGTGGCGTCAGAGAGAGGGAGATGGATTGAAGAAACGAATAATTCTGACAATATTTGGCGAATATTAGCACAAAATCAAGTAGTGGTTGACCGTATTGTCCCCGTGTCTTTGTAAGAGTCATCATTAGTGAACACAACTCTGAAATAATAAAATAAACCAAAATCATGGTATTAGAAAGAGAATCAATTTAAAACAACGATTATACACAAGATAATATTATTATCGAGTACTGATAAAACATTTCAATCTGTTTGGCAGGATTCACAAGAGCAGCCGGAAGCCAATCAAGGGCCAATCGTGGAAGAGAATTTCATAAACGGACCCCCAGCCTCCAGAACGGTTATCGACAATTTGAAGAAACTTTTAGTACAACGACAACATTCCAGAGAAAGTGATTATGAGGTGCATTTAATTCCTTCCTGGAAATATTCAATATAAATAATACATGTGACGATTTTTTTAGCCAGTGCCCCTTGAAAAGGCTTCAATTTTTATTTGAATGAAACTTCGAAAGTTGTGTCCTCCAGCATAATTGAAAGTGCAATTTTTCATTTAACCCATGAACCCACGAATTCTCTCAGGACGCAGGGAGACGTTGAGTCCGTTACAAACTTTCTTTCATTTAATAAAAATTTTTTGAGACTCGAAAATGCACTTGACCCACTAATTCAATTTATGCTGGACACAATTTTCGAGGTTTCATTCAAATTAAAAATCTAAGTCTTTTCAGGGAAACCGACTAAAAAATGGTGACATTACAATTGCAAAATCCTTATTTCAGAACAAACAAAAGTCAACATCAGGCTCAAATTCTGACGCAGCCTTCTATTCACAGTTTTCCACATCTTCATCAGAATCCGACTCTGACTCGGATACATGTCTCATTTTTGGGGACATTTCCAACCAAAACCGGAAGGGTGGTAGTGGGGGTGGAGGAGGCAGAAGGCGACATCGGAGGCAAAGGTCGTATTCATCATCAACTTCTTCATCCAAGTCTCCGGTAGAGAAACGACGACGCAAACCTGTAAGTAGATACAAATGCGTGAGCATTCAGTCAAATAATAATTCTGGCCAAATTAAAAACTAAATTTTCAAATTAAAATGATTTTGACATTTCTCAATATTATTTCAGACAAAATCTCGAAAAGGGTTAACAAGTACCACTGAAGGTGGTGGAGGGTCACCTGTCATTCCAACGTCGGGTGTCCATCAAACCACTACCACCGCCAGCACCACAACGAGGGGGGACGATTCTGCCAATTCCACCTCTTCAAACAAAGACTCGTCGTCATCCGACGGTGAAAATGTGGCTCTCCTCTCCCCAACCAGCAACGCCACGACCACGAACAACAACAGCGACCCCCTCAACTCGTCCAGTGCGAATCGTCTCCCCAAATTTAGAAGTAGACGGGACCGAAACCGGAAACGAAGACGTTCTGAAACAAACTATGCAATTGATCGCCCTACCATAATACCAACCATTGTCATTTCGCACATTGAAGATGACAATGGTAACAACGTTAATAATTCATCGACAAATACCAATAGTGCGAACCACGTCGCAGCAGGAGGAGCAGCCACTGTACAAAACCAGGCAGCTACTACAACTTGTACTCCTGTCGTGAATAATAATGCTACAAACTAAAATAATTCCATACTTCCTTGGAGGATATCTTTAACCATAATTCCATAAAATACATTTCCAGGTGACTAGCTACCTATATATACAAACATAGAAAAGATCTTGTAAGTTCGTAAGTTCTTGTAAGTAAGTTTTGGTTCTCATAGGACTTAATTTAGGAGAAGGTACACTAATCCAGTTGGGCTTTCTTTTTTTGATAATAATACACAATGTCATTATTATCATAATTTTGACATTTTCTTAATCATTACTTTTTCTACAATGTTTGTTTCACCGTGTCTTGTTATAAATATCTTAGAGATAGTGCTATTTGTACGCATAGTGTTTTACATATTTTGTAAAAAAAACTTTTAGAATTTATAAGTTGGTTCCTAAATGAATGAAACGTGTATTACCCTACAACAACTACAATATAAAAAATACGACCAGAGAGAAACTCATCATAAGAGATTTTGAGCAAAAGGAAAATTCTCAGTTTAGACAACAATAGATAGATCCGGTTAATAATTATTAAGAAAAGTAGAGTTATATATAGCTCGATGATGATGAGGTGTGACCAATATAAACTTCCTCATTAACAGCAAAGAACAGAGGAAAGACATATTTTGGAATAATAATAAACACAAATGCCACATCATTATAAAAGCATAAACCAACCAAACAACAGATACCAATATATGTACCAGACAACAATTAGCCTAATTTACCTAAAATACAATATTTGCGTTACAACCAATATCGAAATTACAAATTCAATAACGGTCTAAAACCCATAAATGTAAACTCTTTCAACAACTTCACTTATTATATAAACCCAGGTTTAGTCATTTGCTAGCAGCAACATTTAAGTACCGACCAGACGAGGAGATATCGACGACAATGTTTGTTATAAATACCTACTTGTCACTTTTGATTCTTAAATTGGTCTAATTCTAACACTGTTATTTCAAAGCTTTTGTGCTAGACTAGTTGATTATTATATAACTTGAAACCGATGACTTACGCAAAGTTTAGAAATAATTAGAAACCATTATTGTACCTATACCCAACTAATCTCCGTGCACTAGATAACTAAATCTTGAAACTAAACCCCGTGAATTTTACCATTGTCAATAACTATCAGTCCTGTCATTATTAACAACTATTATTGTTTAGCTTTACCATTATTTTACAGTACAGCTCACAGTACAATTTAATTTTGTATATAATTATCGTACATCATTTATTTTATATTGAGTTTATGACAAATAAACAAGGAATTATTATTCTGTATGGAGAGAAAACACTAATTTGCTTTTAAAAACAGTTAATAATGAGTCACAACATACTCATCATCCATATCTGAAATTATTATTTTAAAAAAAGCATTAGAATAAATTAATTCTCTGGGTAAGGGTGAGGTGGGCGAAGTACCACATCACTGACGCTGTGTTCACGGCTGTGGTGGCGATCGAAGATATTAAAAGTCCAGCAGGTTATTCATATTGTCCCAATCGAACGAGTCGTCTGAATCCAAATTAGGAGGAGGAGTACCTTTATTCGTATCTCTTTGCTGATCATGGAGAAAAACAGACGACTTTTTCTTCTCACTTTCCACAACCTTTTCGTACTCAAAGTCCATATTTTCCCAGTCAAAGGTTTTATTTAAAAGAGATGGGTGAGGACTTTTACTTCTTCTAGGTTGTTGTTGAAACGGACTTTTACTTCTAGGTTGTTGTTGAAATGGACTTTTACTTCTAGGTTGTTGTTGAAATGGACTTTTACTTCTAGGTTGTTGTTGAAATGGACTTTTACTTCTAGGTTGTTGTTGAAATGGACTTTTACGTTGTTTAACGCGTTCCTCTGGTGGCATTTTCCGTTTTGGAATGTTCTCTTCGAATGGACTTCTCCTTTTAGGAACGTTTTCTTCGAATAGGCTTGTACTTTTTGGGTCACTTTCTTCGAGTGGGCTTCTCCTCTTTGGGACGCATTCTTCGAATGGGCTTCTCCTTTTAGGACCGTTTTCTTCGAATAGGCTTGTACTTTTTGGGTCACTTTCTTCGAGTGGGCTTCTCCTTTTTGGGTCGCTTTCTTCGAGTGGGCTTCTCCTTTTTGGGTCACTTTCTTCTAGTGGGGTTCTACTTTTTGGAACGCTTTCTTCAAGTGGAGACTGGTTCTTTTTGGTACGTCTTGGTTTACGTTGTTTACTAGTCGGCGACTTATTTTTTGGTGGTTTTATCGGTTTCGTGACTGTAGGTTTCTTCCTGGGCAATTTAACTTTTGGTAAAAGATTTGTACCTGTTTTGGTTTCTTTCTTGGCTCGACGAGATTTGTTTTTCTTGGCCGTAGGAACTTCTTCAGGAAGGTCTGCAATTAATCTGTCCAGTTCTTCGTCAGATGCAGTTATCTCATGACAGCGGGGAGCTCTACTTGGCGCACGACGGGCAGGTGCTGATTTCTTCTTTCTAATCATTAACGAAATGAACATGTTATCATAAATCCACGAAATAGAACAAAATGAAAACCAAAACCTTCTACAGTTACATTTGCATAAATTAAACCTACCGAGAATACTTTTTCAACTTTTTCTCTTTGAAAAAGTCCACATCTTGAGTGATATCATACGGGTCCACAAATTGTGTCAATGGTGGTGGTGAGCTACGATCCAAATAGATTACTGACCTCCGAGGAATTGCAATTGGAGATAACGACCGTCGAGGTCGAGGGGTTGCAATTGGAAATAACGACCGTCGAGGGGTTGCAATTGGAGATAACGACCGTGGAGGAGTTGGAATTGGAGACAACGACCGTCGGGGAAGTGAAATTGGAGATAACGAAAGTCGAAAAAACGGATGAGGAGTGGAATTCCTGGTAGAAATTACGGGACTGTCTGGCATTCCGTGGTCAGATTCTACATATTGCTCATCGCAATGGTTTAGAACAGTATTCGTTTTTCCGGGGGTGGAAGTGATAGGGGAATTAGATTCAGAAACCGTAAAAATTGCCCTCAAGGAAGAAGGACGAGAAGTGGATTGTCGGGCGTAAAATATTGGGCTAGCAGACAATATTTCTTCTTCTGATTCTACATTTTGCTCGTTGCAGTGGTTTTGATCCGTACTAGTCTTAACAGGTTTGGAATTATCAGGGGAACACGTTTCGGAAACTGGAAAACTTGATCTCGAGGAAGAAAGTCGAGAAAATGGACGAGGAGTGGCCTGTCGGGCACAAATTATTGGGCTAGCAGACATTATTTCTTCTTCTGATTCTACATTTTGCTCATTACAGTGGTTTTGATCCGTACTAGTCTTAACAGGTTTGGAATTATCAGGGGAACACGTTTCAGAAACTGGAAAACTTGATCTCGAGGAAGAAAGTCGAGAAAATGGACGAGGAGTGGACTGTCGGGCACAAATTATTGGGCTAGCAGACATTATTTCTTCTTCCGATTCTATATTTTGCTCATCGTAATGGTTTTGATCCGTACTAGTCTTACAAGGTATGGAATTATCAGGGGAATACTTTTCAGAAACGGGTAAACTTGATCTCGAGGAAGAACGACAAGATGGACGAGGAGTGAACTGTCGGGTACAAATTATTGGACTAGCAGACATTATTTCTTCGTCCGACTCTACTTGGTAATCATACTGGTTGTGAACAGTATCCGTAAAAGCGGTTGAACTCGGGGATGACGAGGGTCCAATAATTGGATGAGGAGTGGAAGGCCGGGTGGAAATTATTTCTTGATTCTCGTTCAATTCCATATCTTGCTCGGCATTGTTATCCTCAGTACTCAGCTTAACGCTACCAGAAGTTAGAGGACAAGTTAAACTCGGAGACAATGAAAGTGGAAAAAATGAATGGGGAGTGGAAGGCCGGGTAAGAATTATTTGGTTAGCCGAGTCTTGTTCCAAATCCAACTCCATATTTTGTTGATCATTATTATCTTCACGAATCATCTTAACACTACCGGAAGTTGAAATCGGAGACAACGAACGTCCATAAATTTGATGGGGAGTGGAAGGTCGGCCGGACTTTGGGCCGGATGGATTGGCAGGAAGCATTTCTTGATCTATGTCCAATTCTACTTCTCGTTTATCGCAGCGTTGTTGAACACCAACCGTCTTAAGCAAACTAGGAGTTGGAGGACAAGTAGAACTTGGAGACAACGAGTGTCGAAAAGGAGTTGAAGGTCTTCCGGGAATTATTGGGCTGGCAGGCAGCCTTCCTTGATCCATGTCCAATTCAGTATCTGGCTTATCGTAGCGGTGTTGCACAGCAGCCGTCTTAAGCGAACTAGGAGTTGGAGGACAAGTAGAACTTGGAGACAACGAGTGTCGAAAAGGAGTTGAAGGTCTTCCGGGAATTATTGGGGTGGCAGGCAGCCTTCCTTGATCCATGTCCAATTCAGCATCTGGCTTATCGTAGCGGTGTTGCACAGCAGCCGTCTTAAGCGAACTAGGAGTTGGAGGACAAGTAGAACTTGGAGACAACGAGTGTCGAAAAGGAGTTGAAGGTCTTCCGGGAATTATTGGGCTGGCGGGCAGCATTCCTTGATCCATGTCCAATTCTACTTCTCGCTCATCGCAGCGTTGTTGAACACCAACCGTCTTTATTGAACTAGGAGTTGGAGGACAAGTAGAACGTGGAGACAACGAATGTCGAAAAGCAGTTGAAGGTCTTCCGGGAATTATTGGGCTGGCAGGCAGCATTTCTTGATCCATGTCCAATTCGGTATCTTGCTTATCGTAGCGTTGTTGAACACCAGCCGTCTTAAGTGAACTAGGAGTTGGAGCACAAGTAGAACCTGGAGACAACGAATATCGAAAAGGAGTGGAAGGTCGTCCGGGAATTATTGGACTCGCAGGAAACAAAACTCGAGAGAAGGGCCGAGGGGTGGAAGGTCGTCGGGATGGTGATTTTGGATAAGACGGAGGATGGATTGGCGGGGCAATCTCCAGCAATTTCATTAATTCATCTGGCCTACTGCAGTGCTTATGGTCATTCTAAAAAATAGTATGAAAAAGTAACTAACTAGAGTAACAATTTGGCTGAATTTGTATAATTATTACGTACTGCATGAGTTGGGAAGCTCATTTGATGTAGAACCCTCTCAATGACGCCAATATCTTGGAAACATAGAGTCAAAGAAAGTATATTTTTATCTTGAAATTCGTCCAAATCGTTAGAGATTTCACTAAAGCAGCTCTTAAGCCGGATGTGTAGAAATATGAGGCAACCAATTTCCAAATTACTGGCCGTGGACCTTTGGGTTGCCGAGTCTTGCGTTAGGGCTTGAGACTGAGTTTGAGTCATAAACTGACTTCTGCCATCGTTTCTTCGAAGCCAAGAGACACAAATTGAATCAATTTGCTCAATATCAATGCTCAAATTTATCCAGGCGTTGTTGGGGGTGGCGAAGAAGGAGTGGATTCGACGACTTGAGGCACTAAAATCTATCCAGAGCTGACCACAATCCTGGAAACATATATATTTTACACGCTGTAAACGATTTTTTTTTCACGACAATAATTTAATAGCATGAATATTTTCTTTATGTTAAAATATACCTCAGGAGGGGTTATGTGTTCGTTTTCAGCGAAAAAGTATAAACATTTAACAGAAGTTATCATTTTGGTTCTTGGCCCTTTCGTACTAGAATTCACAGCATTCAGAAACGTTCTTGCACTCTAATAGAATACATAAGTTACTGTTTGTCAATATAATATACATAACTGCATAGAAAAATAAGGCCCTTACGAGATCAAAATCTTCACTTTCAAGTAAAAATTTTCGCGTCTTCATGCTCACGGTAGGGAATGATTGGCTTAAGAAATCCTCCGCCCTCTTATTACCAGCCCAAGTTATCCACTGTTGGATTAGAATCATCAGAAAATATTGACACGCGAAATCTCCACATTGTACAATTCGTTTCTCCAATATAATTCTGAACGCAGAGAAAGGTTTAATTAGGAAAATATCATGTCAAAATAGCATCCATATAAAGATTATGCCAAAACGCTCACACTGAACAGAAAGTAGTGTTGGTCCAATTGGTGAACTTCTCCAAAGCTCGATTTTTTGGTACTTTTCCCCACTCGACGAGGATGAAAGTGATGGGGATATTAATAACGTCCACGTAACGCCATGAATCGGTCTCTGCAGCCAAATTTACTATTTTTACTAGTAAACTGAACGTAAGATCCATAAAAGTCAGTAATGGTTTCCCTTGTGAGTTCTCATTCTGGTCAAAGCACCATTTTTGGAGATGGAGTAAGAATGACTAGAAACGTAAACAATTAAACGAGCCCCACTTTTGAAATACATTAAATACCACCTACATTGTTTGATTATATAAAATACTTTACCTCTAGGACATTTGTAAATGTAGAAAGTTCGTATTTCAGATTATCCTTTTGGTTTCCTTGATCCAGTAAAGGAATCAACAATTTTAGTACTTCGATAAACAATTGTGTGAGCTCTTCTATCCATTCGACCAGATTGTCCATTAAGTAGTTCTGTATAGTAAATAAAGATAAAACAGCCGTTTACAATCAAATTAAATGTCCCAAACCACCGTTCCTCCCTCTAACACTACTAATTTATCACTAGTTACGGGGTAAATTTTGTGACCATAAGCTTGGACGAGACTTAAGCAATTTCTTAAAGGATTATTTCCTCTCTGACCTTGTGCATCTCATAAGCTGCGGGGATAATTCCGTCCAGGTAGTCAACAACATGGGTGAAAACCTTCCTCCTCTTTTTGCGATTTCGAGAGTGTGCCTACATATTAAGAAAGTGAATCAATTCTTAATTAAACAGACCGTTGTACAAACTTTTTTTGTCAACTCTTTCTTACTTTTGCGAGTTCTTTCGTTGTCGAAACGATCTGCTCCTTGGTGGCAACTTCGCCGTCATCGCGAGATACCTCGAACTCCATTTTTCCCGATACTTTTAACCTTTAATTTTCGATGTTGTTTAAATTGAAATACCGTTATCCCTCGGTCTCGATACACATCGTTAATTTACTAAAAATAAAGCACCCCGTTGTTATCAAGGCAATTTTAGTTATGGCGCTGTCGCTTCGCTTTAAACGTTTCTGGCGTTGTTTTAATATATTGAACTGTCTTCCACCAATCCTACCACCCAGTACCCACCTGTTCCTTTATGTTGATATGATATTACAATGCTGATAACGACTGGAATAATTATGCTTAAAGATTAAAGACGGTTTGTTAATTATTTTTTAACATTGCAACATCTTGTTCGATTTGAATATTCTGTTAACACAATTTTTTAACTTTAATTAAAGAATAAAAGTGTTGTTTTTCGAGGAGACCGAAGAGCTCGGCGGTTGACCCTGGAAAACTTTCTCCTCTAGAAGGGCGGGAAGTTCAAATCGTTTGTTTTGTCAACAGTCAGTATAAACAGTCAACATTTTTTATTTAACGGCATGATTCCCGAATCGACGCCCACTTCCGGTTAGATAACAACTGAAGAGTTTCAAAATTTGAGTTGGAGTAGTAGTGGTACCTTGAAGATGTAAGGGTAATCATTGATATCCTATTTTGTACGGTTGGGGAGGACATTTTCATTCATTTTTCGTAGATTATCATTTTGTTGTGTATTTTTTTGCATTTTTTTGCATTTCAGTTATTGCAGATCTCACTGACCGGTGTATTGCATGCATGCCATTCTCATCTGAATCGGACCAGTAGCTTCTTCAACAACGGACGGATTGCTTCCTTTTACTTTTACCTTTGTCGTTAAAGAGGAAAGAACCACCGCCAGTAGGACCTTTCTCTCTGAAGAATCGTCATCAACATCAGCATCATCGTCACCAAAAGACACCCAAAAGAGAAGGAGTAGTAAGTAGGAGAGGAAAAGGAATTTGTTACGAATTCAATCTTATATTATCTCATCTCATCCACAGCACTCTCTGCACTGTGAGAAGAGTGTGAGAGCATTCAGCATAAAAACTCCTTAAAAAGGCGAGCTCTCCAAAATACTCGGCTTGAAACTCTCAACCCGTTCCCTAAGTTCAGTCGCACTCCATTTTATACACTGGACTGGATTGGATTAAAAAACTTTAAACGCTTGTTGAATGTAAATTCTCTACTGTCGAATTCAAAGTTTGTGTGTAGTAGTTTAGTTTGTATGTAGCAGAAATCTACAATCTCGATTCGAAGCTCTCCGCAAAGTTCAATTCAAGATTTCAACAACTTAATACATCAACATCATCATCAACAAGCGGCGTAGCCTAATAGATGTAATATTTGTTATTTTACGGTACGTATATATTTTCCCTTTCGTTTAACAAACCAAAAACAACTACCAAACTTGGGTATATTGTGGGAGTGTTAAATTATACCTACTCCAGAGAGTGATTAAAGTTAGTCAGGCGTTTTCGCTAGTTATATATACAAGTGGTTCGTGGTCGTGGTTAGGAGAAGAGTGGTGTTGTTTTAGTCGGCGTAATACATATACCAATAATCTACATTATCTATTCGCATTTATTTATCCTTAATGACGACATGTAGTGTAAGGGCAGGGTGTAAAAAACTATAAACGTGTAAGTCACAGAGAAGCTTGTTGGATTATCCGGTTGATGGGTGCCGTATTGTATTTTTCTTTATTTTTAAATTAAGCATTCAAGTATTCAAACCCATGGAGTAAAAAAATTGAATTGAATTATTCTTCGTGCCAGTTGCTGATTAATAATTCCAAAAGTTACACATAAAAGTAAGCGGGTTATGCATATAGCTACACTGCGTTGATGAATTCTTATTATAGTTTTTGAGATTGAATTGATTACATTGCTTATTAAAATCTAACCACCAACCAACTTAGTGGCGCTGTAAGGAGCAAATTGGTCAAGAGAGGTACTTTAAAATGTAATAGTAACGTAATATGTAATAATAATATTCTTTGGTTTCTTGTGCCTTGGTTTGGTCTAATCCTATGAGAATGGAATGGCTTTGTTTTGTTATTGAATTGGATGAAACTGAAAGGGTGAAATATTTGAAAGGGCTGACATTTGAAAGGAACACGACATTTGTTATTATTGTGCAAGTTGTGTTATGCAACATAAAATATGTAGCAGCAGAAGTAATAGATCGTGCACTACACACGACAGTGCATCCCTCCTTCCTATTAATATTATTTGTAGACAAGTAATTGTTATAGGCTGGTGCTTCATGCAATTTTCATTGATTGATAGATGATAGTATCGCAACAGATAAGCAGATATATTTGGGATTCACCTTGGTACAATGTAAATGGAGTTTTTTTTCGTATAGACTTGAATGAATTGATTTGGTTGTAAAATTGTATTCAAGATTTGGAGCGTAGTCTCGCGTGGAGCGAATTATCTGTTATCATTATTATACACTTGTTGATAGGCAGGAATTGATTATCGATACATACAGGAGCGAGTTCTTTAATAGTTGGTGTAGTGTTATGGGAGGTGAACAGATTGTGATAAACTGGGACTGAGTCAGGCAGTTCAACCAACGAATTGTGTGGAATTTTTTCTATGTTGTAAAAAATAATATTTTAATATTCAAAAAGAGTGATCCATCGTGAAGGAGGTTGGGAATCATCTTTCAGTAAAATATATTATTTGAAAGCATACAACTATTTAATTTTTGGCACTACATGCAATTAATTTAAACCTACAGACAAGGCATAATATTGAATGAGGTTGCTAAGGAATGCTGGTCGTGAATATCTTAAAAAAATAATTATCTGTTGTTCCACAGATCTTGGAAAAATAACTTTCACCGACGGTGAAAGTTCGAATATTGGTCGCGTCTCCTGCTTAAATCCTGCTGAAAACCGAAAAAAAATCAAAATGAATAAACTCTGTGCCAAGTGTTCCAAAACGGTGTATCCGATGGAAGAGTTGAAGTGTCTGGACAGGGTAAAAATACTCGGATCATGAAAATGCAGAAATAGCCATGTCTCACCAGACGATTATACACTATGATAACATTGCACTTAATATTTCAGACTTGGCATAAAGGATGCTTCAAATGCAACGACTGTGGGATGACGTTGAATATGAAGACATACAAGGGATTTGATAAAATGCCCTACTGCGAAGCGTGAGTGGATGATATAATTTGACTAATTCCTTAAAAGATAGTGCAGTACTAATTAAACCAATTCATATTTTAGCCATGTACCAAAAGCAAAAGCAACCACAGTCGCTGATACACCGGAGTTTAAGAGAATTTCTGAAAACACAAAGATTCAATCAAACGTAGGATTAGAATGTTTCAGAACATTATATTATGCATGCATTTCCCTAACTTTCATAATTTATGTGATTAGGCCGTGTACCACGCCGAGTTTGAGAAGACCAAGGGCAAGTTCACCCAAGTTGCCGATGACCCTGAGCTGATGCGCATCAAGGCGAATACCAAAATCATCAGCAACGTCACTTATCATGGCGAGTTAGAGAAGAAGGCACTGATGGAGCAGAAGAGAACCCTGGGGGGAGAAGGTGAGGGGGACACAAAGAATAAGAACGGGGTCCCACCTCCACGAAGCCCCTCATCATACATGGATGAATTGTCTTCCTTGCCAACCAGTAGTCATTCTTCGGCCTCGTCTCACCACCAGAATTATAATTCACCTTCTCACCAATCCTACAATCGAGGAAACAGCCATGATTCTAATTCTCGCCAGTATCAAGCCCAACAACAGTCACACCAGCCTCCTGCGACAAACAATTCATCACACCAACAACATCACCGGGCAGAACGCGATTCTTACCAACATCAGCAACAATCGGCTCAACAGCATCATCAACAGGGGCACTATGTACCCCCTCAAGCCCAGCAGCAGCAGCAACAACATCAACAATATAACCCATCCCCTTACTCCTCGAGAGGTCAGGCCAACGTGATTTATACATCAGAGGGTGGAGCAGGTGATGTTATTTGAATTACTAATTATGAAAGTTTACAGTGGTATAATTTTGTCCTAATAATTTTGTATGAATGTAGTTAACGCAAATGCATCCCGTAACAAGGTAGGATCCATTGCGGATTACGACCCGATGAATAACTATTATGGTTCTGTAGAGCAGCAGCGAGTAGCTCAGGCTCAATCTCAGGTAGACTTTTTGCAGGGTTTTAACTTTGTAGTAAATTTTTTTACGGACAGCTTCACTACTTGCCCCTCTCAGATTTCGACGCACCATTGATTTGTTCTACTATCCCATGAGTGAACAGTGACCCCCAAGTGATATAATGCCATGACCACATTTACGCCCCACTCAAAGGGGCAAAAATTAGAAAGTCGACGTCTCCAAGCGCTCGCCAAAAATCCAATTTTGGGAGAATTTGAAAATTCTTGCATCCATTCTAGTAAAAAAAGTTGTATGATCATATCCAAAATGAAATCCATGTTTTTTTTTTAATTTTTAAATATTTTTGAAAATTTTGACCGTATAGCAATAGCCTCGGCTATTTGATTTGATCAATAATTTTTTTAAAAAGTTGAGTTTAGCATTGAAAAGTTACTATTTGAGCGTATAATGGTGCAAGAATTTTCAAAATCCGAGTAAAATTGGATTTTGGTTGAAGGTTTGAATAGGCGAAACAGGGTCGTCTTTTTTCTTGTTTTTCATATGGCCACACGCCACACCTACTCGTACTTGAGTAGACGAGTAGGTGTGGCCAGTTCAAATGTACTCATTGGCTGTTCACTTATGGGATATCGAAAACTGAGAGAGGAAAACAGTGAAGCTCTGAAGGATAAGTAGAATAATAGTAGATGATATAGTGTACCTGATAACATGTCGTCATGCCATGTTGACAGGCACGAATGAGTTCCGGATATGGAGCAGGAGGTGGAAATTCTTATTCACACCACCAACAACCTAACCACATGCAACAAATGCCACAGCAGAAGCATCACCACCAGCAGGCACCACCCCCACAAAGTTCTGGAATCCGATATCAAGCTCTCTATGATTACGAGGCACAAGATGTTGATGAACTAAGCTTTCATGAGGGAGACATGATCGTCGACTGCACTCCGGTATGTACAAATTAAAAATATACAAATCGGTTTAAAAACTATTTCCATTTCTATTTTTTCTAGATTGACGAAGGTTGGCTGACTGGGACAAATTTGCGTTCCAAGCAGAGAGGAATGCTCCCAGCCAACTACGTACAACCTGCCTAATTCGTTTGTTTAAGAAGGACAATTCAAATCTTGTTCTAGTTATTTAACCCAAGCAGATCATCGTCTAACGTTTTAAAGAAGAATCAATTTATTATAAATTTAATTTGAAAGTGGCAATTATATGCTAAATTGTTATCGATCAATCGAGGTCCTCGTCGTGGAACACAAATTTTAAGAAGAAGGATTTGACTGCTTTGCTTTCGTAGAATACATGGTACAATGAATCTTATCAATGTAACAAGTGTACCTCATAACAAACCAATATTATTATCATTTTAGGAAAATTAACATTATGTGTCATTTTTGAAAAAAACATGTTAGTGCTCTGCATATCACATAATAATGGCAATAACAAAAAGTAATTAGGCACACATAACCCACATTCAGCAGACTCCTATACTTTTATTAAAATAACTAGGATTTTTAACAATATATGCATACTAGTGCCTCGTACATACGTAGTGATTATGATGATTATATCATTACTTGTAGATTGTACTTTGAACATGAACATGTAGGTTTTTATTAACAAATAACTGCTTATTATCTTGTTAACTAATTAATTACCACAACAATCCTAAGTTTGCCATATCTTTCATGACATTATTATTTACTGTAGTGTACAGTAGAACGCAGACGACCGAATATTATGTAGATTATTATATTACAAATTAGTGAATATTAATGTCTTCCGATTTGGTACAATATTTCGTCTATGCAGACTATAAATATGTACATATATGCTTAGATTGATTGGTGTTTCTTATTCTTTGAAGAAAAAATCAAGACTGTTTCAACTTTCCATGCTTTCTCGGGATGCTCCATTTTCTAATAACTAATAACAGTATTATCCTTCCATATGAAACTGGATATTCCATCCTGCTAATATGCTTCATTCCAAAAATTGCCAATCTTTTGATGCTTTGCAAAAATTCCAAGCTTACTAAAAAAACATTAATATAAATAAATGAAACTTTCTGTATTTATAAGGTGAGTTGAAGTGGGTGCAGCTATTCAGATGTAATATATAAGTTGTGAAAATGTTATAACATGTATAAATATCACTATTTTGGAAACTTGTTTCTCCATAATTTATATCCTGACTGATTGATTTTTATGATGTCCTTCCAATAATATTGATAATCAGATCGGTAATATGTCAATCCATGTAAATTAATTATAAAACTATGGATAGCATGTTCCTCCACCTAAAAGAAGAAAAAATTGAAAAGCATGACCATTGTTAAATTCTTGTGTGCAAAACGAGGCTATACGAAACTTGTTTGTATCACTATTAATTGATTGTAACACTATATAAAAACTACTTCAGGTATGTATGCAAAGAGTTGGCAGCTTGCTGGAGTACCAGAAAATCACGTATAAATTAATTAATTTATCTGTAGTACCTTATCATCCTTTAGTTGAGAAGATGGAGAGGTTAAATGAATAAGAATTGCTCAGTCCGTGTCAGATATACAAAACATTTACTATTTACAAGAAGGTTTGCCAAAATTCTAATAATTAATGCATTTTGATTTTATTTAAGAAAGACACGAGTTTTTTTAGATAGGTAATTTAGAAATAATGAGAAAACTATTAAAGTAATTAATTGATTGTGGCAAAGTGTAATATTACAATAATAATTAATATGCGAGTCTGCTACTGTGTGAGCTCAATTATTTGTGCCTTCCTATGTTCCAACATTATCGACTAATAAATAAATATTAAATAAATAAAGTTCAGTTTAAATATTATTTAAATTCAAACTGTCCGAAATTTATTGATTTTTTACAGAAAAATAATTTAACAAAATTTTTATTTAATTTTGTGTCACATTTTACAAAACATCTATGTACCAAGAATCACAACGAGAATAAGGAAAACGGATTATTCTTACAACAACTGACATTTATTATGCATGCGAAAAGGATAGGTAACTATTTATTAGCTTTAGGTAGGCGCCGTGCTCGCGTCATGATTTCCATTCACGGATTGTCCATATCCCTTATACTTAGGATTTATCCCTAACATACATAATCTATCATTTATTCACATATGCACAACTTTTGTTTGAAGTTTTACGCAAATACGTGTTTGTTATTTTATCGTCAGCTTATTTTTTAGAGTAAATACTAGTACTTAACTAACCAACCTGTGATAATCATTATAATTTTTAATTAACAATGGAAAACGCGTCAACTAATTTAATCTATCGGAACTATTTTGGAGGATTTTGAGTAACGTTTTTCAGAAACTGTTGAGAAATGGTTTTCAGCACGATAGGATGTCCGATGGCATTAAGTAAATGTTCAAGATAAGAAGGAGATCGGGTGACGATGGGAGGATTAGCATCTTCATCCTGCTTGGTATCTGCTATTGAATCATTCTCGTGATCTTGACACTGAAATAATGACTGATAATCCACTGGTGAGAGAACGTTGACGCTGGCTCTATGAAAATGCAGAAAATCGGGAAGATTGATCCGTTTCTTTGCTTTTTTGAGAGGAGGTGGCATGGAACTTGAATCAGAAGAAGCAGTTGATGAGATAACTTGACTGCCAGCTGCTGCTGAGATGGTGTTATCTATAGCTGGTGGACGTTGTGGGGCTAGAGTGGTCGTTGGCGCAAGCATTTTCGCTCTCTGACTTTCAACGTAAGATGATGTAGCTGCTTGAAGAAGTTCATTTAAGTCCATCTCACTCATGTCGGCTACATCCATCTAAATAAACAAAATTAAACTGATTTAAAATAAAATGCAGTATTTTAAAAGTAGATAGAAATATTACCTCGTTTGGATTCAGTATCTGTTTTGAAGCATCCGGAAATGTCATGCTGACAACGGTACTTGTAACGGATCGCAAAATGGCCTCTTCCAGTCTGACAGAATGATCACCAGGCTGTAACATTCAATGCCATGTATTATTTTAAAGTGGTCATTCAAATAACTCTAATCAAATGTATTTTTGATCGAGGTACCAATTCTATCCATGTATTAACGCTAATACTGAAATCTTCGGACTGGACATAGTGCCACCACTTTTGAGGAAGAAACATACAGTCGCCAGCTTCCAACGTGATTTGGTAAGGAGTACATTTCTCCAAGTCTAATGACAAATTATTATTAACATATTATCCTTTGGCACTGATAAAAATTTCATAATTATTTCGACTAACCTGCAGCATGGCTGGCCAAACGCTTTTGAGAACCAAAATTAATGCGACTATATACACTAGACTCTTCGTATGGAATTCGGGTTGGAAGCAAGTGGTCAGTGTCTTTCGGGGGAAACAAAATCCATTTCTTTCTAAAATTAGTGAACAAACGTGTTATTCCTACTCATTGGGTATACCTTAAAGTATTTATGTATTACCTTCCAAATACTTGACATACTAAGTTGCATGAATATCTGGAATTAAATTAAATTCTACATTTCTAGTTGAATGACCGGCAATCAACTTTAATCATTGAAGCCATTGATGTCTACAGTAAAATTAATTAATTAAAAATTAAAGTAATTTTTTTACGTATCAAAATGACAAGGGGTATACGATCCTGAACAAATGAAAAAGAATTAAATACGTCACTAAGATAAAGAGTTTTTTTTAAAATATATAATTCAATTTAAACAACCTGCAGATCCAATCCACAGAGTAGAATGATCGCTATTTCTCTCGGGAAATCCAAGTTTGCTCCAACAAAACTTTTTCTTTAGGTTTTCATTGAATGTTATCACCTGCAAAATGATATACGTGGCCAATTAATTAGTATTGTTAGTGAATAAGTCAAGTCATTATTTGTTGTATTTATTACATATTTTTGCTAATGCAAATTACTATTACCTTTAAAAAGTCTCGATCTTTGTCATTATTGGTTGAACCGAAATGGAAAACATCAGGCAGATAGCGATAGTCATAGTAGATCCAAATGTCCTCCTTTTTTCCACCCTCTGGTAAAAATTCATACTCGCCATTGTTCCAGTCAATAATTTCTTTCCATTTCAAGTCAACTTTCCCACATTCCGATTCCCATTGGGGTTGCTGTTAACAGGATGCAAAATTGATTGATTAATTCAAGTTTATCTAGAACTAACTACTATACAATTACTGACTATCTATGTATGACTAACCAAACCATTCCACCTTTTCTTCCCATATCTCACAGTGAGTCGTTCCTCCTTGAAAAGTTTAGCCCAGTCATCCAAAGATAACGTGCAAGGGTCCCAATTTTCATGAATTCCTCTGAATACGAGTGGCTGATTAATTTCTTCTTTAAGAATAAGTTGACGAAGTTGAGATTCGAATGAGGATGGTTTCGGGGTATTACGAACTTGTGAATTGTCCATCATGTTGTTGTTTTTTGCGAATGTTATCACAATAGTTAACAAATTACTAATTAACAGTTGACAAAACTAGAAACTGTTGTTTAGAATTGCATTGATTGATTTCGGTACGGTGATTTAAGCTTAATTTGTTATTATGTTAGTCTCTGACTGACACACTTTGTTCATGCAGTTTAACTGCTTGTAATGTTTATAAACTACACTTTCACACAAATTCGCGAAACAATGGCCTTGCGTATTTTGCTTGTCTGTTAGTAGTAATAATAATAATAATCAAAATAATCTCGTGATTGAACATTAAGTTATATCTGATTGATCCGCGTCAACAATGGTGAGAGGCGATTTGAATAACTCAAAGACTATTTGTAAATTTAGCTTAACTATCTTGCTAATCAAATATCAAGTATTTAATTAAACGAAACGAAGCACCGAGTGAGTGATGATGGTGACAGTTTATATATAGTGTACTTTCTATATAGCTGATTATCAATCCGGAACGTAAAGCTGGTATTTAGGCACAAACTCAATGTGAATCCTAAGAGAAATAAAGAAATATTTTTACAATTTGTTTTTTTTTTCAAATTCAATAAGAAGTGAATAACACAATTAATCTTTAAATAAACACATTGACTTGAATAATAATCAATAACTTACACGTATTCTAACATGGCCGAGTCTAAGTGCCCCTGAGTGAGCCTAAAAAGGATCAGGTAATAAAGGTCAACATGAAACAACCTATATTCCTGATTAATCCTGATTATTATTAGTTATTAAGTATCCTTACTTCCACTTTAATCCAAGTCTTCTATAAAGGTGAGAATTCTCCCACTCGAGAAGCTTTTCGACAGATAATTTAGTTTTCTTACTTAGGCAAATCACAGGCCAAAATGAACATCCTGAATACGTATCATGACATATAATTAGTTAATTTTTCTTATTAATGCATGAATCCTTAATTTATTTAATATGATCATACCTAACGTACAACAGCAGCAGAAACACCCGAAAATAACCCATTTCATCTGCAAGGGAAGGCTGTGACCTGGATAATTATTTTAAAAATATTACAAAGTTTACAACTGAATTTAAAATTTCTATCTGTTCGGCGTTACCCAAAATTGAATTGACTTTTTCAACCGTTCCTTTAAATTCTTCAGGAGCGACACGAGCCAAAAGGGAAGGTGGAAAGTCTGTCTTAAAACGATTATGAAGACCAAAGACTGTAATGTTTCCACATCCTCGGATAATAATGGGTTCTTGGTTCAAGGGAAATCCACTGCCTCCATAGTTTAACTCACTAAAGCTTTCCGTATCTTCAATTGCTTCGATATCCATCACTTGATAAGTGGAGTTTAGTTATTTCTGACTAAAGTTGAGTTTTACAAACGGTGAAGAAAGGTTTTACGGATATCCTAATCGCAAGTAGTAGAATCTGGTCAGACCCTTCGCCTTGTTTCGTCATATTCGTCTGCCTAAACAAATAAATAAATAATGAACCACAAAATTGCTGTAATTAAGTATGAATCACTTGTGACTTGTATTATAAGATACGGTCTGGCGTCTCAACCTTGTGATGTGTGATACACACATTCTAATCGCAGTAATTAGGGTAATCATTTTAATTTAGTCATGATTCTTTCTTATCTTACTTTACTTATTCCAACTACAAATTACTTAAAAACCTCGAAAAATTAAGAAGAGAAGTTAACAAAAAATACAACCAATATATACATGTAAAATACCTTAAATTCTTACCGTAGCTTGTAGTAGTCACATCCTACTAAACAAATAGATAATTAACAATTAAAAAATTCTATCCACTATCACTAATCCCTTAAAGTTTGTGAAAAAAACAATAAATTCTAAATTTAAGGGATACATAATTTAATGTATTTGATCGTGGCGGATTTCCCAGTTTTCTGTCCACCAGATTCAAACCCGTTCGGTTTTTGCACTTGTCATCTCACATCACACGTCTTCTCTCGCTCGCTTCTCAAAATAAATTCACAATTTTTCGAAAGTTAATTTTTAAAAACTTTTAAATTATGAAAGTGGTAGAGTCTAACGACATCGAAATGGCGGATGCCACCGATGGAAAGACGGTGGAGCCGGAAGTGAAAAAAGATCCTGACTTGCTGACAATTGAAGGTTTGTTTGTTCATGTTTTTAATTAGGTTTTTGGTGAAGTGAAATTAAATTAGTGTTCCAATTTATTTAGACATCCGGGAGCAGGTAAAACAGTTGGAGAAAGCTGTGTACGGGAAGGACTTTCGATTTACGCTCCGAACGCTGCGTTGTCTTCCAAATACGAGGAGGAAATTGAACTCGAACGTTTTACGGAGGATTATTGTTGGGTATTACACCCACTCAGCGGATAAGAGGGACTCCCTTTGTGCCTATTTGGCTGAGGTAAGGCTCAGCAATTAGAGGAAGTAAAGGCAAACGGGTTGGGTAATTAACGTTTATGTGTTTATTTTAGCCAATGGACACGGATGCTGCACCGTCTCCACGAACATTGCGGTCAGGACGGTCCACCAATACTCCGCTGATTCCGGAAATTGATGCGTATCTACACCTCTTGGTCCTCCTGTATCTACTGGACAACACGAAAACGGTGGATGCCGTCAAATGCGCTGGTAAAGAAGGAGAACTTATTATTAGAACTTATAATTTTTATGCGACATTCAAACTGGGTGGAAATTTGATTAATTTTTTGTCATATATTTAGAGCATCTCATGCAAAAGCTAAAAAACCACAATCGTCGGTCTCTGGATTTGATCGCTGCCCGGTGTTACTTTTACTACTCTCGAGCATATGAATTAGACAGCAAGTTTGATCAAATTCGGCCTTTCTTGCACGCAAAGCTTCGGACTGCAACTTTGAGGAACGATTATGAAGGACAGGCTGTTCTCATAAATTGTCTGTTACGGAATTACCTGCACTACAATTTGTATGATCAGGTTCGTTGCGAATTTTCAATTACTAATCAGATTGAACTCGTTGGACTTACTGCATACTAGTCACGAAGTTGACTAACACTGACGTTATTAATATTTTGCATATAATCTCAATAGGCGGATAAGCTCGTGTCCAAGAGTACATACCCAGAGACCATGGCCAGCAACAATGAACTTGCTCGCTATCTATATTACCTGGGACGAATTAAGGCAGTCCAGTTGGATTACTCGAATGCTCAAAAACATTTAATGCAAGGTTAGCACAAGACATACACGCCATGTTTCATTACATTTATTATATATGAAGTTATTAAAAAAATACAAGTATGGTGCAGTTAATATTTTAAACTTTCTCTATTTACTTAAAGCACTGCGGAAAGCACCACAACATTCAGCAGTCGGCTTTAAGCAGACTGTTCAAAAGTTGTTGGTTACAGTTGAATTACTTCTCGGAGATATTCCAGAGCGGTCAATTTTCCATCAGGCACACTTGAAGCGCTCGTTGGCTCCATATTTTCAATTGACGCAAGGTTTGATTTGATACTTTACATACTTTTTAATTTTGAAACAATGACTAAAGTATTATTTTTTAAATATATAGCTGTACGTCTCGGAAATCTCAGCATGTTTATAAAAGTCCTTGAAGAGTATCAAAAGCAGTTTCAAGAAGACAGAACTTTCATTTTAATCCAACGTCTGAGACACAATGTAATCAAAACCGGTCTCCGGGCTATCAGCACCAGCTACTCTAGAATTAGCCTGGCTGATATTTCCCAAAAATTGGTTCTTGATGCGCCAGAAGATGCGGCCATGTAAGCGTCTTTTAATTAAAATAATAGCATGATGAAGCATTTTCATCATTATTTTTAAAATTTTTGGTTGAAGCGTCGATACGACGATGAATTGATGTTTGAAAAAAATTGGCATAAATGTACAACATGATTTGAAACTTGCAGAAAAGCACCAGGGGAGGATGCAGAATTTATTGTCGCAAAGGTATACTTGCATTTCTGCATTTCTCACTACAATTCACTACAAGTGCATATATAATAAATCTCAAATGTTCTCTTGTTAGGCAATCCGGGACAGCGTAATTGAAGCTGGAATTGACCACGAGGGCGGATTCATGGCTTCTAAAGAACGAACCGACGTGTACTGCACGCAAGAACCCCAGCTCGCTTTCCACCAGAGGATCACGTTCTGCTTGAACATTCACAACCAAAGTGTCAAAGCGATGCGCTATCCGCCCAAGAGCTACAACAAGGATTTAGAGTCTGCAGAAGAACGGAGAGAACGAGAACAGCAGGATCTGGAACTTGCTAAAGAAATGGCAGAAGATGATGACGACTTCGTTTAAATCAACACTTAAGAACCCGATTATTTAATTACATATAGTTCATAAAAATAATTTTTAGCATCATAATATGCAAAAATTTGCAGTTTTTGTAAGAACAACTCTACCATAAATAGAGACTCAAAATTGTCATAAGTATGTACGAATATTATTACGGGCTACGGTGGATATAATACTGTAATTTGAAACTCTTGTAAAGGTTGGAAATTAATAAAATATCTTTTTAAAATGATCAACTATATGATTTTAACACTGATTAGGGCATAGTGCGAAACTACGGATTGCAAAATGTATGCAAAGTTATCATAAATTGCATTGCATGATCACATTCTCTGCACTGGCGGCAGGGAAGAAACTTTCTCTCAATCCCTATTTCTCTTTCAGCTAAAATATTTTAATTTTTTCAAATACTTGATTGGTAATTACCAGGGCGCATAAACTTTTTGTTGTCCGTGGTTTCTCTTAAGGGGGTGATGCAGGGATGAGCATTTTTTCAAAAAAATTAAAAAATTAAAAGTTCGGGAATTGCATGCAATTTTTCCATGAATTTGGTTGTCAACCACATATTAGAAACGAAATAAATAAATCTTGTCTTGGTCTTCATCTCTGAAGATGAGGAATAATGTTCGACAATTGATAAGATCCGTCAAGTGGATGACCAGTGGGGGCCATATGGGTCGGGTGAAGCCCGTGGTGCAGAATATTATCATTTGTAAAATTTGGTTGACAACCAAATTCTCCTTTAGATCCATGGTTTCTTCCTTTAGATCCATGGTTGACAACCAAATTCATGGGAAAATTGCATGCAATTCCCGAACTTTTAATTTTTTAATTTTTTTGAAAAAATGCTCATCCCTGCATCACCCCCTTAAGAGAAACCACGGACAACAAAAAGTTTATGCGCCCTGGGTAATTACGTTCAAATTGTGCAAAATTGTGTAATTGTTTCAAAGGTAAAACATGGCTGCAGGAGCTGGCAACTTTCGTCCCGTGTTGAGCGCTGTGAATAAGGTGACCTGACAAAACTTTAATTGCAAATTACAGGATTTTGACTTGAAACTTTGAAGTTGATTATGTAATGTAAATTATAAATTTTTATAGATCTTCAGGTCATACAGCGCATTGCCAACAACTTCGACCTTAACCCACTCAAGATCGTATGCTAATATTGTAAGAATTATATATATGAAGATTGTGAATGTCATTAAGTTTAATTGTCTGAGTCTGATCAACATAAGATTTTGTTTGATATTATTTTTGCTTTTAGCAAGCACCCGTTTCGAAACCAGAAGGGAAAACGACATGCACCCTGATTCCTGGCGACGGAGTTGGTCCAGAGATGATGGCCGCAATGCAAGAAGTCATTAAAGTAGGTGGCATATCGTTACACATTTGTGCATATTTATTTATCGTTAGTTATAGCTATGCAATAATTAGTGGTGTTTGAAGGTGTACTTTTTACGCTTAGATAATCGAAGTTAGATTAATTATTGTAAATATATTGTCTCTAACAATAATTCATTGTTTCAGGCTGCAGGGGCTCCCGTCGAGTTTGAACAGTACTTTTTGTCGGGTATAGTTATAGAAGTTTTAATTTTAGTTTGTGTAACTAAACTAAACATCTTGTTCGGTTGCAGATGTGCAACGACTTCTCAGCTCTAAGTTGGACGATGTTGTCAACAGCGTTACAAAGAATGCAGTTTGCTTGAAAGGAATTCTTGCTTCTCCAGTAACTGGGGACTTGACATCAACAAATTACAGGTTCAGATCTGATTTGGACCTCTTTGCTAACGTGGTGCACATTAAAAGTCTCCCAGGCATTAAATCGAGGCATAAGAACATTGATCTGGTCATTGTTCGGGAGCAAACGGAAGGAGAGTTTTCTTGTTTAGAGCATGAAACTGGTAATAATCATCAAAACAAATATACCATTTGTTTCATCATTTACCAAGCCAATGTCGTAATTTCTTCCGTAATTTTATATAGTTCATGGAGTTGTAGAATGTTATAAAATTGTAACCGAAGAAAAGTCGCGCAGAATTGCCAAATTCGCATTCGACTATGCCACCAAACACGGCCGCAAGAAGGTTACAGGTGACTAATATTTCAAGAGATAAACTATTGTAGCTGTTTCGTTATAAAATTAGCGTATTATTGTATTTTTCAGCTGTACACAAGGCTAACATTATGAAACTGGGAGACGGTTTATTTTTGAGGTGCTGCCAAGATGTGAGTCTGATTTAACCAGAATCATTATTTTTTTAAAATCATGTGCATGACATTAATGTATGAATGTTTTTTGTGTATGTGCAGATTGCTAAACTATACCCGAAAATCCAATTTGACGCCATGATCATTGACAACTGCACGATGCAAATGGTATCAAATCCTCATCAGGTAGGGAAATGGTGTCAAATGCAATTTAATTTATTGGAGTTTGGATATATAACAAATTGATAACCTGTGCATGTAAATAGCAGGGTAAAATTCATGTTAAATCAATCATCAATCAATTAATTAAATAAAACAATGACTGAATACCACACTGACTGAATTGAAATACCAATAAGTTGAATTTATGATTTGATGTTGTTGTAGTTCGATGTCCTTGTCATGGGAAATTTGTACGGATCAATCCTCGACAATATTGGAGCTGGTTTGGTAGGAGGAGCTGGTGTGGTCTCGGGAAGTAGTTATTCTCCCAACGCTGTAGTTTACGAACCGGTGAGTATTTATTGGATTTGAAATACATGTAAATACTTTGAAACTAATTTTTATTGCTTACTATTTCAGGGTGCAAGACACACTTATGCTGAAGCTGTGGGTAAAAAGTAAGTCATAACTTGGATATGTAAATAATCAACTTAACCATATACGTTTTTCTCTTTATATTGCAGTGTGGCCAATCCGACCGCGTATATTATAATGGCTGCCAAGATGCTCAACCATGTAAACCTTCAGTACCACTCACAAATGATCTTTAAAGCATTGGAAAAAACCATTAAGGCAGGAAAATTTCTGACGAAAGATCTGGGCGGGCAATCCTCCACAGAAGAGTTTACTTATGCCGTCATCAATGCCCTTACACCGTTATCGGCAAAATAGAGACACAAACACCCAGCGATGCCCATTCTTGTCAAATCAAGCCAAATATTGCTTAGATAATAATATTCACGCCAAGCAAAATCTGTTTGTCTTAGATTTAGAAAATAATATGGCACGTTTAAAGTTGGTATATATACTCTTGTTTCAGGAATTATCGCAAGTCGATCGAAAATTTTGATGATACTTTGCAAAAACATTGTAGAAAATTCGAACCGTAAAATTGATAACTTATTGTCAAATCAAAAAGTATTCTACCTTCGAAAGCATCAAAACCTGTGTTGCAAAAAAGTCTAGTCATATTACACACAGCACCGCATCTCAAATCCTCTTATTTAATACTGCACCTGAACAATAGTATTTCCTTTCTAGCACTCTCACCGAATTCAAAGTGCAATTGAACCGAAACGAGTGCGTTCCTCTTTAGCTCGACCTTAATAAGAAATCTTTGACCTTTCACTTCCTGTCGAAAACTGTGAAGTATCGACAATAATTTAAAAGCAATCAACTCTACAAATAATCGTGATGTTGTTGTCGTTTGTAGTGTCTCGTTTCAATCACTAGTGAAATAATTTATCAATGGTGCTGTTATCGAGAATAAAAAATAATATGTTGTATGTATGTATTAAAAACGAAATGTAGAGCAAATTGTTAATAATATGTCACGATTTTAACTTGGAAATTACAAAAGCCTTCATAAATTATTTTATTATTCTCCCTATTTCATAACAATACGCATTTAAACCAATGAATTATTATGCCTAAAATAATAATAACATAATATGTCTGAAACTTTACATTACATACACTTTGTCAGCCTCCGAAAAGCTGAACACTTTCGATGTCCTGGGACAAATTACTTTTCCGCCGTTCGTGCGAGCCATATCCTGCAGGGAGTGAGTCCCATACACGAAACCGCTCGGAAGAACGAGGGGAGGATTGTTTTCGTTCAATGGCTCCCCAGATATGGCACAAACCAATTGACTGTGGGCACAATGGGCAAAAGGCAAGTTATTTGCGAGCGTGGACAAAGGATCTGTGCAAACAGGACAATTTGGATTCTTGGTGGTAGGGCGATAACATTGTGGCGTTTTTAGAGAAGCCAATCCAGCTTGAACAACGGCAGCTAGTACGGAACTTGAAGAAAGTTGATACAAACGGGCATGTTCTTGGCGAAAATGGGTGACGAGATGTTTCCAGCGGTCAGGGCTGAGGAGTTCCGCGTATGGCGTTAGGGCTAAACAAGCCAAACAAATTATCACTTATCCCATCTTTGCATATAAATAGTTTACTAGTTAGATTTATAAATGTGGATTTACTTGTGGATATGGGAAAAGCGAGTAATCCCATGCACTTTTTCACGGCAGCGATGTGTTCAGGTTCAGAATCGGCGAGATATTTCCTAGCATGCTTCACAGCGTCGCCCCTCTTTCCAGATCGAACCAATTCAACAAATTCTTGAACTAGTTAAACATGTTATTAATTAATTAAAACAAAATTATAGACATTGCTAATTGCTAGAAATGTAATACTTAATTTATAGTAATTTAACATCTCTTACCACGAATCTCAAGTTCCAGCGTGGATTTGATTTTTCTTAACTGTTTCAGAATAACCAACTTTAGCTTATCGATTTTGAGAATACCTTGAGTATGCATGTATGATCTAACCTTGGACTTGTTCTCATAACACCAGGCCACCATCCTCCCAGTCTCGTGTCGTTGAAGAGATTCTTCGACTTCTTTTGCGGCCCAGAAAACCTATGTTGAGTAATCAAGAATTTTAGAGCACAGCTAATTAATTATTCTAAACCTTTAGGGGTTCATTTTCCTTTACCTCGACATTCGTTAATTCTGAGATGGTCAACTCCTCCGAGAGCATTTTAGCAGTATCATACATTCCTTCTCTGAGTAAGTGGTCAACTAGCATCCTGTTCAGTCGAACGCGTTTCCATTGTTTCTCTTTGGTATCCTTCGTACTTTTCCCGTACGTGAGCGGAGGGGTGATAACTTCAGTCGGGGAGGAGACCGATTTCAAATGGCTCGTTCTCTGTTTCACGGCTCGAGCAGCTTTAAGAAAATTATAAAAAAAGTAAATTACATGCAGTTTTATATTTTGGTTTAACAAGAAACTTGTATTGTTCAAGACAATCCTATATTTTTGTCTTGAATTAATATTTTTAATAACATTTCTAATACAAGTACCTTCCAGCTCGTCTTGAATACTTTCTCCGGCCTGAAACACACAAATACTTGGATATTAACAATTTCATTGAGATTTTTGGATTATTGAATTATTTCCAAAATTTCGTGTACCTTTCTTTTCAATGACCCCAACCTGTCCACCAAGGCCCCAAGAAGTTTTGCTACATCTTTTCCCTTCGGGCCTCGATGATGCCCGTGTTGCTTGTTGCTCTCCGACTCGAAGGATGACTTATCCACAGAATTTGAATTGCTGTTGCTGTTACACTCACTAATATTGTCTTCGAGAAGCATCGTCTCGGAGTCGCCACTCCCACCCAAACCGATCACGTCACCCAAACCACTTTCGGAAGATGGAGCGAGCAAATTCAGTCCGTCCCCGGAATTAATTTCCTGCTCAGAATCCTCGTCCATAATTATGGGGTTGTTGGCCATGAGGGTCGTCGTGGTGTTGACTATTTGAGAAGATGGGGGCGAATCCATGGCGGTGGTGGAAACCGTTGGTGAAATGGAAATGGGGGGAAGATCCGCCAACAATTTCTCAATTTCATTTCCTGCCTGCGCCACGTAGGCAGCTTCACGGTCCAATACTTTTTGCGTAGCTCGGAATTTTTTGTTGAGCACTTCATAAGGAACCTAAAATAAAATTTACCATTCTGATGTGATATAAAAATTCTTACAAAGCAACATTAAACATTTGTTTAAGAAACAGTTAACAATTTTTAATTTTTCTTGCCTTCAAGGTGACGTGTTCCAACGTCTTTAGTTCTGACCCAGTGCTCATCTTTAGAATTGGTTTGTCTTGCACTGGTAACAGTGGTAACAACAATAACTAATTTTGTTAAATTAGCAATGCTAAAAAGTAAATTAACACAGATATTTCGATTTCTTAAACTATCCTCAATCTTGTAACTTTTCTACATTCTGTGTTATGTTCGTGGGCTGATAAGAACACTTAATTTATGTTTTCTAATTATAAATTAGATGGACGAAAGACTAATTTTATAGTGAGTAAAAAAATCTACAAACTTCCATTCTACGGACTGTACAGAGTTGACCAAGTCATCTCTGAAGTCTGATTACACGACGTAAATAGAAAAATAGCAACTTTTGGGGCGAATTGATGCGATAGAATATCTTTCATATTTTATTGATGCTTTCTTTCCGACATGATCATCATCCATGACTATTTGAATTATCTATTTATTTGAAGATATGCAGATAAGGTCTTGCCTTTTAAATTGTGCATTATGGGATTCATTTATTATACTTGTATAATGAGTTGTAACTCATTATTCTATGCACCAAACAGGGAAAGCAAGTGTTGAACCCCGGTGAAAGTATGCACATTCTGCATGCGAACAATTATGCCAAAAACGACGTATTTGGAAAATGTATTTCACAGAATTTCATAACAGCAATTATAAAATTGTCTTGCTGCAAATTTTGTAATTCTTGTATAGTATAGTGTATCTTATTCATAGGTAGTGGATAAATAATCTATGATCTTATTCCATGTTCTTGTCGGTCTAATTTTGCATGCAATTTTCCTCTGAATTTTACAACCAAAATCTGTACCCACGTTCAATTTGATTAAACACATTTTATCAAATTATTGTAATTTTGCATTATTGTAATGAAATGAATCAGTAAAATATTTACAGAGTGATATTTTTCTCACATTCACGCTATACTATACTCAAATGCTCAACTCGCATACTTTTCCATGAGCTGATTCGCAACTTGCAAATTCATCCGGCAACCATGAACGATATAATGGAGCATAGACTTGTTTATATAACACAACACGCATTTATTTAGGTCCCGTCAAGTCAGTTAAATGGCATTAAAAGTTGTATTAATACGTCAATGTCCATAGGAGACCTTGAATTATTAAGCTGAACTTGATCCGCATGTGAACATAAACTGGCATCTCATCTCTCTGTAAATTACAATAGTATGCACACTCAGCACTTCACCTTCAACATTGTAACAATTTTCCTGACAAAAAAATACATTTTATTGTTCTAATTGTTGGGTACGAAATCAAATCATAATAAAATTATTGAAATATCACCTTCAACAGGTGTGAGTTTCGTGTTTTGAGCATATTCCGACCTTATGTAATTCAAATTAAGCCATGACGCTGACAGGGTTAACTTAACCAGAGTTCGTTAATATGAGTATGAATTAAGAGTTCAAGAGCACTCATCGTTATCAGGACACACCACTCATTTAATCCAATCGTTAAGTTACATCATATCATAATAATACCAGGTTTTAGTTTAGTGCATAACTGATACTGCGTGTGGGAGTAAAGCAAAATTAAATGGACAATTTGGCACATTCCGTATCTAATTTTTTCCAAGTCTTGATCAACCGTTCCCTGTGAAGCATGAGTAGAAAAAGTATTTTGGCGTTCAATAAGTCTCTCGTAAGGTAAACAAATCATATTCATGTAAAACTTAAAAATTGTAAAAATGTAAAAATTAAAAGCCATAAATAAATTTTTGTACTTTTCGGTTTGCAGACTTTTGCCATCTTCAAGCCATCCTATTCCAATATGGACCGTATTATTAAGCGGACCGAGTACTTTCAGAGTGCATGAGAGCCACTCCCACAGAAAATGCTATTCTCAAAATCATTCTTCAAAATTTAATTATTCATCTGAGCATGAAAATGCATCGGGTGAAAGTTGGAACAAAAGTGGAATTTTTGGAGCATTTACCGGCCTAACCCTTGCCGCATACGTGGCGTGGAGAAAGTCAGAGCAGAATGGAGTTCATGGTAGGATCTAAAGGAGAATTTTAATATGTATCTAGAAAGTTTTAAAAAAATTAATGAAAATTGTGATGCGATTATGAAATCTAATAAAATCTCCTTACAATGCAGCTGCCACAGTACGGATGGAATCAGAGGAAATAAAAAAGGATCTTCCAACTTACAAAAGTTCTGAAGTGGCAGTGCACTACAATCCCGAGACGAAGGCATGGAATTCATGCAAATTCATCACAGGATTACGATTCGTTTGCTAATAATTTTCTCATGCGCAGATTTGGGTAACTTTTAAACGAGGAGTTTACGATGTTACTGAATTTGTGGAAAAGCATCCCGGAGGCTCAAGAATCATGATGGCAGCTGGAGCATCACTCGAACCATTTTGGGAACTATATCCCGTCCACCAGAGACCCGATGTGTTTCAGATCCTTGCAAAGTACAGAATAGGTAAGTGCACAAAATGTATCAATACAAACATGCCAAAATGAATACATTGATAATTCAATTTATGCATGCTTTCTAATTTAGCATAAAATGTATTTTCAATTTTAGGCAATCTCTCAGAGGAAGATGTACTAGAACAACAACAACCTGCAGAAGATCACTTCAAAAATGAGCCGAAACGACATCCAGTCTTAAAACAGAGGTCACTAAAACCGTTCAACGGAGAAACTCCGCCTTCTATTTTGGCTGAGCAGTTTTATACGCCAAAGTAACAAATTATTATTTACTCTTTTATGCGAAATGCAAGTCATAACTCATTAAAATGAATGATTTAGTGACGTCTTTTACGTTCGTAACCACCTCCCAGTCCCACAAGTGGATGTCAAATCGTATTGTCTCGAAATTGAGGGAATTTCCATAAAATCTTCCAGTTTGCGGTTGGACGATGTCAAAAAATTCCCTAAAGTGACCATAGCCGCGACCATCCAGTGTGGTGGGAATCGTAGATCTGACATGTCAAAGGCGAAACCTTCGGCTGGTTTAGCCTGGTCCGGAGGAGCGATTGGGAATGCAAAATGGACCGGAGCCAGCTTAAAGGATATTCTCAAAAAGGCAGGATTCGACCCCAAAAAATATCCACACCCAGAGAAAGTCCATGTTCAGGTGTATTTTTATACTCACTTTCTCTAACCAACATCACCTTAAATTAATTACATACAAGTCACAGTCACCTACATATCATATAACAACGCGAATGTTCTATGTTAAGTTTGAAGGGCTGGACAGCGACCAATCTGGTGAATGTTACGGAGCCTCAATTCCACTCACTTACTTTTTGGACGAAAATTTTGAACCTGTACTCGCCTACGAAATGAACGACAAAAGTATTCCAATCGACCACGGGTTTCCCTTGCGCGTGATTCTGCCAGGAATCGTGGGAGCAAGAAGTGTCAAGTGGTTATCCCGAATCATCATATCCAACCAAGAATCTCAGTCCCTGTGGCAGCAGAGGGACTATAAAGTGTTCAGCCCGTCGGTCACAATGGAATCTGTAGATTTCAACTCGGCCCCTGCCATCATGGACACGCCTGTCACCTCGTATATTTGCTCGCATGAGGATGGACAAGTGGTAGCACAGGGGAACATCAAAATGCAGGGTATGTCACATGATTACCCCCTAAAATAGGACATGACGGTTGCTAAACTGAGCAAATTGACATCGTTCACCACAGGGTACGCCTTTTCTGGGGGTGGGAGAGGAATTGTACGGGTGGAAATTTCTAAAAATCGAGGCAATACGTGGGAAGTAGCTACAATTAAGCACAAAGCTCCGGTAAATAAATGACAAACGTACAATCAAATTTGTAACTAACTACATAATTTTAACTAATTTGATTATACGTATTTAGTCGGCAGCAAGAAATTGGGCCTGGGTCATGTGGGAGGCGGAAGTAGCTGTGAACAAGCAGGACAAAGAGATCTGGGTGAAAGCTGTCGACACGGGGTACAATCAACAGCCCGAAGACTTTAAGAATGTTTGGAATTATAGAGGACTCGTGTCCACTGCATATCATAAGATTACATTAAATGTCAAATAATAAGTTGCTGCGTGTTAGTATTATTATAAAAATTGAGGAGTATTGATCACTAGTTCAGAAAACATTTCGTTATTTACTTATATGAATTTATATAAGATAACTATTTGACACAGTAATCATAATAAAGATAAAAAGATATAATAAAGATATTAAACAACTATTAATAATAATCTTTTGACCATCATTGTTCAAAATTACATCACAGATTTGATTTACTTCTTCAGTCTAGAAATTATCTCGGAAAGGTAGCATGAGTAGTAACAATCTATCCAATGTTTAACATTTAATCAAGCTTGTTAATAGACTCGTCGCACATTTCAAATAGATATGCATATCTTCCAGCCCTTAAGGCCAAATCGAGTGGAGTCTCACCTAAAGAGTTCTTCAAGGTGATATCAATTCCAGGATGTGATAGTAGAATGATCATACATTCACGAGATTGCTGATTAGATGCGATGTGTAAGGGAGTTTGACCTGAAATAAAAATACAAAGCACATGTAAAATTTAATTGCCAATTTACTGACCAATATCGTGTAATTGCTTAGCAGTTTTACTATATGCCGACCTCCATTAGTTTGTGCATTGACATTGGCGTTCGAATTGACCAGTTGTCTCGCAGCCTTGTATGAGTTCCAATGTGTGGCGCAGTGGAGTGGCGTCCACCCATCTTCGGTTCCCTTTTCGACCTGCGCTCCGTGTGCAATTAGGTACTTGATGACTTCGGAATGGTCCGAATAAGAGGCACGATGAAGAGCAGTGTACCCATCTTGGTCTTGGTAACTGACCAAGGTCGGGTTTTCAGCCATCAGTTTAGCGATTAAGTTTAGGTCACCGTCCTCTGCACTTTTGAGGAGAAGTTCACCAGGAGAATCTACCAAACATGTCGCGGTAATTTGTCACGTCTTTCTACATTGTTTTTCCTACGTGAATAAGTAAGTTCAATAGAATAAGAACTAACTTGGATCTTCGGCATCCTCAATTCCTTGGTCATCCACATCAAAGCCGGACACAAACATTTCTGGATGAGTGGATTTTGCTTTTAAGCATTCCATTTGAGCTTCCAAGTCGTCGTATTCTCGGAGCGGTCCTAATGCATCGTTAATTTCGTCATCATCATCATCGTCATTTTTAGACATGTCAAGTTTCTTAAGATCGGCACAATTTTCGTCGTCTTCTTCCTCCATAATGTCAGTGATTGAGAAATACTTCCTGTAAAAAATGTCAATAGAAAATGTCCTGATAAAACTTATAACACGAGTTCAATTTCCATTTAGCTTACTTTGATCGGCAATATGGATGCTATATTTAAAATTATTTTAATTACCACGAGCAATTAATTCAGCACCACGCAAAACAAAGACCATAAACGAGAGCCGACTCACCTTCGCCAAATAAATCCGGGTCCGTGCAAAAACAAAAGTGAGACAAATCTGCCATGCTGTCAGTCGGATGTGTTGGTCTCCAGCGCCCACGCCCAGGGTCTCCAGCGCCAAAGCGCCCAAGGTGGGTCTATAGCGCCCAAGGGTGTTTAGCGCCCATACGCACAGGGTCTACAGCGCCCAAGTGGTGGAGGGTTTCCAGCGCCCAAGGTCTCCAACGCACAAGGGTTTAGCGCGCAAGTGTCTCTAGCGCCCACAGTGTTAGCGCCCAAGTGTCTCCAGCGCCCACCGTTAAAATTATTAAAATTATTATATACTTTCTTTTATACGATTTTAATGGGAAACGATTCACTGGATTCACCACAAAATATTTCAATTTACTTTGTTCAATTTAATTTAGTTTATTTAAATAATTAAGGGAATATGTCTCTATCACAAACTTCTTGTTACCCCTTTTTTAACCCCTTAAACTCAGGTTACCCCACCAATTTCATTTTATGTCAATAATCCGCGTTGTTTTTATTATGCCATATATTGGGGTATTGTTCGTATTAGGTATGCGGAAAGGGAGGACTAATTAGGTAGCTCTCCTAGCCAGTGGGGTGGCTAGGAAAGCTACCTAACCTAACCTAGCTAGTGGGGTGGCTAGGAGTGCTATCTAGGAAACCTAACTAGGAGTACTAGCTAGGAAACATAGCTAGGAGTGCTAGCTAGGAAACATAGCTAGGAGTGCTAGTTAGGAAACATAGCTAGGAGTGCTAGTTAGGAAACATAGCTAGGAGTGCTAGTTAGGAAACATAGCTAGGAGTGCTAGTTAGGAAACATAGCTAGCACCGTTAGGTAGCTACCCCACTAGCTAGCACTCTTAGGTAGCTACCCCACTAGCTAGCACCCCTAGGTAGCTACCCCACTAGCTAGCACTGTTAGGTAGCTACCCCACTAGCTAGCACCCTTAGATAGCTACCCCACTAGCTAGCACCCCTAGGTAGCTACCCCACTAGCTAGCACCCTTAGGTAGCTACCCAACTAGCTAGCACTGTTAGGTAGCTACCCCACTAGCTAGCACCCTTAGATAGCTACCCCTAGCTACCCTCTAACTAACCCCTAACTAAATATAGTAAATTCAAATAGTGAATGGTTAATCGTCTCCTATTAAAATTTTGCAAAAAACTAGGGTGAAAAATGGCATTTCCACCTCCACCCCATCCCACCCACACAATTTTTATGGGGCAACGTGAAACCTTGGGGGGGGGGCAACATGAGATTTTATTTCATATTTGAGTATCGTTCGTTTTTTAGCGAGCGAAGCGAGCAGATTAGGTTAGATCTGCTAGGTACGGGAAAAGTGTGAAATGCTTAGTTAGCCAATCTAACTAACTAGGCTAGATGCAACCTAGCTAGCTAGGATAGATACAACCTAGCTAGCTAGGATAGATACAACCTAGCTAGCTAGGATAGATACAACCTAGCTAGCTAGGATAGATACAACCTAGCTAGCTAGGATAGATACAACCTAGCTAGCTAGGATAGATACAACCTAGCTAGCTAGGATAGATACAACCTAGCTAGCTAGGATAGATACAACCTAGCTAGCTAGGATAGATACAACCTAGCTAGCTAGGATAGATACAACCTAGCTAGCTAGGATAGATACAACCTAGCTAGCTAGGATAGATACAACCTAGCTAGCTAGGATAGATACAACCTAGCTAGGATAGATACAACCTAGCTAGCTAGGATAGATACAACCTAGCTAGCTAGGATAGAGCTAGGATATACCTAGCAGATCTAACCTAACCTGCTCGCTTCGCTCGCTAAAAAACGAACGATACCCCAATATGAAATAAAATCTCACGTTGCCCCATAAAAATTGTGGGGGTGGAATTATAAATGTCGGGTGAAAAACAATGGTTGTCGGGTTACGCAAGGAGATCTAATCAATCTGTGGTGAATCGTTTCCCAAATCGTTTCCCAAATTTTAATGGTAACGAATCGTACAAAAGAAAGTATTTCATAATTTTAATAACGGTGGGCGCTGGAGACACTTGGGCGCTAACAATGTGGGCGCTGGAGACACTTGCGCGCTAAACCCTTGGGCGTTGGAGACCTTGGGCGCGAAACCCTTGGGCGCTGGAGACCCTGTGCGTATGGGCGCTAAACACCCTTGGGCGCTATAGACCCACCTTGGGCGCTTTGGCGCTGGAGACCCTGGGCGTGGGCGCTGGAGACCAACACATGTCAGTCGGCTGTCAGTCGCTCTCTCTTCACCTGGCCTAAATTTGACAATTATTATTCTAATCAACCTATTTTATAACTAACTAATTTGAGTACAACTTTAACGAGCTTATCATTGTATAAAACTGACTGGATTATATACATATACAAAGGCCGGTTAAGAAGCTTTATTTAATGTGACAAAGTTTGCGAGAAAGTTACCGTTTGCTTTCACATCTTTTACAACAACAATAGAATTGTGAAGTATTAAGATAATAAGGTATAAAAATGAGGGTATAACCCAATCTGATTAATCGTTGTCTATGTGAAGCTTGAAATGGTTGAAAATGTGGTTGCACTTTCACCATGCTTTCACTTTTAGTATGTAATTCCGCTTTACAACTTTCACTTTACTTTCTCCGAGCAAAATGCCGTTTGCATTGCATGTGGGCGTGATTAGTTAATTAATTATATAAATTATACTGAACTATTTGCAATATAGTTATTTTGATTCTTTTCAGCCAACGCTGAAAATGGATGCGGCATCTGAAGTCACTGAAGTGACAAATAGTGCAGCTATTACAAAAATGACATACGAGCCAATAAAGTCGTTTGAGGAATTGATGCACTACGGGGGCGAAATAATCACGACTTGTGATAATGGGAACGACGTTAGAGACTCCTCCAGCGAGCTGACTCTGCCATTGGAACAAGACGCCATGAATATTGTTAGCAGACAACGCGTCATCCCATGTCCCGAAAGAACAGTGCCACTCAATCGAAATTTTAGCAATGTCAAAGTTACCCTGGATGGAAGGCACGTCAAGTCTGCGGAATGTCCCAAGACTTTGGTTTGTCATGATTTCAAAGGTGGATACGGGGATGACAGGTATGCGACAGAATACATATGAATTGTATTAAAATATGAGTACCTAGTTTATAATTTTTGAAATTTTATACTTCTGACCAGATTTGTGGACGGAACCGATAACCATGAAAATTATATTTTTCGACACTGGCTTCATACTGTAAACTGTGTAAACATTTTAAATAATGTATGTAATATGTTTACATTATGACTATTCCGTAGGACGTTTTCGTTTACTTCTCACATCACTTTTTGACGATCCCCCCTATTGGTTGGATAAATGCGGCACATCAACATGGGGTCAAAATCTTGGGTAGAGGGAATATTTCATAGTTAATATTTATTTTTCGAAAGTGTATCTATATAAAGAAGGAAATGTGTATAATTATATTTTGTGTATGAATTTAGGAACAATTATAACCGAGTGGACTGATGGGGTGAAACTATGTAATGAAATACTACGGGATTCTGTAACCATTGATAAAGTTGTGGATAACTTGACCCTTGTCGCTAAGGATTATGGGTTTGAAGGATATCTAGTCAATATTGAGAACGAGCTTGCAGAAACTCAAGTGCCATTGATGTTGGAGTTTGTTGAAAAACTGACAAAGTCTTTGAAACACGTATCACCAGATAATCTAGTGATTTGGTAAATATAGAAGTCAAAGTACTTGATCTAATAAGAAATTTCCAATAACTGAAGGTATATGATTCATAAGGTATGACTCTGTGACTATTGAAGGGAAATTAAAATGGCAAGATTGCTTGAACGATTTGAACAAGTAAAACACTAGTCCTTTTAAGCATATACTTACGAATAAATAAAATAGACTAAACATATTATTTAATCCTGAATTATAGACCCTTTTTCCTTGCTTGCGATGGAATTTATCTAAACTACAATTGGGACGACGAGAAGCTGAATCATTCCGTGGAGAAAGCAGGAGAAAGAAGGTTCGATGTATACGTTGGAGTAGACGTATTTGGAAGGGGCTGCTATGGAGGTGGAGGGACAAATACATGTCTTGTGAGTGGTTTTAGTGATTTCAAAAGACTTTAATATTTATTTAGTCACAGGATTGAGAAATATTTCATGTTTAATTTCTAGGCTGTCGAAAAGGCTCATAGTCATCAACTTTCATACGCCATATTCGCTCCAGGGTAAATTATAATCTGTCCATTATATGATTACATAGACAAAGTTATTCACATTATTGTTCTTCATTTCAGTTGGACCTTTGAATGTCATCCGTACGAATCTTTTCAGCAACTTGACGATGCTTTGTGGATGCCGTGTTATCCATACTTTTACTTTCGTTGTCTAAAGGATGAATTTTACCCAACTGACCGATTTGAGCTTCTTTCTCCGGGTAGTGATGCTACTTGCAATAAATTCAAAGTATTATTTTCTTCAAATTTTTCAATGGGATATGGAACCAAATGGTATGAATTTGGACAGGTACTTAATAATTCTGAATTACAAGCAACAATGTGACTACTCTTATATACGGTGAAATGTTAATGATACTAATGCTGCGTTATTTATGTAACTAGGAACCTGTATGCAAATCATGGTTCGACTTGAGTCGACAAGCATTTCAACCAGTATTATGGCTTTCAAATAATTCGAATCTTATTTTGACCTCCTCAACCTCGTTAGAAGACAGCAAATCAGACAAAGTATCTTACGATATGACCACGGGTTTCTCTGGTGGTGGATCCCTTAGAATATGCAATTTGAAAAGAAGTCCCAACTACGTGAATCCATTCAAATTCTGTCCCATGTATGTATTTTATAACTCTAATTAAACACAAACTGGAAGTAAAACTGAAAATTTTCATACATGCCATGCCATTCTTGCAGCTGGTTCCCACTACAAATTCCATTGTCTTCCAAACGCATGTCAATCGCAGTACTGGCCGCCTGGAAATCTGTGTCAGTTGATCACCAATTGCAAATTTACTTGGAAGTTGTTCAAAAGAATTTGCAAATAAAGTTGGTTACCCACTTTCAATATTTCCAAAACTAATAGCTTTAATACTGCAGAATTTGAATTTGTAGAAAAATTCTGCTCGGCAGTGTCGACAACTTAGCAGATTCAGTGGGAGGAAAATATTACATCCATCTGAAATTGAGCCATTTTTTTCAAGAGTATAATGGAAACTCGTCTACGTCTTCATTGACGTCTGCTGGGATTTCTAAAGGGACGGAAGTCGAGTTCTTTTTCCGAAAAAATAATTACGACGAGAAAGAAATAAATGGATGGAGAATGTCGTAAGTGTTGAATATAAATTATGATTTAAGGGAACAATGTGAGTATGTCATGTATGCGTTAATTCATAGGTGCTTCCTCTTTGATTTGGATGAAACGCAAATAAACAAGTATGTTTGGATAAACTCTATAAAAGTTGGTGCTGAAGGGGACATATCGCTTGGATTTCTAAGTCTTGCACAAATTATACACTATTCGGATCTCGAGTGATACTAATTAGTCATAACGCCAAACTATGAAATTAATCGGTACGATTCCGTTATTATATTGTATTTATTTATTATAGTTAACTTTTTTCGTTTGTTCATCCCGTTGAACATCTCGAATGCGAGAATTTAAATACGATTAATGAATAATTTACGATAAACAATCAGAAAAAATTATTTGTTTAATAATTCTTCAGTTAAAGCTTACAGAGAAAGAGAGAGAGAGTAATAAATTTGACATTTATTTGATTGACTGATTTGTGTATACACCTCATTATTACGTTCTCTGAATTTATAAATATGATGAAGTACAGTTCTTTAACTATTGTATCACATATTGATGCAGTAGCAGCAATGCTATGTAAAGCTAAATGATATAACAGTATGTATATATAATATGCATTGTAAGCGAATTACAATAGGCAGAGGGTTAATTATTTTACGTTAAATCAACCCAACAATATTCATGCTTATTTGCTATATAAGAAATTTGGTCAGAACATGCAATAGTTGATACTCAAATTAATAAAGCAAAACGAACAACTAGAACTCTTTCAAAGCAAAGTCAAACTTACAAATAAAAGTTTGAAGTTTGGGCTAGGCTTTCCTTACAAATTCCTTTTATCTAATGATTCATTCCTAAGGTTCATTCATAGTTTCTGGGGTAGCGATTACTAACATATTGATTGACCCCCAAAGTCTTGTGTAATATCGCTACGTGAATATTCTTTTTATCCTGCATTTGCAGGATGGACCGGAAGATAAAATGCGACTAATCCAATCCCAAAGATTAGGGTGAGGAGGGTAAGGCTTATAACAGCGCTCTGACTGAATAAATGGCTTCCCCAATTAAAACAAACGACCCACAAAATTGTTAAAAACACACCAAGAAAACCGACAAAGAAAAGTCCAGGATCTGCCGCTCCTCCCCCTAAAATCCCACCATTATTGGCACGGTCATTGCTGCCACGACTTCCGGCAGAACTTCCACTTGCAGATGGGGGCGGAGGTCGAGACACGATGAGGCAATGAACCACACACTGGTCAAATATTCCAGACTCTCTGAGGGTCGAGGCGTCGTTGTCCAACACACGACCGTTAAAGATCAGTCTCACCGTCTTGTTTTCGGAAAGCTCCGTTGAAAAGTGTCGCCTAAGGATTAAAATATAAACGAGTGAAAATGATTGCAATAAAATAATGACTCAGTGGAAATGTGAGATAAAAGTTGAAAAGTATGTAGGAGGTACATAGTTAAGTAATTATGCATACCTTTTGAAGTCGAGGATCTTCTCCTCTGGCTGTGTAGTCACTTCCAATGAGGTATCATTTAGAAACTTGATTGTGAATCGAATATCTTCAACTCCAGGAGACGACACTGGGATTTCCTGTCGGGGTGATTGATTAGTCTCCGATTTATCCATTGTGATTGGTACTGTGGTCTGAGAAGTTTCTTCAACCAAGGTCGAATTATTGGTAGAAGAAATATCCGAATAAGCAGTAGATCTTCGGAGACGCAGTCCACCACCGTCTGATGTAACCTGCGGACCTCGATTTTCGTTAATTCCTCCGTGCTCTTCAATAGGGGATGATAACGATGAATCAATAACTTCTTCTGCGTTCAGCAGTACATCTACTCCACTGGGATTCTCGATTAATTGTTCGTAACTCTCTGTATCGTCCACGTTCGCATCAACGTATTCATACTGGGTGGAAGAATCCACAGAGTGAGAGCGTGAAGATCGATTGCTTTGCTGCTGGTCAGGTATTATTTCATTTGAGCTTAAATTAGGATCAGTTACAGATAACGCAGCTTGTGGTTGATCGGAAATAGTTTGGTCTACAGAAACTTGGCTTGATGAAAGCAGTGACTCTGCTGTTCCTACTCCTGTGGATGTTTGAGAACCGTTTTCGGAATGATGATGGTGATGATGATGGTGGTAAACCTATAAAAAATGATTCGTAAATCATTTTTTACTTATTTGGACTTGATATTAGGATGGGAATTGAAACATGAAAAAAATAATTCCTTACGTTTACACGATGGTATACAATCACTTGGTTCCCTTCTCCACCTGCCCGTTGCAGAAGAGGTCTAATTACTGACCCCGGACGAAGAAGTCCTTGAAGCAAAGCTGCTCCTGAGGTTGCTTGCCCTACAGCGGCGGCCCGCTGGTGTACTCTGGTTTGACGATAACTTATCTGAGTTCGTCCCTGATTCACACTGCCGCCGTTAAGGACCTCACCTCCTCCAACCACTCCTTGATTTTGATTTTGTGAGGAGTCTGCACTAGTACCGTTACTTCCGCCCGTAGAAGAAACTCGTGTACCAGATAATCTTAGACGGTCCAACGAAGCCGAAGCTGAGCCACCACGGGTGATAACAAAGTTTCTTCGAAAATGGTCCACATCCACGCCACTACTCAAAAGTCTGACATCTGCGAGCGTGTTGTGCTCCCCGTTATTATTTAGGGTAGGAGTAGAGGAGATCTGAATGACATACGGTGGCCGAGGTACCGGAGGGAGGTCGGGAATGTAGGTCGTTCGCCAGGCAAATATTCCAGTGACGATGAGGCAGATTAAAAATATGAGGAAAGATGTGGAAATAGAGAATGACCCGGACTCGATGTGGCTACTGATCAGTTTCAAAAAGTCACTTATGAGAACAAAAGTAACACTCAGGTCAAGAAACATAGTACTTTCACCGAAGGAAGTGACACCTTCCTTTTGTTCTTTTCTGACGTTCGCTTTGTAAGGTTGAACAAGAAAAAACAAAAATATCAAAGAGATTTTGATTTGTTATTTTCACGCCGCAGCTTATCTTCACTGATCCATTCTCCTCAATAGTCCGAGCCCAACAATAATCTGAAATGCAAGATTAAGAGATAACACGTCATTAGAACAGAAATCCTGTGATCCTATGAAGTAGTAGCAGCATTATGCAAATTAATACTGCACGTATTGATCCTCGAATTAGGTCAAGGATATACTGAATTAATCAACAAGATAATCCATAAGATAATCAATAACAGAATCACGACATAAATAAATCCAGGCGTATATAATTCCCATTATATTACAAGAAAATCGGATTTTTTTATAAATCAAGCAACATCCCGATTCAACTTATTATTCATGACGTAATAACAAACATCATTAAACTGAATTATTACTCTAATAACTAATTTTTGCAATAATCTTATAAAAACTTACCCTTAAACTCTTGACCTTGAGTGATAAATCACCCGAAATCCAAAACTTTTAGACTAAATTTCCAAAACGTATGAGAAACTTTCAAAACTTTTAAATTTTATCGATATTCTCAAAAACTCCACATTTACAGGTGTTCAAGTTCTAAAGGTTAAAATCGAAACTTCCCGCTCCATTGGTAGTCTATATTTCTCAATCTGGCGAGCTACGCAGTATTCACAATTTCGCAGCATAATTAACAAGTAATTTCGCATTTCAAAATCTTGGAAATTAAAAATTATCGAAATTTCAGACTTCTCCAATTATCTATAAAATTAATGTTCCACCCACTTATTCTTGGACAATGGGTGTATTTACATTGGATGGAAGCTCCATCTGACGTAGCAATGGGGGAAAATTCCCTGAAAATATTTTTTTACGTCCACTAAAAAACTCATTCATCCATCACAGGGATTGAGAGTTGATGAGAATAATAATATTAAACAAGAAAAGATTTAGTTAAATGGTATACGTTATATTTAATTAACCTCACTTACGTTGCTACTACTAAGATAAGCCCGTTAATTTCCTTATCTCACGTATTCCCACACGATTAAATCGCAGTTTCCTTTTTGTTCTGGCTGAAGAAACACTTTTTATCAAGTTTAATAAAAAAATTGACGTAAGTTTAAATTAAACTGTTATTTTTATTCTCTTATTTATTGAATGGGGAAAGAGTTTAATTGTTCCAAACAAACAATAGGAAGAATAATAAAACAGCTGAGTGTCAAAATATCGAATGGTAATCTATAGGGAGCTTTTCACTTGTAGTACTATATGTCAAATAAAATTGTAGTGTGTTTACCATGTAATGCATCTCTATAGACTTCTTTGAACTGGGGATGAAGTTTTCTTGCTGGAATTACGTAAATTGAGAATATAATCATTATTTAATTAGTCTTTTAAGGACTAAGAGTTATTTTAATATGCTGAAGGCGAAAAATTTATAGTAAAAAGGTTCATTTTAGTAAAATTAGATAAGATCTGCAACAAAATGTTATATATCTATTGGATAAAGTTTAGTGCTACTTTACCAATTTGACATATTATCATTTTATACCATTCTATTGTGGTTTTCATTTGTATTACTCTAATGAAATACCAAGATTATTTGCCACTTTATCACTCAATCGTAAGGGTAACGTAAGGGTCTTTAAGGGAGAAGAAAATAAGCAGTAAGCACTAAATGACAAGCAATCGTGATAAAATACAATTCTATTATGGGGCCATAATTAGGAATGGTGTCAATTAGTCGTGCTACTTTACACTGCCAATTCATTATTAGAATTAGGTATGCGATGACTTACCAACAACTAATTCATTTTAATTTATTATTTCAGGAAAGCCAAGTCCTCCTGCGTTTGACATACTTTAAAAACCTTATTAATTTTGTCGTCGACATTTAGGACTAGATGTAATCTTTAGTTGTCAAAATGGATTATTAACTATCTTACGCAAAAGTAAGCAAACTTATTATTATAGTAGTGCGTAAGATGCCATACCGCTTGGATTTAAAAAAAAAATATTAACTAGGATTGAGTGTGGCGATACTCCAAGTCCACAGTCCTGAGTCAGCGAGGTCCAGAGAAAGGTTAATTGAATAATTAAAGTAAAAATTTATAAATTCAATTGTGCATTTCTAATGTTAAAATTATTATTTGTTCTTAAAGTAACAGTCAGTCAGCTTATGAAGAGTACTCTTGACCGTTTTCCAAAGCTATCTTCATGTTTGAAGGGAAAAATATTCACTTCAGTCCTGTGGACAATAAGCCATTATGTTCATACTCTAGCAAATTGTGTCGGTAAGTTCCGTTTGATAATTTGCAGAAACTGAAAATATATAATACAAATAAGTTTCAAATGCAATTGTCGGAAAAGGACAGGAAATAATATACAATTTTAATATTTCAATTTGATTTTTGAATTTCAGACAAAGGCGACTAAATGGTTATGCATTTTGTATCAGGTGAATAATTGTAAATTTATTGCCGTGTTGAATAATATCGAGCAGTATTTGATATTTGATATTTAATATCCTTTTTCTCTCCAGACACATTTTGGAAGACAAATCAGCTCCATTCAAGCGATGCACCTACGTCACCAGGAACAATAACCAGATTTGTCAAAATGCAATTCCGACCAGTCAAGAACGTGGCTATTGCCACAGCCACATGCAGGTTGCTGGCATCATTCCGAAAACGGAAAGGAAAGTAAAAAACCCACCAAAATCTGCCGATGCAAATGGAGCATCAGGCAAGTCGTCAGATTCAAACAGTAATAGTTCCAACTCATCCAATGGTGGAGTCAAAAAGGATCCCAACGCTGTGTTTAAGTTCGAAGAGGAACCTTCTGAAATCCAGTGGATTCCCAAGGGTGGAAGAATTAACGGGATTGTCAACAGAGGAAAAAAAATCAACGGAAAAGGAAAAGATCAAGTCAAAGAGACCGGAGTGGTCAATGGGACAATTCACAATGGAAGCTCTGGAAAAAGTGGAAAATCAGAGACCAACAAGAATGGAAAGGTTAATCAATCCATGTTGATGAACGGAAAAGACACGCCTGCCCATGTAAAGTCTCGCCAAACTTATGCGAAAAAGCCCACTACCACTTCATCGTCAGGGAAGAAACCAAAAGTCATCATAGAGTCAACTACTGTGATTAATAACAAACAAACCTCGGGCAGTTTAGAAACCACCACAACCAACGGATCTGGAAATTTAGTAGAAAATGCGCGCTTCGGTCTCGAAGTGAATATTTTAGACTCCAATGTTGCTACTCCCCCTTGTGCACCAGAACACGACAAATATTTTGATCAATTGAAAACACTGAAATCTGTTGAAAAATCCGTGTCACACTCGAAGCAGGATTCTTCAGATATTGTAAGCGCTATCAAACAATCGCACATCAACAACAACGCTTCTTCCAAGCCAACAAATTCTCCGCGGACAATACCCATTCCAAAGTCTACTACTCTACCAAATAGTAGAAACTCTAATAGTAACAAAAATTGTAGTAACGTAGGAATTTGTACTAGTTCTGGTAGCAGTATTAGTAGTAGTTCATCTGTTTGTGTTGATTTGTTCAATAGTATATGTGCTCAAAAGGTAACAAATTCCTTACCCCCAGAATTTTCACCTGACAAAATAACCATAAAATCCCAGAATTCTTCCTTCGAGCCCAGACAAGAATTTCTAGCTCGTGTGAGACAAGCATTTAAACTGCAGTACTTGACGATTAAGAATTCTGCAAATGATAGTGACAAAAATGAGAAAATTTGGAAACGAGCTTTACGCCATTCTTTGCTGACATGCGTTGCTAAAAATTCATCCTACTGTGCTCACGTAATTGTTCAAAATGATCCAAAAAAATACTCTGATCTCGTCATGGTGGGCAACGGAAAAAAGTCGCCTGCTCCAAAATCAAACAAAAAGTCGGCAGCTGCAAATACAGTCGGCAGTAATGGCAACAACAACAAGAGCAGAAGGAAGAACGGTTTGGCAGATAACAATCCTAGTGGTGGGAGTGAAAAGAGTGAAAGCAGAATCGTTTTGACCAATGGAAATTCTATGAGCATAATGGATGATGACATTTTTGGTCCTGTCTCACCGCCGGACGTTAGGGGTCATGGAAAGTCAAAGGTATATTCACTCGATAATTAATTAATTGATGGTACCCAATACCGTATATTGAACTCATTTGTCATGTTATATTTATAATTGTGCAGGCTTCATTGGGCACGGACGAGAAATTATCTTCTCAGAAAAAGAAGAAGGCAAGGAAAGCAGCCGTCCTCAGTCCGTGTGTAGCTAATGGACTTGATGAAATAAGTCACATATCTCCATTAGATCATCACGCACCTTCAATACGAAGCATATCCGCAAAGAAATCTTCATCTGACTCATTGGAAAGTGCAATGAATGCCAAGAAACGTAAGTTCTCTGAGACCCTCAACTCTGAATCGGATTCCCTCTCTCAGCACATTCTCAACTCTGTGACGGAATTCCGAGTTCCAAAAGTTGAAGATCCTTCTGCTCATGATTTGAGTGACATTGACATCAAGATGGAAAACGAACAAATTGGATACAACAATTACAATGGTCACATAAGCAATCACCACCACCACACCCACCCCTTACTTCATCCCCACTCCGGCTCAGCAACTACTGCAAAATCTTCCATCCTCAGTAATGCTCAGTTACAACACCTCCTTAGCCAGCCAGATCTCCGGACACTGGCTTCAGCTGGACATAATGCGAAACTTCAAAGGAATCAAGGGATTAACACGGTCTTAAATTCAGTCGGATCTTCAGACTTGGTAAGTTCGGATGGTGTTATAACGGATGCATCATTTGACTCCACTTTCGACCACTCCAGTCAACAAGGTAATCATATCATATTTATTGTTAACCCTAATGTAAAGAATTAGTTTTATTAAATTTTTTGAATTTCCAGATTGTGACTTTTCGGATGACGATTTGGAGAAGAGTCTGGAATTTCAAATCGATCCAGAAACCGAACACCAGGCGAGTCGACTTTTGGAGGATAACGAGCTAACTGAAGATGATTTGAATGAACTCTTCCCCGAGACAAGTAACAAAATTGGTCGTTCAGATTTATCGGATTTGGGTGTTGATTTCTCTTCCGCATTCGACGCAAACGACATTGATTATTCACTCTTTGCGAACATATTCCCATTTAGTCGATCAAGTCAATCGGAATCCATTTCTATTTCGAATCAGTATTGAAAATCGTAAATATTTTAGATTTTTGTATCAAGTTTTAAAAATTAATTTTTATTAATTTTAGAGTTTGTTCATTGCCGTGAATAATTTTTTTTGTTAAACCGTACCTGAGTTTTTATTACAAGTTTTTGATTCATTCTTGGTTGTTGAAAAACGGAATAGAAATGGATGAAACGACAGTTGACGGCGTGCATAAAAAAAATCTCAATTGCTTCCTAATGTGTTCTAAATAATCTACTTTTACCTGTAATATTTATTTAAGGTCAAGGTTTATATTGTTAAAGAGTGAAAACTATTGTTGTAATTGGGTAACAAACCGATGCGGTGTAGTAACTAAAATGTAGTAGAAACTAGCGATAACAACAATCCTTAAAAATAGAGTGATAATGGTAGTTTCATAGAATTAAATCTAAGTTACTTACTCAATGTCAGTCAGTCATTTGCTATTTAGAAGTTGATGCAATTTGTGTTTTACTTAATCAATTCGTGGTCTCTCCTCCCAAACCAACAAGATATCTTGTCCCTCAACCATCCAGATATATATTGTAAGGCAATGTATCGTGTCGCTCCATTATATGAATATGACTTTGTGTAATAGAAGGGTTTAAAATGGTCTGAGGAAAACGCTTGCTACAAAGCTTTACAATTTACAGTGAGTATTACTAATATACATAGTTTCTTCTGGAAATGAAGAACCAACATTATGTCATAATTTTAGAACATTTTAGAATTTTAGAGCACTGTTCGTTTGCAGTACCGCATAATGTTAGGCTTTGTGTCCTTTGTTCATTTTGTTGAGTTGACTTTTTGAAATTGTGATATTCTTTATTTCCGATAATACAATATTTAATCGGGAGGATATTATGTTTCTGGTGAATTTGTCAAATGTAAATTATTCGCATGTAAATTTATCGCTCGAACGTTAGCTACTTTCTTATTAGATTTTTTGAAGGGTCGACTATGAAATGAAGCTGATACAAAATCTACGAATTTACACGAGAATCAAATCAAGATTTCTGATAACATTTTAAAGCCAAAAAACCAATTGAACGTGTTACTTAAATAACTGATTTGCGAGTAACGCGATCGATCGAATTATGTTGCAATATCAAATGTCTGATTTTCAATTGTAGGTTTTATTTATTTATTTCCTTTACGCTCTGAATAGTGCGAAATATACAATTCAGATAACTGACATCAAGCAGCCTGAAAATTTGAAAATTATATATTTCATACTTCAAGAGGAGACTGTCAATTTAAAATGTGTTGAAATATGTGAGACTGATTTCGTTTTTTTTTGTTTTTAATGAAAATCTGGAGACACTTAAGGAGTCAATAATCGATGAGGGTTATGTTTTATAATGAATTGTGATGATCAACTCAAGGAGAAAGTAATTGTTCTAAATTTTAAAAGTTAAAATTATGTCGTTTTTTTGTTATATTTATTTGTTTAAATTTGTTTTTGTACTCTCTCATTTTACATGCATTCTTTACTTTGTAGTTACAAAAAATGACTGAAATATGATGGCATTATCCTGTGGTATTTTCAGTATTGGTTTACTGCAGATTTTTCATTGGTTATTAACAGGGTGCATAAACTTTTTTGTTGTCCGTGGTTTCTCCTAAGGAGAAAGTTTATGCACCCTGGGTTATTAATAATTTAATTTTTTTACTCTTTGGTTAAATTTTTATGTTTTTTTACGTTATTTATTATTTTAAAATTAATTTATTAACGTCTTGTTGCAAAGTTATGCCAGACCCGACCCGTTATATAATGACAAAGGCATAATAATAATAATAATAATAATATAAATGTGGAAATTGATGCATTTTTGTGAATTATTATATACTCTGATGAAGCAGAAGAAAGAAAGATTTACTCAATGTATAAATTTTAAAAATGTACATATACATAAATATATCCTCTCGAAAAACCCCAAACCAACCCCCCAGTATCCCCACTACATAATAATGTTGCATACATCTTGTACATACAAATTGTAATGTAAAACCCAGTTGAATTTTCGAAAATTATTATTGTGTCATCAAGTAGTTGGTAACACCTACTAGATAAATGTATAATAGATCGCATGGCATGTCAGTGAATAATAATCAATTACTATGTGAGGTTATAGAAAAAGAAGCCAAAAATAGTGTACACTCTAATTATAAGTTTGAATGCTACACGCTACACACACACCTACAACACACCCTGCCCGCGTATAACTTATCTACTTAATAGAACCCCCACCCACACATATACGCTCAGTTCGGTCAGCTACAGCTTAGAGATAAACTGTATGCATATGACACAGGACGTGGAGATCATGAAAGTGAGACTCAATTTAATAATATTCAACAAATCTGATTTGATTCATGTGATTACCCAACCAAACGTTGATTGTATAAAAAGAAAAGATGAATGTTAATTACTCGTCGATCGTTGTCGTCCCAAATCAAAACCAATTTCAATTTGAATCGGAAACTTCAAAAAAATAACCTACCAAAGTAGTAGCTACTACATAAATAGGTTTGTAATAGTTATACACATACATAACTCTTGTTATTTAATGGGCTCTCAATTCCCATTTTGTGACCCCGTGAATGTTAAAAATAAACTTCGACCAGTTCGTTTTTCATACAGTAAATAATGTATGTTTTTAGTTTATTCAATGATCATATTTATTTTATAAGTAATCTGAATCAGCATTATAATCAATTTATTACAGTTCTAGTAAGTAAATTCTCCCTAGTTTCACGAGTTTGTCAGCTAAGCTTGCTCTAATTCAAGCAGTACTCCACCACAATCTTTGGGATGCAGAAATACGACGGGTTTCCCATGAGCCCCAATTTTTGGTTTCGGATCTAAAATGCGGATTTTCCCTGATGCCTTTAAACTATCAACCGCTTGGTAGATATCATCCACTTCTATGCAAATATGATGAATTCCGCCGGAAGTGTTTTTATCGAGAAAGTTCTGTAAAAATGTATTATATTTTTGTCTGATTATCTATATACACGTTTTATTACATGCATTTCGTAGTACCTGAATAGGAGACTTTGCTCCGAATGGATGTAACAACTCAATCTTTGTATTTCCAAGATCTACGAAAACCGTTGTAACCCCATGTTCCGGAAGATCTTCTTCTTTACTAACTTTGGCACCCAGAACGTCCCTACAAACCTCATTAATTATTATGCAACTTCATACTAATTAAGTATTAAAAGATAGTACATGCATACCTATACATCGCAGTAGCTTTTTTAAGATCGGGGGTTGCAATCGCCACATGATTCAGGCGTCCCAGCTTCAGAAGTGAAGCAAGCGTTGGATTTGCTTGTGTGGCAGAAGAAGAGAAATTTTGACCACCACTCTGAGTCTCTGACGTAGATGCCATGACCCTCGTAAAAACGGAGAACGAAGATCCTTTAGTAGTTGCAACGGTGGGACAAACCTTAACGCTTTTAAAGATCCCCTGCCTAATTATACTGTACATCTTCCGGAAACCAAATAATCCAAAGTCAATTCCGATCTGTAAGAGATATAAAATGCTTTCTAAAGTACAATTAACCTTTAATTTTTCAATTCTTCTGGGTCAGCAACGGGAGGAAGTAGGGACTTTTGTCTTGGTCGTGTATCCTCTTCTTCGAGAAGTTTTTGCTTAGCGGCAGCTCGTGCTGGGCGTGTCACAGTAAAATAGTGATAGTAACTTGCGCCCCCAACAAATAGCCCCCAAATGGATACTCCGATGCACGTAAGTACGAAACCTTTATGAAGTTTGTCAGCAATACTGGAGGCCTTCGCGATTTTTCTCATGCTCTTTCAAAGGACTAAGGACAAGGAGTCCTCTTTACTAACATTGATCAGTGTAATTCCTAGCGTTTTGATGTTTCCGATTCACGATTTCTACAAAATCGCAGTGATTCAATCAAGTTGATGAATTTCTCCTATTTTCTCCTTCAAAAATACTGCTTCTCTGCAATTGAAATCATGAAAATATATCTTCACAAAAAGTGTGTGGCTGAAAAAAATAATAATTTTGACGTACCAAAATTTCGAAACCGAAAAAATTTCTGAATCTAATAGATTGATTTTAGATAATGTTTGTTATTCCCGGCAACGATATGCATGGCACTTGCTCCACACTGTCAACTTCCAGCCGGTCAGTGCATGCATTTTATTTTTCTGCTCCTGCTGCAATAACTCGTTTTCTTGCAAATTATTTAGCACTCGACGTTTTTTTAATAGCCAAACGTTTGCTAATTTTTGGCAAATAGTCGGCCAGAGTTATTGAAGAAGGATGGGTGTTCAGGATGGAGAAAATGCGGCTGGGTAAGTATTTATTATCTTGTTTGTTTTGTGACTAGTTTCAAAAATCAAAACAAAATGATTCAGAAAACCATATAAATACTTCCAATTACTAATTTAAGTAATACAATCAAATTAGTAAGCGTTATAAATTTCCAGAGCTGCCGATGTTGAAGGCAAACACTCAAAGAGTGCCCTGAAGAAAGCAGCGAAAGAGTTGGAGAAAGCAGCAAAAAAGCAGGCGTACAAGGTAAAAACAGAAGAGCAAGTACACATACTAATTGATAATAGATTCAACAAATAAGCTTGTTGTAACATTGGTGTCTGCTGGATTTGTCATTATTAGGCAGAGAAAGGAGGGCCCGAGCCATCCGAGGGGGCTGCTGGCGGTAGGGTTGATGAACCAGACATTTCCGAATTCCGATACGGAGAGCTTCCCCTGAACCAGTCGCAGATCAAGGAGACACGAACAGTGACTCGTGTGGAAGCAGTCAACAAGTCTTTGGCTAATAAGACGGTCTTGATAAGAGCAAGATTACACACCAGCCGGGCCAAGGGGAAACAATGCTTCGTCGTGTTGCGTCAGGGAAGGAGTACGATTCAAATGTTGGTCGCCGTTGGACCTGGTATCAGCAAACAAATGTTGAAATTCGTTACAAAGTGAGCTCCAATGATACTTGCGAATAAATAAGGTGGAATATTCTACGGATAAGTCTAAACAAACCGAAATAAACTTTACAGCGTACCCAAGGAATCCATTGTTGATGTGGTAGGGGTCGTTCAGCCAGTCCCTAAGCCAATCGAGTCTTGCACCCAGTCGGAGGTGGAACTCAGTTGTCATGAATTTTGGGTGGTGAGCTTGTCCGCTCCCAAACTTCCGTTACAAATTGATGATGCGACTCGACGTGTTACTGATGATGTATGACAATGAAAGTAGTTTGCATTTTAGTATTGTTTACAAACAATAATTGCTTTTATACATATTGTAGGCGGACGAGGACAACTTGAATATCAGAGTGAATCAGGACACGCGACTTGATAACCGAGTTTTGGACTTGAGGACACCTACAAATCAGGCAATTTATCGGATAGAAATGGGAGTTTGCAAGCTATTTAGGGCAGCTTTAGAGAAAAAGGTATGTGAAAATTTTAAATGACATGTTTCTTGTGTATTTTGGACTACTTTTAACCCTAATTCGTATTTCAGAGCTTTGTTGAAATCCATACTCCAAAAATTATACCTGCCGCAAGTGAGGGTGGTGCAAACGTGTTCACGGTGTCTTATTTCAAGGGCTCTGCGTTTCTTGCTCAAAGTCCTCAATTGTACAAACAAATGGCAATTGCTGCTGATTTCGAGAAAGTTTACACCATTGGCTCCGGTACAAACTTGACTATTATTCTTCGAAATTACCAATTTTAGGACCAAGTTTCAAAATATTCTTAATTAACCTATCTCCTGTTTTTCACAGTATTCCGTGCCGAAGACAGTAATACCCATCGTCATCTTACGGAATTTATCGGTCTGGACTTAGAAATGGCTTTCGACACTCATTACCATGAAGTTATGGACACAATTGGGGCGACTTTTACCGAGATCTTCCGTGGACTTCGAGACCACTACGCCGACGAGATCAAAACTGTCGGGAAACAATATCCTGCCGATGAGTTTACCTTCCTAGACCCACCACTTCGTTTGGAATTTCCTCAAGCTGTTCAAATGCTGCGAGAAGCTGGTGTCGACCAAGGGGATGAGGAGGACATGTCAACTCCAACCGAGAAACTTTTGGGCCGTCTTGTCAAGGCAAAGTATGACACTGATTTTTACATTTTGGACAAGTTTCCTCTTGCCGTTCGACCCTTTTACACGATGCCAGACCCAAATAATCCAAAGGCTTCCAACTCCTACGACATGTTTATGCGAGGGGAAGAGATTTTATCAGGAGCTCAACGTATTCACGACCCCACCGTAAGTTATCATTTTCCTTGTTTCATGTAAAATTAAGATGTACATAAAATCTCATTTTTTCTCATTTGTTTTTAGCTGCTCTGTGAGCGTGCCACACATCATGGAATTGATTTAGAGAAGATCAAGGGTTACGTTGACTCCTTCCGGTACGGTTGCCCACCCCATGGCGGTGGCGGAATTGGGTTAGAGCGAGTTACAATGCTGTACTTGGGATTGGATAATATCCGCAAGACGTCCATGTTCCCTCGAGACCCTAAACGCATCACTCCATAGATTAAAAATCCCAGTGTCAATAACAAATGAAATTAACTTATCAAACTTTGATAAATATGAATATTATATCTTTCCTGTCTCTATTAATAATGTGGAAGAAATGAGTTGTGCTATTGACATTATATTTAAATTTTTCTGTTACTTTGCCTTCAGTTCTCATTTTCAAAACTTGATTTGCACGCCATATACAAGACTATAATTATGCCTAATTTGGAAATATTAAGAAACCAGTGATTTGCTTTACGATTTATCAACTTAAATTTGGATATTGGATTGTGCCTGTGCATGAATAAATGTTTGCAATAAAAAAGCCTATGAAAACTGGACCATGATTTTGTTGGAAGAAATCGGGAGAAAATTTAAGCACTTTTCGGTATGGTCGGTAAATCATATTGCATTCACTATACACGGCATACACTAGGCAACGAGTATGCACAACACAAAATGCATGGCAAAAAAATTATTCTTCTAAAATTCCCCGATGTGCATCGAGTGTTCTAAAAGAATGCTATTTGGAGGTTGACCGTGCAATCTATTAGCATTACGATTTTGGCCACCTTGAGATATTCTAATAGAATTCTGTACATGGAATTCTTGTAGAGTGCTGGACAGCATTCTATCAGACTTCTCGGGACAGCCTTCATTAAGAATTCTGGAAATAGCGTTCTATCTAAATGCGTACTTTAGAATGCGAATAGTGTTCTTTTCTTAGATGCTAATGACTCAAATTAACAATATTCATGTACAAAAAACAATTATTAATTTATTGAGTGTAATAAGGGGAAACACATAAAATATTTCTTATAAGGTAATCTTGTACATTGATGTAACAAATCACTTTCCTGCAACTCAACACAAACTTTATCCCCTAGCTTATCTGCTAAAAATATTCCTAATTTAGTGCTATCAATAGGGTAATGATCAACACGTTGTAAGTGCTCAAAATATTGCACCATAAATTTAACTTTTGCATTTTCTAACAAGTGAAGATACTCTCTAAATACAATTATTTTACCAGTTTTTAGCATGAAACAGTTACCATTTCTTTTATATATTTTCGTGTACCAAGGTTTTTCATTGATTTTTACTTCGTTGCGCTTTTTCATGTCAATGTGTAGGATTTCATTCTCCAATATTCGTTTGGAAACTTGTTCTAAGAAATAATTATGCGAATGAATCCAGCGTTTTATTTGTTGCATATAATTTTCAAAAGGAAACGTGCTGATTTGATCCAAGTTTCCAAACAAAATTGCATCGTCGTGAATGTGGAGTAATCCATGCACATTGTATACTGCAAATTTAACTCCATACAAAATAATACATTTCGTTACGAACTCTTTCAATAGTGACTCCGCAACCCCATTCCATTCCAAATTGTCTGCCTTCTTGGACAACAAAATGAACATAGCGCAGTGCAAACGAAGGAAATTTTTATATTCGCGTCGAGGAATAATATCTACTAATGCGCCTGCTCCTGTGTACAAAATAAAGCTTCGAAATTCTGACCCTTTAAAGTTATCAACGTGCACAACCGACCTCGGCAAACGCTGGAAACAAGATGGAAAATATTTTCGAAATAGTTGCATGCGAGATCCTATCTGTAAAGTTTTTTGGCTTCGTAATCGATACGGTAGATCACCTTTAACCCATTGTCTTAATAACTTGCGTACAACGCCGAGGCACACTAAATGAAGATAATCTAACGGCACTTGAGAAACCATCCCAAAATCTAATTCATTAAAAATGCTAGTAGAAGTATGATGTAAGGAATCAATCTGGTTTTTGAAATCCTCATCCGACCTCTTAGAATAGTTTACGCTAGGATAGACCACTCGTCCAAAATATTCCCCATCTTCTGTACACTTCTCGCAGCCATGATAACTATTGTGATTTCTCGAACTTTTTATAAAGCTACGGGCTGGAGCGTCAGCTAGTAGTTTTGAGATTCGGAATTCATATTTAATATTGTTGAACCAAAATCCTCCCAATTCCAGTCTTTTGCACTCGTCAATAAATTCCTTTAAAAACTCCTGATTTTTTGGTTTTGATTCCCCGTAAAAGATACCAATTACGAAAGGTGACTCTAAATTTGACTGGTTTATTTTACCTAATATAGGCCAAAATTGCTTATTGCTACTTTTAGACACAGGAATGCCATCAATACCAATCGTCAATGTTATTAATGGCACTCCGAGTCGTCCTACTTTTGATTGTAAAATATTATAACTATGTTGACTTGAAGAACATTTTAAACCGAAAGGCAATCTTGAAATTAAATAATTTTCAATTCCTAAGTATACAAATTGTCCTCCACTAACCTGCGTAACTTGTATACACTTTGGGGTTCGCATAAGGGTGCGTGGATCATTTGGGAACTTATGCCCTGCATTATTCATAATTTTTAGCAAATCTCGAAGAGCAGCATGTTTAATATTGTGCTGAAGGACCCATTCTCTCAACGATAAATCTAAAGGGGTAACTGTTTCATTTACTTCTATACTGGCCTCATCACTAAAATCGCTACTTAAAGTTATATTTCCGTCATCATCAACTTCATTCGAATTGCACATTCCATCTAAACTAGAAACTTCGCTAAAACTACCCGGCTTCGCCGGAAAGGTTGTTGTAGGTTGACAAGAACTATTAATATTTTGAACGTTAACTTGAGGGATCTCTTGGGAGGTTCTCATTGTTGACAAAATCTCATTAATCTGAAGGCGCCGGCGTCTCCGACCCGTCCGAGGCGACACGAGTTTCATTTTTCTTTCGTTGGCTGATGTCCCGTGGTTTTGAGTTCTTTAGCCAACCTTTGATTACTTTTTCAATATCCGCATCGCTAAAAGTTTCTGCCTTCTTTGACGATCTCACGGTCACTACACAACACAAGAAACAATAATTACAATTTGCTAGGACAGTGGATCTTATTAATGCATTAATTATTATTAAGATTGACTAACAGTTTAATAATGTCTGCAGGTTTGTCTTCCTTATACCAGCTTTGGCGTGAACTCCGGTCCCGGTCAAACTCAGTACTCTGGCCAATTGGGTAGATATAATTTCACTCAAAATCCGCTTGGTTATTTCTTCCGGAGTGTTGCCACCTAGATCTTTTAATTTGTTGGCCTAGGAATGCAAAATTTTAATCAAATTTACAGTCGTGTCATAGATATCCATGTACATCATTTACCAATTTCTCGATGTTGTTGCTCACGCCCAACCATTTATTAAAATTCTCCAAATCCTCGAGCAATAACAGCGGAAGTGGGGGATTGTCAATTCTTTCTCCTGGAATCTGGTTATTTTGTGGATTTGTACGTCTCAGTAGTTCAAGTAAATTTGCATTAATGTTGACCAGATGCTATACAATTATTTCCTGTGAATCTTCAAAATGGAATAAATTAGCATTAGAGATTCTAAAGTAAGATCATTTTATAAAAGACAAAGGTTTATGCAATTTATTAACTAGCAATAATGACTCACTATGAAATTCCGTTTTTAGCCCTTCCAACAGACTTATCAGAGTGAATGCGTATGATGGAACCTCCAGTACTGCTAAATCAGCTGTTTCTTGGACGTTGATATCATTATCGGCTGCTGCGTTCGAGTTGTTATGGTTGGCTGGACTTGAAAATTCATCTTCATCTTCATTTGTCATTTCTTCATTTCCCTCGGTGGATATAAATTCTACTAGAGCGAAAAGTATTATTGTAATATAAATATCAATTAGCATGGTAAAAATTTAATAGTCTACCATTTCTTGTTGAAGGAAGATTAATATTATCTTCACCCGAACTCGAACCTGAGGAATCACTACCTGGTACTCTTGGTAGGGCTTTTTCCGTTTTCTTTTTTCTAGAAACAACTGGTCCGATAATTCCGCCTTCGGCTCCTGAGGACACAATATTATCCGTTACCCGTGCTTGCTCACAATATCGTGTGGCCTGATCCAACGAGTCTAGTGAAAATATTTAACACGCTTTAAAGGTCATGTAGAATAAACTAGAAAATTTTAAAAGTTTACAAGCAAATTTTAGATGACGACAAGGAAACTTGGGCCAGTTGCTTTCCGGATTTGCACATGTTTTCAACTTATCTTCACAGCCAGGTCCTATGGGCCATGCACATTTGGTTAAAGATTGATTTAGCCAAACTGTGGCCACCACTGCCACTTTTTTCTCTTTAGGAAAATTAACAACTGAAAACTTTTTCCCTGAAGCCATTTTTATATATTTGTTAAAATCTCCTGATTCCGTGCGGCGTGCCAAAGCCTTTCTTTTGGGTTTCCCACTTCAGTAATGACGTATGTATGTATCATTCTACTAACATTCTAATAGCAATCTATGCATAGCATGGGTGTAGAGTAGAACTCTATTAGAATTCATTCGTTCGCAGCAATATAGAATGCACTAAATCACAAGAATGCTATGCTAATTCTTGTTGAGAATTCTTCTTTTAGTCTTTTTTTCGTACGTTTTACGCATACTAAAAATGTTCTGTAAAGGGTCAGGACATTCTTGCGCCCGTAAATAGAACGTGCATCCCACAAATAGCATTCTTTTAGAACACTCGATGCACATCGGGTCTACTCTAATTCCAAGATTGCTTGACAATTTATCATAATACAAGGTGTTATCATAGTTTATATAAACTATGTTTTCATAGTTTATCAATGTTGATGTTAATAAATAAATAAAAGAATAATTAATAAATAAAAGCCTAAATAAAAGTGTGAAAAAAAAAAATAATACAAGGTTACGACAGTTGCATAGTTGTATAATTTTACGTGTTATTTTAACATAATTAATTGGCCCTGTGTCCCTTCCCATGATGTCGCAATCGAAAAACTGACCTCAGATTCGAAATCAGCGACCAAAAAACTATAAGAATCGGCATTTACCCAACCTCAACAACGTTGAAACAATTAATCATTAATGATGAATTATTTGTAACAATTGTAAACACGGAACATGTGAGGCCGCTTATCTCAGGTGCTATTAATAGCACCCAGTCATAAGTATTACTGGGTGCTATTTATAGCAGAACTTTCACCGGATGCTATTTATAGCAGAACTTTCACCGGTGCTATTTATAGCAGAACTTTCACCGCCCTCCAGAGGGTATAAAAGGAGCTGCACCAGAAATTTTTGTCAGTCTGCGGGAGGCGCTCGTGGGGGACGTGTCCCTGGGTGAGCTCCCCATTGCAGCTGCGCCCTTGGACCGCCCTACCTCTCTGGGGAGTCGGGTCCACCCGTGGTTTGTCCCACAGCCCCGACTCTCTTCCCGTTGGAGGGGTGGTCCGGGGGAGCAACGCTGCAAGGGGAGAGCCTTACGGGAAGGTCCCCCCTCCAATGCTCCTCCCACCAAGCAGGCTCACCGGGTGGGGAGCCGGCGGGGCTTGCCAAAAGTGCGGGTGGCGCTTGGCAAGTGAGAGGGGCTCTCTACCTCCAACCCTTGGGTGACCGGGCTCTTTAGCTTGCACTCCCCTTGGGGCCGGCCGGGTTCCCGAGTTCGAAGCCTTAATGGGGGCCGATTTACGGGTGCGCTCCCACCTCGTAAGGCGAGGGTCAGACGGGCCCCCTAGGGGAACGCGGTTGCAGAGGCGGCGACGTGGGCAGGGCTTTCCCGGCCGGTGGAGGTAGACCCCCCTTGCGCCTCCGGGCGTCCGCGGGGGCCGACCCGCGTGGAGCACGAGGGAGCGACGTCCTCGTCGTGTGCTCTGGAAACGCCCTTCTTAGGGCGGCTAACAGCTCCCCACCCCCACTTGTAAAGCCATGGGACAAATTTTGTCGCCATGCCATAACTTCACCATTTCTCGTCCAATTTTCATCAAACTTCGACAGAGCCTTCTTTTTGGTGTTATCGACATGTCGCAAGGTCACACCCGCCGCCACCACCTTGTTTTCGCCAAATTTCGTCGCCATGCCATAACTTCGCCATTTCTCGGCCGATTTGCATGAAATTGAGCACAATGCTTCTTATTGGTGTTGTCGACATGTCGCAAGGTCCCACCCGTCGCCACCTCCTTGTTTTCGCCAAATTTCGTCGCCATGCCACAATTTCGCCATTTTTCGTCCGATTTCCATTAAACTTCGACAGAGACTTGTTTTTGGTGTTATCGACTTGTCGCAAGGTCACACCCGCCGCCACCACCTTGTTTTCGCCAAATTTCGTCGCCATGCCATAACTTCGCCATTTCTCGTCCGATTTTCATCAAAGTTCGACAGAGACTTCTTATTGGTGTTGTTAACATGTCGCAAGGTCACACCCACCGCCACCACCTTGTTTTCGACAAATTTCGTCGCCATGCCATAACTTCGCCATTTTTCGTCCGATTTTCATCAACCTTCGACAGACTTCTTTTTGGTGTTATCGACATGTCGCAAGGTCACACCCGCCGCCACCACCTTGTTTTCGATAAAGATCGTCGCCACGTCATAATTAAAAAATAATAATTCGAGGGAACGAAATGTGAGTGTTGACAATTTTTGTACGGTTTGTTTCTGGGTTACAGTTTGTGCGACACGCACTGGTGCCAAAGGTACCAGGGTTTTTGAAAAGTAAGTTTTTTAGTCGTCGGACCAATTGTCGCAACCTTGTAATTATTACTAAAGTTGTCAAGCAACCTTGCTCTAATTCAGAATATTATTAAAATGGTTAGCATTAAGGTACCACAAGAGAGTTGGCAAGGAATTATACCACTCACTTTGATTGTAATTTTCTCAGAAATTATAGTAGGTAGAAATTTGGTTCAAATACAAATTTTGTAAAAAATATACTACTCTAAATTTTGCTAAATGTCCCCTTTTGCTGTTACTTATACTTACGTATTTATAGCCAAAATAGTCGAACATGATGAATTTTTTTTAAAACGTCCTAGTGTCCAAACCATACGGAGCACAAATGTGGAATGACTCCCACATCGTGCGAAATAGTTTTAGATAGGGAGCATAATGGGTCTCATTTCCATATTGTCTTCCATACTTTTCGAAATAGCATTTCTATACTTGCCCCTCCCTATTATTTTATGTTTCTGAGGTCAAAAATGGTTCACATCTCATTACCTCACACAAATGAGCCCACAAACCGATTATACACCCTGCGGAAATATATAGTGACTCCAAATAACAACCATTATGACCTCAAAGTCCTCCCCCTCCATCTCGGGGAGCTCTTAAAAATACCCCAATGCCCTTGTTTCTATGCGGAGCTGAACTTCATGTCTTGACTCATGTTCTCTAAAAAATCATGTTGCTAAGTCCATAAAAAACTGAAATATTCAACCTCTTGTGGTACCTCTTGTGGTACCCTTTCACTTAATTAAATTCTGTTATATCCCAAAATTGTACAACAAAATCATATCAATATGGAAAACATTCTCGCCCAAGAACTAGAACTTCAACACAAACTTCACAAGCTGTAAGTAAACAATACATAAAAGTACATTGTTTTCATGCATGAGACATGACAAATAAACTATTACGTCACAATCTTACATTTTTCAACAAATAACTAATATTTCAGAGAGGTACGCCATCAAAAGTTGAAAAGTCAGAGTAAATATTTGGACCTGACAAAAATCTCGACCCCAGAGAACATTGCAGCCATTGCAAAATCCAGGCGAGAAATGGCAATGACAAGAAATGCGGAACTCCTTAGCGTGCGTAGTTAAAGGCAATGTTGATATTATCACAATTAACAAATAAATAATTATTACCAATATAAATATTTTGCAGGATCTGAATATTGCATCTAGTAAGCTTCATACGAAAAATATGTGTCCATTGGAGTCAAAACTGGATAAAATGAAGCAAAAGTTTTTACAAGAATGCGATTATAACAGAAAATTGAAAACCGATCCTGATTTTGTATAAAATTGTATATTTTATTTAGTTCTCCGTTGGTCAGTTTTACGTCAGTCAGAGAAAGCATGATTTCATTAACTAAGTATTTTACAAAAATAAGTCTAATAGATATTAAATATAATCCTAGTATATATTTTTAGTCAGTGCAGCTAATCACTATCTTCACTCATCGACTCAGTTGTAGCACTCCCATCTACGTCAGATTCTTCATGCATACCTTCATCGTCATCAGGTAGTAATTCAGGAAATAGATAACTACCAGCGCCAACATTGTAGGTCAATCTGTACAATATGAAATGGTTTAATTTAATAAAATATTATTAAAACTTTGCAAGCACGGCAATTTGTAATTACTTACAAAGACAGAGTCCTGCTTTTTACTTCATTCATCTTTTGACTGAGGTCCTTCAGAATTGGTTTCGTTTCAGAATTATTTTGAAGTGTCCACATGTGATGGACCATTACAAACTCTATCCATGCTAGGTATAGACCCAATTTTGTCTCATTACTAAGTCGATCAGTCAGAAAACGGAGGAGGAGGCAGACGTACTTGATTGGTAGCTCTTTCACAAGAAGTTCAACTAGAAATAATAATGTCAGTTATTTTTAGAACTAATTATTTGCAACATTATTGGTTTAACACCTAGTTAGACACACCTGTTTTTGTCGGAATTCTTGACACAACATTGACAATAAGATCGTGAATGTTAAGTCGGAGAGACGTCATGAGTGCTGTCCCGAAATCGTGACGTGCCAAGGCATCTTCAAGGCTTTGCGGTGTAACTGTAACGTCTGCATCGATGGGGTCAAACATGGTAAAATTTTGTATTCCATAAAGTAAAAGTCCCTCTGTCGTCGCTGCAGCCCAACTTTTTCCACTTGCAGCGAATTTTAAGGCAGTGACGCGAATTTCATTTTGGTATCTTCGTGATGCCATGTCACCCTTACGGACTCCCGGGAGCGGTAGAACGTCCCCTGCGTCGTCACGGTCTTCAACTAAATCCTTGTTACCAAAATCGGTAAGTTTCTTTCGATGAATGAAGGACTGTGGGAGCCAAAAAAAGACACGTTAACGTATTGAATACTCCATCACTTTAGTTTTTCATAAACTTGGCTTACGTTAATTCCGTCTAACGAGTAATTTCTTGATATCGAGTACGATGTCACCAATCTTTGGGATTCTGTGTTAAACATGCAGATTACTTTGTTATCACCACCAGCCAAGATAAATTTCCCATCTGGCGAAAATGCAACTGCCTTATATCCCCTGTTGGAATATTATATTAATTAGATTTGAAATAATTATAAATATAAAATAAACTAAAAAATTATAAGAGATTTAAGTTAGTCTTACTTTCCACGTAATTTATTTTTCAAGTTGTGTGCCGTCCCTTCTGAAAGGATTGACTTGTCAGGAATGTGAAGATAACCATCAATGGTACCTTGGGATGCACCCTCCATGTCAAATAAAGAAATCACTCCGGAGAGGGATACAACAGCGACGAGTGTTCCCAGCGGAGATATTGCAAGAGTTGTTGCTGGTAATGAAATGAAATGAAACATATTCATAAATATTGAAACGCTTTATCTGTTTTGTAATTGTATTTACTAACCTTCCGAACTTAAATCAATTTCTTCAACTCTCCCTTCAGTCCCAATTGGGGGCCATATCCTAAGAGTTTTGTCCAAACTACAAGAAGCAAAACGGGAGCTGGAAATACTAGGTGAAAATTGAATTCCAGTGATTGAAGCAGTGTGCCCAGTAAACTGTAGAATTGACGGATAAGATAACGGAACAAGAACAACATGGTGAAATAACAACATTACTAAAAACTCACCACTTCCAATAACTTTCCAGTCTTCATTGCCCAAAGATAGATTTCAAAAGTTTCATCCCCTCCTGCAATTACTAACTCGCCAGCGTGGTCCACAGAGACACAGCTTAATTGGACTAATCGTGGTGTAACAAATGTTCTAAAGTTACGATATCTCGTGAGATCAAAAGCTCGAACAGTTCCATCCCGAGAGGAGGATACAATTGCTTTCCCCTTTTGTGTAAATGCCAACGCAGTAATTGGGCCGGTATGATCTCCAAAAACGGCAAAGTTAAGGGCAGATACAGTATTCCAGACTTTGATCTGACAGATTATACAAATTGGTTACATAATGAATGCATATATTTTAACAGCTAGTGGAACTATAATATTACTTAATCACCTTCCCATCTACACCACCAGTTGCAATTACGCGACTTGTGTTTGAAAAGTCAAAACTTTCAATGATATCGTAGTGAGCCGTTTGATTAAGGATCATGGATTCGCTCTGCCACTCCCACACGACGAGCTGTCCAAGAGATGAACTCCCGAATGCTATCCAGTCAGCAGTTCTGTTTAAAGTAACTGTGGACACCCCGACCGCTGGGATTCTGTAACACAAGTCATGCATACATAAAATGTGAGAATACGTTTCAAAATTTGTCATTAAATTAATTACTTCATTGACTGAATCAGTACGAAATCTTGAAGTTCATGGAGAAAAATCGTCTCTCCAAATCCAGTCACTAATAATCCAACAACAGGATTATACGCCGAGATGGTCAACGGAGGACGCTTCTCTCCCTTTGGGAAGAGTTCGTTAAAATAATGCTTATTCGTTATCTGGTAACGGATCCAGTCAATGTTTTCGGTGGTTATTGGCTTAACAAAATGGTTCAATTGTTCAGGATCAACTTCATCGAATTTGTCAATATCTTCCGTCTTCCAAACTCGCAATGCTCCATTTCTGATGGACAAATGCATGAAAAGAAAATTTGAAAGTATTCATAAATTGCGGGACTATATTATTTCTACCAATAATTATGTAAGTACTTACACATCAACGGACAAAATATCATACGATTTGTCATTTTTAAAGAAGGTTTTAACAACTCCTTCTGTATTTGCGGTGAGGGTAACGGGCTTAAAATTCCTAAACTTGACAACTGGATAGATATGAATGATTCCCCTTGCGCTAGAAACAGCCACAATTTTACCATCGTTGGACCATGCGACGTCAACCACGTTCTGGACATCAGAAATCGCTCTTTTCAAAGCAATGGGGTTCAGGGTTGGCTTTCTTGTAGGAGCACTATAGATGAGCACGGTGTTTTGTTTTGCGACAGAAAACTTTGTCCCGCATGGAGAAAACTTGACTTGCACAATGTGACCACCTGGTCGTAGCATGTGAAGAACAGTTTCACTGCGAAGGCTAATAACGTGGACTTCTCCAGCTAATAATAAATTAGGCAAAATATATACAATAGCTCAATCATGCCAGTAGCAAGTTTATCGTCCAAAGACTCACATTCGTTCCCAGTAATTAAAATATGCCCACATGGAGAGAGGCTCATTGTTGTAAAACTCGTAGTTGCCTCTACTGGTAGAGTTTTGGCTGTTTTGCTGAAAACACAAAAAAGTTTTGACCATGGCATGATTAAAGTTATTGATTGAATTTAAAATACTCAAAGATCCTTACTCTTTTAAACCAAACATAGATATACGATTTCCGACGGGTGAAATAAGGGTGAAGCCGTCTGGAGAAAATTCTAAATTCCCTTTGGAGTACATGGCCCCAAGAAGATTTTGAAACTACATATTTAGAACATTAATTGTAATACATACTAAAAATAACACAATTGGGGCTTTTATTTCATTCTTGTACAACGTTAAATACGTACCCGATAAGGCTCCACGTGATCCGCCATTGTATATAAGTTGTACTTATCTAATAAACAATCAGGTAATCAAAATTCTGCACTTTTAAAATGTTTTATGCGTTGCAAGCTATTTAGATCGTTTTTGGAGTAACGCAACTTACCAACCCCTTTTTAAACGTAATGCTCCCGATCTCGAACGTACTAATCAGTTCAAGTTTGATAAGCCTAATGAAAAACGAGTGTATTTAACTTCAAAACACCTAGCTTTCTATCAAAAACTTTAACTTTATCATAAGCATGGCTTTGCTTACAGTGCACATGGAACTGCTTCTTCCCACGTTCCGTTTTCTATGGCAGATTGAATGTCTCATTTTCATGCATTTTCTTGAATTACGGCACATTCTCACATTACATTTAGTAAAATCCTTTCGATTTAGAAAAAAAACATATTACATGCATTGAATGAACGTGACTGTATTATGCTGATGGACATCTTTATCGCTGCGAGGTTATCATACACCACTTATCTTGGTAACAATCTTAATAAAAGGTCATCATTTTCGTTATGCCCTTTGGCCTTTGCTTTGCGTCTCAATCTCATTTTCCCCACTGAAATAATCTCATTTAGCTCGTTTGAGGTTTGTGTTTAGTCGATGGCAGCGAAGGGATGGTTGAAGTTGATGGATAAATTGCCACGTATAAATATTTCGCACCATGATCCAGATTTAATTTGCAATTGCTCCAAAAGTTGAAGCTTGATTAAATTTTGGATGGAGCATTTTTTTAAATCGTGCCAAAGTATAGGAAGTTTAGTAGTTTAGAGTTTGACACTGTCAAATTGACAGGCAGGATAGAGTTAAGGTAAGATTTAGGTAAATTGTTACAGTTATCTAAGATAACTTATCTTAAAATCTGTCAATATTTATATATTTTGCTCTATGATTAAAATAATAATTATTTAAATGTTATTAATACAGAAGGGGGCCACAGTTCTAGGGCAAATAATGTGCAAAATCGATGGTCATTCGCAGTAACTCGTAAGTAAACACAGTAAAATTAGTAAAGTAAATAACAGAGTGAAGAAAAACGAAAGTGATTTATTTTTACATTTCTATTCAGCAGATAATAATAAATACCTCCGGTCCAGTCTATGAGCATAGTCAAAAGAGGAAAAAGAACCTTTTTCACGTCAGGAAAGGTGAAAGGAAGGAATCGGCCGACTTGCAGGACAACAACAGACGACCTTCATCATTGATCCTTCAACTGACTCATAAATAAACGGTGAACAGGGACGCTCAACCCATTGTTGACTGCTTGTGACCTTCAAGATTTAACCCACCAGCAGATTTGATCCAACTGCTAAACCCAGCTTTGCACATCATGTTCCTGTGGAAGTTTAAATTTAAATAGGACATCATGCACTAATTACTCACTTAAATATGACAGACAGTTAGAACGACAGTCGAGTTAACTCGCTAATGGTTCACTATTGGTTTGATTGTAAATGACAATCAGTCAATCGTGATGTCGCGTCTATTTAAAAAGTTTTACATATTTGCCCTTTTCATCTTTGGGGTCTTCTTTTACACCATGATTAAAAACATTGGGTTGCCAGAGTCAAGAGCCGTGGGACCATTATTTAGAGCAAATTCAAAAATAGTAAGCCAACTTAATTTTATATTTGAATGTGTTGGAGTAAAAGTAATTAATGGTGTACATAACTTATAATTTAGGATACTATGGCCATATTAAAGCATTTGGATAATCTGGAGGAGGAAATCGGGTCTCAGAAAAAATATTCCGGAGCACTATTGAGCAAACTAAAGTCAAAATTCTCCACCGTAGACAAACCTCCACAAAAGCCTAGGACTAGTAAGGAAGTGCTCGGAAAGGGTGTCGGTGATAAGAGGGGAGTTTTAGAATCTGATAAGTTATTAGCACTTCAAAAAGAGCTACAGCAAGAAGCTCACGCCGGTGAGGTTAGAAGTGATATTGAACTTGGAGAAAATAATAATGACGGGAAAAAGAATAAGAAAAAGGAGGACGAATTTGCCAATGGGGAAGTAATCGATGAACATACTCCCGTTAAAAATGACCATGATCACAATAAGCATCATCCCTCTTATGTGTATTCTGATGAAGACTCAGTCATTGCAGTGCTCGTGTTTGTATGTGATCGACCATCTATTAAGAGAAGTCTGGATAAATTGTTTGCATATAGACCTTCGGAGAAAAAATTCCCCATAATTGTATCTCAAGATTGTGGGTCACATGTAGCCACGACACAAGTCCTTCAGTCGTATGAAGACCGCATTGTACACATTAAGCAACCTGATCTTAGCGAAATTAGTGTACCACCAAAAGAGAAGAAGATGCAAGGATATTTCAAAATTGCTCGTCATTACGGCTGGGCATTAAATTACACGTTTAACATTTTAAACCATGAAAATGTGATTATTGTCGAAGGTAGATAGAAGATCATTCAGCCATTATTATTTATATTTAGTATCTTCAAGAGGCCTTATAATACAATCGTGCATGTGCTTCCAGATGATATAGAGATCGCTCCGGATTTCTTTGAATACTTCGCTGCGACGCTCCCCATATTGAAGAAAGACCCTTCAATATGGTGTGTTTCAGCGTGGAACGATAACGGGAAGCCGAAGAGGATTAACGAGACGGCGTACGATTTACTATATCGAAGTGATTTTTTTCCGGGTCTTGGATGGATGATGACAAAGACGTTGTGGACTGAATTGATGGTCAAGTGGCCCAGAGGGTGAGCCTCAAGATTTTATTGACGTGACAGGTATCGTCTAATTTATGTACTATAAATAATCTTATTATAATCTCCAGATATTGGGATGACTGGGTAAGTTACGCCCTGAACTCTGTCGGCTTTTTATGCATGTATTGTAATAGACATTCAATAAATTCTAATTCAATGCTTATGTTTAAGATGCGAGAACCTGCTCAGCGACGGGATCGCGTATGTATCAGACCTGAAATATCAAGATCCAGTACCTTCGGGAAGGAAGGTGTCAGTCTGTAAGTTAAAACTAATTGATGAACAATGCTGCACAATATACATTTTAATCCCTTGGTTGCCCTATATTTATTGTGTATTGAATTATTACTTTAGGGGAACGTATTACATGAACCATCTCCGTTTCATTAAATTAAATGATCATTTTGTGCCTTTCAAGTCCCTTGACTTATCGTATCTTTCTAAGGTATATATGTTTAACTTAATTGCTGATGACACTACATTTATATGATGACCATTATATTCTGATTAAAGGATAATTACGACGTGGAATTCGTCCGTCGAGTATATTCAAGTCAACTCGTCAATTCTGTAACTGAGCTACTAGCAGTGACTTCAGAAACTCCTAAACCCACGCCAGTCGAATACCGTTTAATATATAGAACAAAGGTGGATTTTAGAAATTTTGCAAAGAAGCTTGAAATTATGGAGGACTTCAGGGTAATCTACTTGACTAAATTTGGATTTACTTAACTAAAAGTTCAACTAATTAACTATGCAAATTATTTGTATAGGCTGGAGTACCGAGAACAGCATATCGGGGCGTGGTGCCACTATTTATAAATGGACATCGTTGCTACCTAGCTCCCGGAGCTAATTGGGAATCTTATCAGCCCTGAAGTCACTCAATCTCAACAAATAGCCATCAAATAATAATTTAATCATCACTTACTCACTACTTGATAATAACTAGTGCGACTTGCTCATCACCAGTATAGTATACATATATGCAAAACTTTATCAAGTTTTTGAACCACATCATCAAACTTTGTGCAATCATCATCATTTCTGACTGTGACACATAATGACTTGAAATTAAACAATTACAAGTTGTTAATGTAGGCTTACCCATATTCAAACGTAAAGGTCGAGTCATTATCTTCAATTGAAATGTATAATCTTTAAGGATTTCTACTTTCTTCTAGCATCTGTCAAATGTCTATATACTAGCAATTATGGAAATTTGTATGTGTTAGTAGCAAATACCTATTATAGTTACATACCTGTACCATTACCTATTCCATCCTATAAAAATGAGTGCTGTTACGTTTTTACATAAGTATTACCATATTTTGTTTAGGGTGAAAAATCTAGTCCAATTATATACAACTAAATATTACTTTTTGTACAAACATTGGAGAAGGGGAGGAGGATACAGGCCACACGATAATTTTTTCATCTTGATCATATTTGCCAATAATTTGTCTAGTTTTGTTATTAGAGTAGTGACATGAAAATGCGTTTCATAATCAATTACTTACTCGTCGTCGTCGAACGTATACCCGCCTTGGATATTCCGCATTCGCAATGACCTTAATTGTTAAACAATATCAACGCATCGGTATTGAATAAAGGAATTCGAGATTTAAAACAACCTGTCGTATTTATTTATTCAGACGGTGGATATCTTCAATCATTACCTTATTGCAAGTACAAATATCAAAGTAACATTGTTGTCGAGCAGGATGCATGTGTACACATCCACGCCAACAAGAATTGACTAACGTAAAAAAACCGGAGAAACATAAAGTTACAAGTCAAAACAATAAACGTACAAAATAAAAGCGTATTCAATTACAGAAAATATACTGAAAGCTCCGTGTCATGTTGCTGCAAATTTTCAGGACTTATAGCTTAAGAAAACCTTGATATTGACATAATTTGACATGGTTCCGCCACTATAATAAAATACATTGTTTCTTAATTAATCCTCTCTTTTAATAAGCGTATCGTATGGATGGAGTAACTTCATTTTGAATATAACAGGAATTTAATATAGTTCTTTCTAAAAATAGAGTTTACCTGTAGTTCAACGTTATTAAATATATACACTGTAGTCTTATTCCTTAAGTACGTAAATTTAACAAGATAGGAATGATACTGGAGATCTATATTATTTAAGTAACCTTGTAAAGAGCACCTATTTCTCAACTTTTTAAAAATTTCACATTACAATTTTGATTATACATGGCTACATACAACTACAACAATGTAATGTAATACAATGTAGAGGAACATGCATGTATAATATTACATAATATGAAATAGCTGGAATGGCATGCAGAATAATAATTGTTACCCAAAAACAACAATTAATTATACTAATTAAGAATTAAATATTTTTTAAGGTATAACTACACATTTTCTGCATAAAAACGTATAAAATGAGAAAGCAATTCAATTTTCTAACTCAATTTGATCAACTATTGCCAATTTATCATCCAAGTGATGCATAACTTCCATGTAGTGAGCCTTCATCTTAGCATTCGTACTTCGCAAATTTTCCTCTTGTTTCTTCCACTGCTTGCGACAGAGTTTTGTCGCTTTTTGAAGTTGAATAAATTTACCATTCAGTGTTTTCAATTCCTCTTCTGCGGCCGATGATTTGCTCTCGGCAAAATCAGCTCGTTGTTTGCAAACAGTAACTTCGCGTGACCAGCTGTCGATAAGAGCAGCCAGTGTTTTATAAGTGTCCAATGTTTCGTCTGTTTGAACGAGTACGGAAGACGTTTCTTTCTCCTCTCCAAATCCGGAGTTTGAAGGGGACGTTTTGGTCTGCGTATGAAAATCGACGGCGTCTGGGTGAGTACTGGCCAACACAGCTGCAAAGTTTACTTGTATTGCCTCCTCCTTCATTTCCGGGCTGCGTGCGTCGGTTGCAGCGTCCGCACTTTCAGGAAGATTTTGAACTGCTTCAATTCTTGATGTTTTAAGTGAGGTTGCCTTTTCATATTGAGGAGGTCGAGTGTATGTTTCCTCAGTCATTGTTGCAGCTTGGCGCAAAAGCGGTTCTGAAAGTTATCTCATTACAGTAACTATAAAATATTGGGCATATGTAACAGCGTGGAAGTCTTACTTATAGTAAATGGTTGGCTCAAACCCAGCTCTTTTTGCCTTTGCTCCCATGCGTTATATAATTCCCCCGGCAGAGAAGTCAGAAGTTGTTTATATCTCTTGATCTCCGTGAGAAAATGGACGACAAGTTTGTTCTATAAAAAACTTTGGTTAAAAACGCCCATGCCAAAATAAATGTTTTGCGTAATAATATGTATCAAGACGTTTACCTTTGCAGTTTTCCATTCTTCACGAACTCGTTTTATAATGACGGGTTCAGGCAGGTCTTTGAGCTGGTTCAAAAAGTCTTCTCCAAGGTCTCCGAATTCTTCCTGAAACTCTTGTGCTGCGAGCTCGCGTTCTCTCTGTTCCAATTCCTCCTCTGGCTGATACTCTGTCTGAGTTTGAACACTTGCCTTTATTATTGTGTGGCTATCATCCACAAAAAGATGTTGAGCTCTCTATGTGGAAATAAATAAATTACAAACTGACCGTGGTACAACTGTTGGATTAGTCATATTTATAATATTCTTACTTAATTGATAACTATATGCATACCTTGTAAGTACTTATCTCCCCTTCTAACTTTGCAACCACCTTTCGCCATGAAGCATGATCTTGAGCATGCTTTTCTTGGTGTTGACGAACGACATCGTTCAATTCGGCTTGCTGGGTAGATGTTCCTAATGAACTGAGCATTTGCACTTCTTGACGAAGTTTGTCATTCTAACGACCATAGAAATCATAAAACGTTACTCTGACTGACTTAAAGAAAATTGCTACTACTAATTGAAAATCTTAAAACTTACCTCAAGCTGTATCCTTTGAGAATGGTTATGAGCCAACTCTTCATTACGACGAGCCTTTTGATACTCCTCGATTGCTTCCTGTATTTTTGTTTTCAGATAGACAACCTCTTCGTCTTTCATTTCTACACAAATAAAACATAGTCATAAGTCGCAGTACAATTTATAAATGCAAGAAATTCCAACAAGCTCTTTTGTATTCATACCTGCAAACTTTTCGGCTTCGTCACACTGCGACTTCATCTGCACCATTTCCGCCTTCATCAATCCAATTTGATGATTCAGAGCTCGCTTTTCCTTCTGATTAGCGGCCAATGATTCTTCGATTCTATGAACTTGACGCTCTCTGAGTTCGCACATAGCCTTCAACTTTTCCACATTATTACTATCTGCCGAGGGCCAAATTCCATCACTCAAACCGTCGTTGTAAGACTGTGGACAGTGTTCTTTATGCAAAAGGGAGATTGTGGGGTTAGGGACGACGATTTCATCCATTTCAAAGTTCTTTTGATACAAATCCGTCACGTGGTTGTTGTTCTTCTCAGTAGGTTTTGGATATTTAGCTAATCGACTTGTCGTATCAATTCCATTTCCGTTCAAATGATTTCCATGACCATTGAGTCCTCTTACAAATCCATTAGTTCCTTTACTACTGCCATCGGAGTCATCATTTTGCAGAGGGATTGAATTTTGCATTGTGGAGAAATTTATACGCTTTTTGACAGTTCCACTTTCATTCAGTTTGGGCGTTTGAAAAATTCCCTTCTGTTGTTCTTGTTGCTCCGTCATGAAATCCCCCTGACCACTTTGTGCACCACTTCCACGACCATTTATAGATCCATCCTTGTTGGAAACAAAACTGCAATTGTTATGATTCGAGAAGTTTGACCCGTTACGATACGACGTGTCATCGCCACTATCAGAATCGTGAAAGGTTTCATTGCCCAGCTCTTCATCGAGGAAATTCTTGATCTAAACAAACCATTTATGACTTACTACAACTTATTATCAAAGGTTAGAGATAAACCATAGTTTGGAATTACATACATCTGCATCTCGATGTTCTTCATCAGAATCCACTTCGCTTATGTGATCCAAATAAACATCCTCAGGTCCATTTTCAAGACCAAACACTTTTGCCATCGTGATAAAATTAAAGTTTCATGCATGAAACTTAAGTAGTCCAATCGATCTATTTCATATTTTAGAACAAAATTAAACAAAATCATTAATTAATTTTTCACCGAGACTTTAAATCCTTTATTATTTTTTCTCACCAATAGATGATCTGAGTACAAAATATATTCCACCAAACCAAACGCTGGTGGTGGTGGCGTCTCGCCGTCGTCAACAAAAAATCAATGGTCAACAATGTGATGAGTAACAACGAGGAAAAAGTCACAGATGCAAAACACACAAAATATAGATCTCAATTTCCAATGCACTATCAACTCTGGCTCGCTTTCGATCAAAAAAATATCACAAAAGTTACAATTTGGAAACAAAATTATGAAAAAAAATCTTTCGAATCGAAGGTAACGTGATCATCCTGCATTTTCAAGATTATTTGACACTTTATCAATCTATAAGGTTACGACAAATGGCCGAGTTACAAAATAAATTTTCATTTTTAGAAAACTAAAAATTGTTGAAAATATGCCATTGGTTAGTTTTGGAAATGTAATTTTGTAACCGTCATGTCCGTCTGTCTGTCCGTCCGATCATTTTACGATAACTTTCGTTAAACTCGGCCTAGCGACTTTAAATTTGGTATACATGTAGTATGTGACAAATGAGGAGTTAAGTTTGAAGATGGGCGAAATCAATTAAGTGGTTGACCTGTGGTGGTCATCTGGGTGGGTGGAGTATTTCAAAATCCTCGTTGAAAGCTGTAAACTGGCATTGAGATTGCTAATGGTGTCTAATTGAAGAATATGAATTTAAATTGGGAAAATTTCCGACTGGAGGGACCCGATACCATACCGATTTTTGAAAATTATCCATCGAGCTGAAATTAGTGCAGAGATTGCTAATGGCCCCTGATGAAAGAATATGAATTGAAATTGGTACCATTTTTATGTGGAGGGACCTTTAAGGGGGTGACCCATATCGATTTTCAAAAATTGTATTAAAAAGATGAAATTAGACACTCGTAGAAGACTGAAATTTGGCACGACCCCGTGGGGGTAGACCAGATTGAAAAATATGAACTAAATATTAAGATTTTTTCCACAGAGATTTAACAAGGTGACCCACGCTGCTTTTTATATTGGTAGAATAAAAATAAAATTCGGTATCATGGGTAAGGGCACATCAGACTAAAGAATATGAATAATGTTCATATTCATCGAATATGAATATTTTTGTGGGCCCAGCCCAGAAGACTGAGACCCGTACTGGTTTTAAAATTGGTCAAGGAGCTGAAATTTTGCATGCTGGATTGTGGGAACATTTTTGCCGATTACGAATAGTAGTTGGTGCAGGTCGTCTGACTAAAGTTTAGAAGCTGACACTGACCCTGACTCGGGCTAAACAAACGCTGCACACTGGGATTTCAAATTTAATTTTCGAAATAGTACCCTCGAGATTTTGATCTTAAAAAATCAAGCTAAAAATTACGATGATTTCATCTTAACGAATTAAATCTCTATGTCTGCCCATTCAAAAGTTATTAAAGGTCAAAGTCGTTGGTACACACGACCATGGGACGTGTACCAACGATTTAAAAAATAATTATTTTATTTGTAACTCCACCATTTGTCGCAACCGTTAAAAGACACAAGAGTTACCTAGATACTAAATGTCAAGCAATCGTGCTGCATTTTGGTAAACAAAAGATCTCAGGATGTTCAGGGGCTCGCGGTGCTACGCGGCCCGCGAGATCGGAATCCCCCAATGTTTCCAGCAGCAAGTCTCGCGTTTTTTTTTGTGCTGGAGATTTATTAAAATTTCGATCAATTAATTAATTGTAAAAGTTTAAGCTAGCATTTCTGTGTGTATTATTTTTAAAAAATTATAAATATGCCTAAACAAAGACCAAGCAAGACCTCATCCGAAGGGGAGCATGATCCAAAACCATTACGAGAAAGACAATCAGGTATTAAATTACATTTTTTTAAGTTTGTTTAAACACAGTATTTGTAATTAGTATTATTAAATGGTTAATTTATTCATAATCTTACTTTTGTACAGAACAAACACCAGAAACAGTAAATGACAACAGCTTTTCTCCAAATAATAATGCGGACCAAGACCAAGATCACGATCTTACGGAAGAGTCGGAAATAGAATCGAGAAAGTTGAAAGAACGAGAAAGGAAACACGACTCGGGCGCAGTTGACCTAGAAAAAATTACAGATTATGCGGAAGAAACAGAAATCACTGCTTCAGATCTCAGTGGGGTAGGACTAACAGTTTTAATCATGTGTAGACGGTTTAGATATTTTTACTTGTCATGCAAAACTGATTAAAACTTGCTAAATTTCATAGGTGAGGGAATTAATCGCAACAGAAATGGCGGAAAGGCTCCGTAAAGAAAAGGAGTTGATGCTCATTAAAATAAAGAAGGAAGATGTTGAACTAATAGTCACTGAGCTGGAAATGTCAGCCGAACGAGCAGAGCGAGCCTTGAGGGAGCATGGAGGCAATCTATTAGAGACTTTGGGTGCTCTAACAAATTAATGTTTATAAGTAATCTATATATTTCTCTTTAAATCGGATAGAGTGAATATGAATATGGCATAATAATTCTTCCTTTCCATTCTTTAAAGTCTTCGTGTGTGTAAATCCTAATTACAAACTAAACTCAATTTTCGTATATAAATAAATTTTTGATATAAAATGTGAACCTTATTCATGCATATGTAAAAGATTGAGCAACTCTAATAGAGTTGCTCAATCGAACTTCTATGCAAAAATTAGTGATGGGTAGTTCATGGCTTATATAAATCTGCGAATATTTTCCCTCATGGATAAACATTCATCAAACACGTTGTTAGTTTGTTAGGGTTATCTTTCAATTCCTTCCATTCATTTTCATGCGAATTTAGAATTAGAAATGTGAGATCATCGCATCATCATGATTTTTAGCAGAAAAAGCAAACTCGAATGGATGAGATTGCGGTATTTCTGGTGGTGGTGGTGGTTGAGTTAGTTGACGCAAGGGCAGTAGCTCCGCCATTCTCCGGCCATTCCACTCCGCGTCTCGCTTCACTCACTCACTCCCTAACAGCAGTAAGTCTGGTCCTCCGTCATTTTTATTTAATTTTAATTACTCCAATTTAAATTTTGCATGAGTTTAAATTGTAATCAGCCAAAGCAGTGCATGTTCTCTGTGTAGTCTGCAACTTTTTAGAATACTTGGGTTGATTTTATCCCTGTGTTTTCAGCTTATCCGGCACAGAAGTGCTGATGACGCAGTAGACGAGGAAATTATAGAAAATTCAATAACTTATTTCATTCCGTCGCCATTATCATGGGCTCGGATGACAATTATAACAATGGGAGCGTAAACAAGGAGGGGGGCGATGAGGATTATAATGTAAGTAATTTTAAGTATTTTTTTTGTTTTTATAAACGTTTTTACGATAAGATTATTTTTTAAATGATGACTAATAATTACCGCCCCAGTCTGATACAAATGAGTGACTGGTTATTTGTGTACTTTTGTACCTACTGATATTATTTTACAAATGCTAGAAATTGTTTTTTTTATAATTAGTAAGTTAACTGAGGATTAAGTTATGCGAGAGATCCAACTTTTTTTTATTAGAACATATATCTTGTGATTTTCAGGATGGAGGTGCCAGTGGAGGTAGTAACGATAATCGAAATCAGGATAAAAACGAGCCAGAACAATGCAGAAAACTCTTTATCGGAGGACTCGACTACCGAACTACTGAGGACAGTTTGAAAGCTCACTTTTCCAAATGGGGGGAAATTGTGGACGTCGTCGTAATGAAAGACCCTAAAACTAGAAGATCTCGTGGGTTCGGATTCATCACCTACTCCAGATCATTCATGGTTGACGAAGCCCAAAATGCCCGACCTCATAAGGTTGACGGACGAGAGGTCGAACCAAAGAGAGCAGTACCACGAGAGGATATTGGCAAACCAGAAGCTGGTGCAACGGTCAGGAAAATCTTTGTTGGTGGACTGAAGGAAGAAGTGGAAGAAGAAGATCTTAGAAGTTACTTCAAGGTAGATTGAAAAAAGTTATTGATATGTCAACTATTTATAGGGTAGTTTTATTTTAGTTGTTAAAATGATGAGATAATTACCGCCCCAGTCTGACAGTTGTGATGAGTGGTGCTACTTTGTAGCTCTGATTTGATTTTTTTGCTCTGTAAAATCATACTCCTGAAGCTCTCATAATAGAAGTTCATATTTTACATGATTTTGAACGTTTATTTTATGTAATTTTTAGTCATTTGGGAATGTCTCCAACGTTGTCCTTGTCACGACAAAGGATACAGGAAAAAAACGAGGGTTCGGGTTCGTTGAATTTGACGACTATGATCCAGTGGACAAGGTTGTATGTAAGTACTTTAACTCTTTCCATATCCGAGTACATATCTTGTATTCTAATCATCTGTGTTCTTCCATTGCAGTGTCCAAGTACCATGAAATCCAAGGAAAACGCGTTGACGTTAAAAAAGCCCTCAGCCGCACTGAAATGGCTAACATGAAAGGTGGCGGTGGCGGAGGAGGAGGCTCTCATTATTCTGGTGGTGGTGGTCGAGAAGATTCCCGATCTGGTGGGGGACGTGGACCGCCAGGAGGACGCGGTGGTGGTGGTGGCGGAGGTCACAGCCAGAACCCTTGGGGTGGACGAGGAGGAGGAAGTGAGGGAGGAAACTGGGGTGGTAGTGGAGGAGGAGGATGGGGCGGCGGTTACAGCACTGGTATGATATCTTATCTTTTTTTTTAAGTGGGCTTTTTATTTTACTTAAAAGTGATGATTAGCATTACCGCCCCAGTCTGATCTATCATGAGTGACTGGTTGGGTATTTTTACCCCCTGATTGTTTTTATTTAGTTAGAAACACTTTCATTTGTAATATGCCAACCATTTGAATAGTCCGTGACAGTAACCAACATTTATGAATTTGTAGGACCTTGGGAACAACCTCCCGGAGGTGGCGGCGGTGGACAATGGGGAGGTGGCTGGCAAGGAAGTCAACCCGGTGGTGGATATGGTGGAGATTTTGGAGGTGGTTACCAGCAACAATACGGCGGTGGGCCGATGAGAGGAGGGCAACAATATGGTAACCGTCCGTCCCCCTACCAAGGTAGGAAGGAACAATTTTCCTTTCTAAATCCCTAGTAGTAAGATGTACTTCTCTCGTTCTCACCATTTCGGTTGTTTGTACTTTTTCGCAGGCGGCGGCGGTTATAGCGCCCCAACTGGTGGCGGCGGTGGTGGAGGAGGTATGGGATACAACCGTAGATTTTAAAGGAACATGAGAAGCGGCAGACTACACTGGCCAAATAACCACTCCCCTTTTGGTGTATCTCATCCACGTCGTCATCTCTACTCTCATCTTTGGTTTGATTTGATGTTACCCACCCATCTCTCACTCATCACTCTCCCGTAAAATTTTCGGTGAGGGAATTTCCGGCTAACGACACAAAATCTCTTCTCCTCTTATTACGTTTGAATCGATCAATCTTAAGCAAGAAGCGTTTCTCCTGTTAGACAGGTTTCACCGTTAAGACGAATTCTTATAAATTAGGTTAACTTATTGTTTTTGTACAGTTGTCTATATCTTTAGTAAGGTTACATGGTGTTGTATGGTTATAAGATTAGTTTCTTACATTACAAAAAACATAATAGTTGTTGGCAGATTTTTAGTTGGAAAGAACCAACCTTTCAATAAATCAGTTAGATAGATTATCTATCTCAACAACAACAACTAGACCGTACGTAGATAGTTGCCAGTAAGTTTTATGCAGCATATTTAATAGCGGTTTATTACTACCACATGATATAATTAACGGTTCAATAATACGATCGTATAGCATTGCATAGTAAATTTAAGAATGATGCATGAACTGGTACAAATTCCGTCTACCACAGTTTAAATTCAATCTCATATCATGACAGCATCAGATGGTCAGTAATATTCAGTAGATTTTTTGCACTATTGCCAAATATATATTGGCCCTTTCATTTCTTCAGCAACTTTCTCCCAGAATACAGTCAGCTCATTCAACGAACGACGGAAGAATTGCAGTCGAGAATCACAGACAGGAAAGTGTTCTGCAACCTAGAGGACGAGAGGGAAGGGGAAAGTGCGCACTAACTAATTCAATCGAGTAATACTTAACAGAGCAGAGACAGAAAAAAAGAGAGCCGAGAAGGTGAAAGTTTAAGGTATAGTAGTAGCAGCGGAGTTTTAGTAAGCTGAAGAAGATGACCCAAAAATAATACGTACAGGCAGCAGAGAAACTAAATCACTCACGAACAATCAGTCAGCTCAGCTACAATCTTCGCGTTCAGGAAGGAGACAGGTATCAATTCAATTGTGAGTGATGGTGACCAACAAATTCAGTGCAGAGCAGATCAAATGAGACAGATAACAAATACCAGGTAGTAAGATTACTGATCATTATATTGATTGATTGATATCTATCTATATAGAGGTAACGTTTTCTATATATGTCACGCAAATTGACTTCTTTTTTTTAAGTTGCAGTATTATTATTATCATTATAATTATCATTACGATGCAATAACATGTATATTTCTTTGCTGGCAATGGTATCTTATTCCGTCTAAAAAAGAGCACATAGTCCTCTCAGACTTATTATTACGATTGTACATAATAATAATTGGTCAATCCTTTCCTTCGGTTGCTTCAACTAACAGGAAACCCATTAACAAAAAAAATCTGTATACTTTCACTTGAGTTTCTTTACTTCGCGTGCTGACAGGGCTACTGTTCTTATCGGTGTAACGTTTGAATGGACGTTTATTGATTTACATTATATTAGTTTGATTGAGTAGGAGCTTATTTTTAATGCTGTCGTAGACCATGCTATGTTCACCCTCTTGCAATGTTGAAATGCTTCTATTTTTCCTTCGATTGAGGTGGATTGATTTATATTTTAATTATTGTTATGATTTGTGTAAATACGTACCTTTTGCATTATTATTATTAGTCAATGTGTAAATACACAAATGTTGCAATGTAATGATTTATAGAGTAATCTTCCTTAGATTATACCAATAATGCGTATTTCTTTGTTTTGAAGGCGATGAAACGAATGCGATGGAAGCGGAATCGAGCGAGAATGTGACGCTGGACGTGTAATGAATCTCGTGACAATGACGTTAAAAAACTGTGATTTGTAAGTTGTAAATTGATTTATTTTTCGATATTTAGGCGAGTTAGAGAAAGATTCTGACTTTTAACCAAAATTATGTTGAGTCAATTTTTTCAATACTGGTTTATGAATACTTTAAATGCTAATCTTAAGTAAGGCAGGCAGTGGTGTTTGATTATAAAGTTATATTACATTATTTGTTTGGCACTTGTTAATACGACTTGTATTTGTAAATTACAGTTATCAACCTGGTTGACTGATTAATATTGTGATATAAAAGTTTTGGACTTTTACTGGAGAGAAACTCGTTAGAACCAAAGCACACTCGGATCTCGGTACTCTCAACGTCTGGTACGATGAGCATTGCCGTACAATCTGCAAATTATTGTAGGGTTGTATTTATTTATAGACTTTTTTACAATGTTTTAAAATAAATGAGTTGAAACCAATATTTGTTGTCATCTCACGTTTTGTAAGCATCCGTTTTCACATAGTCCAGCAAATGATGCGGACCCAGAGCCCACTGATCAGCAAGTGGTGGCGCCAGAGGGTTATCATCCACTCGAATGATACTTCGACTTCCCCCCAAGTCCATATTTGCTATAAATATGAAACCAATTATTATTCTGAAATTTCATCGTAATCTCAAGTCTCAAGTTTCAATAAATAATAAATTGCCAACTTACATATGTCTGGGGGCAACCACTGGATAGTGTTTCCTTGAATATGAAATTCTCTTAGTCGGGTCAAGTTTCCAATTTCGCGAGGAATATGAGTAATATTGTTGTTCCGGATGACGAGCTATTTTCAGAAAAATAAATGAAATAAAAATTGCCTGGGCTAATTTTCAGGAAACTATTTAAATATGAATAACGTACAATTTGAAGATTGCGAAGACGTCCAACTTCCGGAGAAAGTGTTTCAAAATAGTTATCCCCCATGTACAAAGCTCTCAAAGTTTCTATTTTCAAAATACAATCAACCCATTCACATTTTTGACAGACTTTCTCCCTGGTGAAAGTAGCATAAGTTACGGCTTATTTTTACCCATCATCCAAAAATTTCCAGGCAATCCCTCTTCGCTCATCTTATTATGGGTGAAGTCCAACACTTCAAGGGATGGACAGGCACCAAATCCTCTCCCCAAAGATTTCAATCGGTTCATGCTGCCAACGAAATTTTGTCTCAAATATGAGTTTGATATTTTTCAGATTTGTTTAACGTGCATTGAAACTATGTGTATGAACTTTCTCTCACCCAACATTAAGAATTCGAAGTTTCGGAAGGGATGAAATTGCAGTGGGCAATTCTTCCAATTGATTGTTGAACATGGTCAAAATTTCTAGGTTGCAAAGATTTGCGATCGTTGCTGGAATTGCTGGAATCATACAAATTAGTATTTTAGAGTGAGTACTTGCGTAATAGTTAATCCTTTTCATCAATAACTTACATTTTATCTTGTTGTGAGAAATTGTCAATCGTGTCACGAAATCCAGGTTGACTGAAAATAAAATTACGATTTTTATAGTTTTATGAAAACATCCTTGCATTGTTTATGGATTTGAGACACTTTAACACCGCAAATGACAATTATGGGCAAGATATAGTTATATACATACAAATAAATATTAGTGGTGACTAGTGAGACTTGTGGAGAAAGTACAATAATTTGGATAAAATTTCCGTAAAACCTTCTGAAGTACTTACACAGGCCAGGGAGTTCCTCAAAGGCGAGAATTCCCTTTTCGACCAAATCCAACTCTGGATTTTTAATTTCGCGAGCTTCATCGATAACCTGCAAGATAATAAAATAATATCACAAATAAGATACCAATTTATTACTTTCTAACATTGAAATATAATTACAATAACAAATTTACTCTTTTGGGTTTGGTCATCTTGGAGTTTCCCACAAAGTTGCACGATACTGGGCTTGAATCCATAGTGCAGGCTTATTTTATCCAGCCAGAGAGAGCAAAAGTATGTAAAAGGGTTGAGAGATTTCAGCTCCTGCTATGCTTTACGTATTACGTATTATGCTCCTCCTGGTATAAAAATTTAGCCCAAATATGTACTTTTTACACGAGTGGGTATAGCTCAAATGAACAACAACGTGGATTTGGATGCACGGTATCAATTCTACTTCCCGTGTCCTTTACTTGATTATTGTACGACTTTCTTTTCCATGTATTTCTCAAGAGATGAACCGATATCGGGCGAAAACAACCTATAAAATCCGTATAAAAGATGCAACTAACTTTATAAAGATGCTGATTCTCACCACCAACAACGCCCTGCCTCTGATGTAACTGGCTTCGTCTGAATGGTTAACTGAAAACTTGCCCCGGATTCGGTTTAAAAGAATATATAAAATGCAACCAGGATCCAATGTATACAAAACTTAAGTAAGCATTGGCATAAGAATAAGGTTCTCTCAATCATTATATGAGTCAACTTTGCCAACTTGCATACTTTTTGGTGCGCTGATTGGCATTTCAGTTTACATTCACTTTTTTTTCCTACATCCTCCACCAGAGATCAGATACTCGTGTTATTCAAAACTTGGATGGAGGATGTCTTTAAAAAAGCCCACACAGGTTCCATTTTTACATTGGCTTGGGTTACAGAGATCGCATGTGTATGAATCCATCCACAAAGAGAAGAGTTACACTGCGTGCATAAGAAAGTCGCTTTTTTCATGCTTTGTTTTTGCATGGACGAATGTAAATATCTAGCGACGTATGTATGTAAGAGTGATTAGTTGATGTTGCATAATACAGCGTGTAGGCAGATGATACGGCTGCATGTCTTCGAAACAAATGGGGTCCATCACGTTGGAATGATGTTAGTCCAGATGGCAATCAATTTGCTACGTGCTCTTATACAACAACAGATTACGTAATTGTCTCATCAAACTTGCAAACGTGTTTGATTCGCACATAATTCATCATAAACCTCTTGTTTGAGAACATCAATCTAAAATAAACAGAAAGATTCATTACTTTTTGTACGATTCTGACCTGTGCTGTGACGACGAAGAAAGTTTTCCAATTTCAGAAATACCAATCTTTTTCCTGCCAGGATGTACTCGTATCTTGTAATTTTCATACTTTTCTGCTCAAGTCATTTACAAATCTACGTATAATTTAGACGACTTTATGATTATGCATTATTTAAATCTGAGCACGAACCGTGACGCTTGATAATTTTTCGTCACATCAAATATTCCAGGAATGCACAAACAATCAGAGGTGACAGCAACGACGACTGTTACAAACTCATAAAATTTTTACCATCCCTCCTCAATCATCATAATCTCGCAGATTTCTTGATTTCTAATCAATGATGAATGCCAACTAGCTAACGAAGGAGCGAAAGAGGGTGATGAAAGTTGCCCAATTTCATCATCTTTTACTCGCAAACTCCATCCCATAAATGATGGATCGTCATTAGACGCGACGACAAGGGAGCCTCCTGCTGACAATGACAAATTGAGAATGAGTGGAGTGAATTTTGATGCCTTTTTTATCGGATTTACTCCTGTATTTACTATTACGACATACATGGCTTGTCTCATTCTGGCACGTCTTTCTCCATTACTCTGAAAAATGTAACGGCGCAGCAGTGCCCACTTTCACTTTGGTTGCAAGTCCAAAATTCTCCCTCTCCACGATCATGATCAATTGCAGAGATGGAAAAGGAGCCAGCGAGCATCTGTTTTCTTTCAGCCTTTCTTTTTTTTACCGGGGGTAGAAAGAAACGTATTGAAAATTAATTCAAAGTAGTGTTCCCCAATTTATTGCCAGTACTAGAAGTCTTCCTAGTGGCCCAATTTCTCTCCTTTTGTATCGTCTAGACTTTCTCCTTCGAGGAGAATGAAGTCGTTTAATTCATTCCACACACGTCGTCAAAATGACCAGAGGAGAAAAGGTGGGTGGTGGTGGTAACATAAGCCACCGGAACCGGATGGCTGTTTTTTTCATGCTGCACGGTTTTAATGCAGATCTTGATCTCAGACACATCAGTCATCTCGTCATTCTTACTTTTTTTATCCGATCACGGAATGATTTTATTATCTTTTGAACTACACGTGCTCTTACACGTATGTGTAAGAAACGATTGGGAATTCACACCTCGATCACTACTCAATTTCATGAAAACCATCTGGACTGTGGGTGAAAGTGCTAAATAAATGAATAGCCAACTTACTTTCTCCCAAAGAAGAAGAATGTAATGGGTAAAAGTTTTACTAAATGAGGGTAAATTTTTGTACAAATAAACATTGAGAATGGATCCAAATGTGGGTATAAAAGTCAGGTAGAGAGAAGATCCTTTTTGTAAGAATTTGTTTAAAAATTCTACAGATGTGTACCGATACGTATTTGAGATTGGTATCACATAGTTTCTCGTGTACGTTTGCACTCAGAGAAGACGAACACACATATCGTATCCTCTGAGTAAATATTTATCTTTCTTTCTGGCACTACTCATCATACTACGAGGGCTGTTGTTCCATGTATTTTTAAAGGGTGAAAGTCAACTCACGTCTACTTTATGTTTTCTCTCTCGGTGTCTGAGTGAAAGTGCGTGTCTTTCGAGGATTTGTTCCCTTGTCTCAATGCCGATCAATCTTGCACACACACATCTCTGTCAAGTCCAGCCACGCCCAGCTTGACCCGATTATTCGGAATGGGTAGGATTTTTATTTTTGCAAATTGCGTAGGCAAAACATGCAACATGAAGTCGTGAACGGGAGGGTTTCCTTTCATTTTTTTCGCCCCGTGGAGAAATGACAGGCAAGGAGAGAGTATCAATGCCAATAATGCAGCGTAACATACGCCTGAACTTACATATTCACCTTCAGCGTATGAACATGCAAAAAAGAAGTTGGGATTTCTTGCAGGAAGTGAAAAACGTGATTTTTCCTAGAATTGGGATTGAAGGTCTTTGCCACATGGAACTGCGAGTGGGTGGTGAAAGGCTTCCCGTGCCGAGGTGCTCACCTTTTATCTTTCTTTCATAAGTATATTAAATATGGCGACCTTCACATTTGGTTGGTCTTTTACTCGTCAATGTCAGAGTTATGTATGTAGAGATCAATTAGAATATATTCCTTTGTTGAATAAGTGGGGTAAATCGTTACGGAATTATGCGGACATTTAAAGCATCTATTAAATATGTAGGACTTGAAATCAGACCATTTGAGAATTTGCATAAGCATTACGTATATTAAAGCTATGTATAAGGATCAGATAAAAGGCGCCGTGGAATTATGTACACATAAATATTAACTTTTAAGTACATCCATACATATGTATATCCAGTAAGCTAATGCACTTTCCAGCTCTGAAATCATAATCAACGAATTATTTATTACAGCAAGTTTACTCCGAGCACTTTAGAAGCTTATTTTTCTGACCAGAACATCAACGAGGAAATCACGGCTTCGAAGTATCTAAAATCCATTGGAATTTTTGCTCAAGAATTGAAATCTCAATCTCAACATCCCAACCAAGCAGCCGTATTTGGTGGATGTATGACTGTAATTGAACGATTTTCAACGGTTCAATCTCCACGCATCAACCCTGGCCAGGGTCAGTCCGAACTAAATAGGACACTGGTGATGGAAATTGTGCATGAAATTGGACGAGTAGACATCCACGGTTGAAATGATGAGCTTCTGAAGTAAGACGCACAACCCGAAAGATTGAGATAGCGCGATGAAATTTGTTCTAGAAAGTTACATCCTCGAATCTAACTTGATTTTGTTGAAGAAACCAATTTAAATTATCTCATATCCATGTAATCCTATTCTATTCGGATGAAAAAAAAATGTAATTTCACGGAGATTCTTTGTACAATTTTGCGATTAACCATCACGTTTTCATTGAAACTCGAATAAAAAATTCTAGTAAAAAAGTATTTGTATACAGGAAAATATGAAATTTTTGATAGTTTTCCCCACAAAATTTTCAAAATGTAAATACAAAACATCGTAAACATAAACTAACTGCACAGCTCCATTAAATACAATGAGTACATATGTATGAATATACACAATTCCAGATGACTTTCTCTACTTGCAAGGCCAAACCAGACAAGGTTTCCGCACATCCGCCCTAATTCCGATTTCTAGGTCGACGGACTAAACTAACCAACCAACCAAATGAGATGAGAATCCCTCTTGCTACTTCTATTAAATTAACATATTAAATCATGATATGGAAATGCGGCTCAACTTTCTTCCTTCCCTCCGTCGGCCGTCCTTCTCCTTTGTTCACGGTGGGATAAGCTCTCCCAACTAACAACTCAGCCCAACCTTGACCTCCAAGTTTCGTCCAAATAATAAAGATTAAAGCTGTTCGAAGGTTCTTTGGACGGAATGTTAATTGGACTGCCAAGTCCATTAGAAATGATAAATTAGGAAATTAAAGATTGTTTCGTACAAAAATACATTAAAAAATTATGTAAGCATTAAGAGAACATTAGCAGAAAAGAAGATATTAATCATTTCTACATATTTTCTAATTAGTCACGTATAATTCCATTGAGGGGCATATGCTCTTAGCTTTCCGTAAAAAAAATGCAAATGGCGATTCTACGAGAACTTTTCTTTTACTTTATTGCAATGTAAAATCAATACGAATCCGATTAACCCGAAGTCGAATTGAATGTCTAATGGTGCTCTCATAGTCGTCTTAGTGGTCAATTAGTGGAAAGGGTGTAACTCTCCAGTTCAAGGCACTTTGACCACTTTTAACTTGCGAATTAATGGACTGAGCACACACCTAGTAATGACTGATACCTAGTTTGGGTTGAATTTTTTATTGAGCCGCCGAACTAATTGTTCGTTTATTACGGTCTTACAAGTATAGCTACAAAAAAGAAATTCCATTTCGTAGTAGTGTCCCATTACTGGACCAAATTGACAACTTGTGTCACATTCAATGGTACAATTTCAATTTCAATTCAACTACTGGTGACATTCATGCCGCACATAAGTACACATAACAATGGAGCAACACGGCACATGATAAAAACTCCCTACAGTGCACGTTGGACGGAAGGAGTACAATCTTGGCCAACCCTAATGTAAACTTTCTCTTATTGTTAGATTCTGGATGACTGGGTTGATGGCTCATAAAATTTTTAAATTATGTAATTGCATTGCAAAAATAATCAAGCTACCCGATTTTACCCCCGGCCGAAAAATTAAAACTCAAGGTCTTTTAGATTTTCTTTGGTGAAAAAAATTGGGAAAATCATCGTACAATTTTTTAAATTCCTTGCATATCCTAAAGAAAGTTTTTATATGTGCAATATGATGTTTTAAACGTATCAAATTTTC